AGGCCACCTTTTGTCATGTGGACGTCAAATGCCTGCCTGTCTGTCCTCTATAGCGCCATTTATGCCCGTCCAGGTTGTGTCAGACAAGATATCCCATGTCCTAGTTATGGGCCACCTCGCTTGATGTTATTTTATCCCCCTTGCTGCTCTGTTTGGTTTCAAGAGTTTTACTTGGTTGATCTACATACTCAGATTACCAATTATTATAAAACGGTGTCGGAGATTGTATCGAATAAGTTACCGGTAGAGTATTTTAGTACCATAGAACTCATGGGTCATCAGTATTGCCCCTTAACTACGACATGTATGTGTAACCGCGGGTAAGCACATACATCTACATCAAAAGTTGGCGCGGTTGTTTCACTCCACTGTCATGTGATGCAAGCAATCCTCCTCCTCTCCTCTCTTGTCGTTGTTCTTCTTCTTCTCCCTCCTATCGAAATTAAGAGCAAAGAGGTGCTATCTCATTAATTATGTAGGAAGAAAAATTTAGACGGCGGTAAGTAAGTATTGGTGTGGAGAGTTGCGTGAGGAGAATATAGAAAACGTTGGAGAAAATGAAAGGTGTGCATGGGGCGGACCACTTTCGGCAAAGGGAGGGGACCTTTTGTGGGTATACTATGCATTGATGAAGAAGAAAGTTATGGCTAAGGGCACTCACAGTCTCTTAATTCAACTGGTTCGGACAAGCAACCGGTCCTCCAATTTTTCTGTGGCCCGGCCCTCATCTCATCTAATAATCCCAATTCAATTATTGTCGTAGGCGCGGGAATTATTGAACATCAGTTTCCTCTTTGATTGTGATCTGTAGACGCAAAGGATAACAAACAAGACAGGATCCCGCAAAAAAAAAAAAAAAAAAAAATCGTTCCTTCAGTTACTTTTGCATATATTACTGGATTTCAAGATTTTACTAGGTTAAAGTTAATCCCTCACTTAACCAGGCAAGGCATCATATTCATTTTCGATATATAACTCATTTGTGTTGCACAGTTTATGCGGCTTAATATTATCTACACATAATATAATACACCGAAGGGGAAAAACGGGAGCCCCATTTCAAATTTCCTGCAACGAGAGTGAAAGTAGGAAGGACATTTTGGTCTTCACAATTACTTTTTTTTATTCATTAAAAAGACACGTACTAGGATTCGAACCATGACCATTTTAAAGAAAAGCAAGGATCATAACCAATCACACTAAGTACATTTGTTATATCTTTTTAAATTAAAAACATATAATAGCAGGGAGGAAAAAACCCTTCCCCCATTTCAAGTTCCCTGCTCCAGGAGCGTTTGTAGGAAGGGTAGAATAAAGAGTATCAATTTTTTCTCTTTCCTCTGTGGAACGGGCCAAACTTACCGTATACATGCGAATTTATACGGGCCAAGGAGTGTCAATTTTTTTTCTTTAAGCCATTTTATTTCTCCGTGGTGATATAATATATACGGAAAGGCAAAAACAATACTAATTTTTATTGCTAAAAATAAAAAATTTAACAATAAACTAATGCATGGTATCTAATGGGCTAACCGCTAACCATAAAATAAAAGAGTTGAATGGGCCTGACCTACACGGTATTTGGCCATCAAGTAAAACAAATGAACATCATTGGTTTGTCATTCTAAAACAAGTTATTTTGTCTGGCATAATATATATTATGCTATTATTTTATATCTTAGTGGCTAAAATATAATGTATTTTAAAGTTATTCAATGGTTCAACCTCGACCAACCCAATTAGTCCAATTTTTATCATTTCAAATATATATTATATAATTATTTGATATCATAATGATCAAATTATAGTGTATTTTATAGGGAATTTTTTGGTATTTGTTAGTAAAAAACTAAACAGAATGATCTATTTGGTTATTTTAAACATTAAAACGATCCTAAATATTTTCAGTTCCTTTTGAATTTTTATGGTTTTATTCCCGAATAAGTGATGTGCAAATGGCGAATTGCAGTCATCTCTTTTCTTTCACTATTTTTATTTTCAAATAGAAAGTTTAAAAGTAATGAATAATTAGAATTTGGCATGGGTCGGTCCAACATGTTGAATTTCAAGTTTTGGCCCGTTTTGATCAATTCTAATTTATAATCACATGGTTCCCTGATACCCGATAAAAATCTAAATCCAAACCAGTTTGGCAGGTGAGTCTGTGTTTACCACCATTTTCTAGGGATACGACAACGACGGTTCCTATCCCAAATCGTGTTGTTCGTTCTTGATTTCCTTAGATTTTATCATGTCCTAACAAAAATCAGAAAGCACAATGACGACAAGATGAAGGTTTTATAAAGCAAATTAATCGACCAACGGGCCGAGTAAAAGCTAGCAACGATTGTGAGATGCTCATTTCCCGAAAACCGACGGGATATGCGATTTTTTATTCGATTTTCTGGAATTTGGTTTCTATAAAACTTACTCTACCTCATCATATTACCAGAAACAATATTGTTTCACAAGGTAACATGAACTTGATTTTGGTTCATAAGGCCGATTTTTTATTTATTGCATCATTCATGTCTCTTTCCTGCTAAAATTCACTATTTTTATCACGAGTTTCCAAAAAAAAAACTATACAACAATAAGCTCTACACCCCATTACATTATCAAATTTCATACCTCACATTCCTCCGGCCAACTGGCCGGGACCCACGCTAGTTCTGTTGATATGACTTGAATCGGATTATTAGCCACTACGGCTGGTAATCGGGGGTTCTGGACCTGGTCTGTAACCGTTTCCTTTGCCAGATTGGATTAGGTTTAGACCCACATGGAGAAGTACTATATATACTTCTCATACTCCTCTGTAATCTGTAATCTCCTTGATATAGTGAAACTGGCTCTCTCTCGCCCGTGGACGTAGCTAACACACATCGTGTTAGTGAACCACGTAAATCGTGTGTCGTGTTTTTCGATTCTCGCTTTCGTATTCTTGCTTTGTCAATTCCTACATTTTTCCGATCTGTAGCAGCGCGTTTATAACATATTCTCTAACTACAGACACAGTAGTATTGTGTTGAGTGCCGCTGCAAATTAATACGTCTTACAAATAAAATCTTTTCAGCCATGATGACCTGCGCCTGCCTGTGCCTGGGAAGAGTGGCCGGATCATGCATGCGTATCCGCCAAGTGGATATTGTTTAAGCCAAGGAGGATTGTCGATCAGCATTATGTCTGTAATGGGAAGCTAGCTAGCTTACTAAAAAGTTGTCTTCAGGTTTATTGGATTCCATCGAGCTTTTTGGCACTTTCTACGTCTCTCAAGTCTCTGTCTTTGAGTTGAAGGAAAGCAAAGAGTACACTATATCATATCATGGGTGGGTTGGGTGGATGGACAAGTAGTTATTATTAGCTAATTAAGCAAAAGATGAAAAACGGTAAGAAATTTAGATGGCAAGAGAAACGAAAACAAAAAAAGGAGAGTTTTGTTATGAAGGGAAATTATGGGGTGTGGTCTGACGTGGAGATGAGACATCACTGTGCTTTTGCTGAGCTGGATTTCCCTTGTACACTTGCTTGCTTTTGGTGATTGTGTATGTGACCCAGATTAGTCGCTAGCTGTATACACCCTAAACATATCTCACTCAACTCTTGTTCCTGCGTTTGCGTATATGACGATGATCATGGTGTACATGGATAGATTTAATCGCCTATGGTACAACCCAGATTAGTCGTTTGCGTATATGACGATATTGTCCGCTTTGGGCCGAGCCCGCACGGATTTACTTTTGGGTGTCCTCCCCAAAAGGCCTCGTACTAATGAGCTTGGTGGACATTAATATACAAGGGTTCCTTCCATTGTATAACCGATGTGGTACTTGGATTGTCCCATAACACAATTTTCTATAAGATATCAATTGTCAGCAACGTCCGATAAGTATAAATCGAGCGATAGAAAGTACGTACGGTATGAAAGAAGAAGATGAAAGAAATTGGAGAAGAGCATAAGTATAGGTTAGGAGACATGAAAGGGTTTGCGAGAGAGATAGAATGCATGACACAGAAGAATCGTATACTTATTATTATATCACATAACGAAAACTGATTTATTTCTTCAAAAGTAAATTCTATCATTCAAGATAATGTTGGTTTATTGGAATTCGATCTATCTGGCTCACGCATCGGTGTCTCGGCTAGGACAATTTGACTCAGATTATGGATATGTGCATTCATACATCGATTTTGAAAAATTGTTTTACAATTATGAATTAATTTTCCTATCTTAAAAAAGAGACAATTATGTGTGTTGTGGAGCCCGCAATTGATTTGGAGCATGTGCCGAAAGCTTAGTTATATGAAGTGAAGTAGTGGTGTGCTTTAATTGAACTACATATATATGCAAGCAACGGTCGTAATGTAAATTCTGAATACAAAATTAGAGAGGGACGAAGAAGGATTCGATTGTCGGCAAAGTTAATTATGGTAATTGCCTATATTTGACATTGATAGTAGCTAGTGATAGAGTGAAATATGTACCCTTCTCTTAATTAAACTCAGAGTCGTGTTAATTAATATATATTCGTGCAAGTTTTAGAAAACGAGCTGAATAACGAACCAACGCACCTTCATCATGCGTACATGGACTAGGTATTTTCCAAGAGGATTCCAGCTCGGCCAATTGATGAGACAGCCATGGCCAGATGAAAGGCTAGCTAGATTGCATGCATGCAATGCATATATGCATGATGAATTATGGGCAGACAGAAATGTTTTATTTAGAGGTTCGGATGTGAGTAAGGTGTTCAAAATGCGACGACGGAATGAGTTGACATCTAAATAGTAAATACCGTCTAGGTATAATAAATAAAAATTTAAGCGGGCAATATGAATGAAAAAAAAAAATTAAACATCATGGGCAAATTCAATATTCTTTTCTTGTTGTTTGTTGAAAACTACTATTTTCAACTCATCCAGCTCGCTCCCAACGTTCATTTGTTCATCCAAAACCGTCAACCCATTTGTGGCCACAACTTTAGGAGCAGGCTGGACAGCCATCGATTACTCATAATCTCATCGCATCCAGCGGTTTGGAATGCTCCACCTGTCCGTACCTTCTCACTCTCTATTTTTGACTTCTCTTCCCTTTTTTACTGTTGGGTTGGTTGGTCGGTCGGTAATTTGATGAAGACTCCAGAACCCTAGCCAGAGAGAGTAGTGAGCAGCTAATTTAAAGCTCCTATCTTAATTTGTATTTTTCGTGGGGGTGGTTTGTCTCCAAGTTTCTTTTTATAATTATTTATGGTTTTTATTATTATTTAAGCTAGCTGTTGAATATGGGGAACACGCAGATTGATGAAAGTTGGTAAACCTACACTGTGATAGTGCCTAGCATGAGGTCGCCACTAAGTGACACAAGTGGATACTACTAAATTATAACCACAGCTCCGCAGTAAATTACTCAATCAAATTTTACGTCTATCCATTTTGACAATTACAACTGAGTGGACAAGAACGAGTGGTGGGGGAGTCGGTGGGTGGACGGTGGTAGTGGGCTTGGACTCGGTTTGAATTCCACCGTAATAATGCCACCGGCCGGCCAAACGGTAACGAGGAAAATGTTTTTCTTGTTTTTCCAGCGTCCAGTTGGTCGTCGATGAACAAGGAATAATAAAAGTAACTAATAATCAAACCACAAGGAGGAAAAAAAGAAGAAGCGCCATTAATTAGCATGAAATTAATTGCAGAATAATGAGATTGGACTAGAGATCCATCAAAGCTTTCCCATGGGATCCTTGCTTTCTCGAGTTGGTCCTTTTCGGTTGCCTTTCTTTGATCTTATGGCTTTGCATAGTTCCTTCTTCCCCAGGATTTCTTCTCTTCACAGCAACGAGAAGCTTCTTCTGTGGGGGTTTTTTTTTTTTTTGGGGTTTAAAACTGTTATTGACTCATATGATAAAAACTCAATTACACAAATAAAGAACTATTTCATATTCATAATATAACAAATTCATAATGAATCCAATTTTTTTCAAAACTTAAAATTCTTATTCTTTATATTCAACAAGCAAGCAAACGATCCTTAAAAACTAGCCTGGTGACTATATAATTAAGTGGAAGGGAGAAGAAAAAAAAATCATAATGCAAAGTCACATAACAATTGTTGCCAAATTGAGGTAATTGTGGTACAATTTTTGTGTAAAATTCGAATAATTAGTCATCATTTGTAATATCAATATATCTAGCAACAAAAAACCGATTAAATATATGCTTACTAGTATGTGTATAAGTGTATTTAGTAAGTAATAGTCTCTCATTATGTAAATATCCATGTATAAAATAAACAAACCATTCATTTGACGAATCAAGATGGACTAAAAGTATAAAATCATCACTTTTTTCTAAAGATCAAAGCTAAATCGTAACGAAACGAGCCACCTGAACAATTTATAACATTTTTCAAAATATACGTCTTTCCATCGAATAAATTGAGTTTATTTTAAATACTACAAATGGAAATGGCACGTTTCTGTTAAAGGAAAATAAGTAAATAACAGTAAGATATTATCATGAAATCCGGAAGGGGAAAATAAAAAAATGAGGAAAACGAAAATCCAAAATCTAAAATAAAAAAAATAAAAAAGTCGAGTGTTCTCTCTTTCTGTCCATATATACCCAAACCATATCCTCTGTTTTTCATCACTCCCATCTCTCCCGACTCCCAACCCAAACTCTCCACCTCACTCTCTCATCCTTCCTCCGCCAGCAACTTCCCCTCTTTAATTTCAAGTCCCCAAAACCTCAAAACACCAGCATCAGCAAGATGACGAAAGAAGTAGTTGGTGAAGGAGGTTCCTTCACGGCGAAGGACTACCACGACCCACCGCCGGCTCCCCTCATCGACGCGGCGGAGCTGGGTCAGTGGTCCTTCTACAGAGCCCTAATCGCCGAGTTCATCGCCACCCTCCTCTTCCTCTACATCACCGTCCTCACCGTCATCGGCTACAAGAGCCAGGTCGACCCCAACAAGCCCGGCGTCGTCGACCCCTGCGCCGGCGTCGGCATCCTCGGCATCGCCTGGGCCTTCGGCGGCATGATCTTTGTCCTCGTCTACTGCACCGCCGGCATCTCCGGTAACACGCCTCACCACCTTCCCCTTCCTTCCTTTTCTGTCTCAGCACGCGAATGTTAATTGTCAGTTATTACTTAATTAATTAATTAATCCTCTAAATGGCGGCATTGTTACTTTATCATTGACGGGGGGAAAAGGACTCTTCCCTTTCCTTAGCTTTATTAGATTGCCGTTTCTGATATAGCACGTATAATGTGGGAAGTCTCCGAGGGTTTCTCAATTTGAGGGAATCGGGGATTTTGGTCCTCGAATCTCGAGTGCCGGAAAAAAAATTGACTCGCCTAGGACCAAAATTGGAACTTCCCCTGTTGGGAGAATCGATCTAATTCTGCTGGGTTCTAATCTGAAGTTGGGAACTTCGATAAAAATGGAGGCAAGTTACTGAGTCTTTGTTTATGTTTCGAATTTTGCAGGTGGCCACATCAACCCCGCGGTGACGTTCGGGCTGTTTCTGGCGAGGAAGGTGTCGCTGATAAGGGCGGTGATGTACATGGTGGCTCAATGCCTGGGAGCCATTTGCGGTGTTGGGTTGGTGAAGGCGTTCCAGAAGTCTTACTACACCAGGTACGGCGGCGGGGCCAACTCTCTGAACGACGGTTACAGCACCGGCACCGGATTGGGCGCGGAGATCATCGGAACTTTCGTGTTGGTTTACACCGTCTTCTCCGCCACCGACCCCAAGAGGAACGCTCGTGACTCCCATATCCCTGTAAGAAGCACTAATCACTCTTTCAGAATTGCCCTCAATTTCTAGCAAATTTGTTTGTTTCCATTTGGCTAGAATGTAACCGTAGTGGTAGGCGTAGTTCTGCCTTTGTTGTCGATATTTTCTGCCATTGAAGTCGGTCAATCTTTGCATGGTTTGGCACATTATTGGTTGTCTAATATTAATTTCATTTTGTTAATTTGTATAAAATATTGCGTTTCTTTATTAGAAAAAAGCGTCTTAATTATTGCTAAAGTATAGTTTAATTTTGTTTAAAATTATAGTAAGTTAGCGAATTAACCACATGTGCAACCGGGCTATCCGTGAAAACGTCGAGATGGATCCTGACTAATGATGAGTCATGAAGCAGATGATTCGCTACAAAATTACCCTCAATTACACCACTGTTCTATAATTGCAATTTGCAACAGTAAAGTTGTTGTACCTACTTTTGTTTGTTCGTTCATTTTCTTAATGTAAAAACTGTTTCTTTTTGGGTAGTGAAAAACTTGGTTAGTAGTTGGGGGGAGTGCAACGAATCTTCTAGCTAGGTAAAGGAGGGAGGTTCAGTGTATAGGATGTTCCTGTTATGTTATGTGATTCAATTCTCCACCCTTCGGCCTTCTCCATAACTCTTGAACAGTGAAAACTGTGGAGAATAGAATCCCCTGTTTGTTTTCTTCTTCACTTTTCCACATTCACGCAAGCGCAACGGGCCCTTCCTCCATTAATTAATTGCTGCTAAACTGGACAGTAGCGTTCGTCTTGGTTTGTCTATGGTGTCGTCGTGTTCAACCGTCATTTGTGTTTGCTTTGTGACGTTTTGGAGCTTTCAAGGCATGTGAATTTAAGTTCAGATCGCACTGTTTATAGAGTTGACAAATTTGCTCACATGGGAACAGTACGTAGCATGTATTTGGTCTGTTGGTATGCTGTTCATTTAGACTTGTTTAATGGTGGCGGTTTTCGGTACGTTTGGCCAAATTTGGTAGGTATTGGCACCACTCCCCATTGGATTTGCCGTCTTCATGGTTCATCTGGCTACCATTCCCATCACCGGCACCGGAATCAACCCGGCCAGGAGCTTCGGAGCTGCTGTCATCTTCAACGAAGAGAAGCCGTGGGATGACCATGTATGTAGTAAAGCAAATATTTAAACACCATTCTCTCTGTTTTCGGGCTTATAATTTGAATCACCGTGATTACTGTTCTGAATTGTTTTGTTCAATTTTGGCAGTGGATCTTCTGGGTGGGACCCTTCATCGGAGCTGCTCTCGCGGCTTTCTTCCACCAGTTTATCTTGAGAGCCGGAGCTGTGAAGGCTCTTGGGTCGTTCAGGAGCAGCGCCAGTGCTGTGTAGAGCGATCGGATCTCCCCACAGCTTACTTTTCTGATCGGAGTGGAATAATGAGTGGTGCAGAGTGCCATCGTTGCTTGTGCTTCAGAGAGTTGAGGAGTGGTGTGGACTGTTGGATCGATGAAATTAAGATGGTGTTGACCGAGAAAGGAGTTATAGTAGGTTGAAGCTCTTTTTATTCTTGTCGGTTTGCTCTTCTTCTTTTTCAGTGCTAGAGGATGGATTGCCACAGCGTCTTTAATTTATTTGATCTGGAACTCTGTGGGCTATATAGCTTGCCTGCGTGTATTCGCTCTAAGAAAAACTTGATGAAAATGTATTTCTTCTTCTTCTTCTGCTTCTGATTTGCTGGATTTCTCTGCACTTGTAATTTAGTCCTACTTCAGGGCACTGTCCTGCTCTTCAGTTCTCAACTTCTTTAATGCAGATATCGGCCTACTAGGAGTTTCTTGCCAAATTATCACACACACACAACTTATCCATTATCGACCAATGGATTTTGAAACTGATGGTTGCTAGATGGATTTGTGAATGGTATATAAGCTGCTGCTAACAGAACACAGACCAAAAGCGACAAGTCATATTATTGTAACGTGCTTGGAATACTTCAAATATGGAAGCATTGTGAAGGCCACAAAGTAAAGGACAAGAGAAACAAGTGCACGTTGATCTGTTCTGAGGAGGGTCTTTGTATTAGATTTGAAGTGAATCAGAAAGAAAGAAGAAAAAAAATGCGCATGCTCCTCCGCCCACAAGTTGGTACTATTTCTCCTTTTCCCCGTTGATAGAAGTGTGCGACCCACTCTGCTTCAATATTTTTTCAACTCAGTTATCAGCCCTCTATTTATGTAAGATTTTTAGTTAATTTAGGATGTTCGTAACCAGACTAACGAGATCGAGTTTTTGATGGTTGTCAGTCATTCATCTATATTTTATCGTTAAATACTACCTTACTAATTTAGCATACGAAATACGATAGAAGATTTTTTTGATCGAACATCAGTACACTACGATTTTTTAATCCTTCCTTTTCTTTCTTCGAGGCAACAAACAATGGGGCACATTTGTCTACCTAAACTTTACTCTGTGTACCGACTTCTGACTAGGTGGTACGAATTAAAGAACTAGGAAGCAGTGTGACTGCTAGCCGCTAGGCGTTTCAACAAAAGCACCTGGGGGATCGGTTAGCATGCTAACCCTTCTAAGGGGTTGGAAAAATGATACCCCTATTAATTATAGTCATTTTTTGTATTAAATTCGTGTTTCATACTTTCATTTAATAATCTCTGGAAATTAAAAACTCATCTTAATTACATTCATTTTTTAACTAGCATTGTACCTGTATACTGAACTCATATTAATTACGTTCCTTTTTTGGAACTACCATTGCACTGATACATCTACCATTGCACAATACAACTACCATTGCACTGGAAAAAGGAAAGTAATTAATATGTATGTTAATTCATACAAATTATTAAATGTAACACAAATTAATTACCTTAAAAACCTATAATTAATATGAGGTGTAATTTTTCCAACCGGGTTTTCAAAGTTCAAATATTTGGATTGGTCTAGATTTTGGGTCGGAATTTGGACCAAAAGAAGACAAAAAAAGCCAAACTCAACGGGACCACCAGAGGAAGGGAAAGAGATGCGCTGGGGAAGGGAATTGTGCGCCACCCGCTCGCCTCAACCAACCCTTCCCTGCATGTGGCACACGCTCCAGGAATGCAGATCCTAGCAAATCCCTTTTAATTGCAAGTTTGCAACCAATCCCTTTTTTAATTGCATCTTACTTAAATTGTCTCATTCATTAATTAAACTTCCCAAATTAGAGATAAAAACAAATTAAACATTACATGTGTAATATTCAAGTCATTTCGATAAAATACGACACGTATATATGACAACTGTGTTAATTATTATATTTTCATTATTGATTATGTCATATTTACATATAATTTTTTTCCGAATTCAAAAAAAAATTTATCGAAATGTTCGTCTTAAATAATTATTAGTTTCTATATAGAAATAATGAACAAATTTTGTAATTGGAATGATGAAATCTACACTAAAATGGATTATGAGTTAAAGTCAAATGTTAGTATTTTGAACATTTGAAACTTCCCCCTAATGCAAAATCACTTTTGGAGGGGCTAGCATTTGAATTCTAACCCCAAATTTTAGAATTTTGGATCTATGCATTAAAAGATGGTCTTAGCCTCTTAGGAGTAGACATGCTATCTCATCCCAAGGACCTGCTATTCACTTCCAGCTCTATGGGCCTTTTCTATTAAGCCCGCCAACTTTTATTTCTCCTTTACTAAGCCCACTAACTACTAGAAACAAAACAGATAGCCCAGCCCACTCACAGACGCCTCCCTCCGGCTCGTGTCCTCTTCCGCAAACAGCCTCCGTCTCGACACAACTCTCACATCAGCTATCTGCTCTCCTCAATCTCCCAGGTCAGCCATATACCGCCACTGCTTCCCCGTTGTGATACTCAAACCCTTGGTTCCAGCCGGCCACGCGTGGTCGGATTTGTTCTTCGAGCGCTGTTAATCAGGAGGCGTGGGTACTGGTTTATTGATTGCGGTAAGGAATTTGCTTGGGAGACATTGAATTTGAGGTAATTTGATTTATCAGATTCATCTTCCTTTAGGGTTCGATATGCTTCTCTCGTCTTTTTTCTGCCCTTGGATATTGAACGGGCAAAATATGGATATCGGTGATACGTGAGCGGTACATGTGAAAATCGTAGAATTCCGGAAGCTTAGTTGGGTTCCTTTCCCACGTTTCTCAGCATAGTTCTTACGAGTTCTCTGTTCTTTCCCCTCGAAAGCGGGCTTGATTTGATTTGGTTTCTCTGGTTTTCTTTGTATAGAAAGCAAGCATACATCTTCTTCTGGTGCTTTTATGTTATGCTGTTTCATCGCTCCTTTCGGTCCTTTCCAATAAGTGTGAACATGGTTTTGCTTATTTTGCTGCTAATGCGAACCCTGAATGCGAACCCATAACCTATCTTTGCTGGGGTGGGATGAACAGTAAAGGTTCTTCCTAGTAATTAGTCATTCTTCGGTAGGGCAGATGGTTAATTAAGCTTTCTAAACTCAGGGCACCCGCACATGTCAGATGCATATGAATTGTATAGCAGGCAATTTTCTTCTTTTTGAATGTGCCCAGAGGGATCAGTCGATTAACAGAATCTAGTTCCTAGTTGGATACCATTACTTGTCATATGATGAGAGTTCCGTGGTAAAAGCCACATTGAGATTGAGCCATTAACTTCATACGAGTTCCCATTATCTATCCTGTGTTGATCTTCCTCTTGTAAATAAAACCTTTTAAGATTTACTTCGTACAAAGTTTGACTGGCTGCAACTATGACCCTATACAAGTCCATTATGTCTTCTTTATTGCAAAGAGATAGCCTTGAACATGTTAGAAGTCATTATTTCTTGGTTAAGTCAACCTTTTCCTCTTATGTAATGTGCAGTGCTTGCTTGCAAAACATTTGCATATACGTAACTGGGGAGCGAAAAACTGAAGCGAATTAGTGTTACTTATCTACTTGCTGATTTTGACTTGTAAGTCTAAGCATTCAGGTTTTTGGTTATAAATTTATGCTTGATTGATTATGGAGTTTCGAGATTCTTTCTTCTCATTGTTGATTATGCGTAACAAGTGTTCAACATATTAGTATCTGAATTTCGTTGAAAATCTATTTGTGGAAAATTGGATTCAGCCGGAGGATCAAATAAGGTTGATTCCAACTTTATGTTCATAGTTTAAAAGAATAGGTGGTTTGCTGATAACCAATAACCTTTAGAGGGAACTGCACTAGTCTGTGTTGGACACAATTTCTTTTATGTTACTGTATTTCGACGTCTAGAATTTCCACTTTCTTCCTGGATGGAAGTCTGCGGCATTTTGTTAACTTCTGTATTTCCCAGCCTGTAAGTTTGCCTATTTCCTTCAGGAATGCTGTTTTTGAATTTTCTTCTTTACCTGTGCTTCATTGGAACTATTAAATATATTTTATTTGTAATCATTGCAACACTTTGAACACTTCTTTGATGGGGATCTTCTCTCTCTCTCACAGAGTTAAGTTAGAAAATGGCACATAGATTACTGCGAGATGTTGAAGCTGATGGGTGGGAACGTTCAGACTTCCCTATAATCTGTGAGTCTTGTCTTGGTGACAACCCGTATGTCCGAATGGTATGATGCTTCTTTGCTTCAACATTAATATAGTTCTGGTATTTTATTGTTATGCTGTAAAATCAATTTATCTAAACCCTTGTTGGTTGTGTACTGATGTGCAGACAAAAGCGCAATTTGATAAAGAGTGCAAGATATGTACTCGTCCATTCACAGTTTTTAGGTGGAGGCCTGGCCGTGATGCAAGATATAAAAAAACTGAGATTTGCCAGACATGCTGTAAGTTGAAAAATGTCTGTCAAGTCTGCCTTCTGGATCTGGAGTATGGCTTGCCTGTGCAGGTTCGGGATACTGCCCTGAGCATCAATGCAAATGACTCTATTCCAAAGAGTGATGTAAACAGGGAGTTTTTTGCTGAGGAGCACGATCGCAAGGTAAATTTTGTTGCTCATAATCTTAGATGTTTGAAGCTGAGTCTGTTTGCAGTACTGCATCATAATCTTCAATCGTACTAGTCGCTTCTTTTTTCTATGATAGATGTGCCTTTTTTAATTTTAGTTGTGTTAATTTTGTTTGCCTTCATGAAATATGAGGCTTTTGTTTTTGTCTTGGTATCATCTATATTTTGCATCTCAAGTTATTAGTATAATGTGGCTGAACCAATTGCATTATTCTAACTTGAGTGTTGATATAAATTGTCGCAGGCCAGAGCTGGGATTGATTATGAATCTTCTTACGGGAAGGTTAGGCCAAACGACACTATTATGAAGCTTCAAAGAACTTCACCGTACTACAAAAGAAACCGAGCGCATGTGTGCAGTTTCTTCATCAGGGGTGAGTGCACACGTGGTGCCGAATGTCCTTACAGGCACGAAATGCCTGTAACTGGGGAGTTATCTCAGCAAAATATAAAAGATCGTTACTATGGGTAAGTACAGTTTCTTTCTGTGGCCTGTGGGGATCTGTGTTTCAAAGTAAACTGGTCCCTGGGAGCAGCTATTTTGTCTCTTTACTTCCGTAGTATGTATTGCAGTACTGGTATTCTTATCAGTTTATGCATTGGATCTCTACGCTGTTCTTATTATGTTTTTTCTATTATGTTTTCAGAGTTAATGATCCAGTGGCAATGAAACTACTTAACAAGGCTGGTGAAATGCCGTCACTGGAACCCCCTGAGGATGAAAGCATAAGAACTCTGTACGTTGGTGGGCTTGATGCCAGAATAACTGAGCAGGATCTAAGAGACAATTTCTATGCACATGGTGAGATTGAATCCGTAAAGATGGTCACTCAAAGAGCGATTGCGTTTGTGACATATACTTCTAGAGAAGGAGCAGAGAAGGCCGCGGAGGAACTGTCGAACAAGCTAGTAATCAAGGGTCTGAGGTTGAAGCTCATGTGGGGGAGGCCTCAGGCACCAAAACAGGATCATGATGTCTCAGAGGAAGCGAGGCAACAGGCGCTCATTGCTCATGGAGGAATGCTTCCTCGTGCTTTGGTATCCCAACAACAGAACCACCCGCCTGGTACTGCTGCTCCAGATCAGCCTCCTCAACCGATGCAGTACTTCAACATTCCACTTCCTCCACAGCAGCAAGAAAGAGCGTTCTACCCATCCATGGATCCCCAGAGAATGGGTGCTGTAGTTCCGTCACAGGATGGAGGCGCTTCAAGTAGTTCAGCAGGTGAGAACAACCCCGGTGGGGAGCAGCAACTGCAACCTCATCATCATTACCCTTATCAGGGAAGGGCTCGTCCTCCGCCGCCTCATGCCCCACACGGGCAGTTTCACCAGCAACACCATTATCCACCTCCTCCGTATGGGTATATGCAGCCACCGCCACAGCCACATCCACATCCACAGTATCAGCAGTATCCTCCGGCAGCAGGGTATCCGTCAGGAATGCCTCCACCACCGCAGCAGCCAAGCCAGCAATACCAACATTTTCCGGCTCCACCACCTCCAAGGCCTGCTGCAGCTCCAGAGTCATCGTCGTCATCAAGTGCACCTGCTCCTCAATCAAATCAGTGAAAGGTTTGGGTCTAGTTATGGATATTTGTCACAGCTGCAAGCTGTCTCTTGCTCTGATTGTGTGGTTATTTTACAGTCTGGATGTGAAAGTTTAGAAATGAAGGAAACCTAGACTAAACATGCTAAACAAGAACGATGGGGAAGGCTGTGGACGGTGTTGTGATTCACGATTTTTGCCTTATATATGCTGCCTTCGTCTGTGTTTACGGTAACGATTGATTTGAGATGCACACGATAATGTGTTTTCTTTATTCAGATAAGAAGAAACGAGCCACGCATACACAAAACATAACAGGAAATTAGAAAGAAACAACATACAACCAATAAGCTGCAAAACTCATGGTCAAAGTACGTCGTCTCTGGGGCATGCATGGTCCCGAGTACAGACTCTCCTTATTATTACAGTTACTTTTATCATACTCGTAAGCATGTATGATTATTTATGGCAAGGGTTCGATGACGAACTCAGAACCAGGCGGCTTGTCGACGGCCGAACTGGCAGCTGGTGGGCTCGGTCCTGCACTGCCCAGGGAGCGACTCCGCCACACGGAAGGCGGACTGCCTGTCCTGCTCGCGCATCTGGCTGCGCGGGATCTGTTGGATGGCCTGCTCCAGCCCCTGGCAGGTGCACTGCCTGTCCAGCTGCCTCAGCTGCTCGCAGCAGTCCTCGAAGTGCTCCTGTCCCGGCTGGTGCGGGTTGATGGCGAATTCGTCGTCTCGGCGGCCTCCGCCTCCCCCCTGCCTCTGGGCCTGCTGGATGATGTGCTGCTGGCAGTGCCACAGGTTCTGTTGCTGCTCGATCTGCTCCCTGCAATCCCCGCCCTGGCCGTGTTGTCCCCCCTTACCGCGCTGGTTGGAGAAGTCGTCGTCGATGATGACGGTGGTGCGGATGGTGGCCTCGGCGGCCACCAGGAAGAGGAGGAAAGCCGCCGCTGCGAGAGTAGGACTCAGCCTTGCCATTGTGCGAAACTGTTTGTTTGTTTGGATTGGATGAGAGTTGATTGCTGTGGGTTTAAGCGGCGGTGGGTTTTCGCGGAGGAGGTTTGGGGGGTTTATATAGTGGAGACGAGGGGTTTGCATGTGGAGTACGTGTTGGTGGAGGTGGGAGTAGGTTTGTGGATTATGGATGACACGTTGGTTTCTGTGGGTTTACACGTATTGCTGTACATGCATATGCGGCCATGTTTGTTGAAATGAATTGTTCAGTGGGTAGCAGGGATGGGTGCCAAATTGGAGCAGTGTACATATTTATCGTGACAAGTGGTCAACAATTCATATATTGCAGATGAGGCATCGATGATCATGGTGGTGGCCGCCTCGGTGGTTGCCACCTGGAGGAGCAAATTAGCCTCCGCTTCTACAGATTCAGAGAAGGTTATTCAGCATTGTCAATAATCAGTTGATTACATTAACTTGAAATAATTGGGAAAGATTCAATTATAGACGATGTATTATGACTAATTTCATCTGCTCAAACAGAAATCAATTTAGAAAAGGCTTGAAAGATTCACATATCCGAATACTATACTATGTGCTTAACGGAAAGAAAAGGCTTGAAAGATTCACATATCCAAATACTATAAACTATGTGCTTAACGGAACGGAACAAATTGAGTTATCGAGATTCAAACAGTTTGTAGAGAGCCGGCACTCCCTGGGTAGGTGTGAAAAATATTTCAGAAGGTTCTGTCAATCTAGGATCAATTATGTTCTCATCATCTATACTGATAAAAATTATCATATTCTTTTACACATACACTTCCATTAAAACAACTATCCATCCTGATTAAAATATCCAATACATCTTATGAAATTTATTAAATTGATCATTTAATAACAAGTTCAAATACTACTTACAAGAGATATTGATGAGTTGGAAAAAGAAAAGAAAAAAGGAAACAAACACAAAAATTATATCGATATGTTGGCAGCAGAACATTCAATATCGAAATATCATTTTGAACGGTCATCAAAACCGAATTGAGTAATGTGTTGGTCTAAATCTTTACCTTGAGTGTGTTCTACAATGAACTACTATTTTGTAACTATAATAATGTCTTAAGTATTATATTGTTAGACTATTTATTTCGGCGGGACGTCCAACTCATTCATTCGATAGCATAAAAAGTCTGGTTGCAGCCAATGTGGAGCTCAGTACGTCTGAGAGGTTCTACATACTTTTCGTTGATAATTAATTTTGCTTTAGTTAAATAGTGAACACTAGGACAGATAAATAGATTAAGACACACTAATCAGCCGGAATTAATTCGAAACAACACACGATAGTGTGTTTTCTTTATTATTTATTATTATTCAATAACAAAAACTAGAGAGAGCCCCTTCCGTTACATACAAAGTAAACGGAACTCTGCTTCGTACTATTTTTCCTTCTTAATTATTCTGATTTCTAGCCGTCGTGCTTAGGAAGAGATCATAGTTTTGGTTCACTCTAAAACCAGGCTGGAATCTGCTGTCGGCCGCCGCGGAACTGGCAGGAGCTGGGGGAAGCGTCGCACTTGCCGGGGAGGTTCTCCGCCATGCGCCACATGGTCTGCATCTCCTGCTGCTCCATCTGGCCAGCCATCTTCCTCATCATCTCGTTCATCGCCATCTCCAGCCCCTGGCACGTGCACTGCGACTCCATCTGCCTCAGGTCCTGGCAGCACTGCTCCTTCATCATCGGGTTCGCGGCGGCCGCCACCACCATCTCGACTCCGCGGCCTCCTCGCTGCTCGCGCATCATCTCCATCATGTACTCCTGGCAGTTCCTCAGGTTGTCGAACCGCTGCATCTCCTGGCTGCAGCCGCCACCGCGCTGGTTCGAGGCATCGACGTCCTCGTCCACAATCACGGTGGTGCGGATGGTGGCCTCGGTGGCCACCAGGAAGAGGAGGAATGCTGCCACTGCTAGGCTCAGTTTTGCCATTTTGTGACGGGAGGTGGTTAATTATATTGTTCGGTGCTATAATAATTGGATGAGATGGAGTGAAGTGTTTTAATTAAGGCGCGGTGGTGAGGGTTTTTTCCCCCCGCGGGGATGGTTTATATAGTGGAGGTGATGGGTTTGCATGAGGAGTACGTGTCGGTAGAGGTCAGAGCTGGGGTTGTGAAAGTTGGAAGATGGGCGACACGTTGGGTTTTGTGGGTTTACACGTATTGCTACACATGCAGACGTGGCCAAGTTTCTGTGATGACATGGACAGGTGGGCTGTTTTTTTTTTAATATTATTTCCCTCTTGGCTGTGTAAGTGTCCAAACCCACAAAGGCAAAAGGCAGTCAAGTGTTATTAAAGCAGAGCCGCGACCGGTAAAATCGCCACCCGGTTACAAAATCGACTTGGAACAATCTAAAAGCAGCTCTGGTTTTATGTAGCGGTTGACGAGCGGTCGAGGCGGTTAAACAGAAAGAACGGCCGAGGCGGTTAACCGTTCGAGCCGCTCTTCCGGGTTTAGCTATTCAGCTCTTCCGGGTTTAGCTATTCAGCCGTTAAATTTAATTAAAAAAATTGCAGAAAATTGAAATAAACCAAAAACGTCGGGTTCTCAAACTTAATCCTTATTTCCATTTCACAATTTAGTGAAGGTTCAAGACTAATGATATTATCTCTAGATAAAACCATTATTCGTGTCATTTTATAATTCTTATAAGATTGTTTATAAGAGGAGTAAGATAGAATGTTAGAACGTCAATTTTTTCATCTTCCAAAATATAATAAAATGAATTCATATGGCCGAAGATTATTAATACATTATTTTTACGGGGAAAAAAGAATGCAAATTAAAACGAATGAATGTAAGTTAAGATTTGATCAATGAACGGGTATTTAGTACCGGGGAAAAATCATTTCACGTCCATTTTGTGTTATAAAATGGTGATCCTTTCCCAGCATATTTCTATATATATATTCCTAAGTCCTACCTAATCTGAGCTGTAACCCGGATTCTTTGATCTACTTCTACTTTCCTCTAATTAATCAACGAAGCTTTAGTGTTGAGTGTTGACTTTCACGCATCATATATTGTTTATTTAATCAGTTGTCTCTTGTAATTAATGTTCCTTTCTTCTCAGTCTACCATTTCTTACTGACTCTTTGATTTTGGGCAGCTAGCTAGGTTTCTCCGTCACTGTTTCACCAGCAAGTCAAATCGCAAGCATTATCAAAGGTTGAACCACCGCCACCTAAACATCTAATTTTAAATCAGACAACCAAGCCAATCGGTTAAGCTGCTTACCAAAGATATATAAGTCGTGCATGATAGCGTTGTTTAACATGTTTAATGATTGATTAATCATTGTTTTCATATTTTCACAGAAACCTATAGAGTATAGACTATAGTTTATTGTTTTTAGTTCCGAGTTCGTTTGGGTTTCTGCGGTTAGCTCCATTAACTTTGGAGGCTCATATCGGGGCAGTATTGTGTTTGTTATTTTTACAGAGGTGCATTCTACTGTTTTTTTTCTAGGGACTTCTTATATGGTAATGAGGATCTGCTTGACCATTAGATTTAGTAATATTGAAGACGTGAAGAGAACCACCTTTTAAGGTGGATGGAATCATATGATAAGCATAAATGTATATAATTATATAAGTTCTTGATTTTTATGTGAAAAATTAAGAAAACATACTTTTTGAAAGAAGAAGAAAAAAAAAAGGAATATAAAACCGGATGAAAATTTGTATAGGAATTATTGATAGATAGATAATGGGTTCCACTAACTAGCAACTAAATCGTGTTCATGAATTAGGAATGAAACATACATATGCATGATCAAATATTAGGGAATAATGAAGTATACAAAACAAAAGAAAAATAAGACTCATGACCCCAATGCTCCCCCACAAGAAGCAATTAAGTTGAGACAAACTAGCCAGAAATCAAATCGAATTTTGTGGTGAGCCCCACGAATTCCATTTTATGAGCTGGCGGTAATACGTACCAGACCAGTTACATTAACAACACCGGCCTGGTAGCTGTGACAAGACGACGCCATACCAGTCCAAATCATCCCATCAATGGCTTCGAGCTAAAGCCCAACTAATCAAGGCCCACGCCGGGGAAGAGAAGAGATGGGCCGTGGGGACTATACATACTAATCATTAAACTTTCCCACAATCATGATGTTATGTATATATAATAAATTAAATAACCCCTTTTCCTTCGTCTTCATTTCTTTCCCAATCTATTGGTTGGTTCCCTTCTACACACAGAAACGAAGCATATAGCAATCAAGTTCAAGGATGGCGTGCGTATTTAGTTTTCACATCAAGTGAAACCTAGAGAGAGAGAGAGAGAGAGAGAGAATGGCACCCATCACCACCTTGTTCCTCTGTCTGTGCTCATGTTTAGACTTTCTCATCAACAACCCATCACCACCGTGGCTACTCCAACTCCATCACCACTCCTCCTCCTCCTTGTCTTCTTCTTCTTCTTCTGATGATGATGATCAGCGGCGGCAAGTCTCGCCGGCGGCGCCGCTCACCCTTGCTGCCGTGGGAGTGGGATACGTTTTTCCTGATGTTTATTGATCTTCGCCACACACGCACACATACATGTATATTTGAGACTTCTTTCTTCTTCTTCTTCTTTTTTTTTTTTGTGGTAGAAAGACTTCTTTCTTCAAGCTACGTACGTTACGTGCTAGTTCTTGATCGGCCGTCAGCGGCAGGCCGGCATGAGGTGATCGATTGCAGTTCGCAGCCTTATGATAGCTTCTCTGATGCATCTCCAATGGCAGGCAACATTATTAGTTCTGATGGCTGGCTGGGGAAGAAAGACGCAGTTCTTCTGTTCATCGGGTTGAACAGAAGAACTGTCTTTTCTTTTGTCTCCCGGCCGTACCAACACACGAGTCGACCCGGACCCGGTGAAGAAAGCGGGTTTCACACACTCATCGGGTTGGCCCGCGATAAGATTTCCGGACTGGATGTCAAACAACAATATCATTTCTCTTTAATTTACCCGTTGTGCCTATTTTTCGGTTTTAATCCATTTTCTTTATAGGGTGATCCAAGTACAGACTATTATTTTTTTATGTAATGTTATATGTTGTTATTCATATGTAGACGATATTTGATATATAATTTATCAATGTATGAATAATAGAATGATATTTTCTTTTATCCATGCTAAACTGATCGGCTAAAAACCTAAGACGATCGAACCATTAATCCTCAACTTACTTACTCGACCAGTCGACCGGACCAACGGTCTAAAATGAATCAACAATCTGGATCACTTGTACATCTATATGTCAATTACCCATTTACATGAGTTTGTTGTTGTTGTTGTTATGTTTCTTATTCTACCAATATATAAAAAATCGTTATCACTCGTACATACATCTGCATGTCAATTTGTTTCGTTAAGTTTGATAGACATTTGTGAGAAGAGAGTTATTTTGAACCGATGCACTGTGAGTACTCTCGTTATCAAAATAAATGAATAGATTGAAAGTAGTTGTAGATATAGTTGAGGTTATAAGAGCTCTACGTGACCCACTTATTAAAATATAGTTGTGATCAAATAAATTGAGGCTGAATAAAAGTTTGAAAATGTAGGCAATTGATTTGGTTCATTAACTTTCATTTTTTCACACCTTGCCTTTGTCGATCTAGCCCCCCCCCCCCCCCCCCCCCCCCCCACCCCAAAAAAAAAATGTAGGCAAAATTCCTTTCTCTGTTATTATCATTATGTTATTAACTAAGTAAAGCAACCAAAAAAATGGAAACGAAAAGCTCTAGTGGTGACAATGCTTCGTCAGACTTTTGAGTTAACAAATCGTTAAAGCTTGCTGATTATCAGCTTTTGTCTGTCATGTTAATATTGGAGTTTTTCTTATCCCGGTGTAAATATAGGAGTTAGTAAAGCAAATAAACGACGGTCAATATTTTTCTATGGATGATATAAGTTTTATTATTTTTCTATGGATGATATAAGTTTTATTATTTGTTTTTTTTAACAATTCAAATTATTGAAACGCAAATTTTTGTGATATAGTATTAGGACGTTTTTTCATATTAACAATAAAATTCAGAACTCAACTAATTCAATTTTTTTTGCAAGAAAATAAACCCAATAAAAGAGAACAAGATTCTATCCATTAAATATTACTGAAAATGTGGTTATATAGCTATACTTAACTTTGTGTTATACTATATACACTCATATTTCCCAACATATTTTTACTCATATATTCCTACCAAATCTGATTTGAAACCCGGATTTCTTCATCTACTCACTCTAATCAACGAAGCTGAAGTGGTTGACTTAGACGCCTTATTGTTTATTTAATTAGTTGTTTCAAAATAATTAAGTGTTCCTTCCTTTCCAGTTTGGTGTACTTGTTCTACCATTTCCAAATTCTAGTTTAACTAGTAACTAAATTAATTTTTAGACTAGGAATAAATTCATTAGTTTAACTAGAAACTAAATTTAAAGTGTAGATGTGACACTTTGAATTCAACACATTAATCTAATCTACTTACTAAAAAATTTGAACTAATCAAATCCAAATGGATAGTATCGGATATAAGGGTTGTTGGAAAATTACAGTTTATTATCTATATCTTTAAAATTGTATAATTTGGTACCTTTTTTCATTGAAAAATATTCTTTAAATTTTATATTATGATATCTATCATTTTAATGACAATTTTGCAAACAAAATTTTCTCATATTAATCCAATATTTAAATATCATTTGGATCCATAAATCCAACCCACAAATCAATTTAATTCAATCCCCCACAAATCCACTGAATTTACGAATCCATTGATCAGCGGTGCTGAATAGAGTAAGGCCCTTGACGCTGATGGTGTTAGGTCCGATTTTCGTCCGGAAAAGGTAAAAGTGGTGAGCTCGGGGACCAGCCTTAAAAACAACGGCCTGGTAGCTGGACAAGACGACATCAGCCCAAATACTCATTAATTGTTGCTTTCAGAAGCAAAAAAATAAAAATAAAGCTAAGGCCCCGGCCTGAGGAGAAGCAGATATGGTTGGGGACTACTAAATTACTAATCAAGAACTTTCCTATAAGAAAAAATAAAAATGTAATTCCCTTTTATTTCTTTCCCATTTTGCTGCTTCCCTTTTATAATTGTGTTTATTCTTTTCTGGGTTGCTTCGGAGACGCAACACAATCAAGGATGGCGTGCGTATATAGTTTTCAGTTTCAGAGCAAGTGAAACCTTGAAAGTGAGAGACAGAGTATAGGCATATTTATATCGAAACTCCCACAGAAGAAGCAACGGGAAAATTAGATCAGGCCCAAACCCAGAAAGAAAGAAAGAAAGTAAAGGGAAGAAGAAAGAATGGCACCCATCACCACCTTCTTCCTCTGTCTCTGTTCGTGTCTAGACCTTCTGATCAACCCATCACCTTGGCTCCTCCAACTCCATCACCACACCACCTTGATCTCTTCTCCTTCTTCTTCTGATCAGCGGCAACCCTCACCGGCGTCGCCGCTCACCCTTTCCGCTGTCGGAATGGGATACATTTTTCCGGATGTTTATTGATATTCAATTGGGTTCTTTTGGATTGCGATCCAGTTTCTTTCTTCAAAGGTACGTGCCAGCTGGAAATGCTACTGATCGTCGTCAGCCTCGATCTTGAGGTTAATTATATTGCAGTTGGCAGCTGATGGCCGGCTGGCTGGCTGGGGAAGAAGACTCTTTTTCTTTTCTTCATCCAAGGGCCCATAAACCCCCAAAAAAATCGTCCCTTTTAATTTTTAGGAAAATGGAGCACATATACAATTTTTAGTCTCTTTTTCTTTTGTCCCCGACTCCTTAGTGGTGGAGTTTCCTGTGGAACTATATTGTGATTGACGAGGAAGTTGTACTAGTTAATTACTATGTTCAATTGGAGTTTGAGTACTTTGTATTGCCTTGAGTTACAATTGGATGGGATTTTGTTCAATTTCAATTTTGTCCTGTTTCTTTAGCCTTCTATTTTTTTTTTTTAGTCACTTGTATATGTATATGTCAATTATGAGTTTGTCACACACTCGCGAGACTATAATTATTTTGGATAGATGTTCTATGAACCTTATTTTTAAAATAAATTAAAAAAAACGAAAGATTGCATTTGAGGTGATAACAATCCTATGTAATCTTTTGTCTTTAAGAGGAAAATCGTGAAAAATGTTGAACCTCGGCCCCCTAAAAGTACCTGGTAAATCAAGAGGAGGAATTTATTCCATCAAACAACCCTGCCGCGGCAATAGCCAAAAGGGGCAACACATTTACCGAAACAGAGTTACACATCAAATAAATTGAAGTTGAGTAAAAGTTTGAAAATGTGGCAAATTTGGTTCAACAAATTACACTTTTGGCACCTTGGCTTTGTCGATCGAAGGCTTCACAGTCATAGTAGGAATACCGAATACAGTACATGATAAAAGTTACAGGGGTGATGAGAAAATTAACAATAGATAAAACGAGAAGGCAAAAGAAAGAAATGAAAAGAAGATAAGATAATTAGATAAGAAATTAGAGAATTAAACTACCTTAAGTTGACTGTCGTGAAATCAAACAGATATACTTGCTATATATTTATGATTAAATTATGAAATAGAAGAAAAGGTCACAACGTATAAATTATCTGAAAAATATGAGTAGTTTCAATTAATTTTTGTGGATAAGAAATACACATTTTTTATGATGTAATATTATTATTTTTAAGGTATTAAATGAATATTCTCAAGGGAAATATCTGGTGTTTATAGATATTGAAGTTGCGTGCTTAGAATCTTTTCGCTTGTAGTACAAGCAAGCTTCCCCTTTCTTTGGGATCAAGTTATTAACCAAGTAAAGCAACAACAAAACAAAACAAAACACAAAAAGAAGGCGCTAGTGATATTTTGTCAGACTTTGAATCAGCCAATCACTTAACCTTCCTGATATATTAACATTTTAACAGTAGCGGTAGTCTGTCTTTTCTTATTATAATCACTGTAGCTATAGTCTGCCATGTCAGTTTTAGTGTAAATATAGGACTAGAGTTAGTAAAACAATAAAGTTTCATGTCTGACTGATTTTTTTTTGTGATGATGTTTAATATTAACAATTGATTAAAACTGCAAAGTAATTTTTTTCGGTCAATAACTGCAAAGTTCTCTTGTCAAAAAAAAAAAAAGAAAAAAAAAACTGCAAAGTAATTGCAATGAACAATTATAGTTAAAGTTGATGTGATATGAAAGTAAAAAACTATCATTATAATTTCAGAACCAATGGTTAAATTTCAAATAATATTTTCATTGGGTGTGGTTTTTAATTTTTAATATTTCGAGTGTGAAAAGAATAATGCACATATCTAAATTAATCGGGTAATTTAAGAGTAATATAAATATTTGTGTGCTTCTCTAATTTTGGCACCAATAAATATTTTATTCATAATGTAGCCCGATTAGACCTAAGTGATGACGCATCTTTCACGGTTCAAGTTTAAACTCATTCTAAAGACATCCTTCCCAGCCTTCGTACTATTCTCTTTGGGGTAATTGCAATAATTCAGGGTTCGATTTCTTAGAGAATCTTATAATGTCCAAGTTAGTAACTGACTAAAACTTGTTCACGAGTGGTATTTAATCCATTATCGAACTTCTCCAAACAACTCTAATAGTTGAAATCAATTGGTTTTTGACATAGTATCATAGTTTACTGTGACTGGGAGGTATTGCGATCGGATCCCCACGGCCAACATCTGTTAAACACATGATATTCGGACATGTCCAAACTTTATGCCCTTATGAGTGATATTCTTTAGAAGAAGCGTGTTATTATGTTGTATAAGATCTATTATTGAACATCTTCCAACAACTCGACTTATTGAGATCAACTGGCCCTTGACATAGTATCAGAATATTTTGTGGTTAAGACGTCATGTATTCGAATCCGACGATCCCTATTTATGAAGCACATATAATTCTCGTACCGACTTATCGAGATAAACTCATTCTTCGCATGATATCACACCTTCTATGATTGAAACATCATGCACAAATGAAAGATGTTTGTGGGGGTGAGTTAACGATTTTGCAAATGGAAGACTTGTATCGTAAAAGTCCACACCGTTGACTGGAGTAAATCCCTTGGTTGGCCTTATACCACTCAGCGTTACCGTTTGGTCGATACTTGATCTTGGCTTTCGTAATACTCAAACCTCTATTATTTCTCTTCAAACTAAATCTAATCCCCAGATTTCTTGACCATCCTCTTCCTTCCGCTGCGGCCAGAGTTGGGGAAAGAGGGGAAAGAAAGACAGTAAGCAAGGGGAGTTTGGGCAGACGCTGAGAATTCCGATATGCATCTATGGCCTTCAATCAAGCTGAGAGACTCGTTCAGCATCGACTATATCCGGCGGCTGGACTGGAACCTCCACCGGATGAAAATCGACAAGAAAAACAAGCAGCGTCTCCTGGACGATGGCGGTGACCAGGAGAGCGGCGCCACTGGAGAGGAAGGAGTAGAAGAAGGTTCCAGTTCAAAGAATGGGTTCGCCGAAAGAGCTGCTTTCGTATGCAGAGAGATCTTCCTGGTCCTCTCATGCTGCTACTGCTGTTTCTGTTGTGGAGGTTAGTTTCATTACTGTTTTGGGTTTTCTCGCAAGTTTGAATTCGGTTGGTTCGTGGGTTTCTGGTTTCTGCTTGGTATAGTTGGAAGCTTTGATCAGGCAATAGAACCCTTTTCTGGCCTACTGTTTGGTGTCTAGTTACTTTCTGCCCTTTTGGGGTGGATGGATTTCCGCACTTAGCCTTTCTTTGCAGCACTTTCCGAGAAGTTCTATATTTGTGTAACTGCATTTGGAACGATTGTAAATATATGAAAGACAGTGGTGAATCTATAGGTATTCTGTCCAAGAGCTTGAAAGAGCTCGCCTAACATCTATAGGCAATAAGAAACAAGACACATTCATAATACCATTTATTGCAAGTCTGGAGTCTATAGACTGTAGTTTTGATCTGATACATCTTAGAAGACAAGTTTCCGTTACTCAGTCTTAAGTGGTGCCCAATTCTCGACTACCAAAATTAGGATTCATTGTTTTCTTATGGGCCATCTTAACTGCTCTTATAATGACAAACAGGACCTGTTTATTCATCTCGGTGAAAGGTTAGCCTTAGTTTGTTATGTTGCAGCTAGCTGCGAACAAGGTGCCCTCTCTGGATAGAGCACTGCAGTGTAGCAGTTTCTTCTCGTTCCTCATATTATGAACATTTGTAGGAGATGTTTGTGATTGCAATCATCGATCGAGAACCTGAGTTTGCAGGATTACTGTTGCCTGATGCAGTTTGTTGTTGTTGTTTACACTTACTGCCCCAGAAATGAATGAGACTTTTCATTTTTCTATTGAAAGTTGGAATGGAATTGCATTTTTCTACTTCTGGGCTGATAAATCCCACCATTTGGCTTTCCAGCTTGTGTGGATTGAGACGTAGTCCTGAAGTTGCGCAAGGGATTGAGCCATCCACCTCCTAAGACAAAGTCAGATTCCTAATACTAGTAGTCCATGTCCCGTGAGCACAAATGAAGTTGATTACATGTTTTTTAGGCTTAGTTTCAACGACCGTTCTTCGTATGCTGGGAACATGAAGGCATAGTTTCCGCCATTGCTGAAATGACCTCAGGGGTTGATAGGTAGATTTGCAGACTAGCTACATTGATGTTTGTTAGTTTGAGGTAGTGTTATTGTAATAGCATTTTGTATATGCACACAAGTGGTGCATTTGAAAATTATGGGAAATAAATCTTCTGTGGGAAGCACTCTACTGGTGAATGTATGCAGACTCGTTACAGTTACTTTAGCTATTGAATCGGGAGATTGTGTCAGTTAGCCTGAAAATGAGATCAGTGCATAACTCCATTTGACTAATTATGTTGTATAACACCTTTAGTGAGATTACAGAGACAAAATGAGTATCAGTTAGCCTGCAAAAATCCATGGTGTAGCTCCAAAAATGGGTATCCAGTTGCTCCTAAAGAACAAAATGTATGTAGACTGGGTGGAGGTGGTGATTACAGAAACAAACGCTAGCTCTTGGCGCAGAGGTAGGCCGGCAGCAAGTTCAGTAGTAGAATCTCGTTCGGCTTTTGCCTCCTTGGAATGCAAGAAATCTAATAAATCTTTCATTCTCTGCTCTATTGATTACAGGATAACAAAAATGACAGCCACAGCATTTCTTGTTGTGGCGGGAAGATAGACGACCACTGCAAACGAGGCCGCAGAGAATTGAAACTCCACCGTGATAAATAGTCCATAGCCCTGCCGACTCCCGACGCTCATCTCACCTCACAGACGAAGCCTCGACAATGGCGGAGACCACCGCCGCTGTTCAGCACCCGATTTCCGACTCCAACGAACAGAGTCCCTTCGGGAAATTCACCCCATCGGAATTCTACGCCAAGCACGGCGTCTCCCACCAGGCAGAGCACCGAACCAACTCCCGCGGCTTCAACCTATTCACCCAGTGGTGGTCCCCGCTCGCTCCGGCCGAGAAAATCGGCTGCATCGCCATGGTCCACGGCTTCATCGGCGAGTCCAGCTGGCTCCTCGAGCTCACCTCCATCTTCTTCGCCAAGCACGGCTTCCTCGTCTGCGCCATCGACCACCAGGGCCACGGCTTCTCCGACTCCCTCGACGGCTTCATCCACCACATGCCGGACATCAACCCCGTCGTCGACGACTGCATCGACTTATTCACCGACTTCCGCGCGTCCCACGCGCCAGGCCTCCCTGCCTTCCTCTACTCGGAGTCCCTGGGCGGTGCCATCGCCCTGTTGGTGACGCTCAAGCAGCAGAAGGGCGCGTGGGATGGGCTGATCCTGAACGCCGCCATGTGTGGGCTCACCCCCAAGTTCAATCCCTCCTGGCCTCTGGAGCGCCTGCTTTCCGCCGTAGCGGCCGTGATACCGACGTGGCGCGTCGTCCCCACGGGAGCGACGTCCCCGGACGTCTCGTACAAGGTGGAGTGGAAGCGGAAGCTGGCGATGGCGAGCCCACGGTGGAGCGGGGCGAGGCCCCGCACGGCGACGGTGCTGGAGCTGCTCAGGGTGTGCATGGAATTGCAGGGGCGGTTCGAGGAAGTGGAGGTGCCGCTGCTGATCTCGCACGGCGGCGATGATGTTGTGTGCGATCCGGCGTGCGTGGAAGAGCTCTACCGCCGCGCCTCCAGCAAGGACAAGACGTTGAAGATATATCCAGGGTTGTGGCACCATATGGTTGGGGAAGAGGAAGAAAGCGTCAATTTGGTGTTCGGAGATATGATCGCCTGGCTCAAAGCTAGAGTGGACTCAAAATCAGATTAACACAATGCTTAAACATACCCAATAAGCAAAATAATCAAATTCGCAATTCTAACATATCCGGGATCTGTAAAAAAAAATAAGTGAAAAAGTGAAATGAATAAGTTTGGCGAATGTAACATCTCAAAATGCCTACACTACAAGTTTGGGTTAATTACATGATTGGTCATTGGGACTACAAAAAACGTTCATATTTGGTCACTGGAAATATTTAAATTCATTGATGGTCACTAATTTTAGTGAAAATGTTCACGTTTGTTCACTCTCCGTTAGTCTCCGTCCATCTCCGTAAACAGGCTCCGTTAAGTGTTGACGTGGCAGATGGAATTGTCTAATCAGCCCTATTTAGCCCAAAAATAGTAAGACCCGACCCACCACATCACTAAGACCCGCCATGACATCTGGACCAACCCAACCCTCTAACCAAACCTGACCTGTAAACCGACCCATACAAATTAAGTCCCTAAATCTAAAAAAGATCCACTTATCCCCTTCTTCGATTGTGCCTCCTTCCTCCCAACTTTCTTCCTCTTCCCCTTTGTTCGATTATTCACCTGATAAACGCCAGGATCCTCCCTTAACGTTTTTCTCACTCCTTCCTTCACTCATTTCTGGACGAATCGGGATGGAGAAAAAGGAAAGGCGACAATCCACAATAAGATCCAGATCTGAGACCCCAATCAGACGATTGGATCTTAGGCGGTGGCGCCCTAATGCACTAGAACCGCAAGCAGCAACACATGGCCATCAGCGGGGGTCGCAGAGGAGACGAAAGACAATGTTGAACAGTGACGAAGAAATTCGGGCTGCAAAGTTTCCGAAAGGAGTGACATCAGGAGACATGCTAGTCGGCGGGGGCAGTGGGAGGAGCCGGGGGAGAAGCAACAAGAGGTGTGGTCTTCATCCGTAAATAGATCTTTTCTAGCTCTTTCCCAATCTCAACTATTAACTCCAATAAATTAGAGAGCCTCTCTCCCTTCTGCTCCGCCTTGGAGATAGTGAATTTGGATGTTGTGGACTGTTGCGCCGACGGTAGCTAGTGGGTGGGAGGTGGGATTTTTGGGCCTCCGTTGAAGTTGAAAATCAGAGGTGCCTCTGCCTCACTATACCTTCCTCCAAGCTTCCCTTGTCTCAATTTATCCTTACCATTCATAAGTAGTCAATTCTCTGCTCCTTATTTTTTTTCCACCTCGTTCCTAGCTTGGATTGGATTCTCCTTCCTCTATTGTCTTTCTTCATCCCACCTAGAAGCTCACAGGTCGGGTCTTAGTGACGTAATTTGAAGCTGGTGGGGTTTCCGAATCCGTTTAGGGAGGATCGTGGAGAAGAGGAAGAAATTCTGGAGGAAGGAGGCACGATCGAAGAAAGGGATAAGTGGATATGTTGTAGATTTAGGGATTTAATTTGTGTGGGTCGGTTCACAGGTCAGGTTTGGTTAGAGGGTTGGGTTGGTTCTGATGACATGGCATGGTTTAGTGACGTGGCGTGGGTCTCACTATTTTCTGGTTAAATAGGGCTTATTAGACGATTTTGTCCCCCACGTCAGCACTTAACGGAGTCTGTTAACGGAGATAGAAGGAGACTAACGGAGAGTGATCAAACGTGAACATTTTCACTAAAATTAGTGACCACCAATGGATTTAAATATTTTCAGTGATCAAATATAAACGTTTTTTGTAATCTCGGTGACCAACCATGCAATTAACCCCTACAAGTTTCATCATTTTATCTGGATGTCCCCGAAGGGGCCTACAAGTTTCATCATCATATGTGTGAATTGTGATCACCCACATTTTTCGCTTGTGAACACAAGAATCGACGGTTCTATGCGAGTTTGAGTTATAATAGACTTTATCATCAAAGATTAGATCAAGCAGGTAATTTTCTCAAAAACATGAACTTATGGATAAAAAAATAGACAAAGAGAACGAAAAAGGCACACACTTGGCCCCTATCACTTTCTTGATATGTAATGAGATAAAGGTAATATCTTCATTCATGGAATTTTAATGAAGGTGGAGAGATTTTGAGAATCTCGATAATAACTTCTACAATGATGAAGATCCTCCTTTTTGTCGTAAAAATTTCCCACGAGTTAATTAAGTTGACAGACAGCTTCATCCTCTAGCTAATAGATATATCCAAGTTTTACGAGTTAGATGTAATGTTGGTAGAAAACTGTATGTGTTTCGTTCGAGATAAACGGTTGTCAAGAGCAACAACTCTGTGGAGGAGAGCAACGAGGAGGATGCGGTCTGTCACCTAGTAGGGTAAGTAGAGGGAAATTAGTGGATAAATATATTTGTGGTTAAATAACCAATCTATGTGTGGCAGTTGGGATAATTATAATCGAATTTGAAGTGTGTGGTCGGAAGACTATTCAAATGAACAATAATAATCAACTCGACTACAATCAATATAATAAAATCATTTAATCAATTTATCACCATAATCCGAATGAAATATGGGAATCTAAGAGGTACATTGATGCCGGTGAATACTAGGTCCATCAAGATTGTTTAATGCTTTTTGTTGTTGTTAAATTTAGTTGTCATACCTATCCCTAAACAATACATGTATTATTCTATAGTTTGGAACTTCTAAAAGTTATATTATGGACAATTCATTGACAACTGTTTCTACGTTCTTGCCCCTCCATGTTTTCGTTCTAACTTCTAACCCTTTGCTAGAAAATGAATGATGATATGTAAAAGAGGAAGGGAATCTCCATATTTATTTCATTTAGGTGCCCAAATCTCTTTATCATATTTAGCATTCAATTCAATGCAAGGAATCGTCATCGAGTAGATCAAGCTAATTAATTCTCTTCGTTGCTTTCTGCTCTATTATTAAAAGAGCATTTCTTGTTGCAGCACCAAGATGGATGAAAACGAAATTAAGACCGAAATAAATACGCCCTGGCCCTGCCAACTGCCACCGCTCATCTCACCCAACTGCAAAAAAAGCCCACTAAAAGGCCCATCCATCACTCTCTCTCTCACTCTCACTCTCACACTCTTCTCGCCCGCCTCATCCCCCTCTCACCCAATTCGTACTCTCTCCTCCTCGTTCTCTCCGCCCCGCCTCCACAATGGCGGAGACCACCACCGCCGCGGTTCAGCACCCGATTTCCGACTCCAACGACCAGAGCCCCTTCGGAAAATTCACCCCATCCGAATTCTACGCCAAGCACGGCGTCTCCCACCACTCGGAGCACAGGACCAACTCCCGCGGCTTCAATCTCTTCACCCAGTGGTGGTCCCCGCTCCCTCCCGCCGACAAAATCGGATTCATCGCCGTCGTCCACGGCTTCACCGGCGAGTCCAGCTGGTTCCTCCAGCTCACCTCCATCCTCTTCGCCAAGCACGGCTTCCTCGTCTGCGCCATCGACCACCAGGGCCACGGCTTCTCCGACGCCCTCGACGGCCTCATTCACCACATGCCGGACATCAACCCCATCGTCGACGACTGCATCGACTTCTTCGCCGACTTCCGCGCGTCCCACGCGCCGGGCCTCCCGGCCTTCCTCTACTCGGAGTCCCTCGGCGGCGCCATCGCGCTGTACGTCACGCTCAAGCAGAAGCAGAAGGGCGCGTGGGACGGGCTGATCCTCAACGGCGCCATGTGCGGGATCAGCCCCAAGTTCAAGCCCCCCTGGCCGCTCGAGCACCTCCTCTTCGCCGTCGCCGCCGTGGTTCCCACCTGGCGCGTCGTCCCCACGCGCGGGACGATCCCGGATGTCTCTTTCAAGGTGGAGTGGAAGCGGAAGCTGGCGATGGCGAGCCCGCGGCGGAGCGTGGCGAGGCCACGCGCGGCTACCGCGCTGGAGCTTCTCAGGGTGTGCAAGGACTTGCAGGGGAGGTTCGAGGAAGTGGATCTGCCGCTGCTGATCTCGCACGGCGGCGACGACGTGGTGTGCGACCCCGCGTGCGTGGAAGAGCTCTACCGCCGCGCCTCCAGCAAGGATAAGACGTTGAAGATATACCCGGGGTTGTGGCACCAGATGGTTGGGGAAGAGGAAGAGCAAGTCAATCTAGTGTTCGGAGATATGATCGCCTGGCTGAAAGCCAGAGTGGAACGCAGCAAGGGGAATTGAGTTGTCAGTACTCGCCGGCAGCATCGAGGGAACATCCCGGCGGCGACGGAGGTGAAGGGGATCGGCGATTTAGTCTTTCTGAATGAATAAGCCATGGGTACATAAGTTATGGTTGGAGATTGCTTGAATCTGCCTGATTTAGTGTCCAGCTTCACTGTTGAATGATGTAGTTGTAAGCACCTATTCGATATCTGTAGTGTATGTGTGTAAACTTGGACGAAATAAACAACGTGCTTAAGTCTATCCAATCGACGTAGTAATCCGATACCTAAAGTAGTCAAATGAATCAGATTGACGAAGGAATTTGGATCCGGTCTTCAGTCCTCACTGACGGAGTCTCAGGATGGCGTTTATGAATGCAAATTGGAAGGTGAACTGATGGAAGAAATGAATTTAGTCCTCTTCAGGGAAACCTGTAGAGTAGAGATTGGAAGGATTTTGTAGAAAGACACGAAGCTGAAGAAGGCCTTGGCATAGAAGTTTCACTGAATATTGTATTTGGTGAGAGTCTGAGAGACATTACTGAAACTGAAAATCATATGGCGAGGAGCTTTGAAATGGGATGAAGATTTTTATTCATCTCAGTGTATAGAGATTGCAGTAAAGGACATATTTGTATGGTTTTCCTGAGGGAAACCTGTAAGGGTTGGCCGGATGAGATAGATGGTTAAGGCTATGAGGATTTCCGTAAGGAAGGGATCTTCTGATTGCTTGTCTCAGAGGTCATTAGAGAAGCTAATGAAATCTGCAGACAGAAAGGCCAATGTGTTTCTGACCTGTTGATGATCACCATCATACTTGGAATTCAATGGGGTTAATAAAACTGAGATTACTAAAAATGTTCATGTTTGGTCACTATAAATATTTAATTCCATTCGTGGTCACTAAAATACATTTCAACAACTAGTGATTTGAAATACCTCCTAACAAAAGAGTGGACCTATTTGTAAAGTATTAAAAGTTTAGGTACTACAGTGTGAGGCAAAATATATAAAAGTATCAAAACGTAATTTTACCATCGAAATTTCAGGACCTCTTCGTAAAATTTTGAAAGTTCAGGTACTAAATTGTAAGAAAAAATAAATATGAGTACCAAACTGTAATTTACCAAAATTTGTAGTAAGTGACCAGAAAATTCAAAATTAAAATAAAAAATCATAAAATTTAAAATACAAACGAGTATCCAAACAACGAATTTGTATTACATGCATTTCAAATATATATATATATAGTGACTAATTAGTGTAATATGATGATATAACACATGATTAGGGATGGCAACAAAACCCGAACCCACGGGTACCCACCCGACCCAACCCGGTCAACGCGGGTGGCCGGGTTCGGGTTTAAACCCGCTACACTATTTACCGGGTCGGGTTGGGTTTGGGTTTAGGTAAACCCGCCCCATGGGTACCCGCCCACACATATAATTACTTTCCCGGTATATTTAATATTCTAAATAATATATCTTCGTTAAACAACTAATATTCTATATGTTTGTGGAGACATATATAATTTGTACGATTAATTTGTATGAGAAAATTGATTTTAAACTTTTATTTTGAAAGAAATTTGTTATTGTAAATTTTTACCACAAAAACCCACGCGTACCCATGAACCCGCGGATACCCAGCGGGTTGGGTTGGGTTTGAGTTTTTCAAACCCAACGGGTTTTACCCCAGGTTTTTTTGGCGGATAAACCCATGGGTTTGGGTTTGACAAAACCCGCCCCAACCCGACCCATTGCCATCCCTACATATGATAACAACTAATTAGCGGATTACCCTAAGCCCTAGACCTCCAATTTTGAGTTCTATCCCTAAACCAGAAATTGTAAACCCTAACCCTAACGCTAAATCTCTAAACTCTAAATCATTTAAATTAAAGTAAATCTTCAATGATTTTTGTGCAAATTCATGTGTGTTATTGTCCATCACATCGTAAGTGATGATTGACATCTTTTTGACATAAATCGCATGTTTAAAATGACGGTTATGAAGCGAGTGCACTGAATGCACCAAAAAAAGTGAGTGCACCGAAGACGCCACCATATATATATATATATATATATATATAATATATATATATATGGTGGCTACTTCGGTGCACTCACTTTTTTGGGTGCACTCAGTGCACTCACTTTTTTGGGTGCACTCAGTGCACCCAACTCTAAAAGCGTCCATAATACATCGATTTTGAACTTTAATTAGTACTCTCAATATAATATGATGATATGACATAGAATCATAACAAATCAATCCATTACCCTATCCCCTTAACCTTCAATTTTGAATCCCAACCCAAAATCCCAAATTGTAAACCTAAACCCTAACCCTAAATCCCTAATCCTAAATCCTTCGAATTAAAGTGAATTTGGAATGAATTTTTTTCAAATTTATGTGCTTCTTGTTCATAATATCATAAGCTACAATTGATACCGTTTTGATATGAATCGCATGCTCAGAATGATAATTATGAGGCGGGTGCACTGAGTGCACCCGAAAAAGTGGGTGCACCGAATACGCTACCATATATATATATATATATATATATATCAAATACTTTACATTTGTTCCTAAGAGGCAGATTTCTGACAACATTCTGATTTTGCAGGAATCGGTCCATAGCATGAGGAGCAAGAATGGAAGGAAAGGGTTGATGCTCCTCAAGATCGATCTTGCTAAAGCCTACGATCGAATTGACTGGAAGTTTCTGGAAAGCACATTTCGAGCTGCCGGCATCCCTGAGAGCTGCATTAGAATCATCATGGCGTGCGTCACTACGTGGAGATGCAGGTCTTATGGAACGGTGGAGAAACAGAAAGCTTCACCCCCGGCAGAGGTCTTCGGCAGGGATGTCCCCTTTCCCCTTACCTCTTTACTTTGTGTATTGAACGTCTTAGTCACTGCATAAATAGAGAGGTTAGGGATAAGAGATGGATTCCTATGAAGCTTTCTGCAAATGGGCCTCCACTATCTCATCTGTTCTTTGTAGATGACTTAGTGCTATTTGCGGAAGCAAGTACTAGACAGGCTAATTGCATTATGAACTGTTTGAACGCCTTCTGTGATGCCTCAGGGGAACTTATCAGCAAAGAGAAATCCAGAGTTTTCTTCTCTAAGAACACTAAGACTGAGATTAAAAATGATATATGTGCTAGGATGGGAATACAGGCAACCTCTGATCTTGGAAAGTACTTTGGGGTTCCTGTTCTACATGGTAGAATCAACAGGAATACTTATCGTTTTGTCCTGGATAAAATTGATCAGAAACTTACAGCTTGGAAGGCTAGGTCTTTGTCATTAGCAGGACGTGTCACCCTTGCCTTGTCTGTGTTGAATGCTATCCCTACCTATGCAATGCAAACCTCTCTTTTACCAGTCTCTGTGTGTGACGCTATTGACCGTAAAATCAGATGGTTTGTTTAGGGTTCACAAGAAGGGAAAAGGAAAACTCATTTGGTCTCGTGGGAAAATGTTTGTAAACCAAAGGACCAAGGTGGCCTTGGCCTGAGATCTGCTAGAAGTCTCAATATGTCATACATGATTAAGCTTTCCTGGACGATGTTTAACAATGAATCGTCTCTTTGGGTGCAGGTTCTGCAGGGGAAATATTTTAACAGTAAAGACGGCAAAATTGTCTCAATGAAGAAGAGCAACCACTCCCCACTCTGGAAGGCGATTTTGAAGGCTATGCCCCTGATGGAAAGAGCTGCCACTTGGAGCATTAGAGATGGGCGGTCAACAAATTTTTGGAAGCACCCCTGGCTCGAATGTGGTTTGATCCTCGAAGACCACTTGCTCAAGGACCTTTCAGAAGAGGAGATGGACTCCAGCGTTGCAGATTGGACCACACCAATAAATCAATGGGACTGGAGCAGGCTGAAGCCCCTGTTACCCAATGATGTGTGTATGTTGATTGCATGAGCGGAAGCACCCAAACCTGAGTTGGGGGAAGACAAAGCCATTTGGGGCATCGAAAGAGACGGAAGATTTCGATTGAGATCTGCCTATAAACTCGCTGCAGATGAGCTTGAAGATGAAGCTGACTCGGTGTGGAAGGACCTGTGGAGATGGAAAGGGCCACCACGAGTGAAGTATTTCCTCTGGCTCACCACGCACAATCGCCTCCTCACCAACAAGGAACGAGAGAAGAGAACCCTTACTGATGACAGCAGTTGTCCACACTGCAGAGGTGTGGATGAAACTCCTGAACACATTCTCCGACAATGCAAAAAAACTAAGGGCATTAGGGAGTTCTTCAAAATTGAGACTTACCAAGATCAACATGATGATTTCAAGAGTTGGCTCCTTAAGAATCTTAATGATGTCGACAAAGGGAGCGACTTCGGCATTATCTGCTGGCACTTGTGGAAGCAAAGGAACGAAGAGGCTATGGAAGGAAGACCCTACTCAGAGGCAAGTCTTCTACAATGAATACTCTCCTGGTTCAACATCTACAACAAGGCTAAAGCTAATGAGGCCAGCATCACAGCAGCGTCAACAAGACGTCCTGTATACAAACATGTTTCATGGTGCCCGCCGGAAGAAAACTGGACGCAAGTCCAAACCGACGGATCTGTTCTTCAACCTACAAGCACTGCTGCGGCGGGAGGACTTATACGTGATCATCTAGGCCATTGTATGGGTGCTTTTGTTAGCAACCTGGGCGCATGTTCTATCACTAGTGCGGAACTCAGAGGAGCTGTGGAAGGCCTGACAATGGCATGGAATATGGGGCTCAAGAAGGTTCAACTGGGTCTTGACTCCACCACCGCTATCAATATCATCCAAAACTCTGAGGAGGAAGATCATAGACATGGTCTGCTTGCCAAACATATCTGTGACCTTTTGAATAGAGAATGGGATGTTAGAATTTCCCATGTCTTTAGGGAAAGTAATTTTGCAGCCGATTACTTAGCTAGTGTCGGGCATAAGTTTCCTTTTGGCACACATTCATTCGATGTGTGCGACCTGAAACTTTGCTATTGGCTCTCTTATGATGTAATGGGTATCTCCCATAATCGTTTAATCTATATGAATTAGGATGCTTCGCATCCACTTTCTACCAAAAAAAAAAGAAGAAATACATCTATCTAAACGAACTTTGTTTGTTGTAGAGCGATGATGGAGAGGACATTCGGATACTTGCAGAGGACGGCGGCGTTGATAGAGAGTGTTATAAACGACGCTCTGGGTCTCCCTCCAGGCCGCCTTCATCAATATAACAGCAACAGGCAGAGCGATAGGATGATAGCATACCGCTACTTCAAGGCCAATCATGTCGAGACCAAGAAAATGATCGGATCATGCCCACACAAGGACCCCAACCTTTTCACACTGTTGTTGCAGGATGATGTCGGAGGGCTTGAGTTCCTGCTCAACGACCACTGGATTCCTGTTTCTCCGGCCCCCATTCCCTCGTCATCAATGTCGGCGATGTCCTCCAGGTGCTAAGCAACAATGAATTCAAGAGCGTGGCGCACAGGGTGGTATCTCCGAGCTTGAAGGATCGCTATTCGTTGGCGTTCGGGTGTCAGATCGGCGAAAACAAATGGGTAGAGCCGTTTGCGGAGTTAACAAGCCAGATCAAGGCGGCGCCCAAGTTCAAGGGATTCTATCACCGTGAATTACTGCAACTGTTGGTGGCCAGTTATAAACCAACTCTGGAACCAAATGACACATTCACCCTTATGGACGTCGTTGTAAACAACTACGCTCTCCCACCATGAACTACGTACCCCAAATTGAGCTCTGGGCAAGCCTTTGTTGGTTGTTGGTCTTAATGTTCCAACTTAAAAGTAATTATGGATCACTAGAGTTAATCTAGTAAAGTTATTGTGCATCATATATATGCACTTTGGGTTGTTGTATTTGTATACCTTATATGTATCCTCTATGACTCTGGATCCTTGAAATACATGGTTTAGTATTGATAAGTAATACGTCTATTTGCTATTTATTTTTATCAAACATATGTCCCTTTATTATTATTTACCACTCAATCATACTCATGAAAGTAGTTATCAAACATGTCATTTTGTTAAAAATTTAATAAAAAAATCATCAACAAAGGCCGAACCGTGGTTCGTATGACTTGACATCGGTAAAATGGGAGAGGGAATGTCACTCGATTCTCCATTTATTTATCTAAGTCTCGTTAAAATAAAATTATTAGAGGAACACAAACCGTTAAAAATTAACATATTGGGTTCATTTTAGAAGGTTATAATATAAATATAACCCTATTGATAATCAACCTAGTTAATTCTCATATATGAGCAAATTAATCAACCTAGTTAAACACACAGGTGAAGTGCTTAATTATATTATCTCCCTTTTCAATTAATTAAAAAAATATCATAAATATAATACAATTAAAAATTAAAGAGGTAGCATCCGTCCCGTCCTAATGCAATTTAAGTTTAATAATTAATTAACAAAGTTCGAACGAACCAATAATATGATGCCAGCCATTGGCTGCAACCAAGTATAGAGTTATATATCGTCATAATAGCTTGTTTCCCCAACTAACCCTATTTATTGCATGCTGCAGTCAATAATTGCAGTTCCGGCCCTCTCACTACCAACCCATGTCGGTCTCCATCGTAAACGTGTTATCTTAGCAGTGTCCAGTCCAATCATCCCATATGCTAGCTGGCTAAGCTTCCTTTCTTCCAAGAGCTCGCCCGACTCCCTTCTTGCATATAAATACCAAGCCATTCATTCTGCAGTTCTTCACAAAAACGAGTACCAAAACAATCTAGCTTAATTGATTGGGTAGATAAGAAAACATGGCGGGGTTTAATCTACTGAGTGGAAAGCTGGAGGTACAATTCGCGATCAGGCTCCCAGCGAGCCAGCACCACGAAATCTTCAGCGCAAGGCCTCACCACGTCTCCAACATGGCTCCTGCCAAGGTCAGGAACTGTGCTGTCCATGAAGGTCATTTCGGCCAAAAGGGCACCATCATTGAGTGGGACTATGTACATGGTATATATGCCTACTTATTTTCAAACCAACTGGTTCCAATAACTCGAATCGCTAGTTAACCACCTCCTTAACAGAAACAATGGTTATTAATGAATTTGTATATTTTGATGATCGATCAGATGGGGAGAAGAAGCTAGCCAAGCAAATCGTAGAGGACATGGACGATGTGAATTTCTCGACCAGCTTCAAGATGATCGAAGGCGATCTTATGAAGGAGTACAAGGAGTTCATGATTGTGGTGAAGGCAACTCCAAAGTCGGAGAGCACCAGTCTCATCCACTGGACTCTGGAGTATGAGAAGCTGAGCGAGGACATCCCCGAGCCCTTCTCCCTTCTGCAATTCTTTGTTCATCTCAGCAAAGACATTGATGATCACCACGCCGAGAAAGAAGCCAAGTAATATGATCGCGACCCAACCTTCGGCCCTTCATCGATCGGGATCGGCCCAGCTATTAGCTACAATATGGGCTCCAACCTGGGGCCGTCCATTAAAAAAATTAAATAAAATGAAAAGAGTCGGGTCTGTTAGATATTCTGGCGGCCATGTGCTAGAAATAATTAATCGTTTGTGTCTGTGTTGTTATGTTTGTTACGTTTTATGGATTCACTGTATCCTTATCGCAATATGTCATGATGTGCTGAGGAATGGGGATGTACATGCACCAAAAAATAATGGTGAAGGCGGATTGCATGCGATGGCAGAGCCATAAATTTTAAATAACAGTGAAGGTGGAGTTGTATGCAGTTGTACAATTATTCACGAATTGATTGTTTATTCGTTCTGAAATTTGTTTTTAAAGTAACCCAAAACTGAAAATATTTTTTCAAACACTTGTAGTCGCAAATGATAAAATCAATAACTTTAAGAAGCAAGTAAATCAATAGATATAATGATAGAATGGGCTGAATAAGGGTAGCCTGATATTGAGTTAAATTGTTAAATTTTGAAAATAATTTGGGAAAGAAATAAAATTTTGACTATTAGACTAAGAAAACAACAACAAATAAATTGTAATCTAATAAAAAATATATTTATGAATAATAGTAGTATCCTATGTTCAAATCATCTAATCTATCACTTATATTTTTTTTCCACCTATATGTAAACTACTATTGAAATTGGATAGTTGTTTTTTTTTTTTTTCAAATTTTAGAGGTGTCAATGGTATACTACCAAAACCCCTGGCTGGTTGTATGGATATTAGGTTTGATATATATGAAGGTTCTTTGTTGTGTCCATGCAGTCTGCTGGTTCAAGTACCCGAATCTTCCTAAACGAAGACATATCATTTTTCTTTTAAAATAACTTTTAGTTGACTATATCTTTTTTTGTTTTAAGTCCTGATTCAAAAGTTTTACACGGAAAAATAAGATTAATTGTATTCTTCAAAATTATATGTAATTTGTTATATTTTTTAACACAAAATTGAGATATATATTATCACACTGGATATTGATGAATGGATTACAATAAATATATTTGTTATATTTAAAATAATTATGAATTCAAACTGAATTGAATGAGCTCAAATAAGTATAACTCATCTTTGAGCAAGCTGTCACTATCTTAAAAACTTACCTGATTTCAACTACATTTTTGTCGACTCCGTCCTGGTAACGCCCTTTCATTCCTTGCAATCCTCGTCAGATTTCATTTTGCAAATAATGATACAAGTCCTTTTTTTTTCTTCTTTTCAGTGTCATGATAGAAGTCGAAAGCTGCGGTATTTTTCCTTTTATTTCCATCGTTGCAATCCTCGTGAACTTTCATTATTCAATTGCCAGCTAGCTAACCCAACTACTTTCCACATTATTGCAGTGTCTGACACGATCTGATTCGTTTTGATATGTCTAGCAACACAGAATTTGGATCCATTAGAGCATCTCCAACAATGCAATCCTTCTTCACTTTCAAGTGTGGTCCCTACTGCCACCTAAGCAATTCTAGCAATTACTTCACTCATCAATTTCATACTAGCTACATCAATGCCATTCCAATGCAATTGCACTTTTGGGTCCCACTTACATTTTAATACCACACAAATGGTTGGGAAAAGAAGAAAGAAAAACAAAAACAAACAAAGGACCCACTTGCAATTGCATGTCAGATTTTCATGGTGTGCAAATTTTCATCCCTTGAAAGTGGTCTTGCATCAATGCCATCCACTTTTTCAATTGCACATGGCTGCCACCTCAGCTTGCAATTCCCTCCATTTGCACCATTGGAGATGCTCTTAATTAGTCATACGATCCTCGTTGTACTTCAATTTATTTAGATACGTTTTTTTTAGCTTTTGTTTTCATTTACGAATCAAGATGGCTTCAAGTATTTCAGGTTTCAAACAACATGCTTTGTTACTGACTAATTTAGGAGTGTACATTCGGGTTCGGTATTTTGGGTTTACCCGAAACCGACCCGATTATATACATTTTCGGTTTTTCATGTTTGGATTTGTTTCGGGTTTCGGGTTTTTCGGGTTCGGTTTTGCTTATCGGTTTTACGGGTTCCGGCTAAAAACCTCCAATGAATAGAACTTAGCCCGTATTCTTAGGCGTTCGGGTTTTTTAGTTTCGGTTTTGCTTTAACCGAACCCGAACCCGATAAGAAATTTTCGGATTTCGGGTAACCGGAACCCGCAAGTCCTTATCGGGTTCGGATTCGATTAAGTAATTTTCGATTTCGATTTTTTAGACCTTTTCAGATTTTGGTTTGGATAACCGAACCCGACCCGAGCTAACACCCTACAGTGACTATACTATAATCGAGTTTAGAAGACCTACTCAATGACTTTGTTTCTGAATAGAAATAGATGGAACGTTGTTTTAAACACTTCATTATTTAAACCAATACAATATTTTTCTTCCACTTACATGATTCGGTTGCCATCATTTTACATTCCTACTTATAAAAAAAAATGCTTTTCATGGGCCGTTCTATCTTGCAGGCAGTTGTTGTTGGAAACAATATGAATCATATTCACCAGCCACAACACTCAACAAGTATGCATTAGGCTCCGTACTTTTCTATTCTCCTAGTACTTTATTTCTTCTCTCGAAGAATTAGTTATAAAAGAAATTTAATGGTATCAATCTAGAAAACTATACTGAAATGTGAAATGGCTACATGGAGCTTTTTCTGTGATGCATATCTTCATTTATACTCCAACCTCAAGAATAGCTGATAAATCCATGAAAACTAGCTATTTGTGTTTATAATTATGTTGTTGAACATGGTGGGATCAAATCTAATTTAATGGACACACCATGCCAAATAGGTTATATGAGTAACCACAAGAAAAGAAATTCTCAAGTGATCAAAAGAATACAAGAAGTAGTGCCTTGAGAAAATAATTTAACAATAATTTTTGTATAAGAATAACGTTTATGAATTTTTCCAGAACAAAAATTAAAGTTTCAATTGAGAAGGCAATTTTTATCCAACTAAAGCGTGGAAATCCTATAAATACCCCAGCTTGAAATTGAAAATTGACTCTAGTTGTGTTACAATTTGGACCGTGTCATAAAATAGTAAACAATTTAAAATTGAGAGTAGTGTCATAACTCATAAGATCACCATACCATCCATGAGCGTTAAAAAAAAATATATTTAAAATATATGCTAAAATGAATATTAGATTATCAATAATAAATCTTTAATTTGTTTTCAATCCTACGAACTAATTCAAATTGAATCGAAGAAGCTATAGACCGCTGAAAATTTGTATGACCTAAACAAAATTTGCTGATCTCAAATCTCAATCATTAGATTGATGATCCAATTATTATTAAAAATTTCTGATATAGATTGATTGAAATACATGCACGTGGAGATTCATTTCCACTACAATACATTGTTGTTACTAACCATGCATGAGTGGATATATAAACACATAAGGCTTTTACGTTATGAATCATTCATGTCTTTTCTCGTAACAAGTCTTGGATCATATTCCATCGATTGATCCTGTAATTCCATCTCATCACATATATATTTGTCTAAAAGAAGGCTGCCTTCGTGCATGAATCCAAGGACCATGCATATAATGTTACAAATTAAAAAGAGCCAAATGTCTTTCAGATTAGTAAGTAAATCTCAGAGAATAACTCCTATGTTCACTCACAACAAAACAGCAACCGTTTCCATTTCCCTTCGTTCCCATTTCCCCTTCTCACGATCTCTTGAATCGATCGTAACAAACAAAATTTCCCAAAACACCAGCTAACTACATTACAACAATAATAACGTAACAATCCAACAACCCTAATGAAATCCAAGATCCCAGATGCAAACAACCAAACAACCACCGCCACCGCCGGCGGTGCCCTACCGCCGCGGCCGTCACTGGTGAAGCGGGTTCGGAACCCTGAAGTGTACAGAGAAGCCATCGTCCTCTGCATGGAGATCATCATCCTCCTAGGGTTCCACCTCCTCTTCTACACCACCCTCCTCATCCTCCAGCGCCTCTTCTCCTCCGCCGCCCTCCTCCTCCTCCCCATCTCCATCGCCGCCCTCTTCACCCTCCACCCCAACCACGCCGCCGACGGCGGCAGCAGCCTCCCCATCGCCCTCCTCCGCAAGCTCATGCGCTCCCGCGACCGCCTCGGCGAGGTCGTCGCCTACGCCATCGACAGCATGCACGAAAAGGCGCGCCGCGACCACCACGGCTTCCTCATGGCCGTCCACGACCTCGACGTCGACGACCATCATCACGATTCCCTGTCGCCGAAGATCGTGGCCCTGTGGACCAGCTTCGCCGCGTACATGGGCCTGATGGCTCAGATACTGTTTCGATATCCTTTCTCCGGGGACACGTTCTTTGCCGGCGGGATGATCGCCATCGCCATCGTGGCCAACCTCGTCGCCTATTTTAGCTTTGCATGGGATTCGGCCTCTCGTAAAAAGGTACGTATTGTAGTTTGGATTAGTCGGTTCCTATGATTCGAGTTATTGAAAGAGACTTATGTATGATATTATGTTTGCATGGGCCTCTTCAGTAACTCGATTTATTGGGATCAGTTGATTTGTGACATGATATCACAGCTGGTATATATTTTCTTGCGGTCACATGTTATCCTCAATATTTACCGTTGTCTTAAAAGCGAATTGCATGACGAGCATGTGTAACCTACAAATGTCGTGAATTGACTTTCGTTTGAAAGGATGTGTAAAAAATTGGTTAAGATTCATACATGAGTCTCTTTTAACAACTCGACTTATTGAGATGAACTCGATGGATTGATAGAGGTAATGATCAACAATCGGGGATGTTACATGTAGATGAATGAATTGGAGGAAGTGAAGGACAAGTTGAGAGAAGAGCGAGAGAGATGGGAGGAAGAGAAGAGGAATCTCAAGGAAGAACTGGTTAGGGCAAAACGTGGATCAGCTGATCAGCAACCGCAAAAACCTTGTGCTGATCCACCTGCTCCTAGGCCGCTGGGCAGAGCAAGTTCAGGGCCGATAACTTCAGGTTCCTACTACAGTATGTTTGGCAATTTTGATTGGGACTAATTTAAAATATGAATTCTGTTATTATAGGATGGTTCATCTTTGGATACTTAATCTCGTGTATAATTAATTGCAACAAGCAATTAATGGTTTTGCTCATCTCTCACAGTTTTGTAACTTCCTTAATTATCTCGAGTGGTTATACTTACACATTATTGATTCTCTTCTTGTTATTTACAGTTCTTTCTTTTCATTCTACGGATTGGTTAAATTTATGCTTTATGAACTCGAACAAACTCAACTAGATATTAGTATCATTTTATTGTTTATTTATGTGTTATCGTTATCGATTAGAATTAATTATTATTAGCTATATGATTAAAAAATTATTGATCCTTTCAACCATTTATCATGTGAATAATAAAGCCTAAGTAGTTAATTGTTTCATGATTTCTCTGTAATTTATCATAAAATTAACTTTTACAAAACTTGTTATTGATCAGAAATCAAGTACAAGTAAATTCTTGTAAATAGTTTGCCCAAAATCTAAAATTGAACTAATTCGGCCTTCAAGTAAGCTTAAGAAAAACAAAAGGTTTGTAACTAAATATATGGGAATTATTTCAATGAAATTGACTTAATTGGTCCGACCAGCGACCACAAGGAACTTGCACATTAGCAGAAAGCGAGATTGGGCCCAGTATTGAGGTACTCGGGCTTTTCTGTCCGGGGAAAGCTGGGCCTTTGAACGTAGAAGTTAGCCCATTCAACACGGTCTTCCGAGTAATTTTACAGAAATTTTAAGCCCAGAGGCGTCTTTCGCGTTTCAACAACACATACACAGGGGGTAAAAACTAAAAACAGAGTCGCTGTTTTTGGATCAAAGCTTTTCCCCCCTGGTAGAATAGAATCAAGAATCCTTCTTCACTTGTCTTGGCATCCAAAAGAACTACAACTAGTCCCTCTGGTAAGTCCCCGCCTCTCTCTGCTTCTTCCTTTGCACACTGGACTAGGACATTCCGTGTTTCTGCTCCCTGGTTATCGGCCTCCTACTGTCTTACAGTTGACGGTGAGCCTTTCAAAGTTTGGATCTTTTCCTTGCACTTGTACCTTTCTAGGGTTCCCCTCTGACTTGTGAGTTTGCAAGGTTGGGGCTTGTTGGGCTGAAACAAGCCAAGCAGCTGCTGAATTTTGCACCCACGTGGAAGCTCAATTCCAGAGAATGCTGGCAGAGGTGGTAACTCACCATGAAATAACTTGTTTGCCATGTACAGTAGTGCACAAGAAATTCTTACTAGCATCACTTCCTGCAAATAAACAGATCAGTGGAGACTCAGGTGCTAATGTGAAGCAGCTGGAGCATGAAAACCGCGGTGAAGATCGGTCACCTGAAGACAGAGTCTGCCAGAATATTGTAGACATGCTTCTGAGGTATGCTGCCACCTTTGAGAATTAGATTTTGATTGATGCCTGGTTGGCCTGATTCTGTTCCAGGAACTTTCTGGTGTGTAACATTCTGAGGGCAAGACACTGGGAGTTGTGATGTGGTGTTTATTTTGATTCACCACTACGACATGCAAAAATTTTATGATAATTATGTATATGAAGCTTCTCCGTGGGGGTCAAATCTGATATCCCAATTACTTTCTACATTATATACATGATCTGGAAATAAACTGTTGTAGCTGACTGCATCGATCTTTCTAAATCCACTCAGTAGTCAGTAGAGTAGCACTAGTTATGCCATAAGCCAGAGAAATCCTGCAAGAACTGATCCATCACTATCCCACAAGCACAGGTGCCGGCACCAAGAAGTACAACTCTCGTAGTTGCTGTCATCCCCTTCTGTACATGTACTGACCATGCCATTGCCGGCGGAAGAACTCCATACAACATGACCATGCAGTAGCCTCCCTACAAGAAGATTACCATTATGTCAACTAAAATTTTGCCACAATGCTGGCCTTCACTCAGCTATAATCATTAAACAACTTACTGCAATATCAGTAGCAGCAGAGAATGCATCAGGAACTGCTGCTGAGACAACAAGCGTGGGAGCTACTGCCATTGTCATTGCTGTCAAGCTAGTTCTATTTCTTCCCCACCAACTTCTCAACCCAATTGTTTTCTCCGGCGAATCCTGGGATGATGAAATTTTATTCCAAGCGAGGTTCCGAAGCTGCTCCTTGAAGAACTCGGAGAAGCCAAGGAGGGTACCAATCAATGATGTTCCCACTGCTAACAACGAGAAGGCCTGAACCATGAAGGGGATTCCGCTCCATCTCACGCTGGCATGAGAGTGGAAATCAGGAACTAACATGGAAAATTCTTTCGGTTCAGATTAAATTGACGACTGTATTACTTACTTCATAAGTAAATCAATAGGGTCAACAGCTGGATCAGCTTGAGCTGAAAGGCCAAGTGCTATTGCATCCCAAACAAGTAAAGCCAGCAGTGGAACAAAGCTCCCAATCAAAATTGAAGTCCTTAATCTCGCAAGATCACCGCCCAAGTAAGCACAAAGAACTGCCATGAACATCAGATTATCATAAACCAGAACAACATAAGTAACATATAAGGCAAATGTTGTTTCTGGAATCTCAATGGGCAATTACCGGGTGCAAGATCATGGTAGACTAGAGAGAAAATCATGACAGGAACTGTGTCTGAAACTTTCCCCCAATCCCCACCTCCCTCAATCATTCCAGACCAGCCCCCAAACACAATACACAGCACTTCAATTGCAAGAAGCAAACCTGTATCAGTAAAAGTTAGTGGCTTCAGTGGCATTTCCAAGAACAATTTCTAGGTTGAAACTCATTTCAACAACCTCCAACTCCCATCAGTAAAAAAAAACAGAATTTACCAATCATGGAGGCAGTGAGCCATTGGTTCACTCGGTCGGTGGTTGCAGCCCCGCCAATGGAGATCAGCAATGTGAAAACAACAGTGAAAACACAGCCGGAAATGGCTTCTGGGAGATTCAGCAAATGGAACAGGATCTCCCCAGACTTGGAAGCATAAGCAACCATGGAAGTATAGCCCAAGAAAACATAGGTAATGGTTGCCAAAGTTCCACCCAAGTCTCCCAATGTATCTTGAGCCATAGTCCTAATCGAAATAATCTCCAGCTCATTCCCAACTTCCATTTTACCTTCCTTTCTCCTTAAACCCACATTGACCTCCACAAGCAAGAATGCCTGAATTAACAGAAACCCCCAGCATAGTATCATGGTTATGGAGCTCGGAACGATACCCTGTAACGGGAAAAGATCAGATCTTGGCTATTGGGTTCAGTTCATCTTTACAAATCCAGAGAGGGCATAAGTTCTTAGCTATTAAAAGAGTAAAATTTTATGTTTTTTACAGCAGGGGAAGCTTTCATGGGGAGAGCAAGAATGCCTGAACCAATACTTGTGCCAACTATTAGAGCAACTGCCCCAGCAATGGTTCCTTTCTTCTCCACTGCTCCCACCACTATTGGGCCATCGCTACTAGTTTCTATGGAACCCTTGCTTTTGCTTCCCTTTGTTGTAAGATTCCATCTCTTCTGATCTGGCCTCCATTTGCAAGTGGAAGTTGAGTAACCACAGCTGGGAAGACACATTCAATTCATAATCGTTAATCAGCCAGCCCAAATAAGGAGAGAAAAAAAATGACAGATAACAAAGTGAGTGAGCAAGAGCGAGGAAGATACTTCCATACATGACGCTAAACTTGTAGCAAATTCTTGGTTTGTGGCTTCTCAAACTGACTGCCGATGCAGGAGGAACTAGAATGAGATTCTGATGTGTTTTGAGACGGAAAGAGGGAGGGGGAGAAGAAGACAAGCAGTGAGAATCCATATGTGAGTGATAGAGAGAAAGGGGAAGGCCTGAGAGCGTGGAGATGAATGAATGAGTGGGATGGAAGATTCAAGCTTTCTCCCAAATATCTTGGAGGTAGACCCTCGTTTGGTATATTCATGTGTTTGGAATCAATTGAATGAATGGTCCACGGCCTGTTCAATCTCTGTCTGCCAAAATGGAAAGAGAGCTAAAAAGCACGAGGGAATGGCGGAATTTGTAGGAACGAAGGGTGGTCCTGGCGTACCGGTTCAGCAGCCAGCAACCCGCTAGCAACAGACGTTGTTTGCTACCTCCACGCACAAGATTAATGGTCCAGCAGCAATGGTATTAACCAACATTTTCTTTTAGATTACTAGTAAGCTAACTACAAAATTTTTGTAGGTGATCTCCATCTGTGATTGAATTTAAATAGAAATACGATAAGAGAAAACAATCAAATTAACATTTTTTTTAATATAAATTATATGCATGTACTAATTAATAGAAGGACAATGTATCATACAAAATAAAAGGATGTGTGAATGAATTGCCACATAATAATATTACTAGAACTTGGTTCAATCATCAACCCACACATGCTCCTCCAATTCATGAAATCATAATTTTTCGATTTTTCATGCATACGCTTAGCTTAAATATACACATTCGTTTCTAGATTGTACAAGTGACAAGTTATAAACACACTCTTATAAGTTAGAACTGTAGATGTGGTGGTGAATACATGTATACTATACATGTATTAATAAATCTAACGTAGTATGTATTAAAATGTTTGATATATCGGTATATGTGATAATGTTCTCAATAATAAGTTTATTTTTTGCGGAAAATGTCAAATGTACCCTTCAATTCAATGGGGGGAAATGAAATAAAATGCTTTTTAAAGGCCAGGGTCCCTGTCTCCCTGACCCTGAGGGCTGAGAGTTTTCCTCGGGCCGGGCTCTTTCTTGTTTAAAAATGTAAACTCATTATCTATTTGGGCCAAGATATGACCTAAATAAGCCCATTCTTTAAACGGGCTTCAAGGACTAGACTATAGAAATAATTTATTTTGTAACACATGTTTCAAATTTTTTCGCTACCCCTTGTTCGCATTCGTCTTCTAGGAAATCATATATAACATGGTTCAATACATGAAGAAAGAGTTTATGGATATCTTAGACTTAATTTGCAGGATTCAATATTATTTTTCAGCAACAAAATTCATAAAAAATTTAATAAATTAAACTCATGAAACGTACCACTTGTCCAAAAAAAAAAAAAAAAATCAACCCTGCTTTACACTTCCCACAAGATAGCCACTATGTAAAATTATGACACTCAAATTATCGAAACCGGCATCTTATACCAGTAGTCAGTGGCCTCCAATGTTACTCATCGAAACATGAACATATATGCATCCAACAGACATAATTATTGGCATCTACTTAATTAGATGATATGTTATGTTGACACGATAAAAATCATTGATATTATATCGTTAGGAGAACTTAATAAGTTTTTGCTTTATTTTTACGTTAAAAAAAGGTTTTGAGTGAAGTAAAATTCCACTGTATTAGAATAGAATGGTCTCCTAAATATATTATCACGAATCATAATCAGCTTTTTGAAACTTAAATTACAAGTAGCATCAATTCGATGAAGTAAACAGAAGCCTTCTTAGCTCAGTGGTAGAGCGCGTGGCTTTTAACCACGTGGTCGTGGCTTCGATCCCCACAGACGGCGAGAATCCTCTTTTTGACAAACCCTTTCCAGTTTGCCTGCTTCTGAGTGATGATGTTGCTGTTGTCCCCCAAACTTCTAAAATCTTGTTTATTTTTCGATCGGTGGAAAGACGAAACTTGTATTCTAACCAGGCTGTTATCTGCTTAACAACTTTCTTTCTTCTTTCTGCTACAGCCTGCAACAGTGGATGTGGACTGCAGGCAAGCAGATTCGGAGTATGGACGGTGAAGCAAGAAAGCCAAGTTAAACACAAAGAAAGTGACAGGGTAAAGATAGTGACTGCAGATTTCTACATATACTGCGCACCATATATAAGCATGTGCACGTACCGCCCATTCCTCCTAATTAACTGCTGCAACCAACAGAAACATATATCAATCAGCCTCGGAAGGAGATCGAGCAACCAGCTGCTCAATCGTTGTTTTGCTTCGATCGTCACCACCATTTCCCAGCTTGATTGCTTGCTTCTTTAAGCTACCTCTACGCTTAGCCCCACCCGAAAGTCCAAACCGTATTTCCCCAGCTTTCTCCATACCGACGACTCCTAGCTCCCCCTTCCCTGTGACCAGTTACTGCGTGAAGAAGTAGGTGTAGCTGCAGTAGGCAGTAGCACCGCCAAAACCCACTCCGCCTTGTCGTCCTCCGTCTCGTTTGACCACAAAATTATGTTATGCATTAGATGCATCTATATATGTACCATTCTGTTATGCATGAGGTATCGTATGTATCTCTTTTGATTGGTAGTAGTGCGTATATAATTACTATATAGCAGCGGCGAATCCAGAACAGGTTAGTTCACTGGGCCGCATTTCAAAAGTGGTGGAGGAGACTGGGCTGTAACCCTATAAACATTGAAATATATACTCAAAATCGAAAATTTACAAAGACTATACGAGCTTTGGATCCGGGTAGGGCTAGGCCGTGGCCCGGGGGCGACCCCTCCTAGATCTGCCGCTGCTATATAGTTAGATGTGCATTCATGAATAGTGTGTGCGTGACTGCAACATCCAACTATTCCCTTGTAGAAAAGCTTACACGATTCGGGGGCATAGTCAGAATTTCATTCGAGGCGGATCCACTTTAAAAAAAAATGCGCATGATAAAATAGTTTTTGTTAACCTTTTCAATCATTCACGATACAATATTATTCTTTGAAATTTTTCATAAATTAAAATACATTAGTATCAATCAGACCCCTTAATTTGCAATATCAATTAACTATTGTATCTAATATATCCATTTTTTTCTCCCGAGCCAACACTCTCTCTATACTTGACTATGCTAGAACCAGAGTTGATAGATGATTTTTTTGGATAGAATTGTTTTAAACTGTTCTGGTAAAGATACTATAGCTAACACAATACATAAATATGCATTATTAATCGATTACCATAATGGTATTTGTACTTCTCGTTAATTTTTCGTTTAAAATCTATGCAGTTTTTTATATAGACTTTAGAGTTTGATCTTTTGCCTGATCACAACGCATACTTTGGACAAATTGAATCCATTTTCTTGCAGACCCTTTTTGTCAATTTCCTTTTTCTTCGTTGAATGGATTTGTATGAAATTGGAATTATTCTTCAATATAATAAGATAAGTATGTAATGCCTGTATATCATATATATAGACATATAAAAACAAATGAGTCAGTTGTAGTTTTCAACTTTTGATTGACATTTCCACCGCAATTTAGTGGGGAACCAGCCATTAAGCGTGCATTTTCAACTAATTAAAGGGGGGAAAAGGAAATTTAAGGGAATACAAAATCAAAATGATCTCCTTTTTATTGACTTTTCAAATATGATGACAATGGAAATTTATAAACACGACTTGTTAACATTTTTTTTCATTATATTGCTGAGAAGATTATTCCACCTTAAAATTAGATGTTGAGATTTCCATATTGAAAATCATAAAATTTTCAATAATAATAGTATTTTTGTTTAAGTGCATATGATTATACATACAAAAGAAAATATCGACCATCTCATTAACTTATTTTAAACCAATTACACCTTTAATGTTGGTGCTTCAATTTTGTGTTTGTTTCAACAAAACAAAAGTTGTATTAGAACAATATATCCACTTTCTTTTAAGTACCCAATACTATAAATATTACTCAAACCCATTTCGACCCATAGTCCCATACTAAGATGGTTTGGACAATACCCAATATATTCACATCCCTACTAGTTATTATCAGTCTTTTGACTACTCGAAGTTAAAGTAAACTAGACCACTACTCCACTAGAGTACAATAACATTCTCCTAAGAAGAAATCAACTGTTGGAATTATTTTGGTATGTAATGGTAGTAGTAAACAGCCTTAATTATGGCATCCAAGCCAACTTGGAAAGCCCAAATAGTAATAGTGGGATTGTTGAAGAAATCAACACCTCTCATTTCCTTAATGAAGCTATTTGAGGGAGATAAAAGGTTCCACTTATCCTACATAAAAAGCACTATAGCGAATAAACAATCAACATAATTACATGTTTATGTATGATTCCACAAGATAGTCGTCACCCAAAAGTACAAGTGGATCGATTAATAGGTAAGGCCGGCTTGAGGGGTTTAATCACATAGCCAAGGGTGTCTAATTCAATCAATTCATCAATTGTGATTACAAGAGGTTTTAATTTCTTTCTAAATTAATTGGGTCATTATCCAAAGTCCAATCACAAATTTGGATTTTCCAACTCTCTATTATTGGATTGCCATATGGTTTGTGTCGATAATGGATGCTCCAACTAACTTACATCTGTCGGTTAAATTTATGTTTTGACACAACTAACTTTTTGTGCTTGGGATGTCACCATTCATATAACTAATGTAAACCAATGTGGGAAAAAAAAGGAGCAATCTAATCAATTGGGTCATTCTTTTTTATTTATGAATTACCAAGCATTCTTACACAAATAGTAACTTGTGGGCAAGGTGAAACAGAGCTTTCAGCTTTCATAATTTGTCAGTCCAATACATTAATTTTATATTTTTGGTTAAATGGGTGTATGAGATATTACAATAACTAGGGTTAGTTTCACCATGTCGTACGAGGCATCATGATTAAAAAAATTGAATGACAACAAATCTTAATTAAACTCTTGCATGAAAATAATTATTGAAAATATTTTTCGCAGAAATATATTTGATGTGTACTCGACATTTTTTTATCAATTGGCTTTTCAAAGTACCACCATACATTTGATTAAATAAGTTATTAATTGTGAGGTCATGAGGATTCGAACATGTGACGTCTAGATCGAAGGCTCTTATACCATACCGAGAACAAATTGATCTCAAATTTCAATAACTCGAGTTGATAATAGAGATGAAAAATGAATTCTATACTATTCCCCTCCCAACTAAGTTTTTTTTTTTTTTTTGCAAAAGATAATCTTATATTGATTCAAGAAAAGATAATTACATCCTGGTTCCTAGCCAGGTCTGAAAATAAAAAACACAACTCATAGTCGGAGACAAAGAAATGGCCTTCCTAGCCACCCTGTGGGCTACCCTATTGTTATTCCGACCTACAAACCGCACACCCAACCCCGGATGAGAATCAAAGTAGAGTAAAACTTCTTCTAGAATAGCCCCCACCCAGTTATCACTAGCCTGCCGCGAAGTATCTTATCGATAACCACCTTGGCATCTCCTTCAAACCTAACCATCGCGAACCCAAGTCCCAAACACCAGCCAATAGCCTCTCGAAGGGTCAGTAATTCAACGACCATAGGGTCAACCACTTCAGGAAATCTGACCCCCCTAGCCAGCAACAGATCATGATTCGAGGTCATAAGCACCATACCACCAGCTGAGGGAGCACCCTGTCTGGTAGCCCCATCCTAGAGGCAGACGACCCTAGCATCGCCTACCGGGGAAGCCGGGGGGATAGACGTGGTATGCGGAGGCAGAATTCGATCCATTGGCAAGTTCATCCACTCCTCATATTGCTGATAAAATTGTCGCATCAAGGCTGGGATCCCAAACTGTTTGCCTTCAAAAATCACCCAGTTCCGAGAGCGCCATATCCGCCAGAGGACCGCGGCCAACGCCATAAACAAATCCGGCTGATGAATGAGAGCCATTACTCTTTTCAGAAACAGAGGGAAAGTATGGGTAGGCAAACCCTGCCCTAGAAACTCCAACCCCGAGAGGTCCCAAAGTGCACGTGCCACTGTACAAAAGAGAAAGAGATGCTCCAACGTTTCCGTTTCCGCCCAACACACTGGGCACCTGGGGTGTACCTGAACCTCTCTCTCAATAAGAGCTTCCGTAGTTGGGAGGATCCGATTCAAAATCTGCCAAAGGAACACCTTCAACTTTGGTGGGACATTCGCTCCCCAAAGACGGACCCAGCTTGCCTTATCCATCCAACTCACCGACGAGCATCACCCACCCTTATATTTATCCAGAAGAACCGCAAGATGGTACGCCGACTTAACAGTAAATTGACCATCCGCCGTATCATGTCATATAAGCCTATCCGGTATCTGATGCCGAGGGAGGGGGATTGTCTTAATTGCCTGACAAGTAGGGGATCAAACCATTGCCCCAGTTTGGTGTCACACCACCGCCCTCTCCGGGGGCACAAAACCTCCGCCACACAAACTAAGTTACCGTGGTAATTAGGTTAACAAATTTTGCGTATATGTTTTGGCCTTCTCCATTCCTTTCAAATAAGTCATGTTTGCCACGCTACAACAAACAATAGAATATACAAAGGCGAACTTAAGTTGCTGATGCAAATTATGGAACGAATCCTCTTTTATCTACAATCAAAGATAACTGCAACCCCACTACTCCAGAAAATACCTACCTAGCTACACCTAATTCCACACCAGCTTTATCTCCGTAATCAAAGGCTATGTTTAGCTTTTGCTTAAAAATGTAAAAGTTTTGTTATACATGTCGTTTCAAGTTTTACATCACTAGCGTTTAGGAATTACACAAAAAAATCCAATATTTAGGATATTATCCAAACTCGTCTTAATTTGAAGGTCCAATACGGTAATATTTGTTACAAAATTAAACTACAAAAATATAATAAATTATGTGATAACATAAATTCGATAAATTCACACTGACAATTATGACAAAAAAAAAAAAGATATATAAATCAATGAGGAGATACCATAACTTGCCAAACGACCCCGAATCTTGATTTTGGAGAAGCATGCAATTGGGCCGGCGGTAATTTTCAAGAAAGGCGTTATTGCTTAGGTCAACCGGGCGTGGGTTATAAGACCGTTGGGTTGGGCGGAAGGAAGGGGGTTACAACTTACAGGAGCTGGCCGTATAACTGGAAACAAATTCCAGCCTTCGATTTGCAGAATAGAGTTGCAGAGGAAAATCATATAAGCTTATGTAACCGAGCTTTTTTTTCATTGCTGCTGTTGAGGGGAAGATAGTTTTTTCTGAAATGGAAATCGCTTGTCATCAAACTTCAGAAATGCAAGAGCCCAGCATCGACACCGACAAACTCAGTTACGAAATCTTTTCCATCCTCGAGAGCAAGTTTCTCTTCGGCTACGATGATCAGAAGCTCTGGGTTCCCAAGCAAATTTCTCCCGCGCTGGCGGTGGAGCAGAAGCCCGACCCTCTGTTGCCGGCGATTCCCGCGGCCGACGGGGGAAACGGCGTCGCTGCAATCAAGAACCAGCGCGGCAAAATCTGCATACTCTCAATTGACGGTGGAGGGATGAGAGGGATTCTTGCCGGGAAGGCGCTGGCTTACCTGGAACAGGCGCTCAAGACGAAATCGGGCGACCCAGACGCGAGAATCGCCGATTACTTCGACGTGGCGGCGGGAACGGGCGTCGGCGGCATCTTCACGGCGATGCTGTTCGGGTCCAGAGACCAGACCCGCCCGATTATGAAGGCGGAGGAGACGTGGAAGTTTCTTGCCGACAACGGGAAGCGGTTCTACAGGTCGTCGGGGAACGGCGCCGGCGGGTTTCTGAAGCGGGCTTTCAAGTCCGGGTCATCCGGGTCGGGTTCGGCGACGGGCGGGTTGGAGAAAGCAATGAAAGAGACGTTCACGGAGAAAGGCCGGCAGTTGACTCTTAAAGACACATTGAAGCCCGTTTTGATCCCTTGCTACGACCTCTCCAGCACGGCGCCGTTTCTCTTCTCCAGGGCGGACGCTCTCGAGACCGACAGCTTCGATTTCCGGCTGTGGGAGGTTTGCCGGGCGACGTCGGCCGACCCGGGGATGTTCGAACCGGCTCAATTAAGGTCAATCGACGGTCGGACCAAGTGTTTGGCGATCGACGGCGGGCTAGCGATGAGCAATCCGACCGCGGCGGCGATCACGCACGTGCTCCACAACAAACAAGAATTCCCTTTCGTCCGCGGCGTGGAAGATTTGCTAGTGCTATCCCTTGGCACGGGCCAGCTGCCTGAAGTCAGCTACGATTACGAACAGGTGAAAACGTGGAGGGCCAAGCACTGGGCTCGACCCATGGCTCGAATTGCCGGCGATGTCTCCGCAGATTCGGTGGACCAGTCGGTGGCCATGGCTTTTGGTCAATGTCGGAGCAGTAACTACTTGAGAATTCAGGTAATGGGTTCACATGCAAATTCCCAATCAATCGCTTTTTCCCCCAACTTTTTCCTTTGTTTTTCGATTACGCCCTGCCCTCCAAGTGGTTGTTGAAATGCATGAGACAGTTTTGGCCAGGCTGGGGGGATGGTAAAAGGATTCAATCCAAAGTTTGTCCCTTTCTCAGCAGTGGATATTTGGGTATGGGCATTGGTTAGGGAATTTCGGGACAGATTTAGGCTAGCTGGAGCTGGGAGAGATCTTTTCATTCTCTTGGGTTTATGCAATTAAATGAGATGTTTGTTTATTGTGTGTGCATTGTGTGGCCACATGGCCATGGAATGTTGCTTGCTTGTGTTTTCCTGCCTGGTCGAGATCACTCATTCTTTGGTGGTGATGTCTAAAAGATTTCCATGGTCGTCAACGTTTGTTTGCATGTCTGCAATTCGACCAGATGGCTTGGTCACTTGGTTGGGTTTCCAGGGAAATAAAACACATAATCATTGTACTTGGAAATGGGGTTAGAATCTTTTGACATGCTTCAGTAATTTGCAATTGAGGTCTCCAATTTGAGTTTCTTTCAGTTAAGTTAGCTGCTCATTTGAAGCTTCTTCATTTGCTGGAAAAATGATGTGGTCAGAACTCAGAAACATATGATAGTCTCAAACTCATCATTAGAGCAAACAACTTGAGTGACCACAATTAGCTGGCAGAATAATTAGTTAAAGGACAAGGGCAGGATGATTGTTGGAGGGACTGCTTACCATTTTCTTCCAACAAAACAAACATACGGAAGTGATTGTATGCAGTCCGTGGTGCTTTAGGCTCAGAGAAAGGACAGAGAGAAGGGCTGTCGTCGTAGTTAATAAAAGATGATGGTAGCTCCATGATTACAGTTGGCTTTTATAACTAGAATAGCTTACTGCATGCTTTATTTGCCATCTGGTCTAAGAAACTAAGGGGCAGGGGAGGGGACCCTTAAAAGCAGAATCTCCTTAATTCCTGATGGTCCTGTTCATAGATGATGATGAATGTTTGATATTATTGGTATTTAGCACCAGCATTTGATTTTAATGGGTTTTGATCATTCTGGCATACCATATGTGACACTAGAAGGAATAATGGTACTTATGATTGTTAGGTGCTCTACCATTCTAATGAACCTATTCAAGCATTGTGGGCTCAAATCAAAAGTTCGAAAGACTTTCTGTGAAGGAAAAGCAGGAATCTGAACTTTTTCATCAGAAACTCTGAGATGATAGCCTATTGGTCTCTCCATAATCAGAACATTGTTTTATTTTATGGTTTCTTGTGAATTTTTAATAACCTTGGAAGTAAAATAGCAATGTAATAGCAGCAAATAGGGAGAAGTAATGGTCAGTAAGGGGCCATAATTGGTGGTTAACAAAGGATGGTGTTTAGATTGAATTCTTCCTGCAAGTAGTAACTGGTTTTAATTTTGACAGGCAAATGGGTCCTCCAGAGTAGGGAGGTGTGAAGGCAATGTGGACACAGACCCTAGTCCTAAGAACGTGAAGATGCTGTTGGGAATGGCAGAGGAAATGTTAAAGCAGAAAAATGTGGAGTCAGTGCTATTTGGGGGTAAAAGGATAGGAGAAGAGAGTAACTTTGAGAAGCTGGACTGGTTTGCAGGTGAGCTCGTGCTGGAACACCAGAGGAGGAGCTGCAGAATTGCTCCCACTGTTGCTTTCAAGCAAGTTACTACTCCACCCAGACCCACCACCCCCAGGAAGAAAAATTAATCAACCACCCCCCAAAACAAACAAGGTAAGCTTCTTTATACGTTCTGCCCCTCTGCGACTTACCATCTTTTGCTACTGTGGTTTGTTTTTGCTTCCTTTGGAACTTTGCATTAATAATTACAGTTATACTGTTTTCCCTTTAGAAAAAGAGCATATTAGTAGGACCGTTTAGTCTTGGAATCCAGATAGTTAAGTGGGGAGGGGAGAGTTCTTTATTCTCCTTTTTTAACCAAACCTTCATTTTGGTTGTTGTTAATGGAGGGGTATAGTTCTCGTCTCTGAGGACTTATGTAGCTAGTCTCGATGCCACTACTGCAGGCCAAGCTACTTTCCATTTTTGAAGGGTTATTGATGGTGGTTTGACTGGTTTCAATTACCATACAATGCCGTTTTAACAAATAAGTTCACATAGTATAACTTTTAACAAATATGTCGATTTGTTCTGTCATTTCTTCAGTTCTACGCCCTGGAGACTAAAGTTAAATTAGCCAAGTTAGTTACTATTAGGGTTCACCTGTGCTTAGTGAGCACTTTCCGACGACTCGCATATCATCTATATTGAAAATTTGTGTTCTGCCCCTAATTCGACTCACGAATGACGTCTTATTTCGCCTTTATGCTACATCTGTCGTTCGGGAGTTAATATGGTCGAGATTAATTGATGGGGCCGAGTTGAGGACGGATTTCAGCATAGGTGATATGTGAATTTGTTACAAGGTACTTTAGGTACTTTGATGTTCAAGCACAAGCTACATGTTTTCGCAATAATATGATGAGATGTATTGTCGTCTTCTTTTTTTTAGCCATGGAAGTTGTCATTGTCAATGTGTTTGGGATTGAAAGGTCAGCAGGCCTCACAGTCAGTTGTTATTGTTGCTGGTGGACGTGTATGAAAGCTTAGGAGAGGCCAAATGGCCACCGCCATTACCATATAGCTCTAACTAGTAACTACAAGCGGGTAGAGAGAGCACAAAAACAAAGGGATATGAGGTGGAAACCCTACACCCAAACTCTGTCGGTCTACCGACACTCATTCTGTTGTCTTTTGTGTTGGGGATTATACGGGGTCGCTTGGTCATCTTTTCATTTTGTGGGGCAGCCATCTTTGGAAGCAAATAAATGTGAGAAACCTTGATCACTGAGCTAGAGGTTAATGTAGCACAAGTGCAAAACACAACTAGATATAGAACACCCTCGTTAGATTGGATTGGAATTCTGATGCGTTCTTATCTGTCATCTCTTCCTTCGCTAAACGAGTTTGTTCACTTTTTGATGATTTAGAACCTATCATCAATGAATTGTTCCAAATATGTTACTTTCATGCTATGGTCAAGTAAAATGCTACCTTGGAAGGGTACTGCTGTAATATGTGTTGAGATGTAGGAAAGGTAGATGGTCAAAAGAAGAAGAAAAGGCATTGGAATATGAGATTCTTGAGCTCTGTGCTTGGTTTCTTTTTGTCCATCTTCGTGTTTAAACATCCCATTCATTCCCCTGCAAATTTCTAAACAGAAGTCTCTTTTGCCTTGCTTGTAAACTGCAGGTAAAACGTAGCCTACATATATTTCAAGAAAGGGATAGCACTGAACAGAGAAGTGAAAACAACCCATTTGAAGATTGAAGAAAAACCCAAAAAGAAGAAAACAAACAACACAATTATAGGGGCCAGCTTTTGCTTTGTGGAAGGACAGGGGAGAGGGGAAATAAATAGGAAGAAAAGAGGCAAGAAGAGGAGTGGACTGCCCTGGGAGGAAGGGGAAAAAGGACAGGTGAAAAAAAGAACACAGTAAAGGAAGAGGGCATGACATGAATGGATGAAAAGCTGGGGAAGATCTTAGTGGGATTACTTTGCCTGCTAGAGAACAGGCATTGTGGTGTCCACTACTACCATTCCATTCCCCTCTTCCCTACTTTCTTCTCTAAAATGGGGCTGCAACTACCATGCAAATGAAAATGGAAATGGGAAAGGGGGAATTTGACTGTGATCATGATACAAGGGCTTTTCAGATTGGAGGTCAAAAGAGACATGAAGAAGTTGCAAGTGTGAATCTCTTAGTGTACATTTTTCTAAATTTTTTATCCAGGGGATAGTGGAGACAAAAGTACTGGTGCTATAATATATGTTCTCTGTGTCCTCTGTCTTCTTGTTAGCCTTGAATGCCTTATTTTATGAAATCATTGAATCCCCAAAGTATATAATATAATTATGTATCATGCTCTGTATCACCACTGTATGTGGGTAAAGACAGACAGAAATGAAAGAAGACCTCTGTTATTGGTGAAAATGAAACGAGCGAAGACTTGTTGATGGGTGTCGTCCCTTTGGGTTTATCTTCAACCGTGTCATCAATTGTTCTCACTTTTTGGTTTTGGAATTGGAATCGGAACTTACAAGTTACAACTGTTTTATAGTGAGGATGTGCAAAAAATTTGAGTGTTAGCAACAGTCTGCTGCTAGTGCACCTGTTCATATGGATAGAGGCATAGAGCCATTAATGAAGACTCTACATAGATAGTTAATTATTCAGAATGTTTTCTGAGCTCATCTATAGATTCTTGCTATACTAAACCAACAGAAAGAGTCTTGAAAAAATTGACAGAATTGCTTATTTGGAAGCATACACCGTATATTTGGAAAGTTGCTCAATATAATCATTCAGGGGAGGAACTAGGGTGTTTGTAGAACTCGTATTGCTTGGGCGACGTAAGAACACTGTTCAAACTTGAGATGGCCTAAACACCAACATCTCCTTAATCATAACTAACAAATATTATCCATCATCAACAATGCAAATCTCCTGCTTTATTTCATATCTCTTATTCAACATGATTAATAGGTCTATATTACTTATATTTATAGCGACATTATTTGTTCTGCTTATCACTTTACCCACAAGGATCGTTTCATAGGTAGAAATTTGTATGCCTAATTTCTTTGGTTATGAACTTATTATGCTCATTACCAAATCTTCTATGAAAAAATTGAAATGATTTAATTCGACTGAATTTTTTATTACTATATAGTATATGGCTAGTCATGCTCTGCATTATAAATAGTTATTTTCTACAAAAAGATGGCCCGGCGAATGTGGTGAGAACCATGTCTTGTGTTTATGCACTCCAACTAATTCTTGTCTACATGGTGGAACAAAATATATGGTTGATTGGTTGGTGATGATATTATTTGCTTCTATTTCATCATATTATATGCTTGTACGTTGGTTGAATTAGCTAGGACTTAATAATAATAATAATAATAATAATAATAATAATAAAATTAAAATTCTTAGTGGATGGACACTCATACAAATGGAATTCAAAGCCTGCTCAATTTAAAACAGGGGTGCTTCTACCAGAAAAGTTGACTATGATGAAGAGATGAACGTTGGAGTAGAGGCCATGCATTGCCTATAGCTAACATGACTGATTTTTTTACCAAATGCATGTTCATTTTTATTGTAGCGCAATTTTTATATAAATGCACTTAGCCAAGCAATATTTTTTAGGAAAATAATAATAATAATAGCTCGCGATCAAAACAAATAATAAAAATTGCATGTAAAATAAAAATATGCAACTAACACAAATAACATCAACTTGTAAATAGACACCAAACTAAATACACTTTGTCGACTTTAAAAGACATCTTTTTTTTTATAATCGACAAACAAAACGTCATGGATACGAAGATGGATAGAAGCTTTTGGTTATCTCATGTCACCACCACAAGCACAACCCTCTCATAAGTCAAAAAGGGGAGGAATATCTTGTAGCTTCATCTTTGCTTTGCTTTGCTTAGGTGATGAGTGATAACAGTTTGCATATCCCCCCACTAAAAAACTTATCAAAAAGAAGCTTTTTATTGCGTACTTGTATGAACGTAGACCCTAACTTACCAGCAAGACAAATAGGCCCTAACTTTATGAAAACCCTTTTCTCCTCTTTTTGCAGCATGAAGAGGGAAAAAATGGAACGCGTCGTCATAAGTTCATAACTAACTCTCCAAAACAATTTCGTTCCAGTTTTGATGCTTTGATTTGAGGAGTCCAAACATTCGTAGCTCAGAAGTTTGTGATCGGTCTTGAGAGTTATAAATCAACTTATCTCAATTATTAGAAGAAGGCTAATTATAAATCTCATGTCATTCTTTTGCACGGTTAAACACCAAAGCTCTTTGACGCCGCTTGGTTCACCATGTGTCCTAACTTAACTAGGTACACAAACGTTTTGAAGGTAACCAGAAAGAAACATAAAGCAGAATGAGAAAAATATAGCGGTCGTTTGGATGGGTGATTGTTAGGAATGATAATGGGGCAGGTCCGGGGCGGGTATCTCGATACCCATACCCGCCCCGTGACAGGTCGGGTCCAGGTCGGGTAATTTATCACGGGGCGCGGGTCGGGGCAGGTCGACCCAATGGGTATGTAATTTATATGGAAAGCATTAGTAATATTAGGTATTTTCACTATAAGACCAAGAAACAAATCATAATATGATAAAATATAGTTAAATTATTCGAGAAATTGAGGTTTTCACTAATTTACAACTTTATAACAGCTAAAATATGATGTAATAAAAATAAAATAATAAGTAATTTGACTAAAATTACATGTAATTTAGTCAAGAACGGGTCAAGAATTGGGCGGGTCAGGGCAGGTCGGGTCGATTAGAATACCCATGCCCGTCTCGCCCCGCCTACGGGGCGGGTCAGACCCGCCCCAAAATAGTTCAAACAGGTCGGGTAAAACGGGTCAGGTCGAAATTGCCATCCCTAGTGATTGTAATGAGTCATTCGAGCCCAAATAACCCATAATAAATTATTTGGATCCAAATAACTCATTTGGCACCCATTTTCGTCAACACGTTAATTGGAGACACAATATTTTTAAATAACGCGAAATAAGACGTTATTTGGTTCATCATCATCATTCATCAGTCCCAACTTAGCTAGGTAGGCAAACGTTTTGAAATAAGGAGAAAAAAAGAGGAATCTGCTGAACCCTTTCATGTCCAATCCAAGAGAACAGTTATGATCAATCAGGTCAGCAGCAGAGACCCAAAAACAGCCACACATCTAGCTAGCTAGCTGATCAGCTCCACCACGAAAGACGAACTACACTATTATTATATTCATGCTTTGGCAAATTAAGCTAGCTACCAATTAATTCGCTAAACCGTTTTCTAGGTCTAACTACACTGTTGATTGAGCAGTGTGTGTGGTTACGTTACACCTTCTTGATTAATTGCTTCAAACCAATCAATTAAGTGATCAATCCAAACAGTAGCATCAGCTAGCTGCTTTTATAGCAATATTGTTGGCCATAATCATCAAGTACCAAACAACTGATGAACTGACGCCTCCAAACTTGCCCACTTTCGGCCAAACTTTTCCTTCTTTTCTTCTCCTTGGCCATTAGTAAGTAACCCTTTTAAGGTGCTAATTTGGACGGTCGACAATGGTGCTTTATCATGCCATGCCCTAGCTATTGTTAATGTCACTAGCTAGTTAGGGCTTTGGGTTTCGATAAATATGGCTAATCATGTTTGTAAAGAAGACGACATTTTACCTTGCGTGAAAGGTACAGATGAAAATAAAGAAGATGCTGCGTATATATGTTTACTACTTTATTAGACCATGCAATAATGCATGAAAACCCATGAACCAGAATTCGGCTAACGCGCTCAAGGGATTTTATGGGTTATAAAATGAGTGGGGGTTAGTCGGTTCGGTTAAAACTGCAAACAATTTATTTGGTTATTGGTTAAACGTTAAATAATTTGTATTTATGTTAACTGACTCAGGGATAGAGCAAAGACAACCTGTCTTGCTACAACCGTCGAGTCGAGTCCTTCTTTACTTTTGCTCTAGAACGAGGGTAGACTTACTTTCGAGATGAGCTTATCGTACGCTACGCTAGGCAAAGGTAGTTGGTGTAGGAACTCCGCCTTTTTTTAGTCAGTTTACTGCAACTATATAGTTGGCTATTGATTATTTGTAGACTGGCCGTTGATCAAATGATTCGACAAAATTAGATAATAAAAAATCGATCGATAATTGAGCTAACAGAGAAGACTCTTCTTTTCTCGTGTGTTCAATTTTATAGAATTTTTCTTCTTCTTGCATTTGAGTATTTTTAGTGTGCACTGAATATTTCTCTTTAATGCATTGAATATCCCTTGACCCTGAATATTGGTATATGTTTGAGCAGTCATATAATGTTATTTGAATACCAAGATACTTGATCTGATGATTTGGAAATAATAGCCTTATGTCATAACTTGTAAATTCTTATAACCTTTTGCAATTATATTTTTATCACATTTCACAATAATGATTAGGAAACAACAACAACTGAAGAGAATTGCCCAGATGTGGGGACTGTGTGTGGTGGTGGAGTGCTGCATTTCCAAAACTTGTGATGTGTCACAAACACATAATTTGGGGTCAATTGGGTGAGGATTGGGACTTTTTTGGTGCATAACTACATCTACCCATCCAAATCCAAATCCAAAATCTAATAGAGAGTGCATCTATTGATCGATACCCATCTCTCTTTAATTTGTTTCCTAATGTAATGTTTGGTCACCTATCTTTCACTGTCTTGTTTGTCCCTATTCCATTCCATAATAATAATGCAAACGTCTCCCTCTCCTCTATTTCATATATCGTAAACAAGATGACAATTAATATATAATTAATTACAAAATTAATCACGGGTCTTGTCCCTAAAAATGAAGGGGAGGGAGGACCTAACCTTGCTCTTTTCATCAATCGGAATCTAGCTACTTTATTATCATCATTATTGAAGGGATGGGTTTTTTAATTGTTTAATAGGCAGATGAATAGAGGGATCACCACATAATTATTAGGGGCTCTCGTTGGCATTTGCATACCCTTATCTTTAATATGGATTAGGACGCTTGGAAAAGGGAGGTCCTAATTGTACAGCACATAGAGATAAGAGTACAACCTAATCCAAAATGTTAAAAAAAAAAAAAAAAAGACTAGCCCATTCGTGTGCATACACGCATGTCTATCTCCTCTTTTTAATTTGTTTTCAAATAAATTACATAGTTCCTAAGCTTCCCTTCCTTCATTTTTTTATAAAAGTAATAAATTTTATTTATTTATTTAGGTACTATTTAAGAGATTCGAACTTTGTGACTTTCAGGTCGAAAGCTAGTGGTATATTATCACTAAACCAAGTCTTTGTTCGTAAGTTTTCCCTTCTTTCTTCATGAGAAATATTTGATTCTTTTTTACCAAGAAAGTTATTGGATTAGTGGCTCAACCCAATGAACCGAGCTCTCTCGAGCCAATTGTTTAGCACGAGAAATTATTGAGTTTGTAGTTCTTCCAATAATTCTAGTTATTGGATTGAATCGATTGTATGCATCTCTTTGTCATCATATTATTACGTGACTTGATCACATAATGGAAACATCTCTTTTTATATATAATAATTGAAATGGCTTGTAAATCCTCTGAATGACGGATGATATTTTCTTTTTGGGTAATTGGCTAACTCAACATATCAAATGTGTCCCATGACGTAAACCCATAACATCTTTTCTTCTTTTTTCGTGACGAGTACTCTTAATTATCAACAGTGACGTTTGAATTAAGCATATATATAAAAAGAAGTATTGGACTAGTCTCTTTTTTTATTGTTAAAGTTCCATCGAATCGATCGAAGGTAAGATAGTCTAACAGTAAAGCTGTTCCGACAATGAAGGGTTGGGAGTTGCAGATCCCAAATTCGATCCAAACGAATTCCGTTGTGTTCCCGAATATATAAGCCTGCTGGAGATGAACCCGATTGACGTCGAAATTGTAAAAAAAAAAAATCCATCGAATCGATTCTCTGAGGTTTGGATTTATACATGTCGGTGTTCATTCAGAGTCTGGAGCTTGCCAAGAAATTCTTTCAGAGAGCCAGACATGTTCGACTGAATTAAATAATATAATTAATGTCCGGAATTCATGAATGAGTCGAAGTTAGCTTATCCAATCCGGCCAACGTGATTATGCAAATTAATTAAGTGGAAAAGTGATTTTCATATAATAGTTAAGGGCTGCTCTAGCGATCTCCTTGTGGCTGGTTGGCTTCTATGCCTATTAATTAATGGCCGTACATGGAACTAAATATACTGCCAATTGTCGAACTTTTAATTTATGTCTGAATGAGGATTTTCTGGGATTGTGCCCCTACAGATTATATTCTATATGAACAAAAAAGCAAATGACCTCAACTCAACGATGATGAAGGGTTTAATTAAATCGAAGATATTGATGGATTGGTTAGATTTGTAAGGAATATTGTTAACAAACAAACACGTATTATCCTGACAGTTTCGCAGTTATTCTTTTTTCAGTTATTTGAGCTAGTGTTTTGTCTCTTTTTCTTCTCGGAGTTCAAACCTCAATAAATTACGGTTGCAGTAGGTATTGCAATTGAGGCCATTGTACTTCGCCTTTTGGGCTTGCCTTAGATAAACAAAAATACTAATTTGGGCCGCCCTTGGGCCTAGCATGGGATTAACAAGCTGACATCCACGCTCTGCAACCCACAGTATCAGGCTTGCCTCATCAACTTGAGCATTTCGGCTGGCACATAAAATAAGCCCATCAACTTGTGTAACCACCGCATTCAGCCCAAACTTCCTACGGGCTTCTGCAAATAATCCTTGGCTGGTTATGGACCAAAAATAGGCACGAAATATAGAGGAAGAGGACCAATCTCGATTGCAAGGCTTCAGACATTAGCAGGCTCATGCCTCGGCAGCAGCTCAAAGGGTTCTTGCAGTTGCTGATTGATGGGGAACATGTAGTTTTGTGCAAATTGTGCCATTAGCTGATCGACCAGCACCAGGGCTACCATGGCTTCCACAACCGGTACCGCTGCACATTAACCATCCAATCCAACCACAACCAACACCATATTCGTCAGATAATAAACAGAGCTTTCATGGATGATCAATTGATTGGAGGACTTACCTCTTGGGGCGACACAAGGTTCTTGCCGGCCGGGAGCCATTAGCTCCATTTCTTGTCTCTCTCTCGTCACTGTATTCTGCCTCTTCTGCACAAGCAAACAATGTCGTATCATATGAGACCATTCTCCCCAAAAAGCAGGTTGCAGCAGCAGGTGAAAAAACATGTTTCACAGAGGAACAGTAGTTACGCCGATGGTTGGTGTTGGCTTCAAAGCAATTCTCATGTGTATGATTTCACCATTTGATATTCCTCCCTGCATTGTTATCGCCACCACCATCAAGAAACCCTATCAGCAAAACCATATATAAGCTACCTGAAAAGAGGAGTTACAGGAGCATAGAACGAACCTGTATACCACCAGAACGGTTTGTTCTGGTCCTTATTCTACCGTCTCCAGCCATGTAAAACTCGTCATTATGTTCGCTTCCCGTTAGATATGTACCTGCAAACCCGCTACCAATCTCAAAACCTTTTGTTGCAGGTAGTGACAGTGCAGCTTTGGCCAGTTCGGCTTCAAGTTTATCAAACACCGGTGAACCAAGCCCCTGCAGGCACAAATTTTTGGCACAATGTCAACCCCGAACCAGCAGCAATTGAAAGAAAGATTTTTGACAGAGCTGATCATACGATCACATGATGTACTTACAGTTGGCGCATTCCTCACTATACACGTTACAACTCCACCAACTGAATCTCCTTTAGCTCTGACGGTCTCAATGGCATCGATCATCTTCTCGGCATACTCAGGATCTGGACACCTGGCTATGTTGCTCTCTATCTGTGAAAATTCAGGCAGGAGATAATCAGGCCAACATAGCAGAAACAAGTTAGCAGATTTACAATTCCAGCCGGAATTTGTACCTGATCAAGTGTCAGCGACTCGTGGTCGACCGCATCCTGAGGCAGAACAACTTTGTGCACTTGAGAAACATACGCAAGAACCTGGGACAGATATAGGAACGGAAGAGAGACAAGTTCCTTAACAAGTACTAATAAGTAAAATCTGTCAGGCAGGTACTTTAAAAACCTTAAGAGTGGATTTAGCAGATCAGTTAATTAATCAAACCTAACACACCTCGGTTCCAGCAAATTGTTTGAGAATCTTTTTGGCAACAGCTCCAGCTGCGACTCTTGCAATGGTTTCTCTTGCAGAGGATCTACCGCCGCCCTTTGATTCGTGGACAAAGTGAAAAACATTAATAAAAGGTCTTATGTGTATTACTGCGACGGCTCATATCAGTCAAGTCAACGAAATAGGCAGTGTTACCTCTACTGATCTGATACCATATTTAAAGTCGTAAGTTAGATCAGCATGAGAAGGCCTATAAGCTGAAAACAGTTCCTTGTAATCCTGAAACAATGATCAAAACCGTTGGGGAAAAAAAAAAAAAAAGACAACAAATAATTGGGAAGACAAAAGAATATTTGAATATTCATCAAACCCAGCCTATTATTAGGCAAATCATATTTGAGTAATTTTTATTTAGCAACAGACTCATACTAATTTTTTTAGTTTGGGTTTAAATTGGACTCATTTTATTGGATACTAAAATGAATATCCAATTTTAATGCAGATTTTCTTATTTTTTGTTATGAAAAAAATAAAAAGGTGGAAACACCAACATTAAAAGTGTAATTACGTTAAATATGGTTGATATTATTTTTGTGTGTGTATTTGGACTCAAATAGATTCATTTGAGTGTAACACAAATGACACGACCCAAATTGGATCCAACTCAAACCTATTGTCATTCCTACCAAAAACTGTCCAACCATCCACGTGGTACATTCTATTTATAACTTACATAAAAAAGAAAACGAATTATGTGCCATCTCCTGAGTAGAGGTGGCAAATGGACTGGATTTGTGGATTTTTTGATTGGATTAAATGGATTGGTGAATCGGATCATGAATTCAAGTGAGTGACGTCTAAACATTAGACCAATATGTAAATTTTTAAAAATTCTAAGTACTAAAATATCATGATAAAAAAGTTTAGATACCAAAATATAGTTTTCCAATTATATTTATAGTTTAAAAATTAAATTTTGGTACTTTATTGTAAAATATGTAAAGTAAAGGTAAAAAGTATAATTCCATGAATCTAACAAATCCAGTTAGATTTGGATCAAATGGACTGGATTTAAATCGATTGAATTAGTTGGATATTTAAGTGGATGGATTGGTGGTCTGGATATAAAATTGTAAAGTTATCATATTTTAGTATGAGATACTCACTTGCCCTCTTTGACCAGCATTGGGTACAAACACATGAATCGGTGTTCCAGTTGTCAAACCTGCAGTAAGAATGCCTAGTCAGTTTGCCTAAAAATACAACAGATGCTAACAACATATCGCCAGTTCCTAAAGAGAATACTGCTAAACGAAACTATGAAGATTTAGCAAACTCCAACCTTGAGAAACACCAGATGATATTTTGCAGGTATCAGTCTCTTTCCTGTCTGTGGTTATCCGGTTCTGACCGGGCCTCCTATGCACAGATAACAACAGTACTAAGGGATGATGGGGTAATAAAAATGCAGAAACTTCACTCTGACCAACCATGGAACTGGTAAAAATTGCAAATTGAACAACATTAATTACCTTCGATCAAGATCCACCTGCATATCTGCTTCACAGAGGGCTAGCCTCGGAGGACATCCATCAATTACACATCCAACACCACCGCCATGAGATTCTCCAAACGTGGAAACGCGGAAGTGATTCCCATATGTACTCCCACCTGCATTTACCTCTGTTCATCCCCATACAGAAGGGGGAAAAAAATTCGAAGTCAGAATACAATTCTCAAAGACGATGGACTGAAATGGAGGAGATTAGAAGTTTGGATCTGATTCCTCATTTGTCCGTGGCCGTTTCCTTGTTCATTCATTCGTCAAACAGAGTCGTTGCCCTATAGTATAAATGGAAAACCGTTATAAAAGAGAAAGATAGCAGGGGAGGGACTGACGGAGTCTCCTGAGGGTGCGAGGACCGACGGAGAGCTTCCCGAGACCGGAGGAAGCGAGGACGCCGTCGAGTCTGGTACCGCCGAGGAACTGCTTAGAAGTCAGGGGAAAAGAAGAAGCCATGAGCCGAGAAAATGGAGAATGAAGGAATGCTGATAGCGAGGAAGAGGAGAAGACGGAGAGCTCGGGAAATGAGGTTTCTGGTTTTGTAGATAGAATCTGTGGTGGGGTAGGGGATAGGATCTAGGGGAGCTCTCTGTAATGGAGAAATGAAGTTACTACTTGTAAATATTAGGGCGGCAAACGAGTCAAGACGGTCGCAAGCAATTCGGCGTTCGAATTGGAAAAAATTCGTTCGACACTCGGCTCGTTATTTAACATGTCGGGAGCCAGCTTGAGTTAGACCATGCTCAGCTTGATAAGCTCGTGAGTTAGCTTCACTTGGTGGTCTGCAAATGAGTCAAGCCGCTCGCTAGCAACTCGGCGTTGAATCGAAAAAAAACTCGTTCGATACTCGTTATTTAACAAGCTGGCTAGCGAACCGACTCGTTAGGAAACAAGCCAAGTTTGAGCTAGACCATGCTCGGCTTGATAAGCTCGTGAGTTAACTTCACTTGGTGGCTTGTTGAGATAAGCTCGCAAGCTGGGCTGTTTAGAGATTGTGGAATGATTAATTAACTCTTCTGAACATGAACATTATCTTGTTAATTCGGATGTGTATGAAAGTTAGTTGTTATTTATAATTTCTAATATCATTTTTATCATTTAAATTCGTATGTGTCCACAATTTTCCACAAGAATGATTTCAAATCGTGCTCAGCTCAAATCGAGCTCATACTCAGCTTGACAAGCTGTGATAATGAGCATTTACCGAGCTCTACCAAGTCGAACTCGAGTTGGATTATTTTTAATCGAGCCGAGCTTGAGCTGTAAAATTTATAAACAAGTCGTGCTCAATCTAAGCAAAAACTCAACTCGACTTGGCTCGTTTGCAACCCTAATCTTATAATGGTTGGTTTATATTAACGTTAATGTTGATTGGAGAGAAATGAAATGACTAAAGTATTCATGGTTGGTTAGCGTTAATAATGTTGATTGGACGCGGTGGGGGACCCCTTTATGGCTAACTTGTCAACTCTCACGTTGCTGGCGATTCAATAATTGAACATTTCTAAAAAAAAATTAATAATAATATTTTAGATAGATTGTGTTTTTCAGAATTTATTGAGAATATTTTTCTCATTATCCTTCGATTCATCAATTCCAATGACTGACATTCAATATAATTTGGAAGTAAAACCATAAAAACAAATTGTAATGGGATCTCTCTCTCATTGATCATTATTTTCTTCACGAGGAAAATCAAATGTTACAAGATCTCAATGTTGCTATTCATTTTCATAAATTTCAGGCTGCAAAAATTACAATAAGAGTTTATTAAGAATAGCAAGACAACGGGAAACAGTGGGAAAAAAGAGCACGCGATGAATTAACTTGTAGTGTTTGGTTAATTAATATGTTATATGATTTGCTTGATAAAAAAAATGTCGAACTCATGAGATGATCTAATCCAATGTTGATGAATTATCTTGTCGGTATTTTTGTGGCTAGCGTAAAACCAATCTTCCTCAAACTCAATCAATCTCAAACGAGACCGGTTTCTATATATCTCTTCCAATGTGACCTACTATAACCTCATATTGGAAAAACAAGCAGTCCAAGCCAACGGACATAGTTCAATCAGTTGATCGATTTGATTAAAAAAAATTACTGCATAATTAATAAGTTAGATAATAACCGTGATAATCATTTGAACATCCTGCCCCGATAAACTTTGTGACCTAAAATTGAAAATTACACCATGAATCATGTATTACATAATGGAAAGGGACCACATTAGGGGCATTCAGCTCTGGCTCCCTAAGGCCTGCAAATACTCCGTGGCTAATTAGGCATCTGGATATGAATGAGATCACATAATTCCTACTTCTGATCCTGCTGCTATTCAATTGCATGACCTATTTAGAAGAAGAAGAAGAAGAAGAAGAACTCCGAAAACTTTGCACAGCAATAACATATTTTGGTTCAGGCATTTGTTCATATAACCCATGACCCACCAGAAATAGACATAAACGGAATCCAAGGGTAAAGCAAGCAAGGAAGCCAAAGAGTGACGCTAATTATATGGGACCAGTCTCAAGTGTAGGGATTCAGACATTAGCAGGTTCATGCCTTGGCGACCCAAAGGGTTCTTGTAGTTCCTGATTGATCGGGAACATGTAATTTTGTGCAAACTGTGCCATTAGCTGATCGACTAGGACCAGGGCTACCATTGCTTCCACCATGGGAACCGCTGCGCATTAACCATCCAACCAACCAAAATAAACATCATATCTTCTGCGATTCCCTTACCAGATAATCATGAACAATAACAGACCTTTCATTGGAATTAGTGATTGGAAGATCTACCTCTTGGGACGACACAAGGATCATGGCGGCCGCGAGCTATTAGCTCTGTTTCGTGTTTATCTCTTGTCACTGTGTTTTGCCTCTTCTGCGCATTTAAGAAAGTAATATGAAACCATGATCACATATGAAAGGTGAAGAACTACTTAATGCACAGTGATATAACTGGCAAAAAGTTCGTTTCAAATGAGCTCATATTGATCATCAACGTGTTTTCACACAGGAACTTACGCTGATGGTTGATGTTGGCTTGAAAGCAATTCTCATGTGTATGATTTCACCGTTTGATATGCCTCCCTGCATGCAAGGAGTGTCAGCAACCATAATTTCTCAGAAAAGTTACATCGCAAAAGAGTTATGGCATAGAAAGAACCTGTATACCACCAGAACGGTTTGTTCTAGTCCTTATTTTACTGTCTCCCGCCATGTAAAATTCATCATTATGTTCACTACCCGTTAGATACGTACCTGCAGCATAATTATGGCAGTAGCAGTATGAGAATCCACTTTATAGTCACCAAAACTACTTTGGAACCGTACAATGGGTTCCAGTTCTCAACCTGCAAATCCGCTACCAAATTCAAAGCCTTTTGTTGCAGGCAGTGACATTGCAGCTTTAGCCAGTTCAGCTTCAAGTTTGTCAAACACTGGTGATCCAAGCCCCTGGCACAAATATACAGCAAAACATTAATCCCAAGCAGCCATTAAAATAAATTAGTAACTGATACAATTACGATATACTTACACGTGGCGCATTCCTCACAATACATGTTACAACACCACCAACTGAATCTCCTTTCACTCTGACGGTATCAATAGCAGTGATCATCTTCTCAGCATACTCAGGATCTGGACACCTGACAATATTGCTCTCTATCTGTGAAAATTCAGGTGTGAGATAATCTGGTACATGGCCATTCATGACGGGTGATTTTATGCATGCATGGACATTAGAAAAATTAGGTAAGCTTGAATGCTCATGAATATCTAGAAAATGGTTACTCAATATTTACCGACTTTACTTTTGTGTTCTGACTTCATGCCTCATGGGTCCAAATTGGATGAATTCTTTAGAGAAATTATGTGAGCTGAACCTTCATTGGAAGTTACAATGTTCTGTTATTCCTTTTTGATGAATTCTTTGACATTATGATGTGTGTGAATGTGTTTTTTAAGTTATGAATTCTTTGATGTTATAATGTTGACGTCATTCTTAGAAGACTGAATCTTCAAACTAGCCTATTAGTTCTATATGCACTTGGATTGCTTTGATATCTCTCAGCTTAACCCAACATAACAAGAAGTTTGCAGATTTACCCAAATATACCAGCATTGAAAACAAACTGTCACTTACTAAAATTAATGGATAACAGAAATTTTGCTATTCTTATAAATGAGGCTAGATTCAACATGGAAGAGATCCAATGCCAAGTTGAAAATGTCAACAGACCCCGAAAAGTAACAAGACTTTATACCTGATCCAGTGTCAGGGACTCGTGATCGACCACGCCCTCAGGTAGAACAACTTTGTGCACTTGAGAAACATATGCAAGAACCTGGACAAGGGATAGATGAATAGAAAAGAGAAGTCCCTCAACAAGGAGATATTGTTATTCATTAAAGTAAACGAGGTGCATAAAATGGAACTTCAGCAAGCTCTGGCAAGGTTGCAGGACATGCAGAACTACACTGGACTAAGAACTTGGAGAAAAGGTATGCTGTAACCATTTCAAACAAACTACTCAACATGAGTTGAGAAAGTGACCATGAGCATAAACAGAAAAGACTGCACTGAAGCACATATGCTGACTAACTCTGGAGAAAGTTTTTAACTGACAATGAAGATAGCAAAGTAATTTGCATCAACTTATCAAGGTTCCATAAGTGCCTGATTTTTTTTTTTTTTTTTTGGCATTATCTTGTTTCAGTTTCCTACGTGACTGAATAAAATCTTTTACACAATTTATATCAAATTCAACAACAAATGTCATGCTTGCTGACAAAAATCTCCACATTGAATTCTGAAAAATAGGTACTTTGAATCCTTAGATGCAACCTAACACACCTCAGTTCCGGCAAATTGCTTGAGAATCTTTTTCGCAACAGCTCCAGCTGCGACTCTTCCAATGGTTTCTCTTGCTGAAGATCTACCACCGCCCTTGATCAGTGGACAAAGTCAAAATTAAAAAGGATGGAGTTCTTAATTTCATTGCGACAACCCAAATCAGTCAACATCATATACATTACCTGCACTGATCTGACACCATATTTCATGTCATAAGTTGCATCAGCATGAGAAGGCCTATAAGCCAAAGACATTTCCTTGTAATCCTGAAAACACGTGAACCAATTATTAGAAATATTAGAACCAAGAAAAAAATAACCAGTAACCTTCCAGCCCTGTCAGTCATATTCCCCATGGCCCATGCAATTAGATGATCCATATCAAGCACAACCACTTTTGTAATCTCACACAAGGGTGGGAAAACAAAAGTAAACAATTTGTTATGGCAAAGCAACAGCAATAGGTATGCTCCAAGATCAAGCAAAAGCTTGAGACACAGTAGAACATATGTAAACTATTAGTCCAGGGCAAAGTAACAGTGTTAGTTATGCTCCTAGGTAAAGCAGTATCTGGAGACACAGAGAACATATAATGTACGACAATTAAAGAAGCAACTATTTTCTTCCATCTAACTCACTGGAACAAAATCACAACAGGACAAGTAACACTTTCAGACACTATTGAGGATTGCAAATAATGCCTGTTTAGTTGACCAGATAAATGAGGTACACTGTGACATAAAGGTGAAGCAACTATGTCACCCAATAAACTGAAGCTACATGCTACATGATTAGGATCTCAAGAGGTGCCACGGCCCCCCAGACAACAATTTGTATTGATAATTGAAACTCATACAAACAGACAAATAATTATATGCGTACTGAGAGCTCAGATTTTTAGTCCTTAACATCAGATACTCACATGACCTCTTTGGTCGGTATTCGGTACAAACACATGAATTGGTGTTCCAGTTGTAAAACCTGTAGTATGTATAGATTATCAGTTGTTTGAGAAAGACAATATATGTTACACGTTACTCAAGAGAATACTGCGAGCCAATTATGAACATACAACAAACTTTAACCTTCCGAAACACCAGAAGATATTTTGCATGTATCAGTTTCTTTCCTGGGGGTGGTAATTCGGCTCTGACCAGGCCTCCTATACACAGGTATCAGAAATGAATGGGGTAAGCCCTTGGATAATATAACAAAAGAAGATATGTTGACTGGCTAATTAGAAACTTTTTATCTCACAATAAAGATATTAGAAATGGGATTAAGTCATCACGCCACTTTGCAGCAGGCTTTTTCCATGGTAGAGGAATGTATCTTTATAATGCAACCAGAAGAATACCTTCTATCAAGATCCACTTGCATATCAGCTTCAGAGAGGGGTAGCCTCGGTGGGCATCCATCAATTATACAGCCAACACCGCCACCGTGAGATTCTCCAAACGTGGAAACACGGAAGTGATTACCATATATACTCCCAGCTGCATTTACTTCTGTTGATCACCACACAGGAAAGTCAAATTCAGAATGCAAATCGTTATCTGGACAAATATGTACGAGGCCCGTTAACATTATCACCAAACTTTGGATTTCAGAAACAGCAGTTGTTCACAGTAGCTATACGATTTCAAACATAATGTGGCTGCATCTGTAACATCTCTAATGCAAGCAAAGATTCCTCGAGAAGACGGAAACTACATTAATTCTAGTTGGAGTCGTAACAAAATGAAAACCCAAACAATGAAAATGGGGAAAGAAAATAGTGAAAACAAGAGGGGCCAGCAGCAAGCACGAGGAAAACATAGCTTGTCAGTTGTCAATGATACCCAATGGTGCGTGCTTGTGACTGAATTGAGAAAGGATCAACCACTCTAACAATAACCATGAATCATCCCTCCCCGAATTCAACATCAGCGAACTCGAATTCGAGCCAAGGCAAGCCTATAGTGACAAACCATATTCATCCTCCTGATCTCCAGAATTTCGCAGCACGGAACCGCAGAATTAAAATGCCAGAGACAATTCTCTTAACAAGCTCATCCGAAAATCAACAACTAACTAAAATTGACGAAATCGTTTTCCCGCGAGAATTTAAGTAGAGCAACAACTTGAACAATCTCCAATGGGGAATTCGTAAGTAGAGCAATTGAAGCAAAATAAGAAAGAGAGAGAGAGAGAGAGCAGAGACTGACGGAGCCTCCTCAGAGTGCGAGGTCCAACGGAGATTTGAAGGGTGGAGACGGAGAGCTTGCCGAGATCGGAGGAAGCGAGGCCGTCGAGTCTAGAAGCGCCGAGGAACTGCTTAGAAGCGAGGGAAGAAGAAGCAGAAGCCATGGGGCGCAGTTGAGGCGGGAATGGAGAAGAACGAATGCTGATCGGGAGGAAGTTAGCTAGAGGAGAAGGTAAATGGGGGAAGGTGGGATTAAGCCATTAAGGGTTGGTAGATTCAATCTGTGGAAGGAGAGGGAGTTGGAAACTTGGAATGCAGAAATTGGTGGGTGGGTACGTCAAGTTTGGTTGAGACTGAGAGGCAGAGGGAGGGAATCGTCGTCGGGGTTGTTGAGTTGACCGGAGACGGGCCGGGCCGGGCTGTTCGCTAATCACCTACCCACCTACCCTGCACTTGCCACTACGGGGTCGTTTGGATGAGGAATTGTAACAGATCAATTTAACACAAATGTCTCGTTAAGAATAAAAAAATGAAATCTGAAACAAAATAGAATTATAGACAACTAATTATTTAGTCTCTTGTTTCAACATGGTCACAACTCACACGGATAATAAATAGACCATGAGATTTATAGTTTGATTAAGCATTGTCTATTAGTAATCGGTTACTGGCACTCAACTATTAATGTTGTGACTAACAATCGAAACCCAACATATGTTAAGTTCCTATCCGGTTACGAGTTGACTAACTATCCAATTTTACCAATTCATCATGCCCAAGTAACGTAAGTGAATCCTTATGTAGGTCGGGTAGAAACATGGGGATGACATTTTTAAAGGTAAAGGACTTGGAAATGTAAAATGTAAAATGTGTAATTAGTGAGCTGACCCAACCAAAGGTTCAACCTATGACACTTAACCAGCTACTATATGAAGAATTTTGACTCTAACATAGTTTCCCTTTCACTAGTTCGTCTTAACTGCTCGCTGCAATATCAACAGTTGCAGATGTTCTCATCGCCATTATCATGTAACCCAACTTTACTAGAGTTCTCATTTTAAATTGGCCCAATCAGGATCATGTGCATTCAACTAGACCCCAAGGAAACCAATTACTCAACCTACAGACTTTCATGAATGGCACATACATGTATAGTAAAAGAGTTCCTTATCTGAATGGTTTTTATGTGTCTGCTATGTCTGTCAAAAAAGAAACAACGTGTTGCTATGCTTCTGTAATAAACGCCTGTAACTAGTAAAAAAGAATGGTGACTGTAAAAGAAGGGAAAGCAGGATAGCGTACAACAACAACTGCTAAGAGTCACTGGCAATGTTCTCACTGTTCAAACTCAACCACAGCCCGAGCTGGCGCTCGAGTTTTCAGCAGCATCTCATCATACTCATCTTCAGGATTCGAAAGAGCGACAATGGCTCCCCCTGCTCCTATAGAAGCTTCGCCTTCATGAATCACCACTGTTCTGATCACAATGTTGAGGTCAAACGTCTGGTTGTAACAGAAATACCCGATCGAACCGGAGTATATTCCACGGGAACAGCTCTCCAGACCATCCAGGATCTCCATCGACCTCAACTTCGGGGCACCAGTCATTGACCCCCCTGGAAATGCAGCTTTAACACAGTCTATTGCACTCACATTTGACTTCTTTTGCCCTCGAATGGTGCTGACCATCGTGTGCACTGTCGCATAGGATTCCACGTCCATGAGACGTGGAACGTGGACAGATCCCGGCTCACAGACACGGCCTAGATCGTTCCTTAGAAGATCCACGATCATAAGGTTCTCTGCCTGATCCTTTTCACTGTTAGTGTGAAGGAAAAATAGCCAGTCAAATGAGCGAGTTGACAGGAAGGAAAACTAACAGAAAAAAAAAAAACAAGAAAGAATCACAAATAATCCACCTATACTGTAATTGAAGCTTAAGTTGTTCATCTTGTTCCTTTGTTGTGCCACGAGCTATCGTGCCTTTGATGGGCTTTGCTTCTAGCACACCATCTCTGTCCAAGCGAAGGAACCTTTCTGGCGAAGAACAGCAGATGGACAGATCCTCACTTGAGAAATTGAGCCATGCAGCATATGGTGCAGGGTTTTTCTCTCTCAGGTGGAGGTAAAGGCCCAAGGCATCTATATCTCCTACTGTTTTCCTTAACTGAGAAGTGAAACATAACTCGTAGCTCTCGCCATCTTTGATGTAGTCCAGACACTTCTTAACATCTTCGATATACTGCGTTCTAGATTTCTCAGCGCAAAAACCAGCCTCGACTGCAGTAAATGTGGTAGAAGACTGCGGAGCCTTGCCATTTGATCCATTAGCTGCAGCAGTAGGGTGTAAGTGGAGGAGCTTGTTTTGAGTATCGTCCAACCATTCTGAGCTGCTTGTGCCTGCCTCATTTACTGACATTATGTACACATCGTCTGTACTATGATCAATGACTACAAAGTTGTCAGCAAAGAAAAAACAGGCATCCGGTGTTGCAGATTCATGTCTGTTGGATAGCCTGCTGCATTCAACTTTGAGACCATACCTGTGAAGAACAAAAACTCAGCATAAGATGGTTAGTGGATCGTTTAGTTTTGCCAAGTCTTGTTTATTCTGGATGAAAGGGTATCATTCTGTCGGGAAGTTAATAGCACTTTAACGAAACCCCATACATAAGTGACTAATCAATTGATTATAAAAAATAAAAAAAAGGTAGTTCACTAAGGCACACTGAAGTGATGTGATATGAAAGACGACATCCAATAGGTCTGTTTATCGAATTCAAAAGCCAGAATAACCACCAGGGAATGAAAATGTCAAATAGAAGATAAGCTTACCCAATGTAACCAATGTATCCGCCGTAAAATTCAAAAGGTAATCCCTCAAAATCTTTTTCATCATAATCATATGACTGGAGCTCCTGGAAGGGGGAAAAAATCAGCCAGCAAAAGGAGTATCAGACTAGATTCTCGAGTACTGTGGTCTTTTCACTGGTGGCAAAACAAATTTCTAATCAGATTGCCTAGTTTTGTGGAGAAAAATGGTCTATACTTCCCCATCCACTAAGACTAAAGAAGAATAAGCCTATTTGTGGAAAGGGATGCCTGTCATAAAAGTCCTGAATAGCCAGAAACAGAACAATCTGATATAGCCATACCTGATTTAAGAAATCAAGAAAGCCGTTCTCCAAAAATATGCTTTTGGTAGACCCTTGAGAATCTTGAATTGATAAGTAACCTCCACCTTTAAAAGCCTTATCACTTCAATATAAAATGATAAAGAACAGCATTATTTTGCAGCTTAGGAAACTGGAACAAAACTGCGGAAGGATGATGAATGCTTAATTGGTGATCAAGTTGTAACAAAACATACCTCCGGTCTGGCAACTTGAATGTCATTTGCTTCCAAAGTGATCCGCCTACACCTCCCATGAAAGAGAAACGTGCTCGATTCTAAAAGTATCCAGTACCAGAAAATAAATGGCTATAAGTATCAAGAACAAGAAGTTACTAATGCAGACACCAGGAAGCACTGGTTTGCCAGACAGATGAATACCTTTTCTACTGATGAACTGTCTAACCAAAATGTATTCTTCGCTTCAAGCTCGCCATAGAGTCCAGAAAATATATTTCTTGCTCCACCAACGCATGCAGCAAATTTATCCAATTTCCTCCATTTCAGTTTCAAACGCTTATTACAACCAATGCCGGACACAGAGTTCAGCCTACTAGACATTCCAGCACAGTTGTCAACTGCATCGTCTTTTAATTCTCTTCTTAAAGAAGCATCTCCAAATGGCTTAGCGCTTTCATTACATAGCACCTGCCTGCTCCTAGGAACTTTAAATAGTTGAGTAGCATCTGGCACCTGCATACGTGCTAAGAAAGGTTTACCACTCAGAGACGATCATAGGAGCTCCAAACTAAATAACTCGAAGATTACTTTTGCATTGTTTATTAGATATAACAAACGGATTTCGATAAATTCATCATAGCAGATATTCAGCATATTCACAAAACAAGGAAACTAATAATGAAAGGCCGTGTAGTAATTCTGGTTTACCAGTGTAACAAATTCTATGCCCATTGATAGACGCTGTACTCAATTTCTGCCAATAATCCTCAGTGATCTCCCTAAAGTTCTCAAAAATATTTCTACCGTGACATGTTGCAATGCTCTCGGGGTGGAACTGCCATTTCAAGGAAGCAAAAATTTAGGAAAAAGAGAGCAAACTGGACAAACAGGAAAAGACAAACTACTAGAATAGCCAACCTGCAATCCATAATGAGGCCAAGTAGAATGCCTAATGCCCATGATAACTTGTCTACTTCCCAGTTCATCTGTGCAATTAGAAGACGGAGAACTCATATCTTGCATTGCTGGTGAAAGATTATCATAAACATCATCATGCTTATTCTGGGGGTCTAAATCATGAGGAAGGGCACTCGAGCTATGTGATTCAAGGAAAGAATGGGTCCCACTGGAAGTAGTCCATGCAATGGGTATGAGTTCCTTCGGTAGAGATTCTGCATCAATAACAAGAGAATGATAACGTACCACCTGGCAATATTAAGACAGAATTTTGTTAGGCTTCCGATGTAAAGAGCTCTGTGCTAATCAGTACATAGTTTTTGGTCTATGCCAAAAATGCTCATCTCACAATGGAGTTCATCAGTTAAAAAAAGACCACTTACCTTGAAGCCAGATTTTGTGCCGGAAGGTACATCCTTAAACAATCTGCACCCATCGTGTTCAATCTCACTGCAAGGAGCACAACAAGTGGTAAGAAGACAAGGAAAGGGGAACTTTACATCTACAGTCCTAGTGCAATGCAGTGATAGCAAAACGGTCCTGTTCAACTGTATAAATAATAGTAGTGCATTTCACATACCTCAAGCGTCCATGTACTGGTTCTGTTGCATGTACAATGCGAGCTCCATGCACATAAGCCATCGCCTATTCCATGAAAAAATCCAATGATAACAATACTTGTTGATCAACGTACAGCTAATTGCTTGTAAACATTGCAGATCTCATTTGAGGGGAAAATTAAAAATGCAGAGAAGCCCACAATGAGGATGAAGGAAATTACCTGGTGACCCAGACAAACACCAAGAACAGGAATATCCCTGCACTCAAGTAGCACGCGAAGACATAGCCCTGTAAGATCCATATGGATTTCGCAATGTAATCACATACACCTCTTCAAATAAGAAACAAAAAGCAGATCAAGCAATGCCCAAAAACTAGTCTCCAAGTTCGATTAAAATCTCTTATCATGAAAAATTTAGCTCAAATTCCACTTAGCATGAATCGCCCAAATGCACAAACTTCAACAGAATTAAACCCTGATATCCACTAAAATTGTTGTCTAATTCTCACACTTGACTGTTTTACTCTACATAAATGCAAGTCAATAAAGAATATGAATTCCACAGAGACAGAACCTTACCGATATCAGCTGCACATGTTGGAGTCCCAGGTCCAGGTGATATGACAATATTGTCAAATGCTTTTTCTTTATATAAGTAATGGCACAGCTGTTCCCAAGTCCATTCATCATTTCGAATCACCACAGGAGGAGCTGATGTTTCAATGCCCAGAAAGAGAGGGAGGAAAAGGCAAAGATTCAGAGCATATCATCTCCAATAAATCCAATAAACTGGCTTAGACACCACAAGAAAACCGATGCCATAGTAACCAAAATTCTTAAAAGGGGTGACCAAAACTTAAAACATGAATTCCATACCCCCATTGACAACGGACAACTCTTGGTATATGTTGTAGGTGTAACTATCATAGTTGTCAATCAATAGTGTCCTCACGAATTCCACCTCTCGAGTAGGCTCCTGTAGCTGATTCTTCCCAATGAAGGACTCCTGCAAGCGTCCAGGAACAACCTGGCTAGCTACCACCAACTTCTTACCATTCCGGTAAGATTCTCCAACACTTCCATTCTTAGTAAAGTAACCAACTTTCAAAAAGGGCTTCGAGGCCCGTACCAAGTTCACATTGGCACACAACAGACCCTCGTGAGAGGGGCTTTTGACATCTACAGAAGTTGGCGAGCACACAACCAACTTCATTTCTTTCTCACTTGAATCAATCCTTCACCGCTTCTGCAAAACAGAAAATACCAAGTCTAAATACGTCTGGAAATGGGTATTCGTCACGGATTCAAAATTTACGGTGGGCGCTTATACCGACACTTAATTAGAAAAGACAACAGAGATCTGAAGGCGACCCAGATAAGGAAACAGCACGAAGAACACAACTTTCACTCGAATACCAATCCAGATAGAGCAAAGAGCATATGGGATGGTGGCGCCAATGACAAAAAAAAAAAAAAAAAAAGATAAAGCAGAGAGAAAAGAAACAGATCTCGCAAATAATGGTGAAGGTGCACCAGATGGTAGGCCCCGCCAGAGACACCAAAAGGGCGGCGGTTATCGGGTCGGGGTCGGGGATAAGTACGAAAGCAATAACGGGGATTAGGAGAGCCAAAGTTGAAGGGTTTTTTTTTTTTAATAAAGTCAAAGTTGAAGGTAGTATATCTGCATCTAATGCGATGATTTGAACCATGGTCTCCCCAACTTAGAGTGCTTTTGTGCCTGGTCGATTTATCACAGATAATGTGATGGCAGCTTTTGAGTGTTTTCACACGATGAAGAGAAGACAAAAAGGAAAGATTGGCCATTTTGCAGCAAAAATTGATATGGCAAAGGCACATGATCGAGTGGAGTGGAGTTTTCTAGAAGGAGCTATGCGGAAAATGGGTTTTGCTGAAGCATGGGTACAGAAGATTATGGTATGTGTACGGTCTGTTACTTACTCTATCTTAGTAAATGGCAACCAGTCAGCAGCTATTTCTCCGGGGAGAGGGATCAGGCAGGGAGACCCATTGTCACCCTACCTGTTTCTGTTATGTGCGGAGGGATTGTCAGCATATACTGAGAAAGCAGTTCAGGAAAAACGGTTACATGGGCTTCAACCTGCTGCTGGTGCTCCTGTTATTTCCCATCTGTTTTTCGCGGATGATAGTATTTTCTTTGCCAGAGCAACTCAACAGGAATGCATCATCCTGAAAGAGATTTTGTCAGATTATGAGAGGGAGTCGGGCCAGTTGGTAAGCTTTCAAAAATCAGAAGTTTCTTTTAGCAAGAATGTCTCACCGCATAACAAGTTGATTATTGGAGGCACTCTGGGTATGAGCATTGTTGAGAAACATGAGAAATATTTGGGATTAGCAACAACTGCAGGGCGATCAAAGAAGGAACTATTTTCTGGGTTAGTAGACCGAGTTCGGAAGAAGCTAAAAGGGTGGAAAGAAAGAGTGATGTCTGTTGCAGCACGAGAAGTCCTTATTAAGTCTGTGGTTCAAGCTCAGTTATCATACGCGATGTCGGTTTTTAAAATCCCGGAGGGTATTCTTGAGCAAGTACACAGCTTGATGACGACGTTCTGGTGGGGTCAGAAGGGCTCTGAAAGAAGAGTTCATTGGATAAGAAGGGAGGAACTGGTCTGCCCAAAGATGGAGGGCGGTATGGGCTTTCGGGATATGAAGGGATTTAATCTAGCACTATTAGCCAAGCAGCTGTGGAATCTCTATCAACGCCCTGAATCACTGATTGCAAGGATCTTAAGAGCAAAATATCATAAGAGGTCGTCCATTCTGGAGGCGAATGTGGGTCATAATCCCAGTTTTGTTTGGCGTAGCTTATTTACAGCTCAGGAATTTTTGCACAGGGGATTACGGTGGAGGATTGGCAACGGGGACTCGGTCAGGATATGGGGAGACAAATGGATACCGCATAAGGAAATTCAGTATGTCACTTCATCACCGAGGGGATTGCCAGTGGATGCGAGGGTAAGCGACTTAATCGATCCCATTACAGAAGTTTGGGATTTGCCCACTCTCGAGAAATGCTTCCCGGCGGAGATGATTCAGACCGTTCTGCAGATCCCTCTGCGTGGATTTCATGAGCGGGATAAATTAATATGGAGCTCCAGCAAAGATGGGAATTATACAGTGAAGGATGGATATCATGTGTGGCTGCAACAGTTCAAGGTGGAAGAGGGAGTGGAGCCGGCAGGTGATGAGGGAGTTTGGAAGAAGCTTTGGGCGGCGAAGGTAGCTCCGAAGGTAAAAATCTTCTTATGGAAGTTCGCTAGGAATGTGTTGCCGACTGGGGATCACATAAGTGGAAAGAGTCAGCGGTGGGGAGACCAGTGCCCGTTCTGCAATTTGAAAGAGACACAATTACATTTTTTCGGCGACTGCTCGTGGACGAGCCGAATATGGAGGGCGTCTGACCTCGCAGACTGCTTTGAATACCAGCCGGCTCTGAACTGCTTCCAATGGCTGCAGCAGGTGATGGACCGAGTTGACGATGAGAAGCTGGGAAGGTGGAGTGTCCTCTTGTGGTTTTTGTGGAAGGAAAGGAATGCCCAGATGTTCAATGGAGTAAAGGTGCCGGAAGAGGAAATTACGACGAGGGCGTGGAGCTTTTTTGATGATTATCAGCGCCACCAACAACTGCATCCTATACAACAAGAAGAGAAGGAAATGAGCGAAGGATGGAAGAAGCCAGGGTTGGGGTCTCACAAAATCAACACGGATGTCGGGGTTGACGAGGCAGATGGTATAAGGCTGGGTGTAGTGATTCGCGACTCAGGAGGTAAGTTCTTGCTATCGGCGACTAAGCGAGTACATGGCAGCTTCGAAGTGGAGATGGGCGAAGCGCTGGCGGCGGAATACGGAATGCAGCTGGCTCTGCAGTTCGCGATCACACATCCCATTTTGGAATCCGACTGCCTCCCATTGATTCAGAAGATCGACGCAGCGGCAAGTATACACACAGAAATTGGGGTGATTTGCAGAAACATTCGTCACATTTTTAATGAGATTGGGCAAGGTTCGTGGAATCATGTTCGTCGGATGGCAAATGAAGCAGCGCATATCATGGCACACTCCAGAGATCTCTCGTCTAATGCAATTGTTTGGTTGGATAATCCCCCTCCTTGTTTAGTTCACCAGCTACAGCTGGATAACGCTATGGCGGATTCTGATTAATGGAAGTAAAGCAGATTTTCAGTCAAAAAAAAAAAAAAAACCATGGTCTCTTCCATCAAAGACAAGAATTGTAACTAATTAGAATAGACACATTTATTGTACTTCATTAATACAAAGGCTTAATTGCAAGTTTGGTCACTCGAATTGCTATAAAATTTCACTTTTGCCACTCAAATTGATGTATTCCATTTATAGTCACTTGAATTAGTTGAACAGTCCAAGTTTGGTCACTCTCCGTTAACCTCTGTTAGACTCCGTTAATGACGACCGTTAAGTGATGACGTGGCTAACAGAAAATCACAGTCAGCATATTTTAACACTAAAAAATGACGACCCGACCCGCCACGTCACATTTACCCGCCATGTCATGCCCAAACCGCGAACCATCCCAATTAATTGACCCCAACCCAATTAGAAGTCACAGAACCCATTGTGGTGCTGGGTTGATTAACCCTAAACCAAAGATCTAAGAGAAAGCCATTGATTCCGATGGGTTCAGTAATTCTACCTTGAGATGGCAATTAGAGAGCTTAACAAAAACAGAACCCGCTCTATCCCCTGCAGTTAATAACAACCACGAGATTTAGCACGAAAATAAGGAATCTGACAGAGAGGAGGAAGGACGGGTAGCAGGTGGCCGGCGACATACATGATTTGGCGAGTTTGAAATGGTTGGCAGATTTAGCGTACAACTCAGCGACATCTTTGCTTGGACCCAAATACGCTCCAGCCGCTGATCTTCTTCTCAGCCTTCCTCTCGAATTCTTCTCCCTTTGCTATTTGATCGTCGATGTCCTTCACCGAAGCGTTGGCCGGATTTCTGAATGATCTCCCTCTTAGTGGAGACCGGAACGACGGTACGCGGGTTGGGCAATTAATTGGGTTTCGTTTTTGGGTTTGGGTCAACTAATTGGGTTGGTTCGCGGGTTGGGCAAGAAGAGCTGACATGGCGGGTAAATGTGACATGGCGGGTCGGGTTGTCATTTTTTAGTGTTAAAATATGTTGACTGTGATTTTCTGTTAGCCACGTCATCACTTAACGGTCGTCATTAACGGAGTCTAACGGAGGTTAACGGAGAGTGACCGAACTTGGACTGTTCAACTAATTCGAGTGACTATAAATGGAATAAACCAATTGAAGTGGCAAACGTGAAATTTTATAGCAATTCGAGTGATCAAACTTGCAATTAAGCCTTAATACAAAATATAGAGGAAGTTAAAATTAGGGTTATAGGTATAATATGCCCCTCTACTATGACGTTTTATCTAACATGCCCCTCTATTATTTTTTACATCAAACATGCCCCTATACTTTGTAAAAATGATCAAACATGCCCTTTTGTTAAAATTTTCATCAAAAAACCGTTAACCAAGGCCGAACTTTAGTTTGGGTGATGTCGATGTCCCTCCCAATTGCCGATGTCGGGTCGTCTAAATCTCAATTCAACCATGATTGACGATTTTTTCAATGGAAATTTTAACAGAAGGGCATGATTGATAATTTTTTTCAAACTACATGGGCATATTTGATGTAAAAAATAGTAGAGGGGCATGTTTGATAAAACGTCATAATAGAGGGTCATATTATACCTATAACCCTTAAAATTATGAAAACATAGTACTTTTCTATCATGGTTAGTTAGCTCGCTAAGTCTCTTGTAAGTATTTTGTGGTGTTTGATAATTCTATTTTTCATATTTTAATAATTAATTTAGAATTTTTTCTAACTTATAAATGAAGGATAATCTTAAAATCTCAACACAAATATCATTGGTTGGATGCGCATTGAATTGAAGTGTTCAATGACGACATAAGAACATTGGTATCATACATTTCAAGAAAATAAACATGACAAACATCGATACTAATTATCTCGACAGTCTATGTTCAAATTCGAATTTGTTTAATAATTTAATTTGAGTGATAGTTTAGTCAAAGCAAACAAATAATTCACGATTGTGTATAAATAAAAATAAAAACATATGTATTGTATTATAAAAATGTATTTATTTTAATAATAAAAAACAATCAAAACTTCCATATACAACGCCTTATTTCAGCATTGTAATTGATGAAACAATTTTTATCAACATGATGTAATGTTCAAGCTAAGGTCCAATTATTACTCATCAGTATATAGTATTCAGCTTAGTAAACTATTTCAATATCCACAGCTAACTATTAATGATTACTTGCTTTTTGCTTGAGGGTTTGATGTAACACTATCAAGCCTACACTCTAAGCATTTTTTTTCTTTTTTCTAATAATTTTTGCAGTTATTTGTTAAATCAACTATGTTTCTAGCTTTCCATTCATAATTATTCACTGCTTCCTACTAACTTATGGGAATGGTGAATATTTTTTTCATGTATAATCTATTGACTATGAATGTTGCTTACTACTTAAAATTCAAAGGTATCCATGTTAGGTTTGACGTCTCCAACATATTCTCACAATTTCTCGAAAAAGCATCATATCTTGCGATTGATATCATAGTTTTGTTAGGTAAAGTTCAACAAACTCAATCAATATTCGAGCTCTTTGAAGTAGCTATCTACATGTGAATATGAAGTACTGAGTAGCTAAAACTCTACTTGAGTTAGTACGATCATTTGCGCTATCAATTAAAATTCAATACATGATTATCTTATTACAATTTAGTCATACTAATTGTGCAGTAGGGGACATCTTATCAGAATCGTATCGAAAGACTCCTTGATTGATCAGTTTCGGGATGTAATCAATTATACCAAATAGAAGTGATCAAATTTATATGATGCTCTCTAAGTTTGCTATACTTATTGAGGTTCAACAACATGTTAATCTAAGGTGGTCATTGGGCATCTGTCTATCTCCTAGCTCGCCTAGACACGCTTAGACGTTGTAATATAAATAGTAATTTTTAATAATGATGAATGAAGTAACAGTTATGAAGCACTTTCATACTTCAGTTCAAATGATTTAACAATAAGCAAAATAACTCTCAAGTTTATAATTTTTATACCAAATGGTATAATTAATTCATTTATGAGCTGAAATAGCTAATTATAAGCACTTGAATTTTTAAGTTAAAACTCATATGATACAATTGTTTGACGAAATGGTTTTTATCATAGAATGGTTCTATCTATCGAGAGAGGTCTCTAAGAAACATGGCTTACTTTATTATTCCTTATGTATATATAATATATATCTTCATCGTTACTTTTACAATAGATTCAATTTAGTATACTTTTTCGTTTAGATAGATTTTTGTAATGATTTTTTGAGATATAATATATCATTATTGTATGATGGTGTAGGATATTAGTTCCTCTCATTTTAGGTTCAAATTGATGCATTTTCCCCTTTATCGTTCCGTTTTATCAGTTAATAATTTTTATGATATTTTTCACTATGAAATATCGTGAGCAGAATCTATACACAACAATTTGTGTTTTTTTCGCTTCCTCTTCTCTTGATTAGATATGTGTCCATATTGATTTTTATATTGATTATTGAATTACTACTTTTTTGTTCTGAAGTTTATGAAACAAAGATGCATTTTTTTGAGAAACATGAAACTAAGATGCATATTAATAAAGAATGTAAGGTGTCATCTTCCCTCTTAAGGCATAAGCACTACATATCATTGTTTACCTACTGTTAAATCAAAGTCTTTCTAACTTGAGTACGAGCTACAATGACTTTTATTGTTTGTCGATTTTCCCAAAATATAAGGTATGTTGCTTTTAGTTTTCGCATTATTTTCAATTTGATTTAGCTTTTTATGTGTTGCTCTATTAGTTGAACTTGCCAGTTGGAGATCTGCATGCTTCGACTACATTAATGTCACAGTGACTTCTATATGAAATGGCACTCGAAACATGAGTGTGTGTTTAGTTTGTTTCTAATTAAGGACACTCTAAACATATACTTTGTTCCATTTATCATTGAATACACTAAAGTCAATGAAAAAGTCGAAACATTTTATCGTTTACTGAAGATTGATTATGCATGTATGATGTAAAATTACTCTTACCATTGTTCTTCTTAGACGTTTTTATATCAATACGACTTCGTTTGAAAATATGTATGTTAGTGTAGTTGGACGTTGTTCGTCATTTTTAAAACTTCGTTAGTCAAATACATCAAATACTTTCCTATTCCTATATTATTAATGGAGAACTTACCAAACTAAATATTTATTTCAAACTCCAACAACATGAACGATAACGGGCATTGGATTGGCGGGGTATTGGTGATTTGGACGGATCTAGGATTGCTACATTCCTTAGGGTCGGACCCACGAATTACATCAAGTGTATTTAACGATGAAATAAATCACCAAGGATTGTCAAATAGCCTTGAGTTCAAATACTACTATCGTAAAAATAAAATTTTACAAAGAAATTTTGTCAAAAAATGGAACAAGGTTTGTCAATTGACAAGCCTTGGGCTAACCTAGGTCCGCCACTACTTAGGGTGGGCATCTGTCCGGTCTGAACCGGATCAGACCAAATTCAAGAGAACCGCGGTCCAATAGTGAAAGATATCTTAAAACCAAGGACTAGACCAATAGTGCATTCGGTTCGCTTTGGTCCTTTTTTATCTGGTCCAAATATCAATTCGGTCCATTTTTCTTCAGTATCTATAAAAATTCGTTGAACAAAGTATCAGACTGTATTATATTTGATTCAATTTGGTCCGGTCCAAACATCGATTTCGGTCTGGTGTGGTCCGACATGGACCAACCAATTGCCCACCCCTACCCTTCCTCCCAGTCTCTCAACCTCTCTAACTAACTCTCACATAGTCCTCCGACGCGCGCTTTGCTCAACCTAATTCTCGAGGATTGAAGGATAAGAAGGCGGCAGTTAGGGATGGCAATGGATCCTGAAAGCAGGTATTTTGATATTCATACTCGTTTGTGGCAGATTATGTATAAGTCGGATAATTATATGAATATGTAATTTAAACAAAAAACGTTAAAAATATTTAATTTTCATAAAATTCAAGAAACAAACCATACCATGATGAATCTAGTTAAATATATTCAATAAATATGGATTTTCCACATATTTACAATTGTATTATAGCAAAAATATGATGGAATAAAATAAAATCCTAAGCGATCTGAGTAAAGTGACATGGAATTTAGATATGAACCGGCCGAGAATGTGACAAGTCACGATAGTTCAGGTCGATGAAAGTACTTGTTGGGCCCATAGTTAAGCAGTATTGGGCCTAAGAGGCCCGGGTAGGCCCACGAGGAGACAGAGAGGCTAAGCCCAAGGAAGGGACCGAGTCAAAGAACGAGACCCCAGGAGACATGGGGAAAAGAGACACCACAGGCGGCCGCCCTATGAAGTGACGGGAAGTAGGCCGCCTGACACAGAAGACCATTGGTGTCAGGAAAAGTAGATCTTCCTAGGATACTTACCTCGTACACAGCAGGACTGAACATTTAATGCCCGCCGCAGGCGGTCCAAATAAAGTCGAACATGTCTAGGCCGCCTGACAAGGCATTTAATGCCTCATACCTAAGCTGGCTGACTATAAATACACCGGTATCGGCATTAATGGTAACTCAACTACTCACTCTCTATCTAAACCTAAACAACACTTCTATTTCTCTCTCTAACTTAGGCATTGGAGGGTGTCCGGGGAACCGCCCACGGACCCTTGTTTTGTAGGAGTTGGAGTGCACCCTTCATCCAGAACAAACGCCTTGCTTGCTCTGCATACAACCGCCTGGAACATTCTAGGCTTAAACAGTACTCATACCTGTTTCTTATTAATTAAGAATGGTTGTAGCTTCTTTATTAAGAATAGTGGTAACTTCTTTTAGTATGTTTGATAAAATAGTAAAAGACCCCACACGTATGATGATTGACTGATAAATTTCTTATCTACAATGTATTTAAAGCAAATTCATGATTGGAATTGTTTCATTTTAAATTTCGTAATAGAGAGTGATTCTAGGAATGATATTTTTGTCATTTCACTCAATTCATCTTTATATATTTAAAATGACATCATTGGGATTTGAGCCATAGCCACTTAAATGAAGACATAGCATTATAACCAACTAGACTATGTTATATTTATTGTTATTTCTTTGATTAAACTCTATAATATGTTTGGTAATGCGTGTACGTGGGCACCGGGGCGGCCCGTGGGCACGACACGGCACGAGCATGGACATGAAATATATAGGCCAAACATGGGTTGGTTTTTCAGGGATTCAAATTTCCAGCCACCAGAGAGCTTTCCGGAGGCGCAAGCATGTCATTACATGTGGTTCATTTCACCATTTTTTGATGTGCCAATAAATTTGTAGGCCCGTGCAAGATAAACCTCATTATACATTTCGATTCTTCATATAAATAAAATCGTTTGAAGAATGAACAAACACTATACTCACTCTGTAGGTTGAATGAATTTTGGCTTCATCATTTACAATAATTGGTACATTTATAATATCGTGATGTTTGAAATCTTTTCTGTATTGTTTAGAAGTATACTCATTATTTATCCCGTTAGTGGAAGTATATGGTATTCAAAGTTGAGTACTGAGTGCATTGATTTAGTGTCTTTTAACTTGGTGGTACGAATGAGAGTACACTTATTCATGCAAATGTTTATAGCTATGGATTTAAAAAATTCATTTCTATTAAAATATCTACATATAGTCAATGTAGTCAAAAGCGAGTTTCTACATAGAAACGTTTTGGTGATCTAGAAGCGTAAAATCGTAAGTTTTTAAGTTTTAAAACGGAGTTTTTAACTACATAAGTTATAAAAACTGAGATTTTGTGTAGAAGCATTTTAGTGATATAGAAACGTAAAATCGTTAGTTTTTAAGTTTTAAAGCTCGATTTTGACTACATTGCATATAGTATTAGGCAATCATACCCATTGCGACCAACTGCAGCACTCGTGATCCAAATTGCCATATTTATTTTCAATACTCATTGACTATTTTTTCCTGAAATCATGAATCTTTTTTATAAAATTATATTTTCACAACAAGCAATTATATGTTTGTAGAATGAGTATTTTATTTAATTAAATACTTAAAAAAAATTAAGATTTGATCATTATAATAGCCTTCAACCATTCTCTTATGCCAATGTAAGGTATTATCAACCACAAATTTGTTTGGAGATATATATTTGTTACTAATGAATTAGTATTTGATAATTTATATATTTTTAATTATCACATTTAGATTGATTTTTAATTATACAGTTAGAACAAAATAAGTGGTCAATTTTAGCTTTTCATATCACCAATTGGTCAATCCCTTGAAGTTTGTAGTGACTATTAAGTCTAGTGATTAGTTTGATGTGATTGGCCATTTTCATCTAGAATTTGTGGGATCCCTGTGAGTTTGTGAGTTTCATTATATTTCCAACTTTGGCGACAACCATTTTTAGTGAGAGGGAGTCGAGATTGGAGTGGTTATAGGCCAATATGGAGGTTCTTTGAAAGTTGTTTTTAGGGGTCTACCCCAATATCGTTTACTCTCTTTCCCATAACGGAATGAAAACTTCTTAATTATGCCCTAAAAATATGTTCCCATAAGCAAGAAATGCAGTAATGCTTGACAGATTAATGAATTCATCGCTTGGTGGAATCATTGAATTGGTAGTGCTCCCGTTAATGCAACTACATGATAAAAAATTGTCTTTGAAAGTACGAGTAAGATAAATAGATGTGCTATTATTAGTGTGAGTATTTCAATTAGTTCAAGTACAATATTTTATATGCTTGGTGTTTTATTCCTTAAATGTTTGAACTTTATTTGAGTCTAGATTTGATGAATCCGGTTATGGTAATTACTTAGGTTTTTTTTTATGAACTTATATATCTGTTGAAATTTAATTTATTGTTCTTTGTGAGAGACCGCTAATGAACGTTCCATAAAAACTTGGTCATTGATAGATTGGTTAAAGTGCTTGCTAATTTGGGACATGAAATTGGCTGAACACATTTAGTTAGTTGTGATACCAAGTAAACATGATAGTGGTTGTGTTGTTCGTAGTTGTCACACGAGTTCATACAAATGAACTTAAAGGATAACTTCAGTATATGTGGCAATTGAATAGCTAAATGAGATAGAGTTTTACATATAAATATAAGTGGGGAGCTATGAATGGGTTTAGAGGATGCATTAGGTGAAATTTTAGTTCGTTTATTTATGTGATGAGAGTTAGCATTGACAAATTTTTTCTTTGTACCAATGTTTGAGATAGTCATTAATTGAAGCTTTTCGAAGGCGATAACCATCATATTTCCATCAAAGGACTATAATTTTCTTTTATAGTGAAGAATTACTATGTATGTATCATAGAAAGCAACTCTCATGTTGTTATTTATGCACCATTCTTATATAGGCAACACTTTATTTGTAATCGTATATGTTACTATTAGTTGCATTTTCTTTATTAGTTATTTGGTATTTCTCATGTTTCAATGCGTTCAAAACATATAAAGAGTAGTGTAAATATTGTATATATAGTTTATAACAAAATACAAAGCAAAACATACATTATCAAATATGAGTGTGAATGACATAAACAAATTAGCAATATTTCACCAATACCAAGATAACGGATAAGAATAAACCGTGTAAATGTAAGGCTACCAACATGCTGGACAGAATTTTTTGTACAATACGTTATGGGTTTCATTTCATAAACCTTGTCTTTTTATTCAAGCATATTTTTAAGATTTAACCCAACTTGCCCAGCTCCGTTTCAGGAACCGGAGGTGGAGCAAAAATGGAAAAAGAAAAAAAACACGTCCAATTCAAAGACCGGCGAGCACCATAAGTTTTTTCCAAGCAGGCCGGCCGGAGATATCCTCCCACCAAGCCTTCACCTTCTCCCGCTCCGCCACCAGGTGGGCCATCCCGGCTTCATTGATCAAGTACCGGAGCCCCGGCAGGTGGCTGAGGTCCGCCAACGTGAAACTCTCTCCGGCCAAGTACTTGCTCTCCGACAGCCTCTTCTCGTACACGTCCAGCACCTTCTCCAGCTTCCCCTCGCAGTCCTTGACCACCGCCGCGTCACTCTTCAGGCCCATTCGGGGCATCACCACCAGCTGCATCACCGCCGCGTAAACGGGCTCGTTGAAGTTGTGGGCCTCCACTTCCAGCCACTGGTCCACCAGGGCCCTCTCCTCCAAGGTCCGGCCCAGCAGGCCCGGTCCCTTGTCGTCGAATTTAGCTGCGTAGTAACGAATGATCGCCCTCGATTCTGAAGTTAGCCCATTAACAACATCCACAGCCCGTTAAATGTTCCATTGAAAATTGGTAAATTGTCATACAACAAAGATAGTTTTGGGCTTACCAAAAAGCTTAAGGTCGCCATCTTCGACGAAGGGAACCTGCCCGAATGGCTATACAAGATCACAGGGTAGTAAAAGAACTAATCAATTACATGATTCAAAGGAAAAATTGGGAGAGGAGAGAAAAGAAAGAAAGAAACAGAGGACCTGTTTGGCGAGGAAATCAGGGCATTTGTGGTGTCCGGATTCGAGATCGACGGGGACAACTTGGAAGTCGACTTCCTTTTCCAGGAGGCAAGCCAGTACTCTCTGAGGGCATGCTGCCTTTAGGGGACCGTACACTTTAACAACCATTTTCGGTTTGCCTAGCAAGCTTTGAGTATGTAATTCCAGGGCTGGGGGGAGCTTTGATTTGAGACCCAGAAAGAGGAAGAGGCCTAGTTAAAGGTAATGCAGGGGATTGGCTGGAAATGAGTGGTAAGCCCAGAGCCAGAAGCATGGCGGGTGGCAACAGCCGGCTAGATAGCAAGCGAGGGAGGGATTCTCTGAAAGTCCAACCACCATGGCTATGAGGTCGATGGAGTTTGGCGTTGGATTGTTTGTAGGTGGTGGGTGAAGCTTTGGTCGAACATTTGAGGAGCAGAGAGTGCGCGGGGGTTGGCACGTTTGACTTGCTTCTTCCACCCCCTAGTTCACTGCCAGCCACTTAATTATAATTTTATTTCAGGAAAAAACACAAGAAATAAATTACTTTTTAAATAACGATATTATAATTAATTTCATCTCATTATACTTAAAAAAGAATTTAGATTACATGCCTCACACATTCACAATTCTGAAATAAGATCTCCACAATTTATTGGACACGTCGCGGTATTACGGATTCGCCCAACATACAAAACATTAAGGGGTCGTTTGGATGGATCAAAATGATGAGTCAATGTGCTCCAATTGACTCAAAATGAGATAATTGGGCCAAATTATCCTATTTGGCTGCAAAAAATAGGAATGAGGCAATTAGAAATGAGATAATTGAAATTGCTTCATTATGGGTCAATCACAATTACTTGGGTGGGAGGGAGGTAATCTATATTACTCCATTTTGTGGGTCACTTTTCCCAATCTAACCCCTTTATTTACTTTTTTTTTCTTCTTCCTTTTCACAAGATGGAGAAGGACAAAAGTATGAGGACAAATATGTATTTTCAGAAAATGCATCATCGCAATTGTCTAATGCCAAATCACAAGTCAAACAAGACAATTATGTAAATATTTCCTCGTACAATTAGCTCATTTTCTAAAATGAGACTTTTTCCCCAAATTGCCTCATTTTAAGAATGTTCCATCCAAACGACCCCTAAAGATTATGTCGTCGACGAGCAACCAAATGCGTCACCTCGTCCAATGAAGACATCATCGATCCCATCTCATCGAACTCTTGTAGAATACCTACCATTGGGCTCATTTGGTAATTGATCCACTGGGCTCCAAAGTGGGAATGTTCGTTTCAATTGGGCTCAGCCCCCATGTATTTCTAGTACCTTTTCCTGGAGATTGGTCTCATAAAATGAGAATCAAGCCCACTTTAGGGATTTGGATGTCTTCCCTATTATCGCCTGCTACTGCCGCTTCCTTACTCCTCTGGACCAGAGGCTCTGGTGGCGTTATTGTCTACCTGCATGGCGGTCGACAATAGCACATCGGATTCAGGTAGGCCGCCGTCTGAGATCCCGTCTTTGTTCTGTTATTAAAAGAGGGTGAACGTCAAGTGTCATCTCCAAGCATCATTGTGCAAATTACTGTTCGGCGGATTTGGATAAGTCAATTCAACTCAAATGGAGCCGGAACCCAACTGAACAAACCAGTTTGTTGTTCTATACAAAGTTTGACAATATATTTATCATTCATTACGAATTAATTATCTTTCATAATGTTATGAGACAATTCAAGTACCACATCAGAGATACACAGGAATATGAACCATTGTATATTAGTGTTCTTCTAATCTAATTAGCACAAACAAAGTCTTCCGAAAAGAATACCCAAAAATAAATTTGTGTGGGCTTGACGTAAAGTGGACAATATCATCCTGATGGAGCTGCCCGATTTTGACAAGAGGAATACGCAATAAACGGACATTTGACAAGCAAGCTTCATCAGAGTTGAACGGTAGTGATTTGCATTGTGCAATCAGCCACGTCCCGACTTCGTGACTTGTAGCATTTTTTCTCAGATAAATTACATATGTTAATTGTTAACACACCGTCGGATATATCCCGTTTCCCAATTAATTCCGTCGTTAATTTGTAACGGGTGTGGTTGCATTAGTATTTGGTGAAGTCTTTGAGTAGGGTATATAGCTTTACTTGGTTGTTTTATAGTTTAATACAGAAGTTGATAATGCTATGTTTAATTTTTGTCATCACTTATTTTTGTTTCCATTGAACGTATGCACTTTTTTTTAATTCTATCTTAATTTATCTATTTACTATTTAGAATGGGCTGAGACCGACAAATCCCTTTAGGATAGTGTTCACAATTTTTTTTGTAGGAGTTCACTTTTTCTTTATAACTTGTTCTGATGATATTTTTCTTTGATTAGATATTGTTGTGTGCATTGTGTTTTTTGGTTTAGAGGGTGAGAAATGGAGCAATATTATTATTACAACACTTATTTTTTGTGGTGTGGGAGTGAGAAATGGATTTCACTATTTGAGCGTACGTAATGGATTCGATTCAACCTATTTACAATTATAATTGTGAAGATTCGTGATCTTTCTTCTCCATCGGACCATCAATCAATCCCACATATACCGATATGCTATTGTTGGAAGAAAAATAATAAGCCAAGAGCAAATTTTGGTATGGAGCATGAAATAGTTATGGATTTTGAAGAATTATGAGTTCAGTCCACGATTTGTAGCAAGGTTGTCAAACCGGTTTAGTCATTGAGCAGGTCAAACAAGGTTGAGATTTAATGGTCTGATCGGGGTCCGATCGATTTGAGTCGTTTTAGACGTTTTCTTAATATATATACAAATAATATAGTAATTAAAGATTTAATGTCTGAAATGAAATTTATATTACATGTATCTATTAAAAACTTATTTTTCACAAAATAAATCTACCTAATCTCCATGACCCACCCACCATCTCCCTTTCTTCGTTCCTCTTCCTCTCTCTCCCTTCTCTTCTTCTACCTCTTTAGAGGTCAGACCGACGAGGGGTTTTTTGAAGGTCGTTTTGAAGCTCAATTTAGGTCGATTGGTTCCAATCGGGGATCCGGTAGGAATTTAGCAACCTTGGGTTGTAGGGATGAGAATTGAGGTATAAAACTCACAAATAGAAGTAAATGTTCACATTTCGGGGTTTTTAATCTTTTTTTCTTTTCAGCTTGTTCCTCGCAAAATGTATAATGTATGGGGTAATTTTATATATTGCTAGCGTGGCAGACACAAACGCCAACCTAAAACTCCCTATGCCCTTCTTTTTGACCCAGCTAGTAGTAGCTATAGCTTCCTCCTTTGACCGACCCAGACACTATATATATATATTCTTCTGTGACCAATCACAAGAAGCATTGTCGGAGTGCAATTAGGCCACCCCCTAACGAAGGGATCCATTCGTATCTGTACTGCTCTCTTTATTTTTCATTTTCTCTTGTTGGTCTGGGTATATGAATGAACGCATGAGTTTGTGTGCGTTACAGTAAACTTATAATGATTGTGAGATTCCCCAGTTGCACTTGCACCGACTCTGCGCCTGCTGCAGCATGCGTTTACGCTAGCAATGCAAGCTAGCTTCTGCAACCATTCACTTTTGCTTTCCCCAGAATCCATCCACCACCAGGCAGCAGCAGCAGCAGCTTCATCATCACCTTTCCCCTATCGTTTTCTTTGCTTTCTCGAATCTGTAATAAACCCTGGCCACACATGATGATGACATGTGCATCTATTTTATATAGACTTACCCCTCTGCTGCCCCTGTACCCCCCAACTCCATGTAAAAAGTAAAACAGTAAGTAATCATCATTCCAAGCTTCACCCCCAAGGCCCCAACCATGCGCTACTTCGGACCAGGGGAAAAGAAAATATAAACACTCATTGTCAATACTAGCTTATAACCCGGCCCTTTGGCCGGAATATTAGGGGTCGTTTGCTTGTTGGATTTGAAAATGAGGGTTTTGGCTCAAAAAAACCTATGCATTTATGAGGGATTTGTACCATCATGGATTTGAAGAGTCTATTGTTTGCATGATAAATTTGATGATATAATTATGATGGATTTGCTATCAATATAATTAGCCATCAAGGATTTACAAATCCCAGCCCAATATGTGGGATTTACAAGTCCGTAGGGTCCACAGATTTGGATCCAAAAAAGGGAATAAATCCGTGGGCCCCACGGATTTAACACCTGACAACAAACAATGGACTTGGCTAAAATACATCATGCTTGGGATTTGAGTCCCAAATCCATCAAGCAAACGATCCCTTAATATTTGATTACTAGTGACGGACTTGATCAGTTGGCCGGATGCATTTCGTCGACTCCGTAAACAACGGTCGCAATTAGTATGTGAGATATGTATTTATGATAGTTATAGGCCTTTACCCACTACTTTGTTCATATTTCTTTACCACTAATTAGTTTATACAAATTTAAATATAAATTGAAAAATGAAAGGACACAACACGTAATAATAGAATTAGTTTCTTCCATGTTGGCCAATTACCAATTTACCTTTAGCGAAAATGAAGGAGAGAGCAGTGATTTTAGAATTGAGAAATTACACCAAACTCTGCTATGAAAATTGCATTATCAAGCACCATAAAATACATACAGTAAACTTAGTGGGCTTGCTAATCATGATGAAAAAGTCATCTGATTTTCAGAGTGTCACTTCGTGTATGTTTTGTATTAAAAAAAGACATGAAAAATTTGTTTAGCATAATTGGTTGTGGTTGTCGTCTTTATTTGAAGAGACTCGAGTTCAAATTCTGATATTTATATTTTTATATGGAATAAATAATTAATTGTAAATAAAACACATGCTCTTCTTATTTTTACTCTCGTTGCAGAAAATTTGAAATAGAAAAAAGTAAATAAAACTCTATTATATATTATTGGAAGATAAAGAGAAATAGAAGAATAATTCCTTTGGTAGGATGCTGATTGCTGGGTCTTGGAAATATTATGGATTTCCTACATTTTTTTTAGCAAGTGAAATCTATATGCTCACCATTTCAATTTTTATAAAATACTTCTCAAATCTTTGGAAATACATAATATTAGCCTACGATTATATTCTCATTAACAGTTTTGTTAGACTATGATGAGCTCGTAAACATGATGTAAGTCGGAAAAGTTTCCGTAATGCGGTAGTCAACAAAAAATTAGTAATTATTTTTAGCAAAATTTTTTGACTTTGGGAATATTAGGCAAATCTTTTAACTTTGAAAATTATCTGCGAATTTTTTAATAAATACAAAATAATAGATAAACTTTTCATAATATTTGCGAAATTTCAGCTGTTAATTGACGGTTGTGACGGCGGATCTTAATGTTATCTTAGATTGCACGATCGAGTTGGATCCGCGAAAGAGTGTATTAAGATTTACAACATATGAAAATCGATCATGGACAAAGTTTGGTTAATGTTTTGTCAAAACAGAAACGTTTGACTTAAATTTTGTTCTTTAAAAATTTTGGCTCATATTTTATCAAAATCAAAAAAATCTGGCTAATAACTTGTATTCACTTTAAAAAAAATTAACTTGTCTTTTTAGGACGTGGCAACTATTTTGGAAACCATGTGAAGATTTTTGAAATCTAAAAAGAACCCTAAACCCTTTTAATCAAAAGTATTGTATGATTGTATCATCCAGTGACAACTATGAATTAATTAACCTCACAATCACCCCCCTCATTCATCCAAGCCCTAATTCTCATTTTGCAAAAGTCCATCCCGAAGGCACAATAGTACAGGAATCCATGAATCATGCAATGTATATATGGGAATAATCATCATGATGAATATCAGGCAACTTTAGACATTTTTTGGTTTTCTTTTGTACGACTTTCTGCATTATTACAACAAATCATGCATGCTTTAATTTCTTTGGTCAGTCCAATCTTGCTCCCCATTTATATTCCTTCTTTTTGCCTTTTTTCCTCGTTTGCTTTTTCTCCAATTGATGGGAATTTCAATTTACAAAGCAAAAGTACTGAAGTGGCCTGTGGAGAGGTTGACCGGTGGAGCGTGTAGGGGCCTGTTTATCTTCCAGACCAAGTGTACATAAAGATAGTGATTAATGAAAGTGGGGTTTGTGTGTTTCATAATCATTAATAACATTATCTTCTGTAATCACGCGCCATAAATCCACAACTATCTCCTTAATCGTTTGTTAATTTCTAAACCAACAAGGGGCATCCTATTTTAAGATGGATTGTCCCAATTAACTTCGTTTTCGTTCTTATAATGGAGAAACATAATCAACTTAATAATATTCTATCCTTTCAGTTTCAGACCCACTTCAACTCACGCTCTCTCTCGGATAATTCAATTTCATACTTGTTTCTCTTTTAACTAGGGATGACGATTTTGACCTGACCCGTTTTACTCGACCTGTTTTGGGGCGGGTCCGACCCACCCCATAGGCGGGGCGGGGCGGGCATGAGTACTCTCATCGACCCGACCTGTCCTGACCCGCCCCATTCTTGACCCGTTCTTGCCTAAATTACACGTAATTTTAGTCAAATTACTTAGGATTTCTCTTTTATTACATCAAATCTTAGCTATAATAAATTCGTAAATTAGTGAAAACCTCAATTTCTCCGATAATTTAACTATATTTCTCATTTTATTGTTTGATTCCTTGGTCTTATAATAAAAACAACGAATATTTCTAATATTTTCATATAAATTGCATACCCATTGGGTCGACCTGCCCCGACCCGTGACCCGTGATAAATTACCCGACCTGGACCTGACCTGCCACGGGGCGGGTCTGGATACCAAGAAACCCGCCCCGGACATGCCCCATTGCCATTCCTACTTTTAACCCTATATTTGACATTGACAAGGCTATTGACCTCATGGGCGGAGTTATACTCAAATTAGGGTGGGCCCCGGCCTCCGGGATTGGTCCCGACCCCTAGGGGCTAGGATCGTAAGGATATTTAGTACAAAATTTTTAAGTAGAACTTGTTCCGTAAATTTTATTTTGTAATATTTATGTTGTCTAATGGTAGCCAACCTTGATTTATGTTTAATGCACATGGGTTCGATCCAACTTGACTAAATAAATTTTGTTTAATTGTTTTCGGCTCCCGGTATCAAAAGCCTAGCTCCTGATTGACCTTAATAAATACAAGGCGAATGCATGGGGGAGATATTCAAGAATTCAGCCTTGATTGCTAGTCTACATCGACATTGAAGAGATTGTTGTAATTGTCTTTTTTATGAGAAGTTCATGTACAAAAGCTGACGAGACAAAACCAAACCCATCGTAATAATGAAGAAAACCTGAAACCCTAGATAAGATTTAGGGCAACGGCCGGTACTAAGAAGCGAAGGGAAATCACGGGAATCGGCATTGGGGAATTTGCCCGTCTTCATTCCATTTTCTTTCTGCTATTTACTCAATGTAACTAATTAATAACTCCACCAATATATAGCATTGTGTCCAGTGGTTTATTTTGTGCTGAGCACAAAACTAATCACTGAAGGAAGCAACGTCACTTCCTTCTTGTGGAGTCTACCAAGTTTAGACAAAGCGACGCCGGATTGGAAGCAGCAGCTGATTCTTCTTGCTCGAGACTTCGATGAACGGAAGTTGATGCTCTCCACCATTAATGGATGCTTCCTGCAACACTCCTTCACAGATAAACACAAGTGGAAACTTGAGTGGTATGTATATATTACATTACATGTAGCCAAAAATATGTACAGGAAACCCTAATCAAGAAAATGAGAGAGTAGATGACATGGAAGCCGGGGAAAGGTGATAAATGAAAGGACCAACAGCAGCAGGAAAGCTTTGCCAATGAGACAAAACCATTATACATGTGGTGGTTTGATATGCAGAGCAGTATATAGAGAACCAGGACAGGGTGCATGGGGACAATGATGATGAAGACAAGAGATGGAGCATCTTTTGTTTGTTATCTATATAAATGACACAACAAAAGCTTGCAAAAACAAAGAAAATGAAATGATCGATGCTGCTGCTGATGATGAGATAAATGAGTCAGTTGTACTGAAGAAAGGAGAAAGAGAAGAAGAAGATGGAGAGCGATCGATAATCGACCCTTCCCTTTCTTTCTCTCTGCCTGTAAGAAAGAAAAAACAGATGAAGGTACTGATTCCATTTGTGATGACACCAGCAGTCGTATGAAATGTCCTTCGGACAATCCCATGCATTCCCTCGCTCACTATATATTTATATGAGAGAATATTGTTTTGGATTTTGGCGCACGTACTGGAATCACATCATATCATGTATATTAGTACGTACAATTGGGAATATAGGGAATAATAATAATATATATAATTACCATTTAACAGGACTTGCGTAGGGTACCTTACCTAGCTAACTAGCTAGCTAGGGTTGTCCCATTTTATATAGTCATTGGTACGACCTTTTCTTTATTTCAATGTTTCACTATGCACGGGTATATTGGGGAATTACAGACTCTATATATTATTTACTGTTGTTAATTCTCTTTTTTTGTTAAAGAGAGAAAGGAGATCCATGCATCCAGTGGTTGGATTAGGTTTTCTCGTTTGTGACGACGCACTAGTCATAGTAATAATTATTGCTTAACACAAATTAGAGCCGGGGAAAGTAGGCAAGTAATGATCAAAAGGAAATGAAACCCTAATTTATGAGAAATATAAGTAACAAAGAAATAATTAAGAAGCAGGGAGTGTTGAGGGTTAATTACCTCTGGAATTTGATCTGAGTCTAGCTCTAGCAAGCTAAGCAGCTGGCTGGTGACACATGAACTTCACCATGGTTAGGGTTTCGGTTCAAACTGGAGTTCATGATATGACGAGAGAATAAAAATAGTAATAATATTCCTTAATTTGTTACCATGTAAGAAGAAAGCAGCAAAGATCTCGGCCGACAACGAACTAACTACCCAGCTAACTAGGAATTAATACCCTCCGTACAAATAACAAAACAAACAAGAGAAATGCATTTCCAGGAAGGTACTGATGAAACAAATTCATACGCAGAAATTAGGTAACAAAATTAATAATGAATTTGTATAGAGCAAAGGATCTAAAGGGGTAGATTCATGGACGAGGATGATGATGATGATGATATGCATGGCTCCTCATACGCCATCCACGGAGGCCATCGATTCTTCCGGTGGAGCTCTCTGCAAATGGCATACAGGGAGCCAGGCATGCATCCACAAATCTCCACCTCTCCCCGCCGCCGGCGCTTCTCTCACCAGTTTTCATAATCGCAAAATGATTCGTCTCTGATTACTTACCACCTTTCTACATGCACAGTAACTCAGTTGCATGTGGTTATTACGAAGAACAGAACATGAGTATAATGAACAGAAGATGATCGAGAAGTGGAAGGAAAGATAGATCGACGATGGAGGCACAGAAAGGAAACCAGGTCAACCAAACAAAAAAGAAAAAGAATGAGTATTGTAGTTAGTTTTGTGGGTGGTTTCAGAACTCAAATTAAAAGTTAACTCACCACCACATAATAAAACGCGATGACTAAAAACCAGCTGGCAAATTAAAAGGGGAAATCAAAATTTTAAACACACCCAACTCCCCCTTGAGAATTGCCACAAAACTTGCAGTGATTGAAGCCAGCCAGCCAGCTGTGAAATGTAACGAAAACGAGGGGTATCAGAATGGCATATGCTTCATCTCTCTCCCTCTTTTCATGGCTTCCTATGAAAATGGGTTATATAACTAATCAGACAGCCCTTCCCTCACTATCTCCTTATTTCTCTCTCCACCATAACCAATACTAGCATACCACTCCCAAAAAACCCCAAGATGAAAGAAAGAAAGCCAAGAGGTGGAAACATGAAAGAAGAAGAAGAAGGTGAATTAGGGTTAGGGTTAGCTCTGCAATTCATTTCCCATGTACTATTTGAGTCTATATATGGATACAACACAACCCCCGGAACCACCATATGCAAGATGAAAGAAAAAAAGAGAAGAGAAAAAGAAAAGAAGAAAAATAGTGGTAAGCAAGCTGCTGGGTAAGGCCATCATCCAGGAACAAAGTAGTAGTTGTTGAATGAACCAGGAGGCAAACAAGCAAGCAAGCAAGCTTTTTCTTCCCTAAACCCTGAGTGCCCTTCCTTCATTGACAACTTATAATGGTGGGGGAAGTGGATGGTGGTTTCGGGGAAATATGAACACACAGCGGACAACTTTCTTTTTTCTGATAGAATGAATGGAATTTCCCATCTTCTTCCTATCTCTTCTTTCTGATGAGGTGATGAGGCTCGGGGGAAGGGAAAAGCAAAGCAAAACCCTTTTTGGCTTTCCCTTCTCTCCTCTCTCTCTCTCTCTCTACAGTCTCTTGCCTTTTGCTTTTGTCTGGAAGTGTTTGGAACCACATGGATTCTCTCTTCTCTTGGCTTTCTTTCTCTCCCCAAAACTTCTCTGCCTTTTCTTTTCTTCATCCCCACTTTTCCTCTTGAAATGAACAAAAGCTTCAACAATTATTATGAAATTAGCTGCTCCATAAACCCCATTTCCCGTAATGCCAATAAATAACCAGCAATTACATAATGCATATGATATCATCAAACTTTTGATTTCTTTCCAACTTTTCCTTTATGATTTATTATATCTTGTATCTTTTTTCGACATAGAAAAGATAATACCTTGCACCATACAAGGAATTCCCGAAATTACTTTCCTTCTTTTCCCTTTTCAAAGCAATACCACTTTCAGGAAAAAAAGTTTACATAATTGTTTCAACAAAAAAAAAAAGAAAAAAAAAAGATTACATCATAATATATACTTTCAGACCTCAATTAAAGATGGGGGCATATGAATGGTTCCATCAAAACTAAACCAACCTTACGTGGTCGATATAGAAGCACATGACGTTTTGGTTTCAGTCATGTTATTTGGTTTGATAATGTCTTATGAAAATTTTAACTTGTTTCAAAGAAAAATAATAGAGAAGAAGAATCCACAAGTTATAACCTTGAAAGCATGAGAGAGGAAGACAACACAAGTTCTTGGTGAATTATTGTCTTGTTTTCTTATTTGAAAAATCTTACTCAACTACAACATAAATATAATTATTTTTTAATCATACATCCTACACTCTCTTTTGTGTAATTTGATTTAATGAGCTAAGCTTCTTTTCAAAATAAACTAGCTTCAGCTCATTTGGGAGTCAAATTGTCTCCATATCTCCAAAACTAAAGTTTTATGAATGAAAGAATTGAAAAATATGAAGCCAAACACCAAAATAAAAAAGATGGAGCTTACACAGTCAATTGATCTATTCTAGGTTGAGGTTAGAATATGCTCGACCAACGGGGAGAAGGGGAAATATCATATGTTCAACTTCGGGGGTATAATTTAAAATTTTAAACTCTCACAAAATATAAAAATTTGACCACTCTTGTAATAATAATACACTCTTGTTTATACATAGACGTTTAAGCTAGAATAATACATGTATATTTAATTTACACCCAAATTAACCACTCTTGTGATAATAATACTCATCCCTTAAGTTAATTGTGTTTTCTCTCCTGTCAAACTAGCCCATTCACTAGACCCCACTTCATCCTTTCTGAGTTTCTGCATCCATCTCCTGACCTTTTTCTCAAGATGCAAGATTCAGCCCACATTAAATACCTTCAAGTCCAATGCTATTCCCTAACTTGGGCCCATATCTGTACAAGCTCGGCTTCTCAATTCATGTCCAAGTGGAGTTGGTCCCAAAAGAGGCGGCCCAGCTAGCCTTCCCTAGCATGCTCGGCCACATCCCCTTTCCTTTCCTTATTTGTAAGGGTTGTTTGGTTGATGGATTTTGTGGAGAAATTGATGATGTATTTGGATTAGTGATGGCCAATTGGCAATGGATAATCCATGGGTTTATTCGTGAAAAACTTGGAGTAAAATCTACTGGTTTTGAAAAACTCAAACCCAACCCAACGCAACTCGCTGGGTATCCATGGGTTTTTGTCGTAGAATATTTACAATAACAAGTTTCTATCAAAATAAAGGGTTAATATATTTGTATGGTCTGAACTTTTCACATGATAACATCCTGACCAATCTTTTCGATCTATAACATCATGACCTGAACTATACAACAAAGTAACGAAATTGGCAAAACCCTAAAATTGACCGTTATCTTGGACGGTCAAACGCGTTGACTAACGGTCAATGCGCCAAGTCAACACCTTTCAAGATAACGGTCAATTTTGGGGTTTGGCCAATTTCGTTACTTTGGTGTATAGTTCAGGCCATGACCGTTAGTCAACGCGTTTGACCGTCCAAGATAACGGTCAATTTTAGGGTTTGGTCAATTTCGTTACTTTGGTGTATAGTTCAGGCCATGATGTTATAGATCGTAAAGATTGACCAGTATGTTTATTATGTGAAAAGTTCAGACCATACAAATATATTAACCCCAAATAAAAGTCAAATATCAATTTTTCAATACAAATTATCCATATATAAAACACCATTCTTGAATTCAAGCAAATCACAAATTAATCATACAAATTGTTCAACACCAATCTAGAAAACTCAAGAAAATTGAAGCAAATTGCAAATTATCCATAAACAACATGATTAATTGAAAGCTTCTTCACTCGATAATATCAACTCTACACAATTAGAAAGAATAAATTAGACATGTCTCCACAAACATAAAGAAGATTAGTTGTTTAGAATATTAAATATACCAGGAAAATTAATTATATGGGTGTGGGCGGGTATCCATGGGGCGGGTTTACCTAAACCCAAACCCAACCCGGTGGATAGTAAACGGGTTTAAACTCGAACCCGGCCCAAAACCCATCAACACGGTTTTTATCCTCTTTGACGGTGTTGCGTAGGGTAGGGTACCCCGTGGGTTCGGATTTTGTTGTCATCCCTAATTTGGATCCATCATGAACTTTAACCAAAATCCATTGTTTGCTTCATGTATTTAGGGACAACAAATCCGTAGGTCTTACGAACTTTAAGAATCTGTGGATCACGAGGACTTGAAAATTCCACCTCTTTAAGTGGGAATTAAGCATAAAATTTGAAGTCTATCATTTAAGATCTAAATACCCTTCCATTTCATTTCTCTTCTCATATCAACAATGATAATAAAGGTAAATTTCATTTCATACATAGGTCACTGAAAGAATGCCTGGAACGAGCGATGATATTCAAAGAAACCTATGTTTTCAAAATATCAACCTCCATTTTCACAATTTCATCCAACAAATTTGAGAGGCTAGCCACATCAGGCCGCTCAATCGGATTGTCCCTGAGAGCAGCCTCAGCAACATCTGCAAGTTTAAGCAGAGGTTCCATATTCTCCGGCAGAGCCACATTCTTATCTATAATGGCAGCAGGATTCCCTGATCTAATCAATGGCACCGCCCACTCCACAATTCCATGAGGATTACACTCTTTATCATAAGCCTTCCTACCACTTAATATCTCCAGCACAACAATTCCAAAGTCGTACACATCCCCCTTTTCAGACTTCAGATTCTCGACACCATTCGAGAATCCAAAGTCTCCGATCCTCGGCCTCCACTCGGAATCTAATAGCACTTTCGACGTTCTCAAGTTCCCATGAACTATGCTCATTGCAGCTGCCATGATGTCGTCGTTGCCATTGTGCATGTATTCGAGTCCGCGTGCCACCTGCTGAGCGATTCTCAGTCTCATGCTCCAATCCAGTAATGGGGAGAGCTCTCCGTGGAGATGGTCGTAGAGCGTCCCCTGCGGAATGTACTCGTAAACCAGTAACCTCTCCCCCATCTCAGTACAGTAACCCAATAGGTTAACTATGTTTCTGTGTCTCAACCTGCACAGGATTTCGAGTTCCGATTCGAATTGTCGGTTGTTTGTGTGGATTATGGTCGCGGCGTTAGCTCTCTTCACCACCACTTGCCTTCCATCTGACAGCACAGCCTTGTACACAAACCCAAAGCTTCCCCTGCCCAGCTCGTTGAACTCCTTGAAACCATGGGTGGCATCTTTGAGATCCGAAAGCCGGAACACTTGAGCCTTTCCAACGTACCAGCTCTTAGAAGGAATGGGTTCTGGATCTGGGTCAGGGTCAGGATCGGCCTCTACTGCTACTGGCTTACATATGCAGAACTGCTGCCAGTAGCTTCTCTTCTTCTTTCCATCCCTAGTAGCTCTCCTGACCTGGAAAATGACACAACACGAACTGACAAGCAACAAGCAAGCCAACAATGACATGCCAATGATGAGAACGAGTTTCTTCTTCTGTTTTTGCTCATGCTGTGGAGTCTCGTTTGCCGTTCTTAGAAGTCCACAGGTGTCCCAGCAAGAACTGTTATTGCAGAGCGAGCAACTGGTGCATTTCCTGTCAGCATTCTCTGTACACTGTGTCGAAACGAAATAGCCATGTGAACAGCTTGTGCCACAAGGTAGGCAGATCTTGAGGTCTTTTCTTGCACAGATGTTGGTCCAATTTGGCACGTCGAGAATGCTTGGGTCGAAAGAAAACATTCCATCAGGGCATGATGATGATGCCGCCTGGGAGCATGTCCCTGGACTGCACAGCTGCGCAGGTGGCTTGTAATCTGTAGGAGACTTCCCATACACTACACTCCAGCAGCCGACTACCAAATCGACTTCTCGTATTCCACAGGCGGTGTAATCTGAAGAAGCAATGGCTGTGAACCCAGACCCCATTGGAGCCGAACTTGGATCAACGTCGTACCCCCAACATTGAACTTCATGATTGTCCTCACGAACCCCGCAAAAGTAATCCGCACCAGCTGTTAAGCGCACAAATCTATCTCCTCCCATGGGCAGGGAATTAACTTGACTAGCATCAGAACCCCAGCAATGAACTTCTCTTGAAGCACTGGATATCCCACACACAGAGCTTCTTCCTGAGGCCAAAATCTCATAATCACCTGACATAGCTGGAACGTTTATTTCTGCTGATCTGGGTCCCCAACAAATCACCCCATTTTGCTCAACCACCCCGCAACTAAATCCATCCCCGGCGACTATGTTCTTGAACGCATGGCTATCCACATACAGACTAGAGAATGAGGTGGTCGTTTGATTGAACTCCCAACAATCAATTCGACCGTAGCCCTCAATCCCAACAGAGTAATAAGTCTCTCTGATCCCACAAGCATGATTCTGGCCTGCAGCAATCTGGGAATATGAGTTGTCCTGGAAACTGGGCGGGACAAGATTAGTACCTGGATCCGACTTCTTAAAGCAGAATGGCTGGGAAGTGTTCGACGTAATGCCGCAGAGAAACTCCTCGCCGCCGGAGAGTGAAGCCATGGGAGGCAGGGGAGCCAAGTAAGCAGCTGACGATGAGGCGGTAAAGTTTTCATATTTATCCCAACATACGACCTCTTGCTTCCCTGCAACATCAATGGCGCAGAAGAACCCATTACCGCCAAATGCAGCTGCAACCGGGCCGAAACATCCGTACCCGGAAGCAGTGGTCGACAACCTCAAGATCGAAACAAGAGCAGCAACAACCATGGGTAGTGATCCATAGGGACACCTCCTGATTCCCATCTCCATTACTGATAGTTCAGAATGTTGGAGTGGCAGTTAATGAACTACGAGTTGAAAAGAAACAATGGAATTTGTGGCATTGCTCCTCGCAAGTTACGATTGAGATTTGCTGTTGGGTTCTGCTTTTCTTTCATCCTGCGTTGATTTTGTGAGGGATATGGGAAGATGAAGCACAGAACCAGGCTGTAGGATCGGAAGCTGGCCGGCACCGCCGGCTCCAATGTTGCCAAATGGGGTGCTGAATTCATAGAAGCTGCCCAAAGCCGACATGGAAATTATGGCTTTGATTATTTGTCCGGACTATTGAAGCTACATAATTGTCTTTGTCATACAACAAGTAACCAACAAAATCGTCAGAATTTGACATACAAGAGATACCGTCCAAAAAATTCAATCTCGTGGTGAGGTAGACAAATTTTCTTATAATTGAATTGGGTTACGATTATTCTAATAATGTATTTGAAGCAATTGCAAAACACGATTTCAATTCAGTTAAACATAATGTGTGAGGGTTTAGTTTTTGAATAAAAACCAATCATTGTGCGGGAGTTTGTATCAAAATTATCAATAATATGAAACTTAGGAAATTAGGTTCATTTGCTAAGGATATTGGCCACAAAATTACCCTCACAAAATATACATGTTGGAGATGCACCTTCTTTCATAATTGAGAAGCGGCTGGATCATTAACACAAGCATCTAACTAGCACATAATTGTTGTTTGGATGATCTAGCAATCTAGCTCGAGTGGCAGTGCTACCTCTCAAATATTAAGACCTCGTGTAACGTTTTAGATACATTTTTGGACATGCTCCTTGTGAAAGATGGAAATCTGAATGGAAGCGATTGTTTCGTTATAAGCATTTTTGTAAAATCATACAAAAATTTGTACTAGACAAGTAAGCGAAATTATACTTTATTGGTATAATCGTGGTTTTATAGAGAGCATATCAATGCAATATCTTAGTTAAATAAACAAAATTATGAAAAGGGTTAAATAAAATAAAACAATATATTAAACTAGCACTATACCAGTGAATGCCGTCAAGTGCTGCCCGTATTACCAATATATTTTCAATTTAACTGCGTAAAATCAACCGATATAGTATTTCTTAAATATTTGTATACCATAGCTACTTAAATATCAACCGACAATTTTTATTGTTTAACAAGCGGTACATATGGTTTTAGTGACACCATTTGTTATAAGTTTTTTTTGGTGAAACTATTTGTGATAAGTTTGAAACAAGAGCAATTATTTCATGCAAAATAAAAGTTAGGTGACATTTTGGTCAAATAGAGAAGTTAAGTGATTGGTTTTGATAATTACCCGTGAAATTGTTTGGACTCAACAAAGCACTCCTCCAAGTTCATGAATTCCCAATCTTCACCGTCAAATAAATCCGCTTTCCGCCACCGTGGTTCGCTCCTCGCCACAGCTACAAACCGAGAAAACAAACGAAGCTAACGGAAGCAAAAACCACCACACTTCTATTCTACAGCTCCACATGTCTCCATTTCATTCCTACTCACTGTCACTTCCATTCTCCTCTTCTTCATCTCCACTGTAAATTCATCAATCGTACTCCTCCAAAACCTCTCTTCTGAGCCCAACACGCCGCCATTCAATGGCGGCGGCAGTTTCTGCCGTGGTCGCATCGTCGTTTTCGGCCACTCCGACGGCTGTCCTCGGAAGCAGGAAGCAGCTTCGAACGGCGACGCAGAGCGGGAAGCCTCCGCGAAAAGTGTGGGCTGTAGGGGATTTCAGTCACTTCGGGGAAGTGGTTTCGAAGGATTTTGAGTTCTTAAAGAAAGGAATCGGGAAGGGAATTGACTGGGCGAATGAGGTGTTTCGTATTCCGCAAGTGACCAGGGCGGTAGATGATGTTGTGTGGATGCGGAATCTCGAGGATCCTGCAGCCGCGAATCTGGAGAAGCAAACTTGGCCTCAGCCTTATTATCCAGGTCAGGCTCTTACCGACACTTCCAAACTCAGCTGTATCTGTCAATGCCGTGAACGGATTCTTCAATTGCATTAGCTGCTCGTAAATTGAAGCTTTGTCATTGATAAATTGCACATATAGAACTTCTGCTCAACTGAACTGCATATATGGGCTGTGAATGACTATAGGATTTCGAATTCACTCAATTCTGAAATCTCATTCCAGGACTGACTGGCGTTGACTTACTGATGGCTGACCTCCAAGCCATGGTAACCTATGCCAGTTACTTCTACTTCTTGTCCAAGATTTGGTCCAAACCACTTCCTGAAGTCTATGACCCGGAAGCTGTTGCCGACTACTTCAATTGCAGGCCTCATGTGGTAGCATTTCGGCTTCTCGAGGTATGCACCGGAACTATCAGTCAGTATCTGTCGTCAATGTGACAACTAGTTCAATAATTCTCCCAGCTGTTGATTGAATGGTGTGCTGCTTCATGCTTTCAGGTCTTCTCCGCCTTTGCTTCTGCAAGTCTCCGAGTACGAGCTTCGCGGATTAGAAAGTTTATAGGGTCAAGTTCAGATAGTGATTTCGACATGAATGGAAACACTTCGCAGTACAATTTTGGATTGCTCTTGAAAGAATCAATGCTTAACTTGGGTCCCACTTTTATAAAAGGTCTGCATTTTCTTTTGCTTAATTTAGAATTTGAAAAAATGTAAGAGTTCCATTTCTACTTTGCCTAATTGTGCTTTGGTGCTATTTTCTGGTTAGCTTAATTCTTTCTCTATGTAGCTTTTTGAAACTGTGTGCTGCCTCGGTCTCTGGCTCCTCCTGCAGTCACTTGATTGTTCAATAAGCTAGTTAATAGTTATATGTCTTTGCTTGCTGATGCAGTTGGCCAGTCTCTTTCCACGAGGCCAGACATAATTGGCACCGAGATTTCCAAGGTTTGGTGAAGTAATACTTCTTTTTACTGTATTGGTACATCTCTGGTCTTTTATGGCGTATTCTTATGTAGTGCTAGAGTGCTCCGTTAGATAACTGAACCGTGGAGACTCCTCTATGTGCAATAACATCATAATCACTCCATGAAGAATGGTTCATTTTGAGCGTCACATGATCTACAAGTTTGATGTAATTCTATTACAGGCTCTTTCTGGGTTGCATGATCAAATACCTCCCTTCCCTAGGACAATGGCCATGAAAATCATTGAACAGGAGCTAGGAGCTCCTGTTCAGTCGTCTTTTACCTACCTATCCGAGGAACCCGTCGCTGCAGCATCTTTTGGTCAGGTGGTTGCTTTATAAAATAAGATGTTTTGCTTTATAAAATAAGATGTTGCTGTTGAGAAACTTCTTTGGTTCCAAGCATAAAATTGTTAAAAAGTATATATGAACTTCTTGTTTTTCCATTGGAATATGCGCCTTATCTTATGTGTCTGCTTGTTAGGTTTATCGGGGAAAGACTATTGATGGTCGTGATGTAGCTGTGAAGGTTCAACGTCCTAATCTCCGCCATGTGGTAGTTCGAGACATCTACATACTTCGGATTGGGGTTTGTATTTGTTATCTCATGAAGTTTCCTCTTCTTTCTTTGTTTTTATCTTGATAGTCACTTAGATTTGCCAACAATATTATCAGTTGGGACTGTTGCAAAAGATTACGAACAGAATAAGCCACCTTCCTCTCTATGCTGATGAATTTGGAAAGGGCCTGGTTGGCGAGTTAGATTACTCTATTGAAGCTGAGAATGCATCCAAGTACCTGGTATGTATCTTTTGATCTTTAACCGTATGATATTTTTGGTAATTTACCCTTAAAAAAACATTTTTATTGAATTCATGAAAAGAATACCCAAACCATCAAATCTTCTACTAAGTGACTTTCCAGTATTCCTATTGTGAGGTTTTTGTTTCTAGACCAATCTGTGAGGAGGTGAAGTTGTACCCGAACCATATTCCTCCTAGATAGTTGCGCTTCGACAGAATCATTTTTCTTGGGCTATCTATTAATCCATTACAAGTTCACTTGTTGGATTAGCAGTGACTTGCTCCCATATGTTCAGTTAAGTATTTAGTAGCATGACTAGAGCCACAGAAATATTGGATAGGATGTTGAAAAACTATGATAAACTCTCAGAAATAGTTGAAAATTGGGATTCAAATCGATTGTGTTTGGATAGATTGTATACTACAGTGATGAAGGTAGTTTGCTTTTAAGAACAGCTGATGATGCTATTGATTAGGCTTAAAACTGTGCATGTTGTATTAGTGCATCAGAAGCTTTGCTATTCAAGTTATACGATAAGAAACTTTTCATAGTTATAGCCCTGGGGAGCTTTTTGAATTACAGTTTCATGAGCTATCAAATTTTGGAGGCTGTTAAGCTGCTGAAACATAGCCTGATGCTTTTGTCTCTCATTTAACGTTCATTTTGCAGGAAGCTCATTCTTCTTTCACTTTTATCCACATTCCGAAGGTTTACCGAGATTTAAGCCGGAAAAGAGTTCTGACGATGGAGTGGGTAGTCGGTGAAAGTCCAACTGATTTACTCTCTGTAGCTACTTCCAATGCTATTCACGAAGTTTCAGAAACAGAGAGAATTGAAGCAAATAGGAAGTTACTTGATCTGGTATATCTAACTATATTCTCTTCTTCATGTGAACTAATCTTTGTGGTTCTTTATCTACCACTACCTTTTATGTATCGAAATGAAATCTTGCTGAATTGTCTCGGACCTTCAATGCTCTCTTATTATAATGCCAACTATGCATTGTTCTGTGGTATTTTCAGGTTAGCAAAGGCGTGGAAGCATGTTTAGTTCAGCTCCTTGAAACAGGTTTACTGCATGCAGACCCACATCCAGGAAACTTGCGATACATTTCATCAGGACAAATAGGGTATACCATTCTCTTTTTGATGTCTTAACTAAAGTTGATTATTTGACTACTGAGATTTTTGCCATCTGTTGCAGGCTTGATCTTTATTTCTCGATGTTAATTGCAACTATTCTACTGTCTTGTTCTGGAAAAAGAATAGAGACTCTAATCAGCCATTTGTGGCTTCATTTTTAACTCCTGTTATTCCCCGATGACAGCTCCTATTTTTTGTCCTTTTGCGGCTCCAGGTTTTTGGATTTTGGTTTAATTTGCCAAATGGAGAAGAAGCATCAGTATGCCATGCTGGCATCAATAGTAGACATTGTAAATGGGGATTGGGGGTCCCTGGTACGTTCTCTTATGGACATGGATGTTGTTAGGCCAGGAACTAATGTCCGGCGTGTTACAATGGTACGGTATGCCTTTCTCTCTGTTACAAATTTTTGTCTTCTGCATTTGCTCATTTCTCTGTATTAAAATTTCCATATTTATGTGTGGAGAACTTGTATATTCATTTGCTGTTAGTTAGTGCCGGACTCCAAATTTGAAGTTCAATCCAAATTATGTTTGCACGAAGCTCAAAACTTCTTACCACTCGGCAATAATTGTTCTATGAAATACTCAGGAACTGGAAGGTGCTTTAGGAGAGGTGGAATTCAGAGATGGAATTCCTGATGTCAAGTTCAGTCGAGTAAGTACTATAATGGCCGGAATAAGTATTGTACATATAAGTGTCTCTTCTATGCCCTTTAATCAGCAATTCATACAAGAAAGAATATGAGCCACATATTCAGCTGGCAAAACAAGTCTTTGGCTGATTTGATCTTGTGACCGTTTTGACCTTCAGTATTCTTAATTTTGTTCTATTGAAATAACACTATATTGATATGCTAATTCTGTAGGTTCTTGGCAAAATATGGTCTGTTGCCCTCAAGTATAATTTCCGGATGCCTCCATACTATACCCTTGTTTTACGTTCTCTTGCATCTCTGGAGGGTAAGTGTGCCTACCAAATTGTATTTACATTCTTGCTACATTTTGTTCACTTTGTTTTCTACATTATTTGTTGGAGTTTTGATATAATAACGACTTGCTATTTCTCCATCCATCTGCAATGAAAGATTGAAAGGCCAGAAAAAGGTTTTTTCTTCAGTTTAGAAGCAATGACCAAACTGATTAGTAAAAGCAAACTCAGGAAGCTTTTTGCCCAGGCTGAGTGCAGTTACATTGCAATTGCATTGCAATTGTTAAGAATGATTCTGTCATGAATAGTTTTAAGTCTATCTATGTCCGCAATGTATTTTATCTGCAACTCTTTAGGGCCAGTTTGCTTCTTTACTACATAATATGTCATTTTCTGATGCTGGATCTTGTTGATTCTTCATACAAAATTCCTGTGATTTTGAACTGTACTTTAACTAACTAGTAAGTGGGATTTGCCTTCATCTTGATTCTGTCATGGTCTCCTAGGTTTGGCCTTAGCTGCAGATCCAAACTTCAAGACATTTGAAGCTGCATATCCCTATGTTGTCCGGAAACTACTAACTGAAAATTCAGCTGACGCCAGGAGGATTTTGCATTCGGTAACTATTCTCTGCTATTTGATTTTAGTTGTCTCAAATCACAAGAAGCCAGAAGTTTAATCAGACTTTCTGGGCTACCTGACCGATGTTCAGTGGTTTGTGTGAAATTATTGAATCCCCATTAGATGGTAAGCTGTTCATTTATGTTCATTCTCAGGCGATTTTAAACAAGAGGAAGGAGTTTCGTTGGGAGAGACTTAATCTTTTCCTCAGAGTAGCATCAACTAGGTATATCAATTTCCCTTGTCCTTCAATCTGGCTGTAGCATCAACTAGAAATATGAAGGATTGGCCTGAACAATACTTCCATTTTAGCGACTGCATAGAGGTGCAGGATACAATTCATTTATTTCGCATCATCATTCATGTTGTGTCCTCTGTTTTACTGCAAATACATGGAAATATAAGAAACATGATTGTACTATATTCAATTATTTCATTTGCATATTATTTCACAAACTAAGCTGCGTTCTTTACATATTCTTAGTTAAATGATATCTCTTGCTTACTCCTTTTCGTTTTCCCTATGCTCCAGTATCACGTTATAACTTCTTCAGAACCACGAAACGACTGCGATGTATCTATTCGTTACCTTTTCTAGATTTTGCATGACCCATACTAGTAGGAGATGCCCATTTTTTGTGTACTTAGACCATTTATTAAACTACCTATTCGATCAATCCTTGTCTGATTTCTCCCCAGGAAAACCTTGAACCGGATGATAGCATCAAAGAGCGAAAGCTCCGTTGACTATCTGCCGAGTAAGCCCAGTGGTGTTATTGAAGTGGCGCAAATGATCTTGAAACTTTTACCTTCAAAAGATGGCATTGTGCTTAGGAGACTTTTAATGACAGCAGTAAGTGACTTCGAACGCAGGTCTTCTTTCTATTAGTAGACTATCTGATATTTCAGTGCTATGTTTTTTTTTTTTTTTTTTATGCAATAGAATGATGTAGTTGACGCTGGTCTTTTGTGTTTGAAAAAAAGGATGGGGCTTCGTTAATTCGAGGAATGGTTTCCAAAGAGGCAACGCCCTTAAGACAGCAGCTATGCAAGGTCATCGCTGATGTTATGCACCAATGGGTTGTTCAAGCCCTTGGGCAACACATTACTGCACTTAAATATGGGTCCAACAAGAAGGACCTGGTGGCTTCAACTTCCAGATCATCTGTTTCAGTTGATGAATACCAAGCGATTCTCAGAGATCCACGACTAAAAGTGATCTTCCTGAGAATAATCAGCTCCACGAGGAAAGATCCAGCACTGATGCTGAAGTTCAGCTGGACCTCTTTTATCATGGCAGTCACGGCCTCAGCACTCGCCTTCCATCGGGTTTTGGTCTCTTTATCTGAAGCTTTTGTTAGCTCTCTGCCTCTTTCTCCCAAGCGGGTGGCAGTCAGTGCTTGATATTCTAGTTGGAAAGTCAGGAAATCCTCTCTAGACTCTGGAGAACGTGCTGCCTGCCTGCTTCCCTCTTCAGTGTGAAATACCTTCCGAACTGAGCATCATCAAAGTTGGTAATCTTTTTTCGACCAGCTGCTACTGTGGGAGCTGATTCTACCATGGCTGTGGTAGTGTTTATTTAAGTTGTCCCACTAAAGTAGTCTCACTCATCACTTCCAAGTTGGTTCAGTGAGTGAGGCTGTGTATAATGTATGTACAGAAGAACCATAAGCCGAATAGGAAGATGTAGATAGGGTAGTCCTGATATCAATCATCTTCACTATGGTAAAGCAAAAAGGGGGCATCCTTGAGGTTGAAGATGAATGAAGTTATTGGTGTGTGTATGTAACATGCCTAGTCTGTTTTGAGGTCTGTTGATTCTATTAGGTGAAACTTGAAAGCATGCATGCTGTGAAGGGTGGGCGGTTTTACTTCATTTCTGCTGGTTTGCTGCCCGCCTGCCTTGCCAGGGAAAATGAGTCAGTTATCCAAAAGTCGGTCGGTGATAAATTGCTACGGCGATTTGGCTCTCATTCCAAAAACGTGTCCTTGGGATCCAACTCACCGGGGCCGCCGTCGGTGGGGATTGTTATCAGGATCTATGGCGGGATACAACAGTCATTTGAATGAATGCATGACGGCCTGTCGGAGTGGCTGATTTTAAGGCGCGGAAATGAGAAGCTCAGCGTTTTGCATGCCGGCCAAGCGACCGTGACTGCTTTAGAGGCAGTCCCGTTTTCTTTGGTTTAGCCCGTAAGATAATATTGGAGGTTGTAGCTAAGATTGACAGTTTTGATCTGCTCCGTTTTGCCGTATCATTTAGGCCATTATAATGACAAAATTATCGGCACTATGAGTATATATAGTCTACAATTTAGTACTGGTGTATATCTACGACTACAAGGTTTCTTCTTCCCTCGTCCAAATATATAATTAAATTTCGCATTAAAGTAAGGCAGTTAATTTCCCAAGAAAGCTACTCAGAAATGCCGAAGTCGGTATTTTACCAATTTCCTTGGAAAAAAAAATGAAAGGTACTTAATTTTGATTTGATGGTCCAAACTCCAACGTTCCTGTTAGAGAGTGGTATAAGATCCAGCATAACCTTCTTCCAACAACTCAAGTTATTGGGAGCAACTGGTTCTTGACAGAGTTATTGGGATCAACTGGTTCATGACATGGTATCAGAGCCTAGAACCGAAAGGTCATGTGTTCGAATCTCCACGACCCCCAATATTAACCGTTGTCTTTCAAGCACATGGTATGGTGGGCCTGTGCAAACATCAAGCCCATGGGTTGGCTTTCGTTTGAGGGGGCGTGTTAGAGAATGGTATAAGATCCAGCATAACCTTCTCCCAACAACTCGAGTGTTTGAGGGGGCGTGTTAGAGAATGGTATAAGATCCAGCATAACCTTCTCCCAACAACTCGAGTTATTGGGAGCAACTGGTTCTTGACAGTTCCACGAAAACGTCAAAGTCGTTTCCGTTCCCCCGCTGCTGCTACTACTACTACTACATTTCCTTCCTCCAGGAAATTCCAAACCCAAACACAACTCCTGCGCAGTGGGTACGGCCCTTTTCCTCCATTACCAAAAGTCTCACGCAAAGCTAAAGCTCGACCTGGTGAAACAAAGGCGCCTGAAGGATACAATCTAGTTCGCAAGTCCCCTCCCACGATTCACAGGGCTCTTCTTCCAATTATCGCTTCCTGAAACCCTAGCTCCTTCACCATCATGAGTGCTCCCGCCATTGCAGGGGTAAGTAAGTCCGTCCCTCCACTGGTAGATCTTGTTAGAATTTCTCCATATCCAGCTTTGTGGCCGTTCTATTTGTCTCAGATCTTGATTATCTCGACTTGATTTGGACGTCTCTTTTGTCTTCCGTTCTGCCGTGTCTATTGAGAGATTTATTTGTTTTTTGTATTGGGCAGGGAACGAGCTTGTTCACTGGCTTTACGCGATTATGCAAGGGCCTCGCCGTGGTCCTCGTCGCCGGCCACATTGTAGTTCAGACTTTGCCTTTCACTGTCAACTATCTCGCCCTCATTCCCGCCAGGTTGAGATGCTCATGCATGATCATCTTCAATTCTCTTTGTTGGCTTATTTGTGAACGAAGACGCTCAGTTTATTGAATACTTTGATTGATTAAGTAATTTTCTGAATCATGTTGCTGATCTCCGCGTGATCATTCTCCCAGTGTGCTTTCCAGAGTTGACGGTGCATTTTTTGAGATCACGATCTAGTTTAGTATATAGACTTCGATTATAAGTTTAGTGATTTTCAAGCAGGATATGAGGTGAATTGAGATCTAAGTGGATGTCTAAGTTGCAAGTAGGTTAAACTTCTCGACCAAATTAGCTGGCATTTCTAGTTGCAAGTCCACAGGTCAAGTTTGTGGGATTCATTGCCCCTGTCTGCATGAAATTTGCTAATGATGTTCTTATGACCAAACGATTTCAGTGTGAATCAAGTTCGAATTATGGAAGAGGGGGCAGAGGTTTTAAGTTTTACATACTCCATTGCACTAGATCTTTGCATGGACTAGAATCTTTCTTTTTTCCAAAACATCATACTCTGTGATCTTGCTGTGTTTTGCATTTCAATGATGTCATGGTGTGGCCTTTGGTACTAGAGATCAGCACTTAATTAGATTATCTTGGATACTTATGACTCCTGTGAATCCAATCTGAACAAGATCTACGTAAGATTTGAACCAAGAAAAGTTCTAAGGAGCGGACCACCATTTGTTGCAATGCTGTTGTGCTAATATAGCCAACATGTTGAAAACTTATATGTGGGTAAATTATTGATCAACTTCCTGCCGGAAATTTATCCTTGTAGGACTATACCTTTCGCATGGAACCTCATAACAGCTGGCTACATTGAGCAAACAATATATGGAGTATGTTGTTCTTCTAAAAGTTTCTGGAATTGAATTGCCTGTTTTGTATTCACTTTATAATCTTACTCATGAAGACATTGATCATGTAGGTGGTTGCCAACACTTTGTGTCTTCTGGTTATGGGGAAATTACTTGAACCAGTTTGGGGATCCAAGGAGTTCTTAAAGTTCATTTTCATTATTAACCTCCTTACCTCAGTTTGTGTTTTTATCACTGCCATCACCTTGTACTACATAACAACCCAGGAAACTTACCTGTAAGTATACGTTTCCACTTGTGTAATTCACTTCTCATTCGTTTGTGGTAATTCACTTCTTTTCTTTCTTTGGTGTTACTGTTTGCTACATCCTCCTGTCTCTGTTACATTCTTCCTTTTAGTCATTCCATAATTTTTTTTCATATCCCCATTACTGGCAGTTTCACAAGGAGAAAATCAGTATCAGCTTCCAAAATGATGCTGCAACTATTGGCAGTTACTTTTCAAAAAAAAAAAAAAAAAAAGTAGAAGGAAAAAACTATTGCCAGTTGGCAACAAAGTTTGCATAGCAGTACTTCTTAAAAACTTAGTGTGGCCTAGATAGATTTGCAATAAATCTAATATATGCAGTATCCTGTCACTGGGTTAATCATTGTTGCTAAATTGATTGGTTATTTCTGTTTCCAGTTACATGCCTGTATCTGGTTTTCAAGGAGTGGTGTCCGGTTTCTTGGTTGGCATGAAGCAAATTATACCTGACCAAGAGTTATCTGTGCTGAGAATAAAGGCTAAGGTACAACGGACCCTTTCAGAATTCAGTGTTGTTCTTTCAAACGACTCACTAACTTACTGCAAAACTGAGGAGATTTGTCCGATCCAATCAACTTACTGGTGTTACCTTTTTTTACAGTGGTTCCCATCTATAATGCTATTGCTATCAATTGCTGCTAGCTTCTTCACAGAGGAGTCGGCTAAATACCTTCCGACACTCATATTCGGCACATACACGAGCTGGATTTACCTGAGATACCTACAGAGCAAGCCCGAAACAAAACTAAGAGGAGATCCCAGCGACGATTTCACATTCTCCAGTTTCTTCCCTGATTTCCTCAGGTACAATTAGTTTGCACTTTGTCGGCCCAGCCAACAGATTATCTTGTATTTCTCGTCTTAAGCAGGGTTTGCTCTCGATGCAGACCGGTTATCGACCCAATTGCATCGATTTTCGATCGGTTGCTTTGTGGAAGATCTCAAGCCCCTGGCGAGATGGAGGGTTACACATTGGGAGGTACAGCACTGCCCGGGTCTGACCCCATCGAGGCATCTAGGAGGAGGTAAAGAGGACTTCTTTCTTTTGGTTTGGTTGCTTTGAACAACAGAAAATGCACATTTGTTTAAAAGAGTAAAAAACATGGGATGAACTCTGCAGGGAGAGAGGAGCTAGAGCACTGGAAGAAAGACTGGCGGCTGAGAAGCTGGCTGCTGCACGAAGCGTTGAAGAGTTGAAAAAGGATGCCCCTGAAAATAATGTGTAGAGATTATCTTCTCCTTTTAACTTCGAGAAAAAAGAGACAACTCTCTTCTACCAGATAATGAGATATGTGCAGCAGGTTTTGGAGATTCAAACCCGAAGTTTTAACCGGTCGGCCACCCGATCGCCATTGCCTTCGTCCTCTTTCTTTCTCTCTCTCCCTTCTCTCCTATCTGTTACTTCTGTTTGGGGATTAATATTCTGCTGTCAGTTTTGTTGTCCATATAGCCAGCCGCTGATCAGAAATCGGATCAAAGTATAGATGTCTGTCTGTCTGTTTGTCTGTCTTTCTTCTTCTTTTCCGTGTTTCGCTTCCACTTCAGGAAATATTGGTTGCTTGCATCGTGCCCCACATTACTTGCAGCTGCATGAAGACGTGGTTCTGGTATGGTCCCAGGAATAAAAAGAGTACATGTAATCCGATCCATGTTTCGAATTTTGGTAGTTTCTTTTACATTTTTAACGTCGGTCTCAAAAAGTTACTTGTGTTTTGTAAAATTATTAATTGAACCAAGATGATAATGATTTAAAAATGTTTGGTGTTTGATGTTTCTTATGGTTTGCCACTCTTATTAATCAAATGGGACCCTTTACACCGACAAAATGCAAAGTGGTATGCTTTCCTACTTTTGGGTGGGTTTGAGTTATCTTCCGGCTAAACTAAGGATTATGAGGTTGAATGTTAAAATCGTTCAATTGTATGATTTGTATCCTCTAATCACATCATGAGGTTGAATGTTAAAATCAATTGTATGATTTGTATCCTCTAATCACACGTCCGTTTTCTTGCCCGTCAATTCCATTTCCAAGTTATTGAATTCCTTAGCCTTTCAGCCCCAAGGACCTCTCTCTCAGTCTTGTGCCCTCTCATCCTTCCGTTTTGCATCGCTCGCCTTCAGACTTTTTGAAGATCAACTTTGATGTTGCTGTTTGTCGTTCCGGTTGCTCGTCTGACCTCGTCGTACATGGGACAGACGAGCAAGTTCTTCTGGCCTGGGATCTCAGCACCAAAGAGTTTTCGATCCCTATCTAGCAAAGCACCTTGCTGCTAGGTGATCCTGAAGTGGTGATTCGGCATCTGGACCGTAGAACAGTGGAAGATTCGATAAGCGGCTCACTGCTCCAAGAGTGTCATCAGCTCCTAGTTTCATGCTCTCTTTGTATAGTTTTTAGTGTGGTTCTGCGGACTGCCAACTGAGCTGCTCATAGAGTGGCACCTAAAGCTCTGTTGCTGTCCTCTTTAGAGGTGGCGTCCTTTGATTTTGTAGGGTGGCTTCACTAAGTGTTGCTTTGGGTGGGGTTTCAGGTAGAGGTTTCTAACTATTTTTTTTCTTGTCATTACTTGAAAAAACAAATCACTTATATCAATAATTTTTAGAAAAGAACAATAATCACATTAATAAAAGTAGATACTGGTTATAACTTATAATAAACAGATATTAATGAGGACTGAAATTTACCATCTCTAACGAATTTTGCTTCATCGATAAAAAAAAAAAGTAGATGGCTTGTTGATAAATAGTTGGTGGTTACAATGATCCATCTCTAGCAAACCCCTAATCCCTATCTAGCAAACCCCTAATTTACCATGAGCAACGGTTATAAATCCAGAGGCAATTCCAACTGCGATCCGTTTCAGATATGCTTGTTTTTTCTCTTTCCTCTCTAATTTTAATATTTATTTATTTCCAGAAATATAATTCTAAAATCTTTTAATTTTATTTTCCTTAACTGCTTGTATATATAAACTTTTCATTAACTTTACCGTAAAAAAAAGGTAATAAAAAGTGTTTTTCTTTTGACCTTGTTAGCTTTTGATTCGGAGTATCCGACTAAGCCTCAATGGCTTGTTTAAGTCCATTCGGTGGAGCTTAGTTGTCCTCCAGTATGGGCGCTTGTGTGTTTGTTTGTTTTTGCAGGGGCACATAGTTTTCCCTTGACCATGCAAGCATCCATCCATTATGATTCAATCTCGTGATGTGGCGCATGCGACAGGTGGAGCGATCTTGGAAGAGATTTGTTTGGCTGCTCCATCATTTGCTTTCTTTTTTTTGCATTTGTACTCCTAGGTGTACAATAGAGCTGCCCATTTTGTAGCTTTTATGGCTCTTTCATCGACAGTTCGAGTAGTTGTCGACTGTCGCGTTTGATTGCTAAGTGTCCTGTAATATCTATACTTTACCCTATCTATGAAAAAAAAAAAAAAAAAGTTGGTGGTTAATTGACAATGAGATGGTTTATAGTTAACAGGTTGGCAGTTTTTAACCGCGCGCACAGAACAAACCTCATCATCTCAAAAACTCTTTTCCCCCTTTAATTTCGTGCTGTGTTTTCTTTAACCAAACAAAAAGCAATCCAAAGCCAAGCCCAAGGAAGAGAGAGAGAGAAGGAAAGAGGGGCATCCGAATAATCCGCGAGCTAGCCACTTGTATATTCCCTCTTTCTTTCTCCTCCTCTTCTTCTTCTTCTGTTCCCCTTTCCCTTCTCCGACCGTCTTCCTTCCTCCTCCCTTTTTTGACCAACCGGAAGTCAACCTCAATTCCTCCCCTTCCTCCGCCTCCTCCTCCGCCTCCTTCCGCCGCTCAGGTACGCCCTTCCGATCCATCGCCTCCGATTTCCCTGCAATCATCCATCTCTTCCTGCTATCAATTCTCCCTCCCTCCCTCTCTCTCTCTTCCTCCTTTGTTTTGTTTCGCCGTTTCCTGCTTGAATTCGCACGCATCATATACCGTTTTCTTGCGGTCATCGTCTTGATTATTGCGCTTAATCGGGTGAAAATCATTGGGCTAAGGTTCGGAGCTTTTGGTGTTCGTTTTGATGAGCTCGGATGCTTCTGATTAGACTAATTTGGTTCCCTACCTATGGCATAGATCTTACCTTGATGCTGGGGAAACGCTGGGATTCGGTTTCTTTCGGCTTTGTTTTATTGTTATTTTCGCTCTGGTAGGGGAGAAGAGAGAAGAAGGGGCGGGGGTTGGGGAGCTGGGAGAGAGTACATTGTTCCGATTCGATTTCAACGTTTCAAATTCATCCCCCGGTACTAGGAAGAACCATGATGATCTCTGGATTTGGCATTTGATGAACTCTGTCCAGCCCTGTGTTTGTGAGGGAATTGTTAGGGCTTTGCATGCATGTGCAAATGAGATTACATAGAACTAAGAATTTGTGCTTACTGAGATGCTGGGGACTCGTTGCTTGTGACGCATTTATGGTAAAAATGTTGGTACAGAAGGGAGAAAATGTGTACTGTTGTTATTGTTTGGGAGATTCAACATAGGGTGAAGCTCCTGTTCAAGATCTGCTCGCTATAGATATCTTGCTGCTTTCCTTATTTGGACGTGTTAAAGCTTTCTTGACTGAAAGTTATGCACAGGTGGTGCTGTGAGACTGGTTTCTTGTCTGGGACGAACAAATTTAGATTAATTTGGGGTTCCCTTTTTCAGATTTTTTAGATTTTATTATGCGCTCTCCAAAAAAAATTTCTTATTGAACTTCAGAAATCTATAAATTGTTGCCACAGGATTCCTGCTTGTATAGCTGTTCCTGAACACTTGGTATCTGGTTACGTTATCTCCATTGTTACTGTTTTTGTTATGTTGATTATATTTGAGCTACAATGAAGGCCGGCTCTCTTTGTGATCATTGTTTTATGCTCTTCTTAGTTTAAGTGACATTTTGGGTCTTCAAGGTACTGTAAATACCAGTATTCCCCTTATGGAAGTAACATCAAGTTCAGATTTGACGTCTTAGTCTCTCATGCAGTCATATAATCCTAGAATTTTTTTTAGCTTCGTTTCTCAGGATAAGTTCTGCAGCATAATCAGACTCTGGCAATCTTGTTTCAAGTTCTAGCAAACTGTGAAATGTGGAGATAAATGAACTTTTTGCTCTCGAAGTGCCTCTTTGTTTCTTGCTCTTTGAAATAACCGTGAAACAGTCAGATATTGAACATGGTTTGGGCATTGGTTGTTGCAATGAAACAAGAGGAGACTGAAAAGCAAATGAACCATCATGTGTGCAATGAATTTCCCCTGAACACCTCCGTATGTCTTCTTGTGCTTCATAATTCTACAGAGCCTGGACTGTGGTTTTAGAGATAGTCACATGTGACACTCCCTAAGAACTTAGTTGTGGATAAGTTTTCATCTTTATGTTTAGCTTCTATTTCATGATTTATTTAGCTATATTTGTGCATTCAAAGTAACAACAATCATGAAACAGCATCCTCTGTAAACGCAACGATGGACTTTATTTGGGTTTCCTTTTGCTTGTAGGTTGGATTGCATTGAGCACTCGGACTTGAAGACATCAGTTTATGTGAAGGCCAATGGGGGACAGACACTTCTCAAACACATCAAATTTCTTTGAGAGAGATAGGGGATGGGGCGAAAGAGATGTAGCTGCTGGAAGGTCCTTTTTATATGCAGGTACTGAAGCTTTCTTCTCGTTTATTCTTTGTCTAACCTTATTGGCTAATGTCTCTTCAGTAGGTAGTGCTTTTGGTGGCTGATTTCAACATTATTCGTGCAACTTGAGTGAGATAGGGATCAGAATTTGAGAATAACACTTGGTGGAAAACTTCTATTCCTATCTGTACTGGTAAAACTGTATGTATCTGTAACAGTAATTACTTGCTGCAAATATGATGGTTAGTGTGGCTCACGTTAATCTGGTATCTGAAATGATTGTTGAGAGATAAGGCATGTAAGATTTACCTACTTGGCATCTGATGTGGTCAGTTAGATGCAGAGCTGAAAACTCAAAAGATAGGTACTTTTTTTTATCACCTTTTACTATGACCTACAGCTGTTAAGTCTCTCTTTTCATTTGTCAACATTGATGCTGTTTGGCCTTCTGGCATTTCTTCTGTTCTTATTTACTCCAACCAACTCCGTTGCAGGAAGGGCTGTCACTCCTGAAAGCGTTTCTTATGTATACCCATCTGGTAACATCCTGACAAGTGGACTCAACTGTGCCTCTCAGCATACCTGGGGAAGCGGATCAGTTGAGCATTCGTCGACAAATAGGTTAGAAGGTGGTCCACAAGTTCATGGGCACCACTCTGCCTCACATGATACCTTGCCTCAGTTTGCAAGTGAGGGAAGCTTTCCTCTGGAACCCGAGGTTAATGCTACCAGTGGCCCTAATCATTATAATGGTCAGATTATGCACGAAGTCAATGGTGGTTTGGTAGATTATACGACGGCCACAGGGAGAGGCCGTTCGAAAAGGAAAATTCCTAGCTTTATTCCACCATGCGAATTGGGTAGCACTCCAGTATTTTATGGCGCAGGAAGTTCCTCTTCCCAGCCAAACGGGCTTCAGCTGGGTAGCACGCCTTCAGATTATAGTAGACCTTTCCCTTCCAACTCGTTTCACTTGCCTCCTCCACATGGTGTTGGCAGTTTGACAATTGGAGGTGAAGACTCTGGGAGTAACCCGAGAAGCAGACCTGTAGTTGATTCGGAGCCTAACCCAAGCAGAAGCTATTTTCAAAATTACACCCCTGGTCCAAATGGTCCAACCTCTCACCTTCCAAACCATGGGACAATGAATGTCCATAGCATAAATAACAATCCACCTGCTTATGGGCAGAGTCATATTGGCATTTCTCCAGCCGCTCAAGCTGGGTTTCAACAAGTATCAGGTTAGTATAGTATATTTTGCGTTCTAATCTCATTCCTTCTTACCCTGCTAAGTAATTGTAATTATTATAAGTGCAGCAAATAACACCATGGGCCATGAGATAAGTCCATATTATGCTGGAGGAGGGAATGCAGCAGATGCTAGTAGGTATCAGCACCACCTCCATGAATCCATCTTGAGCAGAAATCCCATTTCACCTCCACAGTATTTTCATGGTCTACCTGCCCTTGCTGTAAATGAGGATCATGCAAACTACTATCAAAGAGCCTTACCTAGTTCCCAGAGAACTAATGTAATATCCTTGCACACGGGGCAAGGTGCAGCAACAACAGCAATTTCGGGAATGAGTCATCAGCCAATTGTTTCAGAAAGTTATCCTTCGAGATTTGCTAGACCCTTTCTAACCAGAGGCTGGCATCACAACAACCATAGGGAAGGAAGGTCCAGCAGGATGCTCGAGAGATTGCACTTACACACAAATGCTGTTGATTCACAAGACAGAATGGGGGGCGAGGTATGTATTTTTTGATTCTCTTGTGCTGTAGATGAAGCAGAGATTCATGCAAACCGTCTTGGCCTCCACGCTTTCCAGCTTCTAAGAGTTATCTGACCTTAAATATATGGCTACAACTGCTATGGGGCCTGATTCTTGCTACTGTCACTTAGTGTGGTTTTTCGATGATAACTCTGGGAATTACTTTCTTGACCTCGTGTTTTTTACTTCTCTGCAGCCTTTCATGGTGTTTGATGGCTCATATTTATATGGTTCCAGAAACATGTATGATCAATATGGGGACATGAGGTTAGACGTGGACAACATGAGCTATGAGGTTTGGACTTGGCAAAATCGGTTGTATTTGTGTTTCTAAATGATTCTCTTACGATAAAGAACCTCAATTAACGTGCTGTTCGCAGGAGCTACTTGCCTTAGGAGATAGCATAGGGAACGTCAACACTGGGTTATCTGAAAACGTGGTATCAAACTGCTTGTTGGAGAAGAAGTACTCGAGTTCAGACATAAACGCAGAAGAGACATGTTCTATCTGCCTCGTAAGTACAAATTTTCTTCTTGAATCCCTCTCCTGACCTTCAATTTCTGATGATGCTCGGCATGTTTACAGGAAGAGTACAAGAAGACGAGCAGGATTGGGAAGTTGAAAAAATGTGGGCACAACTATCACATAGGCTGCATCAAGAAGTGGCTGTCTATGAAGAACTCCTGCCCCATCTGCAAAGGACCAGCAGCCCATCTAGCCGGTCCGGATCAAGAATGACGTCGGCTGGCCCCGGTCTCATGCAGAGATAATAATCCTTCTTATCTTAGTAATTGTTTGTAAATATGTTGCACAGACAGATATGGGGATTTGAAATCAACTCTTTCCTCCTCTCAGTCCATAATTTGATTACATTCTTGAAACAGAACGATATCCCGCTTGTATATGTAGGAGTAGATGTGCACTGAAAACGGGTCCAAAAAGCTATTCCAGAGCTTTTTTTAATTACCTCTTGGGACAACTGCTGCTGCTGCTCAGTGGCTACTAGACCCCAACAAGGAAACATGTTCTGTTTGTTGTGTTGATGGCAGTTTTTTTTGTAAGTAAAAATGTTTGAGTTCCCTTGTACAAGATAGAAAGAAGGGATCTGCATTGATATTTGGTAGATGTACAATAAAGCTTCTGCTGCTTCGTATGGGGCGGCTTGTCGGCGGTGCCTATTATTTGTGCAAAATTACAGTAGGAGAGAATACTGAATCAATTTGAAGGAAGTTAAAAGCAATCAAAAGACGAGAGAGGAGGGCACATAAGATTTGAAGAATTTTACATAATCTTTTTCACAAATCAAATGCTCATTGTAAGTGAACAGCAGAATCATCAAGAATCTAGTTGTTGTCGTGACTTCATTCGTTCGCATGGTTTGCATGGCAGTCTGACAACACAGGCATCCACAGCAGATCAGCTATCAAATGCTTCTCCAGAATAGTATTGCTTCTGAACCATTTTTCTGTAATCTGAAGAAAGTTCAAAAGCAGCGCATAAGATGATAAGCTTAGCACTCTTACAGTCTACAGCAGGGATTCCATTCCATAGACCAAAAGTCCATCATGCCGTGTCAACAACAACAAGAGAAAGAAGACCAACTAAAGACAGATACGAGGGGGAAACAAAAACAGAATAGCTGTTTTTGGAGGGTATAGATGTAAAACAACTTTAGGTGATTTGAACCTAGAAAGTACAGCTAGTTGGAAGTTCCAAGTTCTAAAAGCCAGCAGAGAGAATAAGTTTATTCCATTTTCAAAATGTTTATACAAAAGAGATCAAATTAATGCGTATCATGATTATTGCACTTCTGTATTACCTTCCTTGTTGTTCAATAGTTTTGCAGCATAGCTGTTCAGAGGGCTATCTGGATTGGGCTCTACATTGAAGGAAACCAGCAGTTAGTCAACATACAGAAACAAAATGTCCATGACAAAGAAAGGAAGACACGAGTTGGGGAACAGGTCGGCAAGCATACCACCCAATAGGCTTTGAATTGACAAAAGAATCGTTCTGCAGTCGTAAGCTGAAGACCACTTATCCTATAACAGACAAAAGTGAAGAATCTCATCAGTAACAGGAGAGATGCATTGGAAGCAGAAAACAAACAAGAATAGCAAAACCAGATGCATTGAATCGTCTTGGCCAGGTTGGATTGGGGGTGAAATGGTGGCTATTGATTACCTGGAGAATGTCGAGGCATATGTTACCAAACTGATCAACGTTTGGATGAAAGCACATTGTCTCAAATTTCACTTGTGGTGGCTTGAACGGGTACTCGAGAGGAAAACGCAGAGATAGCTTGTAGGACAAGCCCTCATAAGCCGTTTCTTTCCCGCCCTCAATCGTTCCAACCCATGTGAAGATGCTCTCACCTTCAGGGAAAGCTGACACGCCAAGATCTCCTCCACTCATCTGCAGATTAGGACAACAAGCAAATGTTTCAGAAACACCCTAACTTTTCTCCATAGCCGTATGAAATTTGAATTCCCACCACGAACACATCCGTTCAGTTTGCTAACTATTCACACCATAAGCAAAAATCCACGCTACTCTAACCCATGGCCCATGAAAAATCAAAACTAGGTTGCAACTTATCTCAGCATACGAAATTCAACTGGTTTGTTACCGATTTTACATAAACAATAAGAACGATATATATCTCTGTGTCACCGTGACATTTGGTTGTGGAGAATTTGCAGTTGTATGTTGCCAATTGTCAGGGATGCAAAGGTCAAGAAGTAAAGTGCACAAGAGAATTGAGAGGGAAAAGGATTTCTCATATACCATTAGTGACATCAATTCCTTCTGCAACCTGAAACCCCACCAAAAGAAAAGAAACACAAGAAAAAAGTCAGAAACAAAGCCATTCATATTGCATAAACTGAAAAGGGAAAGAGCAAAGATTCCAAATTGATGTCTACCCTCCAACCCCATGCACTCCCTTTTTCCCAGAAACCAAACACATAATTCAGGGGGGAAGATACCAGGAAAGAAGGGTAAAGGACGATGGCGCCAACACACAGGAATTAGAAAGCGGCCAGCGCCACAAGAGTCTCCAGAGAAAGAACAAATAGTAATCACAGAAAACCAAGAAAGAGAGACAAAAAGGAGGCGGAGAGACCTTTGTGATACGGAGGTAGTGTCGACGGAATTGGGAGGAGGGACGGGGGCTTTGGAGGCAGCCGCCGCATGACGGCGGTGCTGAGGGGAGTTATCGGCGGTGGTGGGATTGGGCCTGACCTCCATGACTAAGTAAGGAGTTTCCCTTCCGCCGCTGATCCGATGAAGAATTCAAGTCCCAGAGAATTGGAGTGGAAGGTACGGAGTGAAAAATTAAGTAGGTAATCGAAATCCAAAGAGAACAGCCAAGGCCGATCAATCAATCAAAACGAAACCAGAAAAATTATAATCCGAATTTGCACTCCTGGCTTATTTTAGTTCCCGAAATGCTTTTCTTTCTTCCTTTCTTATTTTTTTCATTTTTCATTTTCTTTTATATTGGAATTTCTTCATAGTTATTTTTTCTGGTAGTACATAGTTATTTTATTGAACTACTGTAGAGTGCAAGTTTGCTATTTATTATTTTATAATAAAAAAAAATTAAAATAAAAAATTATTTATTATTATTATTATTTTGTATTGTATTGTCGAATATCAAATTATTATTTTTATTGAAATTGGTTTTGTAAATTATTCAGCATTGTGGATTGAAATATCGAAAAAGTATCAAATATTTATAGTTAATTAAATATAGCCACAACTTCTACTTGGTTCTTTTTTTTATATTACCTAAGAACCTCAGCCCCACGTGTTATTTTGTGACAGCGGGTCCTACTAAACCTGGGGGCCACTTGCAATCAAATTCGACGTCAACCGGGTTTCGTCTCCGGCAGCCTTATACCTCCGGGAACTCCAACGGGTCTCGCTTGGATTCAAATCTGGGATCTGCACTTCTCAAACCTTCACTATCGTGGCAACTTTACCATTAGACTATCTTACCTTTGGTCTTGGTTCTCATTTTTTGACAACGCACAAGCCCCCAATTCCCACCTAACCAGGGTTGGTTTTTCTTATTTTCTAGGCCACTCTTGTTCTCACTCAATCTCTTGTTAAATTTAAAAAAATAAAAACGAATATTCTCCTTAGTCATCTCCTAGCCTCCAAAAACCGTCGAACCCGTGATTACCATTGACGAGGAATTGACATATCACCAATTCACCATTTCCTCCTTTTTCTTTCTCTTTTGTTTTAGCTCTAAACAAACACAATACAGTTTGCCTAGTCTCTTAGCCTCAAATGGGAGCTTATATTGAATCCATACGTGTACTTCAATTAGGCTTTTCTAACCTCAATTTCTCATCACCAAGCTTTTAAATCATGAAATTAAAACCATTAAAAATACTCACATTATAGGTGTTCGAAGAATTATTTATATATTTAATTTTTAATTGCAAAATGATTAATTTAATATTCAGGAATAAAGATATCGTATCCAAAAAAATTGGAAAATTGGAAGCCCGAATTTATTTATAGATTGAAATAAATTTTCAAATATTATTCGATATTTGAAATATCGATACTTAGTACCATATCGAGATACTGTCATCGTACCAATTTCCATTCATAGGTTGCGAAGATATGCCCTCCAACCTCGCCTTGGTTTACCTAGAAGTAATTTAATTATTTGAATGGCAAATTCGTCATAAGTCAACTTATATGGGAAATTTATATAAGCCACTATTATGTAGTTAGATTAACATGCAATATACCAAGGTTATTATGATATTGATCAAATTTTTATTTTTTAACAGCAGTACTAGATTGATATGCTATGAGTTGAACAATATTTTTTAAATTTTGAATAACTCATAAAATCAATATTTTTCTAATTTTTGTTATTAGTTAGACTTCCTTTCTACCCAGATTCCTCAGTTTGAAAGCTAAGGGTCTGTTTACTTTCATTTTTGTTTCCTGTTTCCGAAAAAATAGATGTTGAAAACAGGTGAAAACAACATTTTGTCGTTTCCGAAAACAGCAGGAAGTTGTCACTTTCTGTTTTCATAGTTGGAAACGAATAGAAAACAGAATAAAAAGTAAACAAGGTTCGTCGTTTCGGTTGCCAAATTTATGGAATGAAAACAGAAAATAAAATGAGAAATCTGGCTGGGTTTCTTCCTTGCTCTTACTTCTTCGGTACAACAATTCTATACATCACATGCTTTCGATTCTATCATCATGTACAACAGAATGTACATTCCCCTCCAACTGCAAACCGAAAAATTGAGAAAATCCGATCCCCAAAGAACAAAATAACAAAAAGATTTGAACAAGCAGCTCTTATCTCTCTACCCTTTCCTGAACGTGAAATCCGACAACCCAATGTTCATCTCATGCTGCGTCCTGATCGATCCGGGCCCCGGCGGCAGCCGCATCTCCTCCGCCGCCACCACCACCTGCTCTATATTCCTCACCGCCACCACCACATCCTCGTCCCCCTCCTCCTCCGCCGCCTGCTGCTGCTTCGGCTGCCTCAAGCTCATGTTGTGCTGGAACTGATCCTCGGAGTACTCCCGGTGCCCGCCGGCGCCGCTTCCACTGCCGCCGTGGCTGCTGTAGTTATGGTGAACCGGCGAGTTCAGCGCCTCCGGGTCCCACTGATCAGCGTCGAAGTTGGAGTTTCTCGCCGGAGAGTTCATGAGGCTGTCGGGGGCCGTGCTGCTCCGGTAGTTGTGGAGGAGGTGGACAGGGGACATGCCGTGGCTCGGCGTCTGGGGCCGGCTGGACGTCGGTGTGCCGCCGTGTCTTGTCTGCCTCCTGGCCGTCCGGTGCCAGTTCTTGAGCGCCGTCGCCACTCGGTCGTTGAAGATTGTGGGCCTCATGGTGGAACCCATTTGTGTGACCAGTGCGTACAGCGGCAGGGTCACGTAACTGCACAGCACTTGAATCATCACCCTGCATAGATAGAAGATAAGGATACAGAGTTAGCCCTGACTCTCGACTGTTCAATTTGTGAATTGTGAGTTCCATTGACGTTTTTTCGGGCCCGAAAATCGACTTACCCCATAGAGATTCGGATGACAATGTCCTCGGTCTTCTCGTGGAAGCAAGTTTTGATTCCGAATTCATACTGTGGGGGAGATCGGAGTGGAAGATATGATTAGAATGCGATTGTTGTGAAAAGGGGTTGATTCGTTGTATTGATTAATTTGCTTACCACACTCCAAATGAAGAAGGCGAGCTGGAATGCATTCTGGAAGAGGCAGAAATGGATGAGGGAGAGAATGAGGCGAGGGCTGCTAAACCAGAAGAGGTCATCTCCTGGTTGAACCACAGGTGCTCCTTTAACCACATCGCCTCTGTCCTGAATTCTGAGTCCCAGCTGGGTTATGATCACTTGAAGCTTTACTCCCACCACCAGGATTATCTGCAGCAGATCAGTGTCCCAAATTCCATCCATTAGCCTTCTTGTCTCGCAAGCAATGAACTTGGGGATGGATGGGAAAAAGGTAAAAGAGAGAATTTGTGCTTACAATTAGTGGAATGAAGGGTAGCCAGAGATAAGCAAACCATCCTGTGAATCACAAAGATACACAACAACTCGTTTGTCTTAGTTCTTTGATCCATGAAATGGGCAAATGAGTTGACCATCATAAATTCTGGAAGTGTTGGTCTTACCATGTGTGTTGGACATCAGGAACAGCACTGCAAAAAACCACAGAACCGGACTGCAGGGGAAGATTGAGATAATACATCAGTTAGTTACTTAGCTAGCTAGCTAGTTGTATGCGCTATAAGCAAGGAAATGAACAAGGAGGGTGAGGGAGAGCAAAAACCTGATCCCTACAACAACTTTGAAGTCGTCCTCAAGTGATCTGTTGACGTATTTCTGGAAGTCGAATCTGCTCTGACTCCCAGGTGCCAAATGTGCCTGCAATATGCAACCAACTTCCAATTTTTAGTGATCATAGTTACTGCCGGTATAACTGAGTATACTGACTAGTTTATGACTTCATAAATTGCTGTTCTTTTCGTTCTCGCCTCACCGCGATAAACCCATGTCTCAGGGTCATGTAATCCACCTTGGTCACTGACCTAAAGAACTGTCTGAAGAAGCAGACCTGTTGTTACAGAATAAGGAAAAGGAGGAAATGGTTAGCCAAGTATGACAAACCCCAGAATTGACTGTAAACTTCAGCAATCATGGTCCTTTGACAGTAATGATACTTACAATCCAAAGAAGAATTGTGGACTTGCTCCATAGTTTCAAGTGGCGACGCCCAAAAGATGTATCCCTTGCAAACCTAAATCTCTCAGGATCTGCAATCACAAACAAGATCAGCTGCCACAATCAGCACATGGATCGTTGGTTATATGAATGAAATGAGCTCTTAAGGCAGAATGTAAGTTTACCATTATGGTACTGATACTCAAGTGTCTTGGTCTCATCCTCCCATTGCCTCCACTTTCTCATCTGCAATATCCAATCACTTTTGTCAAGTAAAAGGGGTAAAGCAGACAGAAATAAAAGAAGAAAAAACCTAATCCCAATGGAAAGCAGGGGGGAAAAATATAGTTTCATTCACCAAAGTACCTTGGTTCTGCCCAGTGCATAGGTGAGGATGCAGTAAAGGATGTGGAAAACTGCCAGCACGAAGATAAATATATGCAGCTGATGGATACCATAGGCCGACACAAACGCTACTTTTCCCTGAAGCATTTCCACAAACACCTCTCCTTCAATATCGTTGATCCCGATAACCACAACCAAAAAACAGAAGAAGGGAAGAAGACATAAAAACTATCTCGATTGCAGTAAGTGTTGATTACCTTCTCTGTACACTTGTCAACGCCTTTGGTGGCTAAGATTCGCCTAACGCTCACTTCAGGATCCAGAAACTGGAGAAGACGGCGGCGGCGGTCCTCGTCGCCGTCCCCTGAATCCTCTGATTTCTCTTGTTTCTTGGTGCAAGGATGCCAGGTAGCTCCAATGCTTTCGGAGACGCAAATACTCGAGATTGGGCTTTGGAACACTGTGAGCAGCAACGACAGGAAACCCAACAGCATCAGCTCCGCTTTCACTTTCTCCAGCGCTTCCACTAGAGCTGGCTTGTGCAACTTATGCAGCCACTGGATTCAAGAACATAGAAAAAAACAGAGTCAGAAACGAGAAAGAAAAAAACAGAGACCAGCTGCAGAAATCGGAAAGTATGGATCTTTCAATGTTCTCACCTTGTGGGCGAGATGGATCAGCTGTTCGATGAAGATGGAAATGACGACCAGCACAAAGCACACGGCGGCGACAGCCCAAGTGGGCGTCTCCTCCAAAGTCCGCTCCATGTTGCTCCCGCCGGCCATTTCTCAAACTTTTCCGACGGATCAACTAATTCAATTGCTTTCCTGACAACCACCCAATCGATCAAAGCCTGACAAGCAAATTGCAAGGCTATAGCTCCGGCTCTAATCGAGCTCCTTCAAACATTACACACTGCAAAAATGCTTGTGAGTTGTTAACAAATGGAGGGGGGAAGGAAGGAAGTTTATATACATCGATGTACACAGAGAAAGACACACAGAGAAGGAGGGAACGGGAGACTTTGACCATTTCAGAGATGAGGGCTGGGAGAGAAAGTGAGTTTAAGCGCGTGTATGCAAAACAATGAAACGATGAATCGATCTCTTTGTCACTCTCATTCTAATCGACAAAGAAAAGTCTGAAAAATGAGTCCTCAATTATACTTCCATCTTCTTTAAAAAAAATTATTATTATTATTTTCCTTAACAAGAAAAATGTTCCTTCCTTCGCAAAGAATAACTCATTTTTACCAACAACGAAAAACTAATTTTAGATCAGACCTAACTTCTAAATTTCTTAAATTTTCTAATTTTGGTTTACTATTAACCTAAGCTCTTATTCGCAGGACTAACAACAATATATAGATTCGATTTAACAGAGGTTCAACGAACTCGAACAATGATAAAATTTCGGTTTGTGCAGTGATTAAGGGAACAAAAGCATCTAGCTAGCCTCATTCCTCAACCCGCCATTGGATTGAAATGTTTAGGTTTGACTGAGTTATGGGGTGGTTTTGAGTAACTTTGCTGTCCGCATCCATGGCTCCAGTTTTTTACTTTTCCCCAGGTTTCCAAAACAGCGGGGAGGATTAGCGGTTTTAGTCCATAATTTTTTGGCTGTATGTGATTAGGGGGATTTGATCATTGATTAGTGGTGGATTGCAGTGCATGGGATTGAGGAGTAAGGCCTGAGAGGTAAGATCTAAAGAAGGGCGGCCCTCCAACCCCATTAATTGTCAGCTAGCTTCATTATAATATCTATGTTTTCTTTCTCTCTTTTGTTTGTTAGTTTCAGCTCTTTGGTTGGTTGAAATTAGTTAATGCCCATTTGGGTTGAGACAGAATCTGGATATTGACTACATTAACTTTACAGTTTTGTAAAAGGAAGTGTATAATTAAACAGGTAAATGATTAAGTAATGGTGATGATGATCATATAACGAACTAGATAAGTAGTTAGGTTAGTTAGTTAGTGCGTTTCTCTCTAATTTCTCGCCTCTCTCTGCCTGTACGACAAGAAGAAACAAGGCGTCAAGGCCATATGGGTTGGGTTGTATGTATAGTAAGCCATCGATTTCGGCCCAGTGAGCAGAGCAGAGCCCATTCCAGCCTGCGCGGTTCGACGTGCATGGGTTTTATTTGTTTCCTCTCTCAACTACGTTAAAAACTAAAATGTATAGTTCGCCCAAAAGGCCTCGAATGAAATTGTTGACTTCAATGTGAGACGGAGAATGAATTGTCAGTACGTGGTATATAATCTACGATGGAGTCTCTCCCAATAACTCGAGTTATTGGGAGCAACTTGTTCTTGACATTAATGACTTCAAAATCTTACCTGATGAAAAGGGCAATATTATTTGTCTTGTAGGCGGTCACATGGATAGGGGGGATGGCGCATGTGAGTTCTCTTTTCGTTTTTTCGTCGTCCTTTTCTGGTTCTACACCCCAACAGTTTCAGTTGAGTTATAATTTGCATGAGTTGTTTATAAAATAAGTCATTTTTTAAATGTAGACATTTTTAGAATTTTAGAGTTTTTAGATGAGTTATTCTTAGATGAGTCTTTTGTATAATGCTATCATTTTGTCTCTACATTTAATATATTTTATTATCTTATTTTCTATCCTAATAAAACCAACCACTTAAATAAACTTGTTTTGCAACCAACAAAATATATTATTACGATCCATGTATAATAGACAATAGTACTACTTTCGAATTTTTAATAATAAATTTATGATACTTTTTTTTTATAAAAGAATTCTGGGTTGCTTCCCCACTCTTATTTCTCTACCCATTTCTCACTTGAAGACGATAAGATTGACGTGGAAATAATCAAACGTTAATAATCTGCCGCCACGAGTTATAAAAATACCGGCAACTCACTAACAAACAAACAAACACGATTAGACAAAGGCATAATTCAGGTCATGCCTCAAAATGTGCAGGAATAACGGAAATGAACACAGCAAAACATGTTTAAAGATGGAACAAGTCATTTCCCGATGACTAATAAACAGCCAGGCCCCGCGTGTAAACTCGTTCGTTGTTGCACGCAATAAATTATTGTATTTGATTCATTCATCATCGGAAACAAACACACATCAGTATTCTGGGAGGATTTATCCACTAATGCCAAGTGTTAAGCACTCGATTACGTTAATTACTGTTATTAACTGAACCCAAAGGACTTGGCGATGTCACAGAATCTTAATTGTCCAAAAGGGTTACCACAAAATTCTCTTACACAGTAATTTGTTAGCACAAGTTGGAAAGTTTTGGGTCTGACAAGGTTCTTTGAGGTCCAAAACAGTTGCTCGATCGATAGAAGATTATACAAATTTATGTCCACGTCAACTATTTATAGACACATAAGTTTGAATGTGAATTCATGTAGTATGTAGTGTTTCGTATCATTGTGTTCTTGTTCAAGGGAATGACCTTCCGTTTCCCCCTTGATTATAAGATTAGAAGACACCATAAATCGTAAAATTTCCTAATGTGAGATTTATGAGACTAATGGCGAATATATGTTTTAGTGAATAGGAACCAAAAATAATAGCAACTTTTCAAAGAGAGGACGAACATTTTGGAGGAGCAGCTAACAATAGTCTGTAGTGTATGCAGTTGGACTGTCATTGGAAGAGTATGTTTTGCCACTAGGTGGTTAGCTATGCTAAACCTCCAAAGAGCAACAACATGAAATTGACACAAAAAACGAGGAGAGAGAGAGTGAACTTCCTCTAGAATAGCTTCCACTCTCACAATATTTTTTTTTTCTAACCATTAACCAAGACAATCCCCCAGGGCATGATGACAAATTTACAAAACAAACAAAAATAAAGTACGATATTTCTTATGCAGCTGGACTTCTGATGAAAGAGTTTGTTCTGCCACTAGCTGGGCATCTCTGTGAAAGCTCCAAGGAGCAAAACAGATACGAAACTGACACGAATGGTAGGAGGAGAGAATGAACTTCCCTCTATGGCTCTGGCTCTAGGGAAGGAGGGCTTCCTCGACATAGGATCATTGATGACCAGTTGAGAATCTCCGGAATATGTAACAATCAATACATTATGAGTATCTTTCCCATAGCATCATTAAAGGCAACTTAATTTGATATGCAAGCATCGGTAATACCATAATAGAATGTACCAAAAAAAGCAAATCAAATAGTTACATAACCTGAGAAGCCAACAGAGCTGGTTGCACATCCATGATGATTCTTTAATATAATTAAGTAAACCATTTAATAGATAAATTCGAGGCTTGCTTTCCGCCACAGGTTGAAGAGGTGCTCCACGATAACTGCATTAAGAGCATTCTCTTCTAGATTGGGAGACCGACGTGGATGTGATTCTTACGGTTCTTGTTGACATTATTTCATGACGAGCATTATTTCTTGATTTGCCTTTACAACACTAAGTTTTTTCTGTAAAGAGACCAACTAAAAAGGCACCACTGTGATCCTTAAAATCTCTATCCGAGAGATTAAAGTTTGCCTTTAGATTAAAGTTATACAAAAATTGACCAAGCAATTTCACTATTCCCCAAGTTCCCCGGCATTGACGAACTAGGGGCTGCAAATTAAATCCAAGTCACTCCAATCTCATACAAGGTCAGGAAAGGTACTTTTTTTTTTTCTATGGAGTTGCCATCTATAGATTTGCTATAGTCCAATGTGAAAAATACGATAAGACACCAGAAGTCCATCCTTCCCAGGATCTTAGGGGTTGATTTTGTGTACAATGTAGGATAAGAAAAATACGTATGAAGAAGGAAACAGCCTCAGAGTATGGGCAAGAACGTGTCTTCGTTATATACAGAAATAATGGGGCAAAAGGAGACAAACCCACTCTAGCTAGTAACTTCCTCCTATCTTATAGAGTCCACTTGGTTCCTTAATTATATTGAATCACAGAAGAGTTATGGGGCAATCCGACCTAGGTTTATCAACCGGTAGAATTGGGTTAAAAAATGTTTTGGACATCACTGAAGTATAAGAGTCGATGTACTTAATGATATCACTTGTCTCGAGTCAGGGCATTGAATATGCATACAACATTCCATTAAAAATTAGCCAAATTTTAACTTTCGGTTAACAATTTTGTTAGTAATATTGACTTGACAACATGATACTGACTTGGAAGAAACACATGAAGGTCAACATTCCAAAATTCTAGTATTTTAACTAAGAAAAGAGTTATAAAATTATTGATGATGACGTAAAAATGGCTAATATTATTATTTTGATGCATTACAAAAGATTTGGCTAATTAATAACATTTTAATAGGTTTGAATAATATTAATAAAAAAACTGAAAAAAATTTTGGTAAAAAATAGACATTACTTTTTTTTTCCCTGGCATCAAATCACACTAATGCCTTATGCCTGAGAGTTGAGGAAGTAGGGTAAACTCTTATATGAAATAAACTTGCACCTAATTTGGTACATTTATGGGTCTCAAATGTACCAATTCCCAATTATTATGAAAGCTGGAGGCTGAAAGCCTGAAGAGTTAGGTTGCAAGAACAATCCAGGGGAGGCGTTTTCTTGCTTCTGGATTCAATATAATAAGAGAACAAAGAAGACTTTCCGCCATTAAAGGGGAAACTAACTAGGTAAGCAAACCCCATTATTTTTTTTTCTCTCGATCTTCTTCTCCCTAATCTTGGTCAAATGAATGATTCGTAGGAATTTGAAAATCCAGCCAAACCCCTAATGACCCAAACGCTACAATATGACCAATTTCGTCCTTACAAAAGAAGACGAGGCACATATAACCAAATTAGCCGATTGCAGAATATAATCTCTACAGATTTGCGTGGAATCGGTATAAGAGGCGCATTAATTTATGTACATTAATCTTTTCTTATGGCCTCGCTTTATATATGGAGCTGACAAAACAGATCCGACGAGGTCCTATATATTAGAAGGTATTTTATATAATTTTTTCTTGTTAACTCGGCGAAGGAATAAAGCAAGAATCATTGTTGGTATACTAATTGAACTGAATATAGATGGTATGTTCTAGAGCTATAAGAATGGCTCTAGTCTCTAGATACCCACTGGTTCGGTCTGGTTAGATCTCTGAGGTTCAAGTTAGGTCAGTGTCGGGTAATCTTTTAGCCCAACAAGGGTCGGTTCAATTTGTGGCTGGATTATTATTTGGCCCTATGACCCATAACAATAATTTTTTATATGAAATTTCTCATATCAACACATTGAACATATTTGTAAAATTTTATTGATGTGATCCGGCCCAATAATCGGACCCTACCTGTACTGGTCAGACAGGGTCAAAGAAGAATAGAGCTAGTCCGGGTCAAGTTGGATGTTTGACCCTATAGGACCAGAGTTTTTTTTTTTTTTTTTTTTGGGTAGTGACAGGGTCATGGTTGGATTTGACAACAATTTCACCCTTATTAAGTTCGGGTTGAATCAGTATTCAAGTCTGACAGATTGTTGTTATGTGCTTATGATCCATATGCATGCATAAATACTAGACTAATGAATCATTGACGGCCAAGAAAGAAGCCACTTAGCTAGCTAGTTAGACTCTAATCATTCTTTTGTACAGACAGAAAGATAGTTCAAGACTTGATGAAGAACGAGAGAGAGAGAGAGAGAGACTGTGAAATAAGGTGATCATAACAATGGCGATCGCCCCCAACTAATATAATGATGAAACCACCACCAAAACAAGGCGCTTTGCTTTTGCCTTGTCTTCTCACTGCTGAGCCAGCTTCCCTGATTCTTAATATAGCTTTAATTCCCTTCTTTAATAAAGCTGTTCTCGTCTGTCGCGCCACCATCTCCACCTGCAGGATCATAGTTTAGAGTGCCATATAATTCAAGTTAAGGTGCCAGTTGACTATGAGCTAATTAATCACCTCATTTTCTGTTCCACATGTAAATACAAAAATTTAAGCATTTTACTATAGATATTACCAACCACGTTTACCGTACGTCCTTGGATTTGGATGTATTGTCTGAAGTACTAATTAAACTCTAACTACTAATTTATAAATTATAATTGTCAAGATTGGTTTATATTTTTTGAAGATAAAATACCTAAAAGTTAAAACCCATGCTCGAATTCGAGATGCATGTTAAATCACCCGTCCTGTCCATTATTTGTGTTTGAAGCATTGATTCTGGGTGGCACGGTAATAAACTTTTTATAGTGCGTAGTGGGCCTACTACCGGACCTTTTTCTATATCAGGCCCACTCGGGCCCAATTTTTGTTCCTTACTTTCAAGACTTGTGAAGGAACAATACAATAGTCATCGAAATCAATCAAACGGATAACCGTTTGTTTCCACATAATTAATTAAGAAAGAATTGATCGTAGTAACAGGCTAACAGCTAGCATGCACATAGTTAAATTAAGAAAGGGTAGGACGTACCAGTAGTAATCCCAGCGGGGTCGGATCTTGCTCATGCGGTTGACGCCGTAAGGGTAATCGGATTCGGCCCGCTGGGTGTTGCGGAAGGCGCAGCAGCCGACGCAGTAGAGGGCGATGAGCGCCACCAGCACCACCACGTTCAGCACCGACATCTTGTGCCAGTCCCTCCTTATCTCCTCCAGCACCCCGGCCTTGCACGACTCGCACTCGTAGCACAGCAACTCCGCCGCGTTGTTCCACTTGTAGCAGTCCTGCTCCTGCGCCACCGTCGTCGCCATGTTGTAGTCGCACGCCGTCGGCGGCTTGCAGCACCCCGACTGCATCCATCCATTCACAAACGAAAACTGTTAGAGAAAGGTTCAATAAATCATTAACTCCACGACATATACGCGTATTAAACGGAGTATATTTTCCAACTACTACGAATCGCGGTAGCGTACCTGGACAGGGGACATGTCACGCTGAGCATAATCGAGAGGCGTCCAAGCAGCAAGCGTAGCGCAAGTCTTGGAGCCCAAAATGCACCCTCTCACAGCCCTCCAGTAATCAGGGTCCTGAACCCTCTTCCTGAGCCAGGGCGAGTAATCCTGCAGCCGATACTCCCTGTACGCCCTCCCGGGCACCCCGGCCCCGCCGCCCTGGCTCGTCACCACGAACCCGAACACCGTCAGACCCATGAGCGCGGCGATGATGAAGAGCATGACCACCAAGTACACCCACAGCGCCCAGGCGACGTGGAAGCACGCCCCGATGAACCCGGCCAGCGAGATCACCAGCACGATGAACCCCAGCACCAGGAGCGGCGTCTGGAGGAACCTCTCGCAGCTCGTGCTGTTCCGAGCCATCCACAGCCCCGCGCCGATGATCGGGATCGAGGCCAAGAGTGCTGCCAGGTTCAGGCACCCGATCAGCGTGTTGCTCAACCTGTACATTGTTTTTTTTTTCTTTCTTTCTTTCTCTACTTGCTTTTGGTTTTGGCTAGTTGCTATACTGCTATATAATTGTGTGTTGGAAATGTGAGGGTGGAGCTTTTCCTTTCTTTCGTCTGCCACTGATCTTTGTGGGTAGCTTTTTTGGTGATGATAAGATGAGTGGTGTGTAACTGTGTATGCATGTATCTTTTTTTTTTTTTTTTGCTTTTGATGTGTAGTATGGTGGGGAAAGGGAGATGCTTTGATATATTAACATCTTGATGGTTGTGGAAAGGATTTGTTTGATTGATTTGTTATATTATTCTTCTTCTTCTTAGTCTGTAAGTAATGGGGTTGCTGCTGGGGTAAAGTAGCTAGGGTGCAGAAAAGTGGAAAAAGAGACGGATAACTAACTGATGCATTTAAAAAAAAATGTGGATTTGATGCTTGAACTGCAGAATGTGTCGATAACTACTAGCTTTTATTTGGGGTAGACTTGTATATGGCGGGGAACGCACTCATTTTTTGAAAGAGATGTTTTATTTTGTCATAGATAGATCGTAAATAGATAGGGTGTTACAATTCTTGAAAATTAAAGGCGGTAGTCAACCTAGTGTTGAGCTACCGATGCAAGGGCCATTTTTGCCACTAAATGGGCAGCTCTGTTAGTATGCCTAGAACCATAAATAAACGAAAAAACGCAAAGGAAGTCGTCATTCGACAAACTTCTTGATGCACCCATCCGCCAAAATAGAGCCTTCATATCTCCTCTAAGTCAAGCTTCAATAGGCCAACAATAGAGATGTTTGCTTGTTAAGATTGTTTGCATAGTGGAAGTTGAGGTTCAACTCGTGAATTATAGTTCATTGAATGCTCACTATATATCAGTCTAAAAAGAAATTAATGTCGATTATTATAAACATAATTACGTAAACATGTGTTCAACAAACTCGTCCAACATAAGAAAAATAGTAAGTTGATAATCATAGAGACACATAAGACAACACATAAGCCATACTTAATCGTGACAAGGAAAATAGTATGTCACTTTCGAGACCATACTCAACTTGATAAGCTCGTTACAAGGAAAATTAGTATGTCACGAGTTGACCTTATCAAGCTGAGTATGTCACGAGCTTATCAAGCTGAGTACTCGTCAAAAGTGTATAGTATTCGTTACAAGGAAAATTTGTCAAGTTGATAATTTGTCTCGTTTACTAACGAGTCGGCACGCGAGCCAGCTTGTTAAATAACGAGTCGAGTGTCGAACGAGTTTTTTTCAATTCGAACGCCGAGTTGCTCGCAAGCAGCTTGACTTATTTGCAGTCCTACTGGTAACTAATGACCAACGGGACGAAGGTTTAAACATTACTATCCATCAAAGGGTAAAACAATTTTTTATTATAATTTAGTTGTACTTGAATTATCTCGAGTAATTCTTATTTGTCTCATTTCTCGATTCTATCTTTCGCTAGTTATTGGCTTATCTAGAAGGGGGAAATCATTACCTCAAATTTGAAATAAAGAAAAGGAAAGAATACCCAGTCCTTCTTGGCAACCAGTTTCCTGTTGACCAATAAAAATGGAATCGAATTCAGTAGGCAGGAAAGGGAATGAAGGCAAGCAAAGAATATTGGTCTCTCTCTATTTTTCTAGTAAGTTGGAACATAGTTTTCTGGCCACTTGATGAATTAGTTTCCTTCGTTGGACAAGAGAGCAAGGAAGGCACCATGCAAATTGAGGCCCCCCACTATTTTCAGCTTTATTTTGAAGCAGAGGAAAAGAATCTGAATTGTTAGGTGTGTTGTTGTTATATTATGTTTATGTATGTGTTAGTGGATATTTTCTGTTAATTATTATATATATGATATGAGGTTAATCTTAAAGAATGTGGGATGATCATCCATTCATCATTGATGCCTTTCCTTCGTTAATTGCCTCCTTTTCCCCAAGGCTGCGAGCTCTTATCTTATCTCGTTGAGATTATTATTATATTAAAAGCCCTTTTCTTTAATGGGCTTTTTTAATTTAGATTCCCTTTTGCGGCTCCCACTAAAAGCTTCCCCGGCCCAGTCCAGCCATTAAAAAGAAGGAAGAAAAAAAGAATCCAACATCTGAAAATGATTAATGAATGACCCGCACATTTGTTCTTTATTCATGATTTTGACATATCTTTATTATTATTAACATCATTAATATTGCATACTAATTTGATGCATGCCCTCCTTTAAGAGAGAGGATACAGTGACTTTGAGTGTTTAGTCACTTGACTATGCCCCTCCTAGCTTTTAGATCTGGATATAGCAATCTGATGGTTAAAAAGTGGGAAGAACTATTTAATTAATGACAGGGGTAGTTTGGGTATTATGGAAAATTACGAAGTATACAAACCGAACTTACAATCAGTACAAATCATACAAGCATACGAACAGTATAAACTAGAGCGACAAAACATACAAACATATGAACTGTACAAAAAATACAAACTTGACCGACAAACAATACAAACCATACAAAAAGAAAAAGGGTTATATGTATAATATGCCCCTCTACTATGACTTTTTATCAAACATGCCCCTATACTATTTTTCACATCAAACGTGCCCCTGTAATTTGGAAAAATTATCAAACATGCCCTTAAGTTGAAATTTCCATTGAAAAAATCGTCAATCATGGTTGAACCGAGATTTAGACGAACTAACATCGATAAATGGGAGGAGAAATGTCAGTTTTGACCCTTGTTTTATTTCTCTAGGTGTCGTCAAAGTGAAATTATTAGAATTATTTGGCTATACAAAAGAACAAAAAAAACTCTAAAGTGAAATTATTAGGGATATTTTAGATATTTGGGTCGCCCAAACCAAAGTTCGGTCTTGGTTAACGGTTTTTGGATGAAAATTTTAACAAAAGGGCATGTTTGGCAAGTTTTCCAAAGTACAGGGGCATGTTTGATGTAAAAGATAATAGAGGGGTATGTTTGATAAAACGTCATAGTAGAGGGGCATATTATACCTATAACCCAAAGAAAAAACAACCAGGTTGACTTTGGAGACTCCATCCCTATAAAGTGGGGCTCCTTCCCAAAGTCAACCCCGGTGTTTTTTAGACATACAAACACGGTGAACAAAAATGACAAACTAGACCAAAAATTCATACAAAATGGAAAAATACCTGGGTTGACTTTGGAGGCTTCATCCCTATATAGAAGGCTCCGTCTCAAAGTCAAACCGGTTGTTTTTTAGACATACAAACATTACGAACATGGTGGACAAAAATGACAAACTAGACCGACAATCCATACGAACTGGAAAAAACACCCGGGTTGACTTTGGAGGCTCCATCCCTATATAGAGGAGTTCCATCCAAAAGTCAACCAAGTTTTTTAGACATAAAAAACATTACAAACATGGTGCACCAAAATAACAAAGTTTACAAAATTACAAAAAAAACCCGACAAACATTACAAAATAACAAAGCGTACAAACATTACAAAATAAACCGACAAACAGTACAAAGCATACTAACCGTACAAAATGTCACTAAAAATGACAAACAATACAAACCGAATCTATACAAACATTACAAAATAGGTCAGCAAACATCACAAAATCCAACACTATCACCGGGAAATTCTCTCTCTCTCTCTCTCTCTCTCTCTCTCTCTCTCTCTCCCTCCCTCCCTCCCTCCCTCCCTCCCTCCAATCGCAAATGTCGCCGCCGGCTAGAGGAGACGCCGAAAAAAGAAACAAAAGCCAGCAGAAATTTTTTCTGGCCGGGGAACCGCGAAGGCAGCAGCGGTCAAATTGATTTTTCTTTGTTTATTATCTAAATTAATAAATTAAATAATCATGCAATTACTATATTGTCCTTTATTAAATTGGATTAATATGGGCCATTGAATTTTAATGAGGTGAAGGGTGGAGATTGACCTAGTTATGTGACTAAGGAACCCCCTTAGTCACCTGATCTTAGCCCCTCCTTTAATTTGTTTTCCCCCCTTCTTTTCTTTCCTCCCAATATATAATTTTTTTATCTGATCACTCAATCTTGACGATGTGGATGCCACGTGGTATAAATGGACAGCAACCGCCAATCGCAAATGTCGCCGCCGGCTAGAGGAGACGCCGGAAAAAAAAACAAAAGCCGGCAGAAATTTTTTCTGGCCGGGGGAACCGCGAAGGCAGCAGCGGTCAAATTGATTTTTCTTTGTTTATTATCTAAATTAATAAATTAAATAATCATGCAATTACTATATTGTCCTTTATTAAATTGGATTATTATGGGCCATTGAATTTTAATGAGGTGAAGGGTGGAGATTGACCTAGTTATGTGACTAAGGAACCCCCTTAGTCACCTGATCTTAGCCCCTCCTTTAATTTGTTTTTCCCCCTTCTTTTCTTTCCTCCCAATATATAATTTTTTTACCTGATCTCTCAATCTTGACGATGTGGATGCCACGTGGTATAATTATGGCCACAATATTATAGATTAAAAAATTGACCAAGATATTAGATATGTATCAACTCTAAGTCTCTAATAAATTATAAATGATATGATCGACTTAACCTGCCACAAGACATGAAAATCGAGATATTGCCGACCTTGTATTCCTAATTACGTGTAACAGTTTATAGTGAATAAAAGTGCCCGTAGTCTTGACAAGCCCAATAACAAACAAGACGATCTTGTAAAATGAGAGCCCCTCGGGTGTCATTTAGAACAACCACGGTACAAAGAAAGGTGCCAAAGATTCAACTGAAAGGCAGGCACTCACCCTATTTACAGAAGGAGTCAGAGAAGAAGAAATCAGTCATGCCTATTTCAGTGGCCGATCCAGAAATTTTTTATAGGAGTGTCCTCTTTAAAAAAATAAATAATAAAATAAATAATTCATAAATAAGAAAATACATGACTAGTACAAATTTTAACAAAAGGCCACGACGTGTTTTCATATTCTGAAATAGAATATAAAATATACTCGATGTCTTTACTGCTCAACAAATCTATATATCATACTAGACAATAATATACGAACTGATCTCATATTCGAATTCTAACCTTGTACTTTATGTATCTCAAAGTTGAAAGACTCTTTTAACTCTTGCTGTGTAACTATAAAATCAAATCAAATTAAGGATAACCCACAATTAGTTTAGTTGTTAGGTCTTGAAAATAGTTGGGGATAAGCAATAATGTTTTTACTATTTCTTAGTGTTTAAATAGAACAAGAAATGAGTTGCAACCTAAAGAATATGTTTAATACTAATAGTGTCCTAAGTTTGAATAACACAAACTACCATTTATAATTTTTTAATCTTACACAAACTACTATCGAGAGTAGTATAATCATTTTTTTCAAATTTAAAGGTGTCCCGAATTACCAATTATAATTTTTTTCTCCATACGAAACTACAATCGTGGGTTGGATAAGCGTTCTTCCAAATTTTAGGGGTGTCCCTAGATGTCCATGTATCCGCCACTGGCCTATTTACTTATATACAAACTGCCTTGCCTTGTGTATCAGAATGTCACCATCTCCTGCAGTCTGCAGAGAAGTGCAGATCTACACACTAAACTTTTTTTTCTCACAAAAACTAATGTATGTAGTAATGTTTGTAGCAATGTACAGTATGAAACTCATTGATTGTCTTATAGCCAGAAGTATAACATTGCCTGTGCATGCATAGAAACAAACAACCCATCATTAGCCAACAGATGCAGATACCTGCCTTCAAGTGGAAAGAACAAGTTGTAATAGGGGGGGAAGCCATACCTCTTGGAGAACATCAAGACATGGTTCATCTGGAACAATAGGTTTCTGAGCTTTTCGACTCCTGAGTTCGGTCTGGATCCCACTCAGCTGTTCTTGAATCGCCTTCAACAGATGCATCTCTTCTTCTGCTGTTTGCCCTCCTCCACAAGAAACAATCTCCTGGTGCTGCCTCACATTGTTCCTCCCCCTCTCCAGCCTCTCAATTCTTCGCATCAGCTTCTGGTAATCGCATGGCGTCACCAAAGGATGATGTGCTGAAGCAGGAGAAGGAGGCAAACCACCATGGTCAACAAGTGGTGCGTCTTTGGGAGCTTTCTTCTTCTCGTTGCTTGAAGGACATTGCAACTCTGTCTTCGCTTGCTCTCCTGACGATGTACCTTTCCTTAACTGTTCACAACGCTTTTTTTGACTCTCAAGATTGTCATCCATACCATTATTGGAAGGTAAAAGAGAACTCAAACCAACTTCCAAGTCTCGTGAAGTTGAATTCTCACCAGAAATATTGCCATTATTTCCTTCAGTAAGTTGTGAATATGATGAATGAGACCAAGTCCCACCTCTCCAAATTGCAGACTTGTTTTTGCTAGTATGATCTTTGCTGCTTCCATCCGACATCTCTTTCAGTCGTTCGTCCAATTTCTTGATCTGTTCCCAGTAAGAATTTAAGTCTCCAGCAGTATGACCCCCCACTAACTTCTTCTCCAGCTCATGAATCTCTTGAAATTCGGCTTCCTCATCAATAGTAGCTGTGCTAGTTGAGGGAAGTTGCTTCCTGTCAAACCCTACTTTCTTTTGGCTAAAATCCATCAAAGCAAGCTGAGGCAACGAGTTGAGCCTCCTCACACCGCTACCCTTTTCCCCAAACGAAGTGTCGCTTTTGTGAGATGCAAGATCAAGCTCGGGTGCATCGTTAGGACCCGTGCTGACAAGTCTGTTCCTGTAAGACTGAAGCTGGAACTCGAGGGATGCGATCTCCATCTCCTTCTGGTACATCATGTCGTCGCAGAGTTCCAGCGTCTCTTCCGCGTGGCACATTTTTTCCTCTGCCATTCTCTTGTATTGGCTGGCTTCCATCTTCAATGCAGCCTTCTCACCTTGCAGGCGCAGGATCATGGACATGGCTTCACTAGCTGCAGTTGCAGCAGCTTCCCTTTCCACGTCCAGTTCGCGGTAGAGTTTTTGCAGGATCTGCTGCTGCCCATGGAGTGCTTCTCTTAGACTAAACGCATCAGTCTCCGGCAGCAACATGGCATGGTGATGGGTTTCAGCCATGGTCAAGGAATTGTTTGGTCAGATCAATTTCACCAGCTCTGAGTCTTCTCCATACCCAAACACAGAAACAAAGAAGGAATTCCCAAGTCAGAAAACGCATCTAATTGCCATTTCTTCCCCCCAAATATGTTTGTTTGCAGATTAAAAAGACAAAAATTCTCAAAAGTTTCAACTAACAACAAACACATGACCAAAATCATAAACCAGGGGGTAAAACCCTAAACTCATATATCGTATTAACACTAGCAAAGTTATGGAAGAATGAAATGGGCAGAAAGGATGAGAATTGAGGAGACACTTACCAGAGATATGCGGCAGGGGAAGATGGATTGATTGCTAGGTCAATAACCCAATTAGACAGAGGTGAATGTTAGAATACAGGCGCCTGGAAATCCTTAAAACCCTCCCCCGACAAATGCAGATTTCAGAATTCAAACCCCAGAAACGTAGTAATGATTTTTGGGGGTTGGTAAAGATACGAGCTTTTTAATAGGAAACTGGAAAAGGGGGCAGCTTTACATTGTTTTGTACCTGTTCATTGATTGCAGAGGTAACGGCTAGAGAGCCTCTGCATCATTTTTCCAGGTACATCTTCCATATCAACAACCAGAAGGAACCCAGGATAGATAAACCGAGTGAGAAAACGGAGGGGGAAATCAAAATGAGATTGGATCTCTTTCTAGGAAAGCAGGGGAGATTAGGAAATCAGAATCAGAAAGACTAAGCATTAATTCACTGTTCTTTTTTTCTTTCCTGGAAAAATAATAGTTTGAAATCAATAAAAGGGGAAGAAGATAATGGAAAAAACGGATTAACCAGTTCTTGTTTCCCCCCTTCAAATCAAGGTGCTACTGTCGTTGGGTAAGATTTCCTTTTTGACAAAACGGATGCCTGATCTAATTCTGGCAAACCGCCGATGTCAAATTAAGGAAGATGGTGAAATTAAAATCTCATATCATGTGGGTCCTGGTTGTTTCTTCTAAGTTTTTCAAAAAAGCAGTTCAAAAAGGAAAGGGCGCTTTCAACGATCAACGGCTACCAGAAGGCCAACACTATCATCCGGGACATAATGGTGGACAAGAACTATTGCCTAAAATAAATATCCAACAACGTCATGTGATAGTTGATTGCCTCTTACCGTAAGAACATCATGAATTCGATCTTTTTTAGGGCAAACAGCTATTTACCATTTTGTGCGATCAAATGTGATGAGGAGTTCACTACTCTATAGTAACACGACACAGAACCCTCCCAAAAGATTCAATCATTTCTGCAGGGTTTGAGAGTTTGTTTTCTGCAGGGTTACTCACATCGAGTAGCCCTTTTCGTTGTATCAGTCTCTATATGTACATTGCATATAGGTTTTGGTAATACAATTGCAACTGTACATTGCATATAGGTTTTGGTAATACAATTGCAACTGATTCAACGGAGAGAGAGAGAAAAAAGATGCTTACAATCTCTCTACTAGTTCCAGATGGCAGCACGAAGTTGTGAAGATGACACTGTCAGTCAATAAGAATCTGCTAATTCTACAACTAATCCCCTCTCCTTCGTTGACGCACAAGAGAGAGATCATACTAGTAGGAGGAACAAGGAAACTCGAGAAACAATGGAGTTGAAGAAGGTCAAACTAAATTCAGGTACCTTACAAGCAAGGATAAAGTTTATACGATTATACAGAGTTGTGGAGTGTGAGGTGGGCTGTTCAGTATTCTCCCCTGCTTCCGGATCTAGAGCAGCAGCATAATGGGAGATGCAGATGCTGCTTCATACATTGTGGGTACAAAATTCCACTGCCTAATCTACTGGAACCTCCACTTCCATCTTCAAGCCCGGATTTCCAAGGATCTGTGCATGCAACAGAGTCAAAGTTGTGTTAGCACAATATTGGTGGGAAGATGAATTATTACGAGGGCAGAATGAGTTTTGCCAGAACCTTTCAGCAAAGCCTCTGAGCATCTATCTAATGGGTCCAGGAAACAGAGAAATTTGTTTGAAGGAAAAGCAACTAAATGACCAGCAGCGGAATCAGATCAATTTGAGAAGAGCAAGTGCAGTTTTTACTTTTTGGATTGAATGATGCAGTTATGAGGAGAACTACATGAGTCGGGCTGGATACAGACACCTCTCTTGCCCATGTATGGAGTCGAAGAATTTACTGAATGGTTTCGTGAAACTGTAAAGCGTAAACATTCCAACAAAGAATTAAAAGTTGAACTGACTGGGTTAAAACCAACTTGAATGTCTTTACATGGTGTGTGAACAAGCAGCGCATAAACCCACCAACAGAAACTCAAGGTTGACATAACTGGCGGGAAAAGCAACCTGAACTCCGTTGCATGTAGAGTTTGAACATGAATTCTTCTACAACAAATCTTTACCTAGACTGACAGCATCATCCTTTCCAGAACAACTTCCAAGCCACCCAAACGACTAGCCTTTTCACAATTCTACAGAGATAACTGTGGAATAAAACTCCATATTCATTATAATCCTACTTTTAGGACATAGATCATTCCAACACTATCCCAACATGAATGCATCTGCTATCAATTTCCTACATCAAGCTTCCAATACATTAAACTAATAATGTCACACAGCAGCTCTCCGTCTTATGTTCTCCACCCAGGTTTGACAATTCTAAATAAGCCAAGTGCTACTGCTATCAGTAGCCGCACAAGGAAAATCAACTCATGACCATCTCCAAACAGTCATTTGATTATCCTATAAAAAAACTACATTTCCAGCTCTGAAGGCACAGAATCTACCACTTGCTTAGACCTTCTCCTACTCAAGAGCACAAGACATAATATATGCTTCTGATGCTTTCCCAGCATGATTTCTCTTGCCAATCTTATTAAAGCTCCCAGCAATTGTAGGTAATAATTTTCTCAGCTGCACAACTACGACAAGATAAACTTTCCCAGGATATAAACTTCACAATATGTGAATAGAGGGAGCTAACTACTTTCGAGAACTTTCCAAGATAACAATGTAAAAGCGAATTAGATGCCAGGAATCCAGAAAGAGCTACCAAAGCTGTGACTTGAACCAATTATCGAATTTGCTATCCCACGACCCCCAACCAAGTTAACCGTATAATTGAAGTCCAGCAAAGCTTTCCTTACTGCAATAACTGCCTAACATGAGAACACTACACAATCTCACAGTACCTTTACAAAGTCGGCAAAAACTAATGACGAGTCCTTTCTGTAGCCTGCTTCTTCAAGAACCTGCTTCAGCACTTGCTGCAAGAAACACCACACAAGACAACAGTCAAAAGTAGCAAAGAACATTCATCACCCTCTACGTATTAGCCGATTCGTAACGAATGAAGCAACGAGATGAGCATCCAACCTCTCTCTGTTCTTCAGATATAAAATGTCCAGTCAAATCACGCAGCACATCCAATATGTCTTTGTATGAAACTGAACCTTTTCCACCCGAATCATATAACTTGAAGATAACTACAGGATAAACAAACAACAACTCAGCAACCAAAGCAAACCATTACGACAATACCAGCCAACGAGAGAACGAGCAACAATACATTCGATTTTCTGTTGCAATGTGGCGCGAGGACTGAATGCAGACAGGAAAGCAACGAATTCTTTGAAATTCAATCCATCAACCGTTCTCAGCAATCTCTAACCTCCAAAAGGAAACGATAATCAAAACACAAGGGGGGGAAATTCAGGAGGACACTTCAAAGAAAATATAGGGCAAAGGCTAAAAGAACCTGAGCGAGAGGATTGACAGCGAACTCAGGCACGGAGAGGAACTCATCGGCGGAGATAAACCCACCGCTGCTCCGATCGAGCTGGCAAAACCTCTGGTACAACGAGACTATCTCTTGCTGTGAAACTACGCACAAGGTAAACGTTCACATCAAGGTAAGCGTAACAAGTAACAAACCAAGGTAACCTCGATTCGTTCGGCTGGATCATCGAATTGTCAAAGAGAAGATAACTTACAGGCGTGATTACAATGCCCCTGGACCTCTTCGATATCGTACTGAGTCAGCATCGACGATGAATTTCCCATTGCTGCTGACCTCGACGGGCGACAGAGGCGGAGGAAGAAGGGAAGAGAGGTTTTGAGCGACTCGAGGTCTACAGTGAAGTGACGGGAGATGGGTGGGAACTGGGAAGCGCAAAAAGTGGAAATAGTCCGTCGCTTTAAGACTTTTGGCCAAACTGGTCCTCTTCCAAAATCCAACTAATACAGGTGTGTTCATTTGTACTTTATGTTTTGAAATAGAGTTTTTACTTTTTAGAAAAAGTAGAAGTGAAGGTTGTTAGCTAATTGGGACTCAATAATTGATTAGAATCAAGGTTGTTAGACCTAGATCGACCTTACTACTCAAAGAAATACAAAATCCGACCTGCAAAATTTTATGGTTACAACTTACAACTAGAGTTTTACAGATAAGGGGTTCTGTAACGAAACGCGGACCCTAATCTAACGGATCGAATAACAATAACTAAATGGACATAACAAGTTGATGAATGACACGAGTTGAAAGGCTGATTAGAATTGACACATAGAGAGCTTCGGGTGGTTAAAAGCTTGTTAATTTGCATATTTTAATCCAATTTTGGGACAAAATGCTTTTGTGAAAAAATTATTTTTAGCGAGGTGAGCATTTGAACTCGAGAATAATTGACAATGCTTGGCAGTTTTTTTTATAAATACTTTTGATATAATTTATAACTCGTCCATTGAATCGACGAATTGCAAATTGAGCCAACCGAATCAGCTTTAAACGCCTATGTTTGTATATTATGTCGCGTCCTCGATCATCAGTCGCCTCGATCGCCATTGATCTCCGAACTAGATTGCAATCCAACATCCACATAAAAGTAATTCCTTGCTATTTACATGCACTAAGCTAATACATATATAGGTATCCAATCCGTCCAAGTTGATTGCTTATTGCGCCAATTCTGATCGAAGCAGGGTTCATAATTAACATTGCACCCAATCTGAGACCAAGTCGAAGATATCCTCGACGCACTTTTTACCGAACCTAAGAGCATTGGCCGCTCCGGTTCTCATGACGTAGTGGTGAAAGAAAGCCGCCGCGGCAGCTCCGGCGAAGGCTCCGGCCCAGAAGATCCCCTGCGCATGCATTAATTATGAGCAGAAACGGATTCATTGAACAGAATGAAGAGATTGTGCAGCTATCAATGGTTGAATGTGACTGTACACATACATGGTGATCCCAGGCTTTCTCCCCGTTATAGATAACGGCAGCTCCGAAGCTCCTAACCGGGTTGATACCGGTGCCGGTTATTGGAATGGTGGCCAAGTGAGCCGTGAAGACGGCAAATCCAATCGGGAGTGGTGCCAAACCCTAACTTGCATACAAAAACACGTTCAAATTAAAAACAACTCATCAAATGGATTGAACTCGACTAAACCTTCACTTGGCTCTTTTTTCTTTGTGTTTCGTCTCATTTTTTCACTTTTAGTTGCGATTATAGGGACGGAAATTGAAACTGAACATATGAGTACAAATTTGACTTAACCCGGTTACTGTAGGTAAAAATCAACGTAGACGGATTTGGGGTCGGATTGGATTTTGACATATTTCCACTCGACTCGCACCCAAAAAGGAAAACGGGTTCATTGTATACACAATCAGAACAATACAAATAATTTATAGATGTTATTAAGTTTTATGGCAATATAAACCTAATATTATGAATAATTTATAGATGTTAGTAATTTCTACAGAGATATATTTGTAGCAAATTTTTTTGTTTGAAGAAATAATGTATAGTTATGTTCATGAACTCATAGCTATTAGCTACCCATGAATACAGATTTGGTTGAGTTCAGTTGGGATTCACTTCTACATCCTAAAATAAGTATTTTATCGGATTTTTTTAATGGGTTCGCCCTTTGAGTTGCGTTTAAGTTTAGAAAAACCGAACTCATTGCCGTCACTAATCAAAATTAATGAAAAGCCACAACATCAAGAGTGTATAACAAAGAAGATGATGACATACTATTGCTATTTTAAATCTTAATTCATTAAAAACATACAGTTTGATTTGGTCAAGCATCAAATCAGAAATGATTATTGATGAAATCGTACGTGTGTGTGATTGATGGATGAGATTAATGAAACCATATGAAAATATCAAGGTTCTAAAAGGCGCTAGGCGTAAGGCAGGCGCTCGGCTCCTGACTTGCGCCTTGCCCGATTAGGCGTAGCCTAGGCGCGTCTAGGCGTTCAGAGCATAAATGGAAAAATTCTCAAATATTTCCTATTTTCTGGAATAATTCATATAATCCAAGTGCATATAAAATTAGCAATGCCTAGTTCTTAACAGTAAACACTTAACATAACAAATAACAAGCAAATAGTGACCAATCATCTGCTAATAGGTGCTTATAGAGGCAAGAAGCTTGTGTTACTTACCGAGGAGAAGGAAGGAGCAACAATTGGCGAGTTTCGACTTTATTTCCCACTATAGCAGCGGAGCGGTGTGAAGGCGAGAAGAGTGATCGATGACTTTCTCCTGCGGCGGCAGAGAGCAGCAAATGGGGTGAGAGCTAGGGCGGAAGGCGGTAGCAGATGGGGCGAGAGCTAGGCAGCAGGCGGCAACAGATGTTACTTCCCGTGTTTCTGATTTTCTAGGGGAAGAGGCAAGTTTCTGATTTTCTAGGACAAAACGAAGAGTATTGGGTTTAACCGCCTAAACTCGCCCAGGAACGCCCAGGCACGCCTTCTCTCTATTAGGCGCAAACTAAGCGCTATTCCCACCTACTAAGCGAAACCAGCGCCTTTTACAACGCCTATGGCCAAGTCAAGGCGATCCTCCATCGCCTAGCGCCTAGTTGAGCCTAGGCGTGCGCCTAGGCGCGCCTTCTTGAACCCTGGAAAATATTGATTAACGAAACTTCCCATGCAAAAATTAAACACTCACTGGGACATGGGACTCACGAGCGTTCCTCTTGGGATGGACGGCGGAGAGGGCGGTGTAAACCAATACTAAAGTGCCGATGATCTCCGCACCACACCCGGTGGCGACGCCGTAGCTACGGCGGAGAGAGTTGATCCCGCCACCGTAGCTTATGAATTTAGACTTCTGAAACGCCTTCACCAACCCCACGCCGCAAATGGCTCCCAAGCCATGTAAGTCACCGCCCTTATCAACGACACCTTCCTCGCCAGAAACAGCCCGAACGTCACCACCGGGTTAATGTGACCCCCTGCACCTCCATCGTACCTAAATTTAATTTTTTTTCATATAAGTCCTCAAAATATCGATGAAAAATTATGTTTTGGTACCTAAATTTTTTTGGTCTTACATTTTGGTACCTAACTTTTCAAGTTTTGCAAATAGGTCCAATTTTTGCATGTGTAGTTAAAATATCCTCAAGTAAATGGATATCCATATTCAACCCATATCCATTTAGATTATGGAAGCCCCAAACTCAAACTCATCTATAAACCCCCAAATCCATATGCACTTCACCCATACCCAACCCATTATCAATGGGTCTACTTGGATTTGGGTATAATTATCCATGGGTGGGTAATTTGACATCCCTAATCATGCTCGTACTTCCCAATAACCATACATCGATTTTTTCCCGTTGAATCATTACACTGATTTCCTTAATATACAATAAATAACATATATGCATATTACATAATGCAAAAATTTAATTACAATCACAGCATAACTATCTTTTGATTATTTTCTTTCGATAAATTGGAACGAATTTTTATCACTAAATTGGAATGGGGCGATAAAACCAAGAGAGGAACCCGACTAACCGGATGATGGTGTTTGGCCGGCGCTGAAGAATTCTTCCGATCGGGCACCGACATTAGTCAACTTTTTTTTTTTTTTTTTCAGGGAGTCAACAAATTAATATTAATTACTCCCTTAGGCCTTATCTCCTCGCCTCGGTGGGCCACGACCAGCGGGCAGTACGACGTCGACCTTAACTACTTGTTCAGTGTTCACCTATGCCTTCACAATAATTAACGACTACCGATCTGCATCATTTTGCTAAATTTAAAATCATGATGACAATGAATTGCTTTTTATGAAAAACTAATAATCATGATAATAGTAAATTTCTTTGGAATCTTCCTCAGGGTCATATCTGATGAATAAGTTTGTAAAAAGATGCATTAATCGTATCGTCATTAACAATTCCTTGTTTTTTTTCTCACACCCATATTTTAAGACTCGAACTCACTATCACGAATAAATATATATTTCATTATCTTCATACTAGAAGGTAAAATACATTTAAAATCATCACAAGACATGACGTGAAATAGATTAGTAGCTCACAAAGCTGATTAGCTAGTATCAATAGTAACACAAAAACGAGATTATAATTCAATATCAATATTACAATAATTCCTCGTACATTCTTTTATATATATGTTTGGCATGTACTATAATAAATACACATACTTCTTGCAAATATACGTATGCAACCAAGTTCGATTTTAGTGAAATTCCGATTCAAGCGGCTAATCCGTACGCCCACTGTGATGGCAAGTTGATGCTATTAATTCCTAGCTAGCTACCACCCTTGCTGTTGAACGACCAAAAAGCATTGTTGGTCCCGGCTCTCATCACTTTTTGGTAAAAGAAGGCTGCCGCGGCAGCTCCGACGAAGGGTCCGACCCAGAAGATCCACTGCACCACCGTCATAAAGAGAACAGAAGATCACTCGAAACATTAATCACATGATGTATATATTAGGCTTCAATTCAAATATAAGTACCCCGAGAACAAATAGAAAATAGGAAAACCGAGTTTAATTTGGATACAATTATATGTTTTCAGACATACATGGTCATCCCAGGGCTTCTCTTCGTTGAAGATAACAGCCGCTCCGAAGCTCCTGGCCGGGTTGATACCGGTGCCGGTGATCGGAATGGTAGCCAGATGGACTATGAAAACCGCAAATCCAATAGGCAGCGGCGCCAGAACCTAACATAGATACAGAAAGCCCCTTGACAAATAATCTTGTAGCAGATCATTAAAAAAAATTTGGAGTGTACAAAACACAGACATGCGAAACTTTGCAAAATCTCGTCATATCATAATAATACGATGTAGTATTGTGTCGTATAATTGTATCGCTATGTCGTTATACACGATGGTACGACGACCAGGATTTTGCATGGTTTTGAGAAGGCCAGAATTTTGTACCGAAACCCAAGAAAAAAAAATAGTACTAATGAATGCCAAGAATGGTGGAAGGGCCGCATATATAATATACGTACAGGGACATGGGAGTCGCGAGCGTTTCTCTTGGGGTCGGTGGCGGAGAAGACGGTGTAAACCAACACGAAAGTTCCGATGATCTCCGCGCCCAGTCCGGTGCCGGTGCTGTACTCTGGGTTGATAGTGTTGGCGCCGCCGCCGTACCTGGTGTAGTAAGACTCCTGAAACGCCTTCACCAACGCCACCCCGGAAATGGCTCCCAGGCACTGAGCCACCATGTACATCACCGCCCTTATCAGCGAGACTTTCCTCGCCAGAAACAGCCCGAACGTCACCGCCGGGTTGATGTGGCCCCCTGCACAATAATTGGTCCTCGCGTGATAAATTTCGCCGACAACGAAACAAGGACTTGAGTTAGTGTATACAATTATTGGTGTTTAAATTAGGCGGTATAATGTTTGAATCCCTAGAGATTATTATTATTATCAACTTAAGAATTGCTCGTAGGATACCGAATTTGGCTATTCCAGGTGAAAATCTGGTATATGTAAGGACAAAATATAGCATTGATATGGTCAGTGGCGGACCCAGAAATTTTTCATAGGGGTGTCCTCTTTTAAAAAATAAATTAAATAAAAATAATTAATAAAAATAAAATTGTAAATATGAAAATACCTTACTCGTAGAGGTTAAAAAAGTCCATGATGTGTTTTCATATTCGAAAATAATTTTAGAATACACTTGGTGTCTATAGTGTTAAGAAAATTGTCTCTATGTACACTACTAGACAATCATTCACGAACTTATCGCATATTCGATTTGTAAACTTGTTCTTGATGTAACCCAAAGCTGAAAGCATCTTTCAACACTTGTCGTACAATCATAAAATCAATACAAATTAAGGGTAGTTTGAAATTAGTTTAATTGTTAGGTTTTAAAAATAATTAGAGATAGGGAATGTCATTTTACTATAACACATTGTTCAAAATCGAACAACAAATGAGTTTAGCTCAACGGAAATTAAGTTTATTAATAATAATAATGTTCTAGATTTGAATTATCCAACCTACCACTTATATTCCTATACACAAATGACAGTAGGATAATCATTTTTTCAAATTTAAGAGGTGTCCCTTACTATCAATTATATTTTTTTGTCTATACGTAAATTACCACCGGGGTTGGATAATCGTTTTCCCAAAATTTAGGGGTGTCCGAGGACACCCCTAAACCACCCTGGGTCCGCCCCTGGATATGGTGGCGAATACTAATGGTAATGGAGCAGGTTCGGGGCGGGTATCATGATATTCATATTCACCCCATGGGTGATCGGGTAATTTATCATGGATCGCGCGGGTTGGGGCAGGTCGATCCAATGAGTATACAATTTATATGGAAAACATTAGGAAATATTCGTCAATTTCATTATAATACCAAGAAAACAAACCATATTGTTATAAATGTAGTTACATTTTGGAGAAAGTTGATGTTTTCACTAATTTACAGCTTTGTTATAGCTAAAATATGATGTAATTAAGAAAATGAAAATCCTAAATAATTTGACTAAAATTACATGTAATTTAGGCCAGAACAGGTCGAAAATGGGGCGGTTTAGGACAGGTCGGGTTGATAAGAGTACCCATGCCCGTTCCGCTCCAAAACAGGCCAAACAGATCGGCAAAATTGCCATTTCTAGTGGCGTACGTTTGGCCATTTATGGTAATAACTTTAAGTTATTATTTACAAAAATTAATTCAGAATACCAATATGCATAACAAAACTTTACTGAATACTGATAATATCACTAGTTTTAATTTGAATCTCGCGATCTAAATTTAAATTTCTTAAATAACACCTAATAAAAAAAAATAAACCTTTATCCATATTATAAAAAAAAATCTGTGGAATATATAGGAGAAGCAAGTCGCTACAAGCTAGGAAGCAAAAGGAAGGAAGGAGTGAGTGAGGGTACCGGAGATGCCGGCGGTGCAGTAGACGAGGACGAAGATCATGCCGCCGACGGCCCAGGCGATGCCCAGGAGGCCGACTCGGGCGCATGGGTCGGGCTGGGAATTGTGGCCGATAATAGTGAGCACGGTGATGTAGAGGAAGAGCAGGGTGGCGATGAACTCAGCGATTATTGCTCTGTAGAATGACCACTGCCCCAGCTCCGGCAAGTCGATCAGCGGAACCGGCGGCGGGTCACGGTAGTCCTTCGCCGCCGGTGCATGGTCGTGGTAGTCCTCGCCGCCGCTAGCTCCTTCTTCCTTGGCTGCTACTTCTTGCGACGACGTCATCGTCCCACCGCTTGAGAGAGTGATGATGCAGAAAACTGAGGAGACTAGCTAGTCAGCTGATATTATAACTAGTGGATTATAATAGCCGTTCGTGAATTGAAGACTCATAGCCTCTTCACTCACTGACTCACTGTACGTTTGAGCAGGAGCATCGCTTGTTTTTTTCCTCCTACTTGTTCGTTTTCCCCCCGGCCTCGACCTTGAGCTTTCATCCTCGGCCCACAACCAGCTGCGCATGGCATCAAATCAACCCCTCATTACTTCTTCACCTATCTTATGTCCAACACCTATACCCCTCTGCATTAATTCGATTCCTTTAATTTTCCCCCTAGTTTCGGCCATTGTTTGTGGACCCTCAAGTGGCGACGAGTTTTGGATCGAATTACAACCAGAGGCGTGGCTATTTATTGGCACATGCATTTGAAATGGAAATTTCTCTCCTTGGTTAAGCAAATAGTTAGGAATGTCACTAATAACTATGAATGATACTGTGGCGGGCGAGTTTGTCTAAACCATTCTCTCATATCTCTGCTTTCAAATATTTGAATTCATATATGCCTCATATCCATGTAGGGAATGTTTCGCAAACCCATCCCCATACCAGTGGGTAATATCCGCTTCATACATCCAAAATTATTATATCTTAAAATTTTACATGTAATTTTTCTATTATAACATTAAACGGAACTTCTATATATCATGAAGACAACAAAAGATATAATCATTTTTCGTACGGTTCAAAATCATTTGATCCTAAAACATTCATTAATCCTTAAGATTGAAGGAAATGAAGTAGGTTTTGATTTGGGTGGGATGCATATATATGGGTATTAGTATGAATTCAGGGGAGGTTAAAACCATACTCACCCCATACCCATCAAACATTTTACGGGTATTATCCACCCCGTCCAACACCCGCCCAATGCCAAATTCTCCGTGTTGACTTGATCGGGGACAGTTGAGCACCTGCGATCACATGGATTTGATTGTCATCATCCCTACTGTAATTAACTTGGTTGTAATCAACATTCTAACTCTCTATATGTATATCCAGGTTACATCCTTTGTAAGCATGTGTTTATGCAAGATGCATGTGTTTAATCATATCCGAAGAATGTGTCGGATTAGGGGATTTAACATTTCTTATGCGTGCATTGCAACTAAAGGCGGCAAATGAATTAGATTGGTTGATTGGTGGGTTTATTGATTGGATTTAATGGATTGGTGGATTCATTGATTCAATTGGTACCAAACGTTGATTCATTTTGAAAATTACAGAAATTTTAGGTGCTAAAATGTCCTTAGAAAAATTTTAGGTACCAAAACTTAAATTTTAATAAAAAGGTAAAATTTAGGCATCACATTGTAAAACATTAAAATAATAGGTACTAAAACATAATTTTCAACAATCCATGAATTCAATTGGATTTTAATTAAGTGGAATGAATTAGCTGGATTTTTTTTTTACCGTATGGATTGGATTCAAATTATAATAAATGAGATCTTCCGTAATCAAACAATCGAGTAGAAATAGAATGGAGTATGACAGATGACACAAGAGAGAGAGATCGACTTCGTAAACAACTTATGATCAGAATGCTGGATGTGCCTTCTTACAGCAAATGATCAAATGGAAGTAGCAATATATAATTAAGAGCAACGAGATTAATATCAACTCCTCTTAATTAACTTGTCTACACGTACGTATACAGTAAACAATCAATCAATAAATAGCAGTATAACATGAAGGCAGGCAGGCAGGCACCCTCTTCCCCCATCGATAGGTTAATCGTCACTATTGGGCATGGACTGGTTTCTTAGGAACTGCGTGAAGAGCAAGAGAGCAAGCTTAGGGCGAGTGAGAGGAACTTCGTGCCCTGCTCCTCTCACCGTCAGAAGCGTCAACCCTTCGTACTCTTGGCTCCATCCTCCCACCTGCTTCTCATTGTCGTACCAAGCCGACCAGTTTTTTATGGTTCGAAGATTCAGTGCTCCGATGGAGTATCGAGTCGCCGTCACGGGCAAGATCGCATCTGCATCACCGCTGCAAATGTACGTATGTTATAACGCCATTAATAACCCCAGCCTAACACTTTCGAGCTTGCATGCATGTAATCAAACTAGGGGTTACGTGGGGAAGTTTGACACACCTGAAAACCCATACTCTGATCTTAGCTTTGATGAGTTGTTTGAAGATGGGAAGCACCGATTTTGGGGAATCCTTCCACTCCCTCCTAATCACAGAGCTGCAAACAAAAGTACGTCAAGAAAAGTATGTTTGTTATTGACCATGGCTATAACAACGCATGCAATTCTCTAGGGAATGAGTAATTACTCGATTAAAACCCATATAGCTAGACCTGTTAAGATCATTGTTATATATCTTGTACAATAAAAGTTACCATAAAGTATGACAACTATAATTGTCATGCTTCATTTGTAATCCAACCAAAAGAAACATTCGATCGAGCAGGTTTTATAATTGATGGTTGTGGGCTTGTGGCATGTGGAGATGTGACCAAAAAAAAAAAAAAAACTATACCTGCAAGTAGTCCAAGGATTGGGAGTAGTATTTCTGGTCTGTTTTGCATGGAGAGCCTTCTGAACATCAGGGCGATTCATGTACACTTTTGTGTATTTCGTTACACACTCGTCGTTTCCCCTAAACTTCCACGGCTGGCATATTCCAAGAAAAAAAAAAAGAAGAGGTGATGATCTCAAAACTTAATTTGTTCCCTCCATACTTAATTGACAAAGCTGCATGCGTATGTATGCGTGGGGAACACAACAACAACATGTGAGGGAATCATTAGTTATCATTAATAATTAGTTGTTGGGTAATTATGTTGGTGTCGAGAAAGTTAATTACCAGGTGCAGCTGGGAATGATGATGATGCTGGGTAGAGCCGAGAGCTTGGCACGGAGGGCTGTAGATGCTGTAAGGATTGATGTTACCGAACTCGGTGAACGCCGCGTTCTGTGCAGAGTTGCACTGTCCCCTCGGGAACAGGAACGATTGGTTGGGACAATACGTCTGGAGCTGTTTGTAGGTTTGGTCGGAGATGAGGCCGTGGTTCCACCAGTACTCGTGGCTCCCGACGTTGTCGTGGTAGTCGTCGATCAGTGGGTTCCCTAACTGGAAAACCAACCCGAGATTTAGTAAATTAATATATAATACTAACTAATATTGTTCATATATGCATGCATGCGTGATTCTTGGATCTCAGTGAGCAAACTGATTATGTGAAATAATTAGCACTTACCAAGAAACCTTGGAAATTGATGGTGGGAGTCGTTTTGTTGACTGATCTCCTGTTCTTTTGGACTATGATCTGGGACAGCTCAGGAATGTAGTGCCCTGCGTAGCTTTCTCCTGCGATGTAGAAAGGTCTCTTCTTGTACTGAGGGAACCTCTCTAGCCAGCTAGTTAGGAACTTATATGCATCTTTTGCTGCAATTTTTTTTTGTGGGACAAAAACAAAATTAGCTAGGTCACAATTCTAGGTAGGGCTATAGCTAGTAAACCGGTCTGGTTCGGTTGACCAAACCAGGAGGAAAAAAAAACACTAGTCGATAGAGAACACTGCTACCACATGTAATCAAAATCGAATTGTCAGTGTTTATGATTAACCAAGAATTGACCGAGCCAACATAAACTGTTCAATAGTCAAAATTGAACAGGTCTCTTTAATGTGGCGTGCACGCATACGTTAGAAGTCTTTTTTTGAATCTTTAACCGTACTTTGGATTTAATTAAAAATACCAAATTTGTACACTTGTCACTAATTTGTTTACAACGGATAAGATGAATTAATAGTCATTCTAAACCGCCCTATGGTAATAACTAGAAGTGGTAACATCTTAGGGTACTAATTACACCATAACTAGTGGCATATATATATAATATTGTTGTACTAAATAGTAAAGAAAGTTATATACATGACACTACAACCACCAAACCCAAAAAGAAGGTTGAGATTCAAATTCAATACCTGTCCTATTGTCACCAACCTCATACAAATCCGATGAGGTGTTTGAATAAGAGAATCCCACGCCAGCAGGAGAATCCAGAAACAGCAAATTCGCCACTGCATGCAAGCATATTGATAATTACAAGTCGTTAATTAGGATTTGTCATACATATATACATGGATTCTAAAGCCATATACATCGTCGTTAATTACCTCTATTCCAGGCATAGGGATTTAGATCGAGACTTCTGCCATCTGGCCGGACTCGAAAGGGCCCTACCTCCTCAGAAGCTCCGTACGCAATGGAAGAGCAGCCCGGCCCACCATTGAGCCACAGAACCAGCGGTCTCGACTTGGGCCGGGCTTCTTTCGGAGCCTCGACGAACCAATAGAAGAGTGCCCGCCCCGCCGGAGGATCGACGGTGATGTGGCCGGCGAATTGGGAGAAGCTAACGTTCGGTGGCTGGCCTGGCAACCTCAGAATCTTATCCTTCAGCTGATCTTGAGAAGAGGCCAAAGTTGAAGATATGAAGAGCAGAAAAAGTATGGAAGGAAAGAGGAGGTGAAGAACGCCCATTATGGTAAAGCTGGTGGAGGAGAGGCTAAAAGGGAGGCATTGAAGTTTGGAAGTTTGTGTAGTAGTGGTGGAGGTGGGTAAGTGGAAGGTTTGTGTTTTTTTTTATTGGTGGGTTTGCCTTGATTGACTTTTGGAGTCATAAAGCTAGGTTGGGATTAGTTGTAAAAGTGTGCAAGTAAAGGAATGTGCTGGTTTCAAGGTTTTGCACTGCCTCCAGAGTCCAGGGTCAGACTATTATTGTTTTTTTTAATGTCTCTATGGGCTCTGTTTTCATGCATCCTACTTGCTTCTGTTGATTTGCATGCAATTGATTGCATTTCCGTGGTACCTTTTACATTGCATCCACCAAACAATTGACACTTTACAAAAGAGGGGAAAAGGATTCTTTTGCAAGTCGCCTTTGAGTACATGCAAAAGGACTCACCAAGATTAGTCCTTAGAAGAATTTTTTGTTGCCCAAATTAGTGATTCGCCAATACTAAGAGGGGAATTTAACTTTGTAACCTTCTATTCAAAGGTGAGGGTGTTTGGTTCTAATTCTCGGACTTGATTTCCGTTATGTCGGAGTAGACATGCTTAATATACCATGACCTTAATGTTATGGCATGATGTACCCCCAAGTCTCAAGTGAGAGAGCACTCTTGAATCTTGATGAGATGATGGGGTTACTATCAACAAAACCCCTTGATATAGAAAGGACGAGTTGGCACTCTAAAGAAAGAGCACAAATCCAATAACTTCCTTGGTCTCCCCTTTGCACCTTTTTTTTTTAATCCTGGTTTAAATAGGATTGAGTAAGCAATAAATTTACGGCTAAGTTGGACCGGCCTCATGATCCGGATCCGGATCCGCCCACCGGCCGACCAAATGCCCGACTCTTCTGAAGGCACAGATCCCGCCGCGTAATCTCCCAGCGAGCGCAAACACGCACATGGGGGATCAATCAGTCTACGCCGTCCGATGTCATGACTTTGACTTGGTCGTCGCCCTTCCTTCCTTGCAGTTACAGTTCTAGACCCTTGTGTTCCTTGGATTGCAAGATATAAACAGAAACAGTGATGAAGGCAGAGAGACCAAACCCTCCCTGCGCTCCATGCTTATCTTACTTCCACTTTCCTCCAGCCTTTGCTCAATCAATGGGATACTGCTGCCACTTCTCTTGCTCGTGTTGAACTGCACAAGATGCTGTCTCTCTATTTACCTGCAGGAAGATAATAATATCACTGCATTGTTGACTCGTTCTAGTAATACTATAACATACTAGCTTTCGATCTTGTAGGCTGGAAGGCCAATACGAGTTTGATCGAGTGGTTGTGCTGTCAGACTTTGAATTCGTAAATCCTAGTTTCTAAGCCCAGCAACATGCAGCATCTTGTAACTGTTTGATATCTTTCGCTGCAAATGCGAAATAAGTAATAACCAAAGTTCTCAACAATTACGAATCCCATTTGCATCGAGTCGAAATATATAAAAACAAGTTCAAAGTGAAACTTGCACTGCATCAAGTCAATAGGCACTACTATTACAACCAAGAATTTCAATTACAATTGAAACTGGGGACCTATAAAGAATTGAGCTTTCTCCTCTATCTCTCGATAGCTCATATATGGAGTTCCGTAGATAGAGAAGAAGCAGCACATGTGGCATTTTCATGCAGTTCCAGAGCCAAAACTAATGGAGAGACGGACAGCAGCACTCGAGAAGATTGCGTTCTGTTTACTCTGGTGTTGCTTCTTTCTTCAAAGTCCAGTGTATATGCAAAAATTCTCAATATCAGTGCTATTATTATCCTACTCCGAGAACAATTTCGTTGGACCGCAGATCAGATGATGTAGCTAGATAGCTAGCTAGCTAGGCAATGGCCTGTCCTTCCAGAAATTATCTAAAAAGAATGAAAGCTTGCCTAGGGTAATGGAGAGGCACTTCATGTCCTGCTCCCGACGTGGGCCCTCTTTAAACGTGGCTCCATCCACCAACCTGTGAATACAAAATGAAGCTGAAGATTAAGATGTGCAAGCAATGGAAGTTATTAATATGTTGATGACAATTTACGGTCTGGAAGAAGGGAACAATTGTGTTACTTACCCTCCTGTTGCCATACCAAGGATACCAATTGGTGACGATGGGAAGCTTCAGTGCATCAATGAAGTATCTCGTTGCAGACTTGCAGTCACAAGCAACATGGAATCTGTGTCTCCGCTGATGGAAAACAAGTCCAACAGAAAAGCTTCGCTTCAACTGTAAACTAAACCGGCAAGTTTTTATCATTTCGTTATGAGCAATTCATCAGGGTATATTGTTACACAAATTTTCAGTCACAGACAATGATCCATGTGTAAAAAATGCAGACTGAACCTTGGAAGATTAGATTTTCTAATGTTGCAGCACAACCATAAAATATTAGATACAGCAACCATGGTCATAATTTCAATGGTGGAGGTTGTGGATACCTAAGTACCAGATTTAGGTCAACAGAGTGGTTCAACAACCAGCCACTCCATTTACCAATCCAAAGCTCACCAAGTGTCTCAATCTTTGAGATATGATGTAAACACTCAGAAAATGGCATCCCGGCTCAGCCAGAGTTTTCAAGAGTTTGCTGCATAGAATATATATCCAATCCAGTGGATGTAGCACTAGGTAGCAGTCTGTCTGTTGGCATGAGAGATATTCATGGCCAAGAAGCATGTATCAATCTAGCCCTATGTAAACTATGACAGAATCACGAGGGAACTAGGAAGGATCAGGTAGCTCCTTTCTCATGGGTGCTTTTGAGCTATGTGTTAGATGTACAGGAAAACAAATTTGAATGCAATCTTTTTAATCATTCAACGCGTCTATTCCGTAACATGGTACAAAATTCAGTGAAATGAAAGTGTTGAAGAAAGTGAACACGAAAGCAACCGAAGGTGTCTGCTAAGAGAAAGGGGGGAGATGAAGTGGAGAACTTACCTGTTAACCCAAATCTTAACACCAGCAGCAATGAGTTGCTTATATATAGGAAGCAATGAAAGAGGAGAATCTCCCCAGCAGATGCCTACAATGTGACTGAAGATGATAAAAAGGAGAGAGTTCAGTCATTGATGAGACTTTAAGGATTTTATAATCTTAAGCAATAACTTTAGAAGCGAGATTAGATAGTGGACCTGCATGTTTCCCATGTTTGTACTGTGTAGGATCCTAGTAACATTCACATGGAGTGCTTTCTGAACTTCGGGAAGATTGAAGTGCACTGTAGAATGCCTCTCGGTACATGGATCATATGCTCTTGACATCCATGGCTGAGTTCCAAAATAAAAGGACAAGACCAAATGACCAATCGGTTAGACTTCAGGACACAGCCAAGCAAACAATAGTCACACTGGGAATTGTTTTATGTGTTAGCGCAATTATTCATGGCAAGCTGAGGATAATGGTTAAAGTGAAGAAGAAAATAAACAAAAGAATGTTGAGACCACTTCTAACCCTGCAACAGAATAGAGCATGGAACAGAGTTTTAACATAAGATTCAAGAACTTCTCATGTTGAGATATCCATAATGATTGCTTCCTATCTAGTACCAAGTCCAACTTCCTAGGTATTCGCTGTTTCTAGTTTTGCACATTGACCAGAAGTTAGTATACGCTTAAAAGATTTAAGGGATGAGGAGTGCTTACACAAGTTGCGCTTCAGAGATTCAGTAGTAGAGCAAGGTTTAGTGAAAATGCTACATGGATCAATGTTTCTTGCTCGATCTCTGCAGTTTTGTAGGTAGAATCTATAATTAGACCATGAGTCCATCAATACTAAAATGTGCCAACATTATTATGTAAAGAGAGGAGATTGCTTATGTAAGACTTGCCCTTTCATGATAACTACTGTCCCTTGCTTGAACCACATAATTTTAGATGTAGAGCATAAAAGCAGAAGTTTTACCAATAATCCCTTGAAGTCAATACTGGATTCTTAACTCTAATGTTCCTTTCATAAATAATCTGAGACAGTTGAGGAACATAGTGTCCTGAAAAGGACAAAAGGTAAGAACTAGTACAAATGAGAAGAAATGGAGCAAAGCCAAATCAGAGAGATAGAAATGAAGGTAAAGAACTCCAAACCTGCATAGCCTTCTCCAGCAATGTAGAAATCTCTATGCTTGTAGATAGGAAACCTCTCAAACCAATTGATAAGAACTACATATGAATCTTCTTCAGCTGCAGAAAGAAGAATCCAAATTCCCATAATTGTTAGCAGAGGCAAGTGATGATCAAAGTTTAAAGCTTTGCAATCTTTCTGTACGCACAGCTTCAAACGGCAAAACAAATTTACCCGTTTCTACTGTCACCGGCGGTGTAATAGTCCGATTTCGTATCGATTGAAATCCACATTTTCAGGCTGCCCAGGCAAACAAATAATCTTGTCTCTCTCCTGATCTTGAAGTGGGGAAGATGTGCAGAGACACAGAACAAATAAAACCTTCATCGGCCAGTAAAAAGAGTCTGGCCCATTGCGATAAAGAGAGAAGGAGGCCTGGAATGTGGGCTGGATGTAATGGGCCTCACTAGGCCCAGACAAGTTGACGGTCGAGTGCAATATCCCATATAAAGTGGGCAAAATGGTAAACAAACTGATATTTATTTATTTTTATCATTTACTTTATTTATTCATATATTTATATTTTATAACAGCGGACGCCACAGAAGATTGAAATCTGGTTAACTATCGCCGTTGAGATACGAAGTGGTCTCCTCTCTTCTTTCTTTCTCTCTCTCTCTTTCAATCTTTTGTCCCTTATCGGCTTTCCTTCTCGAAAATTTCTCTCTTTCTATTTTTCCCACAGGGATGATTTTCTTCTCTCCTCCCTTCTTTTCCTTTTATTATTTTCTTTGTAACCAAGCAACGCCCCCAGAAAAAGCCAGAGGGAAAACAGAAGAGAAAGAGCCAACAAGCTCCCCCACCATTCAACTCCAATCTCCTTATGCTGTTACAGCTGCACTCAATCTAATCTGTTCTCTTCCCCTTACAATCTCCCCTTCTTCTCAAAATCACTTGGCCACCGGGCTTCTGTTCAGCTGCTAGGGTTTCTGGGTGGTTGCCCAAGTTTGTGCGGCGGCTTGTGCCGATTTGCTTAGGGTTTGGGAAGAACTGAGTTGGTTGCCTTTTGTTTTTCTTTTTGTTGGCTCATGCCGGATAGGTAGCTAGGATTAGGGTTTGAGAGCGCGCCTGTTTCTGTTTAATGCCGCCAGAGCCTTTGCCTTGGGACCGGAAGAAGCACGAGAGGTCCGAGTCGTCGTCTTCCTTAGGGTCCACACCGCGATGGAGGGACTGCCCTTCAGGAGGTCATTATGGATCCTACCGCGAATTTACTGCTCGCTGGACTGGAGGATCGGGCGAGTTCCGCAGGCCTTCCGGTGAGTCCTTCCTTCCCTTTTTTCCTAATTTGTTTTCTGTAGTATCGTCCTCTTTTGGATGTTCTGTTTTGTGGAGCCTCAGTTCAGTTTTTTGTTTGGGCAGCTGCCATTTTCCGATTCTAATGTAATAGGTCTTGGTTTTATGGTTACTTTGTTCTTGGAAGAGGGAAAGTGTTGCTCTTTCTGGTTTTCTTCTTTCGTGGTAATTTGCGGCGGTGGTCCCTTACATGCGAGCCTGTTTCTTTCTCTTGTAGAACCGGCTTCTCCTTGCTCTCTTTTACCAGGACTCTGTTTGTTCTCTTGAGTTGGGTTCTATGTAGCTGGGTGTTTGGGGGCAGATCTAGTTTCGTGTATTTTTATCCATCTAGTGGAACTTTTTGGCTTTCTCTTCTTTCCATAGTGAGGATCTGGGTTTATAATCTGTTTGAATTCTGGCCTTCTGTGTTCCAATCTCTTGAGATGAGTCGTTGTAGGTTGTATTGGCCTTTTCATTTTCTGCGGAGCATACAATTTGCCTTTTTGTTAATTTTTTCGCCCTCTGTTGTTTTCTTATTATGTGAAGGTCATGGTAAGCAGGGTGGTTGGCACCTGTTTGCTGAAGAACCAGGTTATGGGTATACCCCTTCCCGGTCAAGCGATAAGATGCAGGAAGACGATAACAGCAGACTGCCATTTTCACGTGGAGATGGGAAATATGGCAGGTCCAGTAGAGATAACAGAGGGCCTGTGGGCCAGAGAGACTGGAGAGCTCATTCATGGGAGATGAGCAATGGGTATCCAAATGGACCTGGAAGATTCTATGATGTGAGTAATGAACAGCGGTCAGTTGATGATATGCTAACCTATCCTCCTTCTCATCAACCTAATTCTGACTTTGTAAACACACGGGACCAGCTTCAGTTGAAAGAGCAGCATGACAGTAATAAGGAAGGTGGCCCCATTGCTTCGGGTTCAGGCCAAAGAGGTGAAAAAGAGAACGCACTGGACTGGAAGCCTCTTAAGTGGTCTCGAGCAGGAAGTTTGTCTTCTAGGGGGTCTGGATTCACTCATTCCAGTAGTTCAAAGAGTCTAGGGGCTGTGGATTCTAATGGAGGAAAGATAGAGGCGTTGCCGAAGAATGCAACTCAAATTCAGACTCCTTCAGGAGATGCTGCAGCTGCTGTCTGTGTTACTTCAGCAGCTCCGTCTGAAGAGACAACCTCAAGGAAAAAACCACGCCTTAGATGGGGCGAGGGACTGGCAAAGTTTGAGAAGCGTAAAGTTGAAAGCCCCGAGGTTAGTTTGACAAGAGATGGTACCGTCTTGTCTGCTAACAATGGCGAACCTGTTCACTCTCAGAGCTCAAGCATGGCAGAAAAAAGCCCCAGACTGCTGGGATTTCCAGATTGTTGTTCTCCTGCAACTCCTTCCTCTGTTGCTTGTAGTTCGTCACCAGGTATTTAATTTTCCTTTTCTCTTTAGGATTCATTCTCAATGAACTGGGCATCTTTTTGTTTGTTGTTCATTTCGATGTGGAAACCTGACCGCATGCTAGAAACCTTCTTACAATTTTATGCCAGGGAATCTGGAACCTGTTATGGCCGTTTGTATTCTATGGATAGTCAATGGAGAATAGAAATTTGGTTGGTGTTTGCTCTTCTCTTGCAGTCACTGAGGCAATAATTGTATGGGTTTCCTTTCCCTAGTTGGATAAGCATCTTCAGGGGTTAGTTTCATTATGGAATTCTGTAAAGGTAATGGCAGACGAGTGGAGCTGCATCAGTTTTCACTTATTTTCAGTATGACTGAACTCACCTCCGGCACTTGCTCACCATTTCAGGCGTTTCGTCAAGTAGCATCATATGGTTATATGTAGCTTTACCATCCAGGAAAAAAGCGATGCTTCATGTTTTCTATAAAATTAATGTGTATTTCCTGCAGCTGTATTTTGCTTCGCAATGGTGAACCTTTGAGTCTACCTCTTCATTTTCAATTCTTCTGTTCTGTCAGGAGTGGGAACCTTATGTACTTCAAATGAGTTTGGTTTTTATGTTTGGCTTCTTTTTCCTCTTTAGCCTTTTTCTTTTTACAGCCTTTTTTTGCGCGGATCATCATTGCTCATGGATCTTTCGCTTTCATTGATCAAGTCTTCTGAATAAATTGTCTTCTTATTCCAGGTGTAGAGGAGAAAAGTTCTTTCAAGGCAATGAGCGTGGATAATTATGGTAGTAATTTATGTGGTTCTCCTAGTTTTGGCTCTGAGAGTCATCCTGACGGTTTCTCTTTTAGTTTAGAAAAGCTGGATATAAGTTCAATTGCTAACATGGAGTCCTCGCTCATTGAGATGCTTCAGTCCGAGGATTTGTGTTCGATGGACTCAAGTTTTGTGAAGTTGACGGGAATAAATAAGTTACTTGTTTGGAAAGGTGATGTTTTGAAGGCGATAGAAACAACAGAGTCCGAGATAGATAGCCTTGAAAACGAACTAAAGTTGTTGAAGTCTGATTCCAAAAGCAAGCTACCATGCCCATCCTCAAGTTCATTAACTGAACATGGAGATGCTATCCTTTTCATTGAACAAGAGAAGTTCTGTGGTGATGCTCTCCATCCTCCTTCTCTGCAAGTTATATCCAATAAGGATGAGGTTATTGACAAGAATCCTAATCCGGAGGGTGCCTTTGAAGGTGCTGGTACTGGTGCCGGTGCCAAGGATGATGACATTGATAGTCCTGGTTCAGCTACATCTAAGTTCATAGAACCTGTATTGTCGGTGAGGACTTCTTCATCTGATATGTTGATATACACTGAGCAAACTGGTATTGTTGCAATTGAGGATTCAAGTCCGGACTCGAAATGTGAAGTGCCTATGACGAGTGAGAAAGACGGTACTGTATCACCAGGTGATGTTAAAGTTCCCGTACGCTGCAGTAATCACACACTTGTATCTGCTCCGACTGGATCCGTGGCAGATGAAGCAGATACTCTATGTGCTGCTGTATTGGCTTCGAATAAGGAATCAGCTTGTACAGCAGCTGATGAATTTAAGAGGTTATTGCCTAGTGATCCATGCTCGGTTGATTGTTCAAGAGTTTCCAGTATGCTGTCAGTGCAAACTGATCATATTATCAGAGAGAAGTTTATAATGAGGAAGCGCTTCATGAAGTTTAAGGAGAAAATGGTGGCCCTAAAGTTCAAAGCCTATCAACATTTATGGAAGGAGGACATGCACTTGCTCTCGGTGAAGAAGTACAAAGCAAAGTCACTGAAGAAATTTGACTCAAGTTTGCGCCCTATTCATAATGCATACAAAAAACATCAATCTTCATCTCGTACTCGGATCTGTTCACCCGGTAAGAAATCTTCACTGCCCTCATTTTAGGGTTCTTCTGATTCCGGTGGTGTTTCTGGAATAGTGTCTTCTCTTCAACTTAAATTACTGAATGAACTTGGCCAATCTTGAGATATATTTATTTTGGCCCTCCTTTCTTTCTGGGGACAGGTAGAGTGTGACAGCTTTCTAGTGGATTGGTTTTTCTGGCAAATGTTTCTCCTCTTTGGATGAAATTACTGAATAAACTTGGACAATCGTGAGATACGTTTATTTAGGCCCCCATTGTTTCTGGTAACATGTAGAAGGTGAATTAGCTTTCTAATCAGTAGCTGTCATATTTAACTAGGTGGAATTTATGTCCTTTTTTGCTGTATGCTTGGTACTTTAAGGGACTTGCTTTATCATCTTGAAGTACTCGTGTCCCAGGAGATTGTGCGGATAATCTGATGTACTTGCGTCGAGGGTCCTCTCTTTTGCTGCAAACTGTTAGTTCCTGGATGTTATGTGTAAGGGACATGTTCCCTAATGTAAGTTAAACAATCTAGTTGTGTGACTAGAATCTTGGTGAAAGTGGGTCTGTTTAATCCAGACTGCAGATATGGAGATTCCAACTTCTTCATTGTAAGATTGTGTTTGCCATGCTCATTCAACCGATGCTCAATTTCTTTTATTTCTTTCCCTCTGGAGCGAATAACTTACTTTAGTGCATTCAAAGTGATCATTTGTGTGGTGGCAGTGGCAGAGTTGTAAGCGTCTCTGTGTTATGTTTGTTAGATGATGGGTTCAGTGCTGATTTGTGTCTTGAAATCGAGGAATATCAGTGGGTACATGCAAAGAGAACCATGATCCATTGGTAAGCTTTTGTGTATTAGGAATTTGCTATTAGTTATATGAACTCGATGTTGAGATGTGGGGAAATGTATTGAATTGGGATGGATATGTGCAGTCAGCCCTTGAAGTTTCTAATTCTATCACGTTCAGCATATTTATTTACCAGAGCAAGCTTTTTGTGGCTCTGTGGACTCTGGACAATTTATTTTCATTTCATAATTTAAGGCATTTTAGCTTGCATGTAGTGTGATCTTTTGAGCAACCATTATTGACTTCTAATATAGTAGGATCTCTACCATTTGGATGTTGTATATCTTCATTTAAGTGGTTATCAGTGAGTCGTTTGTTCCGCCTTTTAATTATTTAATTATGATATGCTACAGGCAGCACAGGCCTGGTTCCTACCCCAGAGACGCTGAAATTCACCAGCAAGCTACTTGCAGATTGCAATGTCAAAGTTTACAGGGATAACTTGAAGATGCCAGCACAGATTCTGGATGACAAACAGAAAATAGCGTCACGGTTTATTTCGGGCAATGGATTAGTTGAAGATCCCTGTGCTGTTGAGAGGGAAAGAGCTATGATTAATCCCTGGACTTTGGAGGAGCGTGAAGTCTTCATTGATAAGCTGGCTTCTTGTGGTAAGGATTTCACGAAAATTGCTTCTTTTCTTGAACACAAGACAACTGCAGACTGTGTGGAATTTTATTACAAAAATCACAAGTCTGATTCTTTTGGGAAAATCAAGAAGAATAAGCCATGCAAGGCTTCGACAAACTACTTGATGTCATCGAGTAAGAAATGGAATCATGAGATGAATGCGGCAGCTTCACTGGACATTTTGGGTACTGCGTCAGTTATGGCTGCTGCTGATTCTGACAGAGGCATGGGAAGCAGGAAGATGCATTCTACTAAAATCCTCATCAGAGGCTATAATAATAGTAATCGCAAAATATTGCGGAATGGGGATGGTAATTCATCACAAAGGTCAAATAATTATGATGTCTTGGTCAATGAAAGAGAAACTGCTGCTGCTGATGTGCTTGCTGGCATTAGTGGTTCGATGAGCTCTTGCATTACTACTTCTGCAGATCGTGGTGAGGGATTCCACGAACATAAGGCCCGGAAGAGAGATAATGGTGACAGACGACCTTCTTTATCTGATGTAACCCAGAGTTTGGATGAGGAAGAAATTTGTTCTGATGAGAGCTGTGGGGAAATGGATCCTGCTGCTGATTGGACAGATGAGGAGAAAGCAGCTTTTGTTCGGGCAGTTTCTTTACATGGCAAGGATTTTGCAATCATCTCCCGTTGTGTCCAGACAAGGTCTCGGGATCAGTGCAAGGTGTTCTTTAGCAAGACAAAAAAGTGTCTTGGGCTGGATCAGATTCATTCTGGAAGGGAGACAGTTGGCCCATCATTGAGCGATGATGCAAATGGAGGTGGAAGCGACATGGAAGATGCTTGTGCTATTGAGAATGGCTCGGATGAATTTCCTTCTCAGGTGGACCAATACCTGCCTCCTGTTATGTGCACTGTTGGGAAGAACCCAAAGCAGGATGTTTGTGATGGTGAAGCTAAAGTTAATCTTGAAACTGATTTGAATTTATCTGAGGATAAAGATGCAGGAGAAGTAGCTGTGGAAGAGGAGCATTTGATAGATGTAGATGCTGCTGTGGTTTGTAATGGCCCGAAAGATCACTTGCTTCTGTCAACTGATCTTGTTGATGGTGAAGTCATTAATGGGTTTGTTCATCATAAATCTGTTTCCGTGAACTGTCAGAAAGTTTCAGTAGAGTCTGGCGTTACAGAGGGTGAGCGAGAGTGTGGGATTAAAGAGGGCTTTTCAGATTCTGGAAATAGTTTGATACAAGATTTGAACATAACCAAAGATCTTTCACATCCTCCTCCATTGGATATGGGCTCTTCCTCAAATGAAAGTCCTGTTACTGACACTGTGAATCAAAGGCAAGCTGAAGTGAGTTCTGTGGCCACAAGTGTGGCGGCCATGTCTTTCCCATTGGAAAGTAGTAACATGGCTAGTGCAGACTCTGTCATAATGGACTGTTCTGTAATAACAAAGTATGATAAAGTGGATCTCTCGGGTAGCATATCAAGTGGTGATGATATTCACGAGAATCTTGGTAAACAGGATGGGATGTCTATATGTGGAAATGGCTATGTACGGCCTTTGCTTGGCCACCCTGTGCTGAACCATTGGGGATCTGCTCAACTTAATAGTAGTGCTTGCACAGCTCGGATTCCCGCAATGGTGCCAAACAACGGAAGTTCCTGTAGACCTATTTCTGATGGTGCACACCTTTTGAAAAAAGCTGAGGAGATTATTATGTCAAATCGGTTGGAAGCTGAGGCCCACTTCCTCCCAAACACCAGCCAACATTCTGAGCGAGCAAGTGAGCAGCCTCGGAGTTTGTCAGAGGTGCAAAAGCCATGCAGGAGTGGTGATGTTAAACTATTTGGTAAAATACTGAGTACTCCTGCAACTTCATCACAGAAGAAGCCAGCCCATCCTCCTGAAACACATAGGCATGGTGAAAATGGCTGCACTTCGAAGACAAGCAGCAGCAGCTCATCAACCTTGAAATCTACTAGCCATCCCGATCCCAGATCATCAGATGTGGCGAATTTGACGAGTTCTTTGAATTTTGATCAGAACAAATGTGTTGCAGTGAATAATGTTCCAATGAGCTACGGTTTCTGGGATGGGAGCAAAATACAGACAGGGCTGACTTCATTGCCTGATTCTGCCATCTTGCTCGCCAAGTATCCTGCTGCATTTAGCAATTACCCTGGGGTTTCTTCATCATCAAAGATTGATCATGCAACAGCATTGCACGCTGTTGTTGCTAAGAACAGCGATCAACGGAGTATGAATAGCATACCTAGTTTCCCTCAGAAGGATGTAAGTAGCAGCAGCAGTAATGCACTGCTGGATTTCCAAAGGTACATGAGTCATCATGATGCTACCAACAAAGTGCAGCAGCCGTTTGGGTTTGATACGATTTCAAGTTTACAGCAACATGGAATGGCAGCGGCAGCAGTAGGAATGGGGATCGGTAGTATTGCAGCAGGTAAAGGTGGAGGAGGTGGTGTTATCAGCCAGGCCGTTTCTGACCCTGTAGCGGCCATAAAAATGCACTTTGCCAAGAATGATAATCAATTTGGTGGTTCCCCAAATGGTGGGACTATAAATGTGTCAAGGCAGGATGATTCTACTAGTTGGAGAGGCAAGGGGGATGTGCTGAGGTAGTGAATCGGCTGGCTGAAGGGAAGGTCCCAGTGGCAATTGAATGTGTTTATGTTTGCCGTGCCCTGTATCATAGTTTTTGTATTTGTTTAATTAATGCAGTGATAGGGGACTGAGGGGGCGGATGGTTTCTCAAATCCGTCCTTTTGTCAGTAGGAGTAATTTAAGTAGGGAGGAGCGTTTGTAACAATTTCAGGCCAGTCCTTTTGTATTTGTTGTATTTGATGAAGAATACGGATAATAATGTGCCAGAAAAAAGGAGGTTGGGATTGGATCAACAGAAGCACCTCTATCTATCTCTCTGGTCTGTTTCTAAATTCATTGGCATCTTCTATATCAGATCGGTGGGAGTTTGGTAGGTGAACATATTGATCCTGTGAATGCAGAATGGTTCTCCGGTAGAAGGAAAGATCAGTACCTGGACTATATCAGCAGTGCCTTACCCAAAAAAAAAAAAAAAAAGTAGTATCAGCAGTGACTCGATCTTTACCTGTTAGCGACTCAGAAAAAGTTTATTACATGACACATTGCTCCGACGGTCATATAGATTTCTTTGAATACCCATGTCATATTCAATGTTTTGTAGTATGGATACTGGCCTTAAAAAGAATAAGAAGAAACAGAATGCAGAAGATTGAAAGAAACATACCTAGACTAATGTGCAGTTTCTTTCCAAATCTCTCTCAAGCACCCAAACGTCACTCCATGCTGGTTTCCCTAATTTACCATCAATAGCAGAGTTAGAGCCAGAAGTGGAAAATCCTGGGTTAGAGAGATAAGGGATAATGACGATGATGATGACAGCTGAGTATAATAACCTGAGGCTGAAGCGTTGTAGATCCCTTGTGCCACACCAGGATAACACATCGTCCCAATTGGCTGCTTGATTACAACCTAAAAGAATGCCACCCAAACTGGAAATGAATCTGAAACTTGAAAGTAGTGGTGATGGACATTTTATATTGCTCGTACTGAAGACTACATCAAATGCACATCGCTTATCTGAGTTGATTTCTTACCATATCCTTGGTAGGGCTTTGAATACCTTTGAGATTTACCTTCCTTTGACAGGCTCCAAGCTGGTTTGACCATAGATAGGAAGAAGCAGATATTCGAGCATTTTGTATTAGATAATCTCAAACACTATGGCCTCCATCCTAGCAGTTCGAAATACAGAACACTAACTTCATGACATTCTCCAACAATATTGGAACTTATTCCGTGCAGCTTGAAACTCGAGGGCTAAGGGATCATAAAGTTCTAAAGAGAAGTTCCTCACCAACCAGTTGCCTTCGACGAAAGAGGTCCCTTGCCCTTCAGCGAAATATGCAGCAAGTGGAGTTTTGTAGGCTTAGTCTTTGTGCAAAGCAATATTCCTAAAAGTTTGAAGAAGCAATTAGTAAGCCTAAACAAAACTTAGCAGATAGGTCAAACAAGCCACGAAGAAGCTGTTACAGGAAAACAGAAATGGATCATGGAGGCATTTTTCATCACCCCGTTACTAGCAGTCTAGCACCGGATATTGAATCGAGAAATGGTGGGGATCAGACTTTACCAGAGGTGCCTCTCCCAGGCGGTGGACAGGAACATGATGCGATCTCTGGCTAGCTGCTGCAGAAGAGCTTTGGTTGTTCGCCAACCATTGGAGTTGAGTTAGAACGTTTCGCTGCTGAAGAAGTCCACCGGGCTAAACTTGCAAGCCATAAGGTTCGTTTAAAGCAACCTGAAGATCACATTAGCAGCCAGCATTGATTCCTCTATAAGCTAAACCACCAAATACATATTAACCTATCATTCAACAATTTGCAAATCATAGTTACCATATCATCTTCACTTCCAAAGCTCCATGGAAGCCTGTGATTGATCAATTCAGAACCTTACCTAAAAACAAGACACGAGCTTCCCTCTGTCAACAAATCATCAAGAGAAGAATCTATTGCATATGTATTCCCAGCGTAATACAATCATTGTTTCGTTATTGACAAAAAGAAACACCCGAGGACAGTGTTGGGTTCTTTAACAACAACTCCGCCAACTTTTATATGCAACTACACACAGAGCAGCGATGTCAATTCACTCTTTCTCCCGGTAAAGTCCCTTTTCGCATCTCTTGCTAAAAACATAAACTTTAATGGCGGGAGAGGGAACTAACCTGTCCATTGTGAATTCGCTGCAACCAATTGTGAAGATATTAGCAAATTAAGGGGTCGTTTTGAAAAATAAAAAGAGGGAAATTTCGAACTTTTTTGTGGGAAGGGATCCGTGGCACATACCCCTGCAGTGGAGCCGAATTCTTGTACTTGGTAGAGTAGAAGTCTATGAGATTCGATCCAGCAAATTCCCCGAATCAGTTTATTCACCGATCAAGAAAAAGTAGAAGAACATGAACAGTTATTTCCTTCAAACAAGCGGGGGAAAGAGGGAGCGGAGTGGGGAGTGGGGACGTCGTTGTAGAACAAGCCGTCGTTGAGTTCTGGCCAAGGGCTCCCAAACGTCCGGCAGGGAAGGAACATCAGCAGAAAAGAGTGTTCTTTTTTGTTTTTGCTAGGGACAATTTTGACATGACCCGATTTATCCGACTTGTTTGGCCTGTTTTTGGAGCGGGGCGGGCGGGTATGACTACCTCTTATCGACCTGATCTGACCCGTCCTATTCTCGACCCGTTCTTGTCTAAATTACATGTACTCTTACTCAAATTACTTAGTATTTTCCTCTTATTACATTATATTTTAGCTATAATAAAGTTGTAAATAAGTGAAAACCTCAGTTTCTTCAATAATTTCAGGGTAAATACAATTTAATATCCAAACCTTTCATTTTAAACAATATAATAGCCAAACCTTTTCGAAAACAATTTAATATCCAAATCGTCAACTTTCTGTATGTTTGACCGTTAGTTGACACTTCAAAAAAGTTCGAAGTACGACACTTCATCAATATCCATCGATATCTTCTCTGAAAAACCACCAACATATCGTAGTTCCAAACCCGAGAAGTCCATGACTCCACCATGATGGTGTAGAATATCTAAATATTCAGTCATCTGCAATGCCAAAACAAGAAAACAAAGTTGTATTGTGACAATTTCCCCTAAACAAAGCTTTCTTGAAGTGTCAACTAATGGTCAAACGAACGGAAAGTTGACAATTTGGATATTAAATTGTTTTCGAAAAGGTTTGGCTATTATATTGTTTAAAATAAAAGATTTGAATATTAAATTGTATTTACCCATAATTTAACTACCTTTTATCATATTATTGTTTCTTTCTTGTTCTTTTAATGAAAATAACAAATATTTCTAATGTTTTTCGCATAAATTACATACACATTGGGTCGACCTGCCACGATCCGCGTCCCGTGATAAATTACCCGACCAGCCATGGGACGGGCATGGGTATCGAGATACCCGCCCGGACTTGTCCTATTATCATTCCTACTCACAGGCAAACGGAATGCGGAGGAGGAAGAACTTTGATTTCAAGTTAAACGACAGTGTTAACCCGGCCTTTTTTACCGGCATCGAATAACGCATTAAAAAGACTGTTGATTACGCTGGAACAGACAAGTGACAATGTTATCATTCAACAGGTCATTTACAAGCATGTTATGTCTGGTAAAATTTCTCAAGTAGAAGAACCACATATGACTTGATTTGTGGTCATTCTTTCTTCGTAGTTATTTTTCTCGCCTTCTTCTTGAAATTACACATGATTCCTCACCTATATTCAAGGTTTAAGAAGGCGCTAGGCGTAAAGCGAGCATTGAGGTTTCGTCTAGCGCCTAGACGTAGACTAAGCGTATCTAGGCGTTGGAAGAAAAATAGCGGTTTGAGCCTAACTGGGTGTAGAAGTGAGACTCGTGAAGATGGGTCAAGGAGAGCAAGCAATGGGAGAATAACTGCCGATGGAAGAACTGAAGAAATTACGATTAGAGTTGAGAGGGAAAATCTTTAGAGAGAGAAGTTGATAATTCTAGAGATAGAGCCTGAAAAATCCGATCCTCTCACCCACAGGAGTAAATGCCATATTTATAGGCTACATGGTGGTGGGTGAGTGGTTGAGTTACATGTGGGTACAATGACATGACCACTGACATGTCAGGGATTTAGGCCATGCTTATACCTAGGACATGTCAGAGGCTTACCTATGACTGTGCTTAGGACCCTGATGTGATACCCCTCGGGAAGCGAGACGACGCTTTATGCGGCTCTTTGGTCTGGTCAACGCCTTGATCCTTCCACGTGCGCGTAGCTTGTGTCGCGCTCGAGATCTTCGCGCTAGTCTGCCTTCACAGTGTCGCGCTCGAGGCCTTCGCGCTGAACCGCGCTGGGGGCCTTCGGTCGCGTCGCGTCCTGCAGGGTTTGGCGGTATTTGGGGTAGTGTCGGTGCATTCCTCTGGCGCGGCTAGGTCCGAGTCACATGCCCAACAATAGCTATTCGCATTATATAATGAATGAAATAATAATGTAAAACACTTCCTCACTTACGCTAAAATGATTAATAACTTATTCAACACTTAATGACAAGATCATAACGCATGAATACATAGAATCATATCTCAATAGCTTACAAAGTTCTTGAGCTATTGAAAATATTGATATAGAAAATTGATTTCGTAGTTGACGTTAATTTACTTCTTTCATATTGACTTCCTAGCTCCATATAGTTATGTTTAGAAGAGACTTAGATGTCGTTGTACTCCATTGACGTGTTACAGTATCTAACTAGGCGCAAAACATCCAGGCGAGTCGTTTTGCCATTGCCTAGTGCCTAGGTGTGCTTAACCATAAGATTAAGCGTGCATATTTTAACCATGCCTATATTTGTGCACATACTATGATGACTCTTTAAATAAAGTAATGTAGTTACAATTTGGGGCAAACATCACTTTCTAAAATAACTAGCTTTCGACCCTGCCCGTTGGGCAGGTAGCTCTATATTAATTATTTTGACTTTGATTTATTATTTTAATTTAAGACTATATTTGACTATATGGGTTATAGAGACCAATTTAGGAGTAAGTAGTAGTATAGAATTAGCCTATACTTTGAATCATCACTTTGATAAAGTCATCAAACAATGTGTTAAAGCCTTAAAGGTTAATAAATTAGGTAGAATATTACATTTTTTGATGGAGAGGTAGACTATTTCCTTCTATCAAATTTTCAACATTATTAAAGCTTTAGCTTTTGATGCAAAATATAAAGGCCACAAATCAAGCAATTGTAGGTGAAAGCATTTGGTGATATTTTCTAACCCGTCAACTCTAGAAAAGAATCTAGCAACATCAGTACATTAGAGCAACAAACCAACACCTTTCATTTTTGCAAACGACTTAATCAAAACGTGCATAAGTTTTACTCATGTTATACATTCCATTTACAACGAATTTAATTATGGCATCGGATTTATATTCTAAAGTCACTATTTTATTGAACAACTTCAAAGTCACAATCAAGGGTATTTGTCAAATTGACGTCACCTAATGTAAATGACAGTTTAGGGTTGCCAGTAGTAGATGACAAAGAAGAAGATGCTTGAGTTGGAGTCAAAACTTGCAGCGCTAGAATAATTCACTGGAGCTGCACAATGATATATGAAACGAATCATCTAGTGTGAATTTATTTAACACAAAGCATACACACATAATACCATTCTAACAAGGCTGATACAAACTTTGGCATGATGTGAGGATTGGATAGTGCAGCTGTGCAAGGGATCGTTTTTTCCCCTGTCCATTACCGATCTAACGGTGTTAGGCGAGGAAGTGGGAGTTAGCCGTCAAAGAAGGAGGGCAGATTGTAGAATCTGTTAGAAACCGAACAAAAAATTTAGGGTTATTGATCTGGTTGAGTCGCGGACTACTGGATAATTAAATCAATATAGTTTCAAATCTATTCATTCCCAACATAATCAATGTAGGAGGACACATCTTTGCTGCTAAATGTGGAAAGAGTTTCCTCACGGTTCTTGTTACCTTCTCACCAAAGATCCCTCTAAAGATGCACGAACGAAAACAAATAAATAATCCAATGACAACAAAGAAACCCAAGCAAAGCAATGAATAATCCAATTCCCTTTAAGCAAAACAACAAATAAGTCAATGGCATCACAGAATCCCTATTAAAGCCCACGAAAGACATTGCAATCAAAAACCTTTATGCAATGACAACCAAAAGAGAGACGGCCAGCGGGTAGTCATGCGGACCAGAGCGACGATGAGTTTTGGCAGAAGAGCACCAGCCGGGCGGCAAAGTTGAGAGCGGGCGACAGGGCAAGCGGCTGCGGTGGCAGGAAGCAGATTACAATTACAGATTCTGGCAGATGGAGGACAGAAAGCGGTGAAATAGTTCAGGGGTGAAGCGACGGTTTTTGTGCCGAACGGGTTTCATAGAATTTGTCAGGGGCTTAATATATGGTAAGACCTGTAGATTAGTTACAACGGAAGGGGATTCGGATGAGAGGGGAGTTAAAGTGATAACGTGGAAGCATGTATAGCAATAGAATTTGAATTCCAACCAGGCAGTTAGGGAAAACGCTTAAAGATATTTTTAGATAGATTTGGTTTCAGTAGTATGTCAATCTCATGAAAAAGTCAAGACATTACCGATTACACATTAGAATGACTCGTCTAGCATGCATTATGTTCATATCTCCGTGTAATTGTGCTAGCTCATTTTGTAATTATGCTCGGCCGACAGTGGTAGAGTAACAATTTGGGTCATGTCAGATCATACGCGTACCGTGCTTTTATCGTGCAAGTACTCTTGCTTAATATGTACTTAACCCATGTGCAACATACGCTTTAAATTGTTTATCATAAAGAATTTCGTTGTTCCTAATATTGTTTTATCTTAATTGTTATTTCAACAAGTAAAATCTATATCTTAGTTCGAGTGAAGAAAATATCTCTCTTTTTACATGTCCGCGGAGTTTTGAAAAATCAACTATCTTAGATATCGATTTTTAGATAAATTTTCCGAACGAAGCGCATTCCCTCATATACATAACAAATCCATTGATGAGAAGCAACTAGAGAAAGCTTGAGCACTATTCCTATTTTCTTTCATATTTTCTATCCATTTTGTTTATAGGATATAAAAGCTATACAAATGTTTTTACATTTATAATTGGAATTTTATTTTTAATCATATAATTTAAATTTAAAAGATATTGTTATCTAAGAGAATCTACTTTATAATAAGTTTCTAACTTTCTAAACTTATTAATTAAATACTCTGCTATTTTGCCTTATCAAACACCATTAAATATTGTTATTGGGATACAAAAATCAAACTTTTGGTGCTCATTCTAGAATTAAATAAAAGAAAGGCAAAGAATATGATGCAAAATCACAATATGTCCTATTTATTTTTTTATAAAAAATTATTTTATGCATGTACCATGCCAATTGCCTCAGGATGCGGCCAGTTTATATATCATGATACGTATGTGCCAATGTCAAACACATAATTTTAATTCCAACATTCTGTAAAAAAAACTTTGTACTCATAATCTTACTGTATTCTATATTTCTAAGCATATTGTGCAGGGATAGCGTATGGATGGCACGGTGCGGAAAACTAAACAAACTATGGATTCCTTCCAATTTGAGATTTAGCAAATCAGGACATTTCTGACAAAGTCGTCAAGATGTTGAAGAAGTCCAACTTGGCAACCAGCTTAGACAATTTCATCAAAGTTGCTACCTAACGTTTGACAGTTCAACCACTCCGGGCGGCAATCTTCATTTCATCAAACGAAAGAGATCTTAAAGATAAAAATACAAACCAATCTTTTTATTATTTTATTCCCTCCAACTCCGCCAATAATCCAATATCATGTCTTGCATAACCAAAATGACAGCCAGTCATTGAATACAAAAATCGAACGAACCAAACAACCTTTCTGCTGCAAATTACGATGGATAAAGATGGTGATTGAAGTCTTCACAACAACAAGCACTCGGATAGAGGTGATGCATTTAGCAGATCACATTGGCAGCTGCAGGAGTAATCCCGGCTCCATGAATGGCGACTGGATACTCGATCAGATTGCCACCGTGCCCAGTTTTCACAGCAATGGGTTGTTGGTGTACGGATGAGGAAGAGTGATGCACACGAGTTTCGACCAAAGTGATCTCCTGCCCAGCTTTCGCCTTTGCCTTCAGGCGGTAGCGTTCTGCCCTTGAACCGATAACTTGACCTAATATCGATGCAGCGATGGTGAACGCCATGGCTGATTTGGGCATCAGTACGGATTTCCTGAGCATCCCTAGGACGGGAACTGCAGCATGGACGGCTGCAAACCACGAGAGGGAGAATTTCTTGGTGTGTTCCCTCCATACACCCAGGGGGACATTTGCAGCCATCCCTAGCATCCCAATCACCAGTATTTTCGAGGGTAGAGGTTGTGGCCTAAGATTCTTTGCAAAGGCGGTCCGTGCTATAGCTGCTCTGGCAGCAACAATTGCAGGCGGGCACTTGATCTTAACCCCAGGTGGTGGCTGAAATGCTTTGGCAACAAGTGGCAGGACGCTGCCGACTGCTCGATATGACTTAGCTATCGGGCAGTTCCCGTTTTGTAGCCATTCGTTGCTCATCGACTCGTGCTCTGAGCTTCCTCCCTGAAGATAATTGATCACAAAGTGGAGTCAAGGAGAGATTTCATGACACATTCATTCGCATCACAAGTGGATGATGGGGGGTGTGAAACTTGAGATCAATATACCTGTGAGCCTTTTTTGGATGATTTAGAGTTCTTTTTGCTCTGACTGTTGTTCCACTTCTTAGAGAATGCATCGAAGCTAAAGGGTCCACCAGGGCCAAAAGATGAGAGACTGATCGTGGCTGCCTTTGCAGCTAATGGGTTAAATTCAGGACGGGTTTGCAGGGGGGTCTCAATTCTGTCCGAGATCGGGAATGATCTTTCGGACAGTGGGACTACTCCATCTTGCCCATGGAATAGCCGGAATGTCGAATCAAAATTAGGGCCATCTTCAAAAATAGGACCTTTGCCAGAGCGCCCCTGGAAAAGAAGTCAGGTAAACAGTTAAAGATTGCAACTTGAAGAAGATCATCACAAATTGAGCCAGTAAGGAATTGGACATAGAGAACTTACATGCATGGGGAAGGGCATGGCCGAGGAGAAGGAAAAATTAGTTGGCTCATTGATATTTCTCAAAAATGGACACCTAAGCATGTCTACCGGGGAAGGGTCCTCGTTTAAGCCTCTGAATAAGAAATCCATCTTACTGCCGGAAAGCTACCTGCATAAAGAAGAAAAAGCTTCAAGTACCTATGCTCTCCACAGGGTCGTAAGCAATAACATCAACCAAGTCACCAGAAGTTGACAATTCTTTAGGCATCAAACTTAAGGTACATCAACATGCTAATGAACAAAAGAAGCAACGAATCTTTCCCAAGCTGGATACTTCACGCAATTTTTTTTTGCATATATGGATAGAAGATCTGTATGAAAACTACTGATGCTTATACTACCACAACTAGTTAAGATGTAATCACACAACATAGAATGGAAATTCAAATGACAAGCACAGTGAACCTGGACCAGATCCCAAGATCACAACAGAGCACTTAGAATCCATAAAAGATAAATTCCATAATAGACAAAGCAACTGCTGATGAAGACTGGCGAGAATCAACACAGTCGATGATGATTACAGAAAGAGCTAGACCAAAATCAACAGAAAAGCTACCATCCGCGCAATCAAGTGAAATCAACTTGCGAAATTATTGATAACTGAGCCACCTAAACCCATCAATTTCTGGGCGCCCAAAACACTTGCAAAGCAAGCTAATTTATGAACTTTAACCAAGAAGTGAATCAATTGATCACAATTCCTCAATAGTCAATACCCAGAGAGAGAAATCCTCAAAACTATACAGAAGAAAAGCGAACAAAACAAAGAACCCATCAACCAGAACAAGCCAGGGATCTCAGAAACAAAATTAGCAGAATACCCATTTCTTAAAGTCAAAAGAGGGGAAGCAATCAGGTCGGTGACGGTTACGAAACTGACAGCACAAGTCGAAGAATGCATTACATACCTTACGATTGAATGTAAACCCGGAAAAGGGGAAGAGCACTGGAGAGGGTGGAAAATGAATTCGGACCGGCGAGGGACAGGGATGTGGCGATGAAAAAGCTGAGACGAAGCAAGGAATATGAGAAGAGGGGTTAGGTGGAAGAGATGCGAGAACAAAGAAGGCGTAGATTCCTCTTCTCTCCAAAATCTATTGATCTGGTTTAAAGAGAAAACAGAGGCCGGGGTTTGTAGGAACGGAACAGAGAGAGAAACGACGAGGGAAGAAGAAACAGCTGCCGTGCTCAGCACACGCCTGATGACTTCTACGTCTCAGCGGAAGAGGAAAGGCGTTCGGTTCAAACCCTTGAAATTGAGAATTGGGGGAAAAAATGGTCGTAGTTGTTAATTTGGTTTGGGTTTGGTCAGCGATGGCAGCAAGGGAGAGAAATTGCCAACTGCCATGATAAATGCTCGTTTTTTTCTTTATAATTATTGTGTCTCTTATTTTTTTATTAATATATGTATTTTTTAATTTTGCCATCCTCGTCTTTGTCTTGTACTCTTGTTTCATGCTCTGTTATTTTTAATCTTTTCCCAGGATGTAAATTTCCTCCATTATCAGCGCAATTGGAATGTGTTGTGTTATACCAATAGAAAAATAATTTTTCTATTTTTTTATGAAACATTTTGCATTTTTTATCATTTACCCTAAAGAGAAAAAACAAAGCAAAATCGTGTTGTTTATCAAATCATCATATCATATCCAACTTTAATGTAGACATGTATAATGTTGACTAAAAGAAAATTTACACATAATAATGGTGCGGTGTTGTAGAGTGGGACACATGAATTCTATCTTCAATCACCTAGTTCTTGGATATCTAGATCTTATCGACCCCAAAATAAAAATGTAGTCCGAGGCCAACATATATTAAAGATATTTTTTCGTCCCCAAGAGCGAGAGGTTACTCTAAGAAAAATCGCATCACAATTCGCTTAACTAATACAAAACCAATCGTACATCTTTCTTGGTATATCCAGATAATAGGTAGGAGCATAAACTGAAACATTCTAGATCTACAAAGTCGCTTAACTAATACAAAACCAATTTCAATAAATATTTTCTTCTCGGTTATGAAAGCGAGTAGCCACATGTCTCTACATATAAACCAAAACTAAACCTTCTCCTACTCTGCCTCGCCTAACTTCATTTCATTCCCTCCAAGGATGATCCCTTTAATTAGTTATACTAGTCCTAAATGAAAACAACAACCATTAGTAATAATAATAACAAATAATAAAAATTAAAAAATACACCGATAGCAGCTTCACGGACCCTGCAAAGTTGACCAATTAATATAACATTCGACTCCACTACATAAATATCGTTATTGCAAATCTTGACGTCGTCAATATGATGTTAAGCAAGGCGTACAAGTAAATATTGATCTAAACTAAGTCATTTGCCGAGTGGTAACATATGCTTGAACATTTTATGTAGTTTGTATTATTGCCTTTAAAATCAAAGATTCTCACTCTGTCAATCTATTAAAGTTATTATTTTTTTCCCAACAATTAACTTAAATAAATTAAATAGAACCAATGGTAGTTTATCAATTAACCCAGAAGGTTGACAAACTCTTTGTTTTCTCACTTACAAGTTACAATAAACATTACCCTAACCTCAAAATTGTTTAAAGAAAAATGGGACCTATCTAATTTCTCACTTTAATAAGTGGGTTTTCTGCTCCATAGACTAGTGGAGTAGTGGGCAGTTGCTGCACCAGTAAGCATCATTAAATAGCTCCGCTTCTGGAAGCATCGAAGATGCCGAAACCTTACCTGCCATTGTTGAAAATAAAAACACGAGGCAATCCGCAATACAGCTTCATTGGTGGAAAGCAAACCTGCCAAATCCTGCACTCATGTGCTATTTGCTTTGCTATCCACACACCTTCAAAATCAAATACAAAAATCTTTGCTCAGTTGTTTTTTTCTTCCAGGATTGTGGTTCATGTTTGGCTTTCAGCCACACACATAGCTTCTGGTCGAAATTTTTGAAGAAGTGATAACTCCTCGTGCATATTCCATATTGACAAAATACACTATAGGTTTATGATTTAAGAGGAACATCCAACCGTAACTAACAAGATGCATTTCGGTGTGAAATGAAGAAATTCTTATAAAAATTTTGAAGTTAAACACTGCTCAGTGTGGAGCAGTGGAGAGATGAGTAACGTGTCTTGAAATCATCATAATGCGTCCAAAAACAAGGCCGTACATGATAGGCCCAAAGCCTACAAAATTTTGTTAAGAAAGAAAAGCAGTTCATTCAAATTACAATAAAAAAGGTGAAATAATGACATCGATTTACTTTAATTGATGTTGAATTGCTACAATCATCATATGATTTTACAAATACTATAAATACTATATTTCATATATATGTTAATTAAGTGCTTTGAATCTGAAATCTTTAAGTTCAAGACGAATGATATTAATACTAAATCAAGTCTTTGTTCGCAAATAACTTTGAAAGGTTGTTGAGAGTGAAAATCAGTAGAAATTATGACATACTTTGTGCCCTCGCGTTTAGATCAAGGAAAAAGTGTTGGCTGGTTTAGTTTGGCTACGGACATAATTACTTGCTCCATCACCAACATGTCACAATTCACAAATTCCATACAATGAATCAATTAGTCTGCAGCTGAGTCCAACAAATGAAGCAGCACATAAGAAGGCCTGCAGATAATAATAGTAAAGCTTTCCTAAAGCTCGGCATTTATGTGTGTTATATATCTGGTGGTGTTCTGTAATCCCTTGCCATTTTTAGAGACTGCTAAACTACAGACAACTGATCCAAGCATAATGTTTCTCAAGGTTTGGTAAGAGACATACACATGATGTAGCTAGATAGCTAGCTAGGCAATGGCCAATGGCTTGTCCTCAAGAAATGATCTGAAAAGAATGAAGGCTTGCCGAGGGCGATGGAGAGGCACTTCATGTCCTGCTCCCGTCACTGTCACGAACGTGAGCCCTTTGTAAACTTGGCTCCATCCGCCAACCTGTGAACAGAAAATGCAGCTGATGATTAAGATTTACAAACAAAGCTTTGGAGCAACGGAAGTTATTGATATGCTGATGAAGATTTAATTTATGGTCTGGAAGAAGGGAACAAGTGTGTTACTTACCCTCCCATTGTCGTACCAAGGATACCAGTTGGTGATGGTGGGAAGCTTCAGTGCATCAATGGAGTATCTCGTTGCAGTCACGGGTACCACTGAATCTGTGTCTCCGCTGATGGAAAACAATTCCAACAGAAGAACAAAGCTTAGCTTCAACTGTAAACAGGCAAGTTTTCAGCATTTCGTTATGAGCACTTCATCAGGGTATATTATTCCACAAATTTTCAATCACAAGCAGTGATCCATGTGTTAATGACGCAGACTGAATCTGGAAACAATTCTTGTCAATCTCATCAGAGGTAGGTAATTGCATTTCTGTGCCTTCTGCAATTTGCAAGATCACTCTGGACGAAAAGTAGTGAATCGACTTGTACCTAACGATGGGCCAAGCAAACACACAGATATTCGGATGTTGCAATACTACCATCATATATTTAGATAGACCACGGTCATAATTTGAATTGGGGAGGTTTTGGATAGCCTATCAGCAGATTCAGGTCAAGAGAGTGGTTCAACAGCCAGCCACTATCAAGATTTTCAGACTAACTACTCAAAAAGAACATTCCAGGTCAGCCAGAGTTTCCAAGAGTGGGCTGCACAGAACCTCTATCCAGAGGAAAACAGCTGTATGCAGTAACTAGGCTGCTGGCATGAGATATTCGTAGTCAAGGTGTATGCATCAATCCAGCCATATGCAAAAGGTAAAGTGGCGAACTTACCTGTAAACCCAAATCTTCACACCAGCAGCAATGAGTTCCTTATATATAGGAAGCATGGATAGAGGGGAATCTCCCCAGTAGATGCCCACAATGTCGCTGAAGATGAAAAAGCGGAGAGAGTTCAGTCAGTGATGAGATTTATGGATTTTACCGTCTTAAGCAAAACTTAAGAGGCAAGATTATAGAATGGACCTGCATGTTTCCCATGCGTGTGGAAGCCTAGTTACATTCGCATGGAGTGCTTTCTGAACTTCAGGGAGATTGAAGTACACTGTAGAATGCCTCTCGGTACATGGATCATATGCTCTTGACATCCATGGCTGAGGTCCAAAATAACAGGACAAAGCCAAATGAGAATGAGCAATGCGTTAGTCTTCAGGACACAACTAAAGCAATCAATAATCACACTGGGCATTGTTTGATGTGACAGTCCAACTGATCAGGCCAAGCTGAGAATAATGGTTAAAATGAAGAAGAGAATAAACAAAGGAATGATGAAAACCATTTCTCAGCATGCGACATAATAAAACATAGAACAGACTTTTTACATAAGATTCAAAAACTTAAATTCATGAAGAGATTCCATTGTGATTACTTGCTACTATTCCCTAAGTTCAAATATCTAGGTCTTTGCTGTTTCTTGTTTTGCACATTGAGTTCTACACTCAAAAGATTTAAGGGATGAGAGGGTGCTTACATAATGACCCCTCAAGTTGCGCTTCAGTGATTCAGTGGTAGAACAAGGTTTAGTGAAAATGCTATATGGATCAATGTTTCCCTGCTCGATCTCTGCAGTTTTGAGGGCCTTTATGCAATCTGCAGATGGGTGTTCAGATGACCCTGTATCACAACGATCACGTAGCAATTTGTAGGTAGAATCTGAAATTAGGCCATGAGTCCACCAATACTCAAATGTGCCAACATAATCATGGTAATCATCTGTAACTGCATTCCCCACCTATATAATGACAGAAGATTGCTGATGTAAGACTTCCCTTTTCATGATAACTAGTGTGCCTTAGTTGAACAATGGAGTTCAGATGTTACAGTAAGGAGAGGCAGAAGTCTTACCAAGAAACCCTTAAAGTTAATCACAGGATTCTTAACACCAATGTTCCTTTCATAAATAATCTGAGACAATTGAGGAACATAGTGCCCTGCAACACAAAAAAAGAAAATCAAAATTTTAACTCCATCTAGGATGAAAGTTTGTTATGCTGAAGTAGTACAAATGAAATGGAAAGGAATTATCATGCGAGAAAAATGAAGGAAAAGAATCCAACCTGCATAGCTTTCTCCAGCAATGTAGAAATCTCTGTGTTTGTACTGAGGAAACCTCTCAAACCAATTGATAAGAAATGTATAAGAATCTTCCGCTGCAGAAAGAATCCAGATTCCCAAAATTCTTAGCAGTGGGAAGTGATGCTCAAAGTTTAAAGCTTTCCAATTGCTCTACACTGATAGCTCCAAACGGCAAAACAAACTTACCAGTGCTATTGTCACCAGCGGTGTAATAATCTGCTGTCGTATTAGAATAGGAAAACCCAACACCAGCGGGGGATTCAAGGAACAACAAATTGGCCACTGCCGCCACAGAAGCAACAACAAACAACAACCGTGCAACAACGTGAGAAGACAAACACATGACTAGAGAAGAGAACACAGTGGCAAAAAAAACAGAATATGATTTAGTTGGTAGAGATGGAGAAGACATACAGTTGTTCCAAGAATAAGGGTTCAAGTAAAGAGTTTTGCCGTCTGGCCTGATGTGGAAGGGTCCGATTTCCTCGGCTGCTCCATAAGCAACAGAAGAGCAACCAGGACCGCCATTGAGCCATAGGACAAGTGGCCTTGATTCGGGCTGCCTACTGGCCGGAGACTCTGTAAACCAATAGAACAAAGCCCTCCCAGCTTTCTGGTTCACAGTAACGTAACCTGAGTACTGATTGAAATCCACATTTTCAGGCTGCCCAGGCAAAGAAGTAATCTTGTCTCTCTCCTGATCTTGAAGTGGGGAAGATGTGCAGATACAGAAGAGAGAAAAGAAAGAGAGACACAGAACAAAGAGTATGGAATGACCCATCAATCGATCAACTCCACAGATGGTGGAGAACTAACAAAAGAAAATACCTTTGGTTCTTGGTGGTGAATAAAATGAAGTTCTCTACCCTCTATGTACAAAATCACGTTAAATTAGGCTAATAAGAACAAAAGGCAGCAACACCCCTCACTTCCCACAAGCAAACAAAGACGAGAGCAGCAAAAGATAATTAACTGCTCACACAAATCAAAGAATACGAGTTGGGTTTCAAGTAGCCTGACCAATGCATCAGCTGAACCCAGATCCCCAGAACTGAAGTCTCTTGGCTGAGATTATCAGAGAAGAGAGCAAAGATAAGAAAACAGATGCTGACGTAAAAGAATGGGCGAGAGCTCAGGCGCAATTGCAGGGGATTGTGATTGGCTAAAGCGAAAGGTGTGAAACCCAGCTTTCAATCCCAGCTAGCAAATTGCTAACTGTCCCCTTTTATGATTTTGTAATCTAGGAAACACAATCATTATTAACTAGCAACAAATTAAAGGTGACGATAAATACTTGAGTTGGCTTCAGTAGTTCAGTGAGGCAATTGACCGAACAACTGATAGGCGCACATGGGCCTTCCACACAGCCGGCCAGCCAGCACGTTAGATATTTTATTCTTTATAATTGTACTTCATGCGATACGAGTGTAGAAACTGTGTTCAAAAGACAGCTGACAACATGAATCTGTTGAAATAGATAGCGGGAAAAAGGTGAATGCCCTTTTTCCGTATTTTTAGAATCTGAATCAAGAATGCACATGGAGTCTCGGGTGATTTGGAAGAAGCAACGAATATGAGAAGAGGGGTTAGGTTGAAGAGATGCGAAAACGAAGGAGGGGTAGTTCCTCTTCTCTCGTCGGAGAAGATAGGTCGGAGTTAGGAGGAAGGGAACAGAGAGAGCAACGACTGGGGAAGAAGAAACAGCTGCCGTGCTCAGCACACGTCTGATGATTTCTTCGTCTTAGCGGAAGAGAGAAGTCGTTCGGTTCAAAGTCAAACCCTTGGAACTGGGATTTGGTGCAAAAATGCTAGCGCCAGCGAGGTAGAGAAAGTGTCATGCCAAAGACCAAAGTTGTGAAACCGATTGGCTTAATTGCAAGTTTGGTCACTCGAATTACTATAAAATTTCACGTTTGCCACTCACATTAATTTATTCCATTGATAGTCACTCGAATTAGTTGAACAGTTCAATTCGGTCACTCTCCGTTAACCTCCGTTAACTTTGACTGACGTGGCGGTCAACTATGACAGTTGACCGTTAAATGTGTGACGTGGCAAATAAAAAATAATTAAAAAATAAAAATTAAATTTTTAGAAATTACACATCATTATAAAAAAAATTATAATTGTAAAAAATGAATAAAAGAAATTATCACAAAAAAAGAATTTAATTAATAAGACTTTGAGAAAAGCTTCTCTTAAGCTTGGATTGTGTGTTACATCTGGTGGTGCTCTGTAATTCCCTGCCATTTTTCAGACTGCTAAGGTACAGACAACTGGTCCAAGCACTAATGTTTCTGAAGGTTTGCAAGAGACATACATGACACTGTTCTTTGTATAAGTGGAACAAGAGGAAGAAAAAAAGATGTAACCTGCTCTTTCATTAATTTTTATTTACATTTCTACCAATCACAGTTCAATGAATCATCCCCTGCATCCATTTGGAATCAGACTTCAGCCATATATATGGTTACTCTATTTCTACATCCACGCTGACACAGCAACAAATAATTAGCGCAAAAGATGCTTCTTACCCAGGCAGTGGAGCCCTCACATGAATTAAGCCATCCAAGAATCAGTCAGCCTGCAGTTATGGAAAGCACTGAGAATTGGTGTTATTATGAAATTCCCTTGCTTAGCACTTGAGAGCTTAGCCTTTATGTAGCTGGATCCGGGTCACTTGATTTCTTGTATTCTGGCTTCAGCTCATACGATCCTTGGTTGCTGCCCTTATTGTTGTAAACGCAAAGCTCCTTCAGTATGTCCTTCAGAAATAGCTTCAAGAAAGAGAAGGAGATATTGAAAAACAAGAAACCAACAAAACAAACTTTCATCGATTATACAGGGTGCTTCTGCAGAAGACCAGAGCAAGGACACATTTAATACCAAAGCCATCTCGGTTCTATTGCAATTTACTAAGTGTGTTGTGCGTGAGAGAAGGGCATCAGGATTAATTAAATCCATGGAAAGAGTGGCATGAACCAAAAAGAAAAGGAAGCAAAAGGCAAAACATACTTCAGGTTGATCAGTTTCTTGTATAAGTTGTCTCAATGTCCAATTTGGTTGCCTTTCGAATAGCTTGAACATGATATCTTCCATCTCTCCACGGTCTCTTCTTGTCCTTTTAGTTTCAGATGCTTTGGCTGGCGGCTTCTTCTTTTCCTATCACGGAAAAGATGAAAGTTTTTTCTTATCCAGTCTCCCATGTGCAAAACTGGAAAAGCTTGAGACTGCCCTCGGGTCAGGCAACACCATTCTAAGACAATCTTATTTACAAATGTCAAGCTCAAAAAGAGAAGTTGGATACATGTACGGTAAAAGAGGTTGTCATCATCCCGGGCATAGGCCTCATGTGAGTTCCTTTGTCATTATCAATGACCTGAAAATGAAAATGAAAAGAGGGTTCAATGTAAAAGGGAGAACATTATTTGGTTGAACAATGAAGCTTCCATGTAACAAGGATGACCTGGATTTGCCTATTTCTGGTCATGCACTTCTTCGTCCTCTCACGACAAAGTTTTCCATAGTTTTCAAGACTCTCAGTATGTGGCTTCACGTCAAATTTGTTCAGTATTTTCCCCTCCACAAAGACCTTTCCTGAGAAACAGTAAACCTGTTATTGTAAAGAGTTTGTAGACTTCATGTTCAACTCTCTTTAAAGTTGACAAAACTATCTAGCAACAAGTAGCATGTACAGAATTATGCATTTGCACAATGCTACTGTTGATATCCCGATGAAGTGAAAGGAAAGACTATATCCTGCTGATGCACTTGCAGTTGTATACAGGTTCCCACGTGCACACATTGTCATTGGTTTGCTGGTTACCACATTTTACCTCCCAAAGTGTAATATGATACATTATCTCAACAAATCTGACCTTAGCCATACTTTCCACTATACTAATAGGAAGTAATAGTAATGAAGCAAGTCTCGGCATGATAGATTCTATTTGTTCAAATTTTCTCAAAGCAAGAAACTGAACCCAATTTCCAATATTCCATCAATGTACAGTCGATATTCTATGGTATGAAGACCACAATTCAACTTCCTAACCTGACAGTTTCTTGACCATTAATCATTTTTCTAAGCCATACTTTCTAACCTGACAGTTTCAAATACGGAAACTCATCAACAAACAATTTTATAGAACCTGAAAGACCTGTATACAATGTAGGCCATTCACCATGTGAACTACTAGAACATGCAAAGGCCAAGGCCATACTTCTAGAAGGGTAAAGCAATCTCAATCAAACAAAACAAGGGAAGACATAATCATCCTAAAACCATCAATGGAAGCAATCATCATTCTCTCCAACACACATAAAACTTCAAAACCAAAGAGGAGTGTGGAAAGAAAGAACACTGACCTTGAGGTGACTCAGCAAATACAGACATTGGAACAAAGTCCTTAGACATATCCAAAGTGTATGACTTGGGTGCATCTCCCGATTCCGTGGCAGCCAATTCCATGGTGAACTGAACAACATTTCATGAAAACAAACGGGGTTTCATAACTGTTGTTAGCATGGATGCATATGCAGGGATTGCTCAAAACCAAAATGGGGGTAAATTTCCAGAGCCAATTGCGTTACATTGGTACCAAATTACACTAAAAAGAACTCCATTCGCCAAATGTCCAATCCCTAGAAACCATACAGCTAAAGCAGAAGAACATGAGAAAATTCAAATGCTGCGGTACAGGTGACGAAATCACTGAACAGATAGCGGCAAACGAATACGTGAAGAGCGAAGAGGGGGTTTGTACGAATGAGAGACAGAGAGCGAAAGAACCTCAGTAGAAGACTCGTCATCGTTGGAGTTGAGAGGGTCGACGGAGACGACGACTTTGGCGACGGGACGAGAAGGGTCATCGGGGAAGGGAGAGCGAAGGGAGCGAGAGACAAGAGAAGGGCATTTCATGAGCCACACCGACCTCTCAGATTTGGCCGTCTCCAAAAACCCTCCGATCACCACGCCCGTTCGGTTGCTGTTGTTGTTGCCATTGTTGTGCTTCTGGCCACTGTTGGTGGTGGTGGTGGTGGTGGCGGCCTTGCCGGATGCTTCTTCCATGGCGGGAGAGACGGAAAAGGTTAACGAGAAATGGACAAAAAAGTGAGAAAAAACTTAAAATACATTAAAGCATTTGGAGAATAATAAGTAAGAACCATCAACTTTTTCACATAATAAACATTCTGACCAATTTTTTTATTTATAACATCATGGTCTAAACTATATATTAAAGTAATAAAATTGGTTAAACCCAAAAATTGATTGTTATCTTGGAGGATCAAATACGTTGACTAACAATCAACATGTCACACACACATCAAATTAGCACGTTTCACTTAAAATTTTTTTAGGGTTAATACCACATTTGGTCATTGGGATTACGAAATTGTGTCATGTTTAGTCACTAGAAAATATTAATATCAAATTTGGTCACTCGAATTACTAAAATGAGTCATGTTTAGTCACTCTCCGTTAGTCTCCGTCCAACTCCGTTAGTTGAGTCCGTTATGTGCTGACGTGACTAACGGGAACGCCTAATCAACACCATTTTGAGCTGGAAATGGTCAGACCCGACCCGACACATCATACGCCCAACCCAACCTGACCCAGAACCAATAATCTCGCTCAACCCCTCCTCTTCTTCCTCCATCGTCGACCTAAACCCACTTCTCCATTTCCCCGACCCGAGCACTTACCTCGACTCTCTCCTCTCCCCATCAGAATCCTCGTCACTTTCCCTCCTCTAGCTTCCTCTCTCTTCTCCTTCAAGCTCTTCTTTTCCTCCCTGTCTCCCCTCCTCTCCTCATCTAAGCTCCTGATCCGTTCTCCGTCTTCTCTCTCATTCGACCGCCATACCTCCACCTATGAGCTCGAGACAAGAACAAGAGTGCAAATCATTCAAATGACCACAAAAACCAATGTAGAAACCACTTCAACCAAATTCATCACAAGTGTAATACCAAAAGAGCTCACCTAAGATGGGTACTACTCCAACCTTGACAAAATCCAGAAAGATGCATTCTTTCTGGGATCTCTCATCCTTCCTCTTGGTGTACCGTAGGCTGCCTGACCGAATAAAGAACGCCTTAACACACCACAGGATACTGCTAAAGCATCGGTGATATAGCTACCCACAAAATGGTGCTGATTAGGCGCTTTCGTTAGCCACTACAACACATAACGGACTCCATTAACGGAGTTGGACGGAGACTAACGGAGAGTGACTAAACATGACATGTTTTAGTAATTTGAGTGACCAAATTTGATATTAATATTTTCTAGTGACTAAACATTACACAATTTAGTAATCTCAGGTGAGCAAATGTGATATTCACTCAAATTTTTTTATATTTTTCACCTATTACCGTTTATTTTCTTAGTTTTTTATTCAAAATGACGTGTTGTATTTTTTTTTTAAGGTACACGTAAAAGGTTAAAAAAAACAGATGCTGCCAAGGCCCAAGGCACGGCTTGGCTCGCAGCACCACTCTTCGCCAGTTTCAGTTCTAACTTTCCCTTCCCATTCCCCCGTCGAAAGAGTTGGAGTAGCCCGCCAAGAAAGGAACAGGCAACTCAACCATCTCCCTGCGCCTTGTAACCCCGTGGTATGCTCTGGATCCACGATTCGGTCGCTTTTCTCCATTTTACGCGGCCTCTCGTTCGCTCGCATAAAGTCCTCAACTTGTTTAATCGGTGGGAACTGGTTCTAATTGTTCATATAGTCTTTGCTACTTGGCTTCAGTTCACGGTTCGTGTTGAATGGTTGGTTCATATCTTCGTAGCTCTCTTTGGCGAAACATGATTTCATTAGTTTTCCTGTTCTCTTTTCTATCTTCCGCCCAAGCCAGAAAAAGAAAAACCCATATTGATAATTGATTGACTGTGGATATTACATGTTTTGTTTGCATAATGTGGATTCTTATTTGCAATGGTGGTTAGAAAAGTATGTATGAATGTTAGAAAGTTTCACAACTTTCAGCATTCTCAATTGCTTTTTAATTTCCCCCATGCTTGTAGTGTTCATGAATGGAGTCTAGATATATGGTAATGGAATGGGGATGATGAAAAATATAGGGTAAGATGGAGAATCTAGATGCAAATCAGCTTCCTGAAGTGGATGCAATGCCGGATGGATTTGTTGACAGCTCCAGGGAGCCTGTGGCTCCTGCAACCCCAACTGTAGAACAAGAGAAGCCACGGAGTCATAACACCGAAGAGGATACCATGTCTGATCTTCATCATGCTAATTTGGCAGCAACGCTGGAGCTCTCGAATGAATCGACGCCAAGTCAGGCGCAGAGAACGGAAAAGACGCGAACTTTTCCTGTTCCGCTGTCTGAAACTGATTCCTCTGAAGGTTCAGGCCATGTGACAGAACTTACCCCTAAAGGAGAAGAAGATATTGTAGGGGTCCCTAATTCAGTGGATCAAGTTTCTGAAGCTTCACCACCACCTGGAGCAACCAGCAATGAGGCAAAATACGGTGTTTACAGCGATAGTCAAAGTTCACAGAGATGTAATTGTCCTTTTTTCCATTGCATTTTAGTTTTCCTCGAACTTTTTTTAAGTTCATGGTGTGGGATTGTTTGTAATCTGTTATTTTCCTCTTACAGCTGTTCAAGCAACTTCAGACACGCATGCGGGTGCGAAAGAAATATCTTCCTCAGAAAACATTGAGTTACCAGGGAGCAGAAAACAAGTTAAGTCAAATATCTCTTGATTGTAGAATTCAGTTGGTAACACATATTTAGAAAGGAATTTTTCTTTCTTCATTTGATCAATCGATGTGCACGTCATTTGCCTCGCCCATATTCTCATCCAGTGGTGCCTAGAATTTAGAGTCTCTGTTCAGGTATCATCCTGGTCTGAGATTGGCAGTACATGCAATAAACAGAAGCCATTTCTTGTTTCGGGAAGTCACTGAATGACGTATATTTAACCCAGCTTATAGATTTAGCTCTGGTTCTCCAAGTAGTTAACAGGTTGTAGTTTACCTTCTTTCATTCTACCTTTTATGCATATTTACGTTGAGTGACGGATTTTGATGACAGCTTGAGACTGAAAAGTTGGTGTGTTTATGGTTGTCAGTGATCTATATGCTTTTACTGTTAATATGGCATATTGATAGAGATCAACCATCAAAAGGTTTGTATTTAACTCATAATGATTCTTGGTTGCAGGAAACTTCTGAAACTAAACGCAAGAATGTTAAAAAGACGTTTAAATCAGAGAAGGAATTTCTAGAGTTCACTTTGAAGTATCAGCAAGTCCTTTCCGAAAGAGATTCTGGTGAGTTTTGAGGTCTTCAGTGGTTTTAAATTTTGCTATTGTGTCGTTTAATGAACATATAAACTCCTAATCTCAGAATAGTTATCGTTTGTAGTAGTTTTTATTGTCTGGTTTTCTCGATTTAAGACCAGGTCATATTTCTAGATACTATTTTGCTCTTTTTCTTATTTCATTAAGTGATTGGTTTCTGAAATATTCTTAGTACATTTGTTTTGCTGTTCTACATTTCATATAAGCTTAGCCAGAGAAATCTTAGTATGCAAATATTAGTGCCTAAGCAATACCCAAGTAGATTGAACAGTTTGCTATTGCTTGTTGTTGAAGATGCTTTTCTAGAATTGCCAGTCAGATATTTCATTCTATTGATGTCCTTGTCAATGTGAGTTGGAAATATACTGACAATGTCAAAAAGTGGATGCTTTGCTGCTATATTATAGGTACCATAAAAATGACTTTATTATGTTTGTACTGGTCACTGAAACTTCTTTATCCATAGCCTCCTGTATTTTAGAAGTTGGTGGATGAAGTTTTACGTTGGTGATTATGTGAACCTTTTCTATTGATTTTTTCCTTCAAAAGACTCACAGCTATCTAACCAAATATGATAAATGATCTCATTCTTGATGTATGTTTTTGCAGCTATCATCGTCCGTGATAAGCTTGAGTCACTGTGTAGGGAGTTGCAACGTCAGAATAAAGTACTAATGGTATAGCCCTACTGCTTTGCCTGGTTCACTTAAATCTACATCTACTGAAAATAACACCATCAAGCATAGAACAATCATACTAAAACAGCATATAAATTTGGCTCTTGTTATTGGCGCCAATCTTCCTATTTTCTTTTGCTTGTTTGCAGAGAGTTGTGTCAATGATACTTCCATTGGTTGTTTTTTTCCCCCTGTAAGATTGGCTATGACTGATACTGTGCTACCTAAAGCCATTGAAAGCAAAGCTACTCTTGATTATTGATTTGCAGGAACCATTCAATGCCCTTTAAACTTCCTGAGATATTGTTAAGAATTCTGAGATGTAGTTTGTTTAACTTCCTGAGATCAAAGGGAGGCTTTGTATTATAAATGGGAAAGAAGAATCTTTCTATACTCTGCACTAGGTAGTCTTTGATGGATTTGTGATTTGACAGGATGAGTGCAAAAGAGTATCAAGCGAGGGGCAAAGTTTGAGATTGGATCTTTCTGCTAGATTTGAAGATGCAATTAAGGTTTAATAGACACGTTGAATTTTTATTTTGTTCATGTGAGCATATGGTCTGCATCTGAATAAGTTTCTTTTTTGAATTAGGATGTGAGCATTAAGCTGGATGAGCAGAAGGAAGAAAGTCTTTGTCAGTTGAGGGAAAATGAGATGTAAGTTATACAAAGTCCACTTATCCAATGCTTTTCTTATTCATGTTGAATTTGATTTATATACGGTTAGGTGACATTCTGAACTTCAGGACAACAGTTATATGGGCATGATATTTAGTGGACTTTTGTTTAATGTAACCTACTAACTAGTATTCTTTCTGGTTGTCATAAATGGAGCAATATTGTCAGAACAGCCTGTAGTAATTCTTAACCCCCCAACTTTACTACAAACTTTGTTTTTATATACAAATCTATGGTGTCTTTGGGGTTTTTTTTCCTCTGAAAAAGGTCGTATCTTGTTTAGTGGAATGTAAACGTATAAAATATGAATAATGAAGATCCTTACATGACTGCCCAATTGCCCGTTTTGTAGGTTAAGAACCAAGCTGAAGCAACTTGCCGAGCAGTATACGCTTTCCGAACAGCAATTTGCCCAGAAGGTATCAGCTTACCAACATTTTTACAAATTAAATAAATTACTTACTGGTTTCATCATATTGAGTGTTTGTGACTAATGTCTCCAATGAATGTGTCTGCAGTTAAAACAGAAAAGCCTGGAACTTCAGATCTCTGATCTAAAGATCAAGCAGCATGAGGAAAAATTAGTCCAGGAGCAGTCGCAGATGAAAATTTATGCTGAACAGGTGTCACAGTTACTGTCAACCGAAAAGAATTTGCGGTTGCAACTGACAGCGGATGGGGAGAAGTTCCAACAATTCCAGGTCAATATTCTTCTTATGCATGGTTGTTACTTGGATCCTTTAATCTAAACAAGAAATAATTGACAAACAATAAGATTGGTGGTCCAAATGTGAAAACTGCCATCTCTTGTCTAGGTTCGAGGTTTAGTTCATGACTGTTCCCTTTGGGGAAAATGTATATTTCCAAGTTTCATTTTCTTTCATGTTTCCAGGAAGCATTAGTGAAAAGCAATGAAGTTTTTGAAACATTCAAGCAAGAGATCGAGAAGGTATGTTGATGTTTACCTGCCAGAAACTTCATACAGGGAGAGAAATGTTTTGATCTTCTCTTGTAAGTACATGGGGGATGATATATATTATCATGATACCAACCTGTCTGTATATCTATTAGATGGCTAAATCCATAAAGGAACTGAAGAAGGAAAACACGTTTTTGAAGAGTAAATGTGACAAATCAGATGTTACTCTTATTGAGCTCGTTGAGGAGGTAGTTGCCTTTTCTTTCTGTTTGAATGTTTCTCAATTTATTTCTCAATCAAATATACCTTTGGCTCGTACCACTTCACAAATATCAGTTCTGTTAGCCCAGGCCACTTTTTCAACTCATATACCTTAATACTTTTTCTCTTGGTTGAGCAGCGGGAAAGAATGAAGAAACAACTGGAGAAAACCAAGAACCAGAAAGAAAAACTGGAATCATTGTGCAGATCACTTCAGGCGGAAAGGAAGCAGAGTTCTGCTGCCACTGCTGTTACTGTGACAACTACTACAAGCAATGTCTCTGACCCAGTTCCAGACAGTTCCATTGCAGCAGCTCCTTGAGCCGGGTTCTGTTCCATTTTCCCCGGCCAGCTCCCCTTCATTTGGCTGGTCTAACTTGCTGGCATCAAAATGTAACCGCTTGTATGCCCTCCTGGTTGTGTCCAACTAAGCATACGAAAAGAGAGTGGAGACAATGGTCCTTGTTTATCTTGAGACGCTGGCTTCCGTCTTTCAGTATAGTTTAGGAATGCGGAGGGGACACTGGAAGCCCCAAGCTGGAAAGACCACCTATACTGTTGTGTTTTGTTGAATGTGTAATTGGTGGCTGTTGACTGGTGAGTTGCTTGATTAACGAGTTGCTTTGCTCATACTTTTGATTGCTGACCAAATATCTGCAATGAAGGAATCGAGTCAATCGTATTCTTGCATTCTCTTCTTTCGGCAAGATTTATTAATGGTTATGCCATATGACTACAATTGTCTCTTCTATGCTGTATGATTTTGCTTACATTCGTCATCAACCAATAACGAAACCGTAGGCAAACGATTCGACAGTTTCGGAAGCTAAGGCAAGGGCATCTTGAATCAGCAGTCCATCCGCCCTGATCATAGCTCATGCCAGTGGGTTCCTCTTCCAAGCACTGTTGTTTTGTGGTCGAATGGAAACCAGCTATGCATAAGCAATCGACCACTGCCATTCCGCTATTAATGCTTTTTTAGACTTTCCTTTCTTTGGATACAAAAACTTGGCTAGTCTCACTCCCAAATGTGAGTGCAAAACTACATATTTAGCTCTAAAGCTCCGACCGCTGTTTGTGAAGGTGATGATGGTTTACGGTGGGGGTAGTGATTTGATGAGTAGGCGGCGAAGGGTTGCTTGCGGGTTCTGAAGCCAGAGATATAGAAGGAAACTAAAACGGTGAAATTAAAAAAGGTAAGAGGGAATGAATTTTAAATTATGAGTGGGGGAACCCACTATTTACTTCTTTCTCTTTTTCGATGTAATTAATTACTGAATTAATTACAAATTACCAACGGTTTGCAATGACCATTAGATTAAGACTATCTAAAATGGACGGTAAAAATACTTGTTTGACTGGTCACCGATTCTATTTATCTCATGAAATGAAACAATAATGGAACGTCCAGAAATGTTCGAAGTCCGAACTCATTTGCTATTGGGTTCAGAACAAGCGGAAATATAGGCCAGGCCGAGCCGAACGATATGGGCCTTGCTTGGCTCTTTGGCCCGTTTCCCGTCTACGATTGACAATCTGAAATTGTGGAACCAAAAACCTTGGAACCATGGCTGTCAAAACCCCTGCCCTGAAGTCGATCTCTCTCCCCGTAAACAACAATCCTTGTTAGAAGCTCCTCTGCACTGCGAATCAAGGAATTTCGACCAGAAAGCGAAGAAATGGGACGGGCACTTCTTCTCCATTTGGTTCGATCTCAAACCAGATGCATATCTTCTGCCACCAACAGCTTACCTTCAGGTTTGTTACTCTTCTCGTTTCTCACCTAACCTAAAGCCATTTTACTGGAATTGTACCGAGGAGAAGAAAGTTTCGATCTTTTCTTATTCTAAATATTTGATTTGGTTCGCTAACCCCTTCTGCTGACAAGGTCCTTTTGAGTTGAAAGGTGAACAAAACTTTTGGACTTGTAATTCTCAGATGTGACCCATTTGAGCTGGTCTCTTGGGGTTTGTTTTTTTTTTTTTTTTGTCTGTCAGACTTGTGAGCAATTGAGCATCTCCTGTTTCTAGTTTAATTCAGGGTGGTAGTGTTATCGATATTGGTTTCATGTTCTTGTTGATAGGATGTCCTGATTAGATTCCCCTGGTGTAGCCATGATCCTCTCCTGGTTTTTGCTTGCAGTATGCAGAATAGGATTTTGCAACCAGTGTTTTGAGCTATACCTCCCAGTCACTTCTCATATAAAATTCTGTGTACAAAGGAAAATGAATTTACCTTTCAAGAGCTTTCAGAATCATAGAGTGTCCATTCCGTTCCATTCTTATTATCAATGCACTGTGTTGGACCCCTAATTTGGGATATTCGATTGTTTTGTACAGCCTAGCTTGGGTTTTCCCCCTCCTTTACCTTGACAAGTTTGGTTGTGCTAATTCTGCTTCATGTTTGAGTTACCCCATGCCCAAGTTAGCGTTTAAGTTATACATACCAAATGTTTCGGTCATGTAAACCTCGCTGGTAACTGTTGTCCTGACCCGGGTTCAACGTAGTGTGACCTTTGCCTTGTGCTAGTAATCCAACTATATCTGATGTCCCACACCAAAAATTGTGTCTAATTTGCATATCAAGTACCGAGCACGCTCTGGTTGGTTTTCCATGATGAATTTGAGTTCATTTAACATGTTTTTAATTTTTGCCCCTTATTTTGTTCTTGTGATGTTCCTGTAGTTAGGTGCATCATTGTTTTGGAACATTCTGTGTCTGCATTATAGCTCCAGAATCTTTACTTTTCAGCAACCAAACACTGGCTTATCAGAATTTACATCTCTATGTATATCCTCCTCCTTGTTTTGAAGGTGTAGACTTCTAACTCCTTTTTGTTGATTCCATCTCTTAATTAGGTTATCAACCTTACAGGACCATCACATGGTTGCACCATCCAAATGCTAGACCCAGCTTCAGTCCTTTCTCGGTGCAGAAAAGGTGGGCATCTCAAGCTGCTGCTGCTGAAGAAGATGATACCAGGATCAGCATTGGCCCACGCAAAGATAAATCACCTGGAGAAGACAAAGACGATGAAGACGAGACTGGGATTGTTTATCGAGGTCCCATATCATCAACGATCAAGAAAGTGAAGATGCTATCACTCTCCACCTGCTGTCTGTCGGTCTCCCTGGGACCCGTCATCACCTTCATGACATCAACAGATTCGAACGTGATCCTGAAGGGCGCGGTTGCATCATCCGTGATCTTCTTCAGCGCCTCGACCACCGCAGCGCTGCATTGGTTTGTCAGCCCTTACATTCACAGGCTGAGGTGGCAGCCTGGTTCGGACAGTTTTGAGGTGGACATGATGTCTTGGTTGGCTACATATGCCAAAGAGACGATCAGGTTTGCAGACATTCGTGTGGCAGAGACCAACCGTCCCTTTGTGACTTTTCAGGCCAATGGGAAGTTTTACTTTGTGGACAAAGAGCACTGCCACAACAAGGCGTTGCTTGCCAGACTTGCCCCGCAGAAACGGGAATCAGCATTCAAGAACTTGTAACTGGAGAATGGCCAAACCATGCTTGCAATATGTACCAGTTCTTGATGCTTGTAGCTAGTCTTGATACTTAATGCTGCCCAATTCAAGGTTTTGGGTTATGACTAACTATAGTTTGAGACTGTTCAGCAAGAAGGGAGAGTAGGGAATAATTTATGCAGTTGTATCTCGTTGAGTTTCTAAAGTTTTGCTGGCGGTGAAGAATCTCTGTTTGAAGGCTTAATATGTTGGAAATTGCAATTGTTTTCAAACGACATGCATCTCTCCTTTTCACTGTTCACACAAATCAGAGTCCTAATATAGTGGGGTACACGTACCTAAAAAGATAAGCATCTAAGCGACTGACGACCTTCACCCAGCAAATTCTGGCTTTCCAAAATGTCAGCCAAAGATCTATGCAATATGGCCCTCTCGTTTTAGGTATGACATGCAAAACTATGACTTGCCACAGTGCTATTAAATATTAATTAAGCAATTATGGAGCAATAAGAGCAACTACTGAGAAGATGAAACATAGTCAATAAGCACAAGGAAACTGGAGTATGTAATTATATGAAATATCCGGGAAGCAAAAGAAGCTCGAGAACTCAATACTCCCGAGCAACCTCCTTAGGAAAAACAGCAAAGATAGTAGCAACACAAACTAGAGCAATGTCGAGACTCAACAGGGACACGACAACAAACAAAGACTCAGAAACTCGAAACAGCACCATAACTACACCACCGCCTGTCAAGGACCCAATTCTGTGAATTGCATCCAAGGGACGATGGTGAAGACTTAACATTGTACTTCTCAAACGAAACAGAAACACCTCGACCATCAACACGAGGCCATGTAGAGACCAAGCTCCATTCCTTCTTCTCCGCCTGCACGGTTCATTTCTTCTTGGCAGCAGCCTTGGTGACCTTGGCGCCGGTAGGATCCTTCTTCTCCACGGCCTTGATCACACCGACGGCAACAGTCTGCCTCATGTCCCTGACTGCAAACCTACCCAGGGGTGGGTACTCGGAGAAGGTCTCGACCACCATGGGCTTGGTGGGAATCATCTTCACGAACCCAGCATCTCCGTTCTTCAAAAACTTGGGCTCCTTCTCAATTTCCTTTCCAGATCGCCTGTCGATTTTGGTAGTGATCTCAGAGAACTTAACGGCAATGTGGGAAGTGTGGCAATCCAGCACTGGGGCATAACCGTTTCCGATCTGGCCAGGGTGGTTCATGATGATGACCTGGGAGGTGAAGTTGGCAGCCTCCTTGGCAGGGTCGTCCTTGGAGTTCGAGGCAACAAACCCACGCTTGAGATCCTTGACAGCAACATTCTTAACATTGAACCCGACATTGTCACCAGGGAGAGCCTCCTGGAGAGCTTCATGGTGCATCTCAACAGACTTGACCTCAGTTGTCAGCCCAGTGGGGCCAAACGTAACAACCATACCCGGCTTGATGACACCAGTTTCCACCCTGCCCACTGGCACAGTTCCAATACCACCAATTTTGTAAACGTCCTGAAGTGGGAGACGGAGTGGCTTGTCTGATGGCCTCTTGGGCTCATTGATGTTGTCAAGAGCATCAAGAAGGGTTGGGCCCTTGTACCAGTCAAGGTTGGTTGACCTCTCAATCATGTTGTCACCTTCAAACCCAGAGATGGGAACGAAGGGAACCTTGTCTGGGTTGTAACCAACCTTCTTCAAGTAGGATGAAACTTCCTTCACGATTTCATCGTACCTGGCCTTGGAGTACTTGGGGGTAGTGGCATCCATCTGTGAACCAATTGCAGCAAACAATGATTAATAACTTAACAATCATACTACTATTCACAACAACAAACCAATAAAACAATAACCATACAGAACAGAACAGAACAGAAACCGACCTTGTTGCAGCAGCAGATCATCTGCTTGACACCAAGGGTGAAAGCAAGGAGAGCATGCTCACGGGTCTGGCCATCCTTGGAGATACCAGCCTCAAAACCACCAGTGGTGGAGTCGATGATGAGGACAGCACAATCAGCCTGGGAGGTACCAGTAATCATGTTCTTAATGAAATCACGATGACCAGGAGCATCAATGACTGTGCAGTAGTACTTGGTGGTCTCAAACTTCCAGAGAGCAATATCAATGGTGATACCACGCTCACGCTCAGCCTTAAGCTTGTCAAGCACCCATGCGTACTTGAATGACCTCTTGTTCATCTCAGCAGCTTCCTTCTCAAACCTCTCAATCACACGCTTGTCAATACCTCCAAGCTTGTAGATCAAGTGACCGGTGGTTGTGGACTTGCCAGAGTCGACATGTCCAATGACCACGATATTGATATGAACCTTTTCCTTACCCATGACGACGAAACCCTTGCTGAAAGCACAAAAACGATTCCAAAGGAAACAGATCAAGCTCAGATCCACAACTCACAATCACAGATCTAAACAAACAGGAGAGCTATATTATCAATCGGGAAGCTGAGATTCGACAAATCTCAATCACAGAGTGCGAGAAACCGATTGAACCAGTTGAAACATGCAAAGGAAACCAACGGATTCAAGATAAACAGAGAATCCGAGAGCCATAGACGCTTATGAAAAGCAATAGTAAGGAATTTTTAAACAAAAAACCAGCTGAATGCGTACCAAATCTCAGATCAGAGCAACCAAAATTGAATTACACTGAAACAGATCCTAAATAGACGGAGGCGCAATACACCAGCAGCATGCAAGGAACAAATTAAAAGGCAATCGAATGAAGAGATCAGGTGAACGAACCTGATGAGAAGAATTCGCTTCGCAGAGAGCTAAAACCCTAGCCGTCAGTCGAGAGGGAAGCGTAGGGAAAGGATGGGGTGAGTGACGAAGTAGGGTTTTCAGGTATTTATAACGGCAGAACCAGTAATTCCATAATCACTTCAGGAAAAGCACTCGCTGGACTAGTATAATAACGTATATGCCCTCTAGGGTTCACATTGGAGCGACCCGGCTCGCTCGGTAGACGCGCGTAATCTTCTCTATCTTCTCTCTCTAAATACTATAAAGCGTTTTCTCCCAAAACTCTTCACCGCATCTTGCGGAATTTCCTTTTTTTTCTTTTTCTTTTTTCTTTTTCCGCATTTGCAAACAGCATCGGCCAATTTTTATATATTTTATTATTTTCTTTCACATGCTTTATTTTATTTGGTAAGTACGTGCTTTATTTTTTAAAAGACTCGTGTTTGTCCAATTTGCAAGTTCTCGAGAATTTTCTCATTGTATTTTATTTGGTCGGTTAAAATTAATAATTGTGAAATTGTATCGGAGGTTATACAAAAATAAGTCAATAATTTTCTTAAACAAAATGTTAGTAATAAGATATTTTGTATAAAAATTATGGTTTGACTGTGATTCAATTGTTGTTTTACACCGTTTAAAATCACCTATCATTTAGAGTCTGATATTCAATATTTTTGCTCCAACCGGATAGTGCGGTGGATTTCTAAAACATTGGTGAAAATACACTTGGTACTATTTTTTCAAGAATTCTTAGTTGAACCTTAGCTCAAATATCGCACTTTATAAATTGATCTATATTGTCTGGAAGATGATTTTTCAGTGTGTTTAGTTCATGAATCTTCGCATACATACAATGCATCGGGACTTTATATTATCACAATTTCAACATGAGAATTTTTTGGTAAAACATCATTGTGGGAATGAGTCAAACTTAGATAATAGACGACCTATCATGAGATTGATGCCCAATATTGAAATTTTTTAACAATAGTATTTTATAAATTTTGCCAAAATTTAATTTGTTTTATTGAAAGTTTAATGTCTTCACTTTGAAACGTGTATTTCATACGTCAATGACTAAACATTATTTAAAAATTATTGAGTGTATAATTGATAAATTGCCTGATTCATACAAGTTAATATCTCATAAAACATAAAATTATTTATTACTTAAACTTATAGTTGGCTACATGAAATATCACAAGTATATCTTGAAAAATGTACACAAAATAGTTGAAGTATGATGATAATTAATCAGTATGGATGGATAGTGGTAATTTTTTCTTTTTTGGTTGGCTCAAAGTGAATAATTTTTTTATTATAAAAAAGATAATTAAATGGGACCCAACCGGTCAACGGCCGGGCTTAAAGCTAGTTACTAATTAGGACGGTTCATTTAGCATTAAGGAATGAGATTAATGTGTAAATTAAACATCCCACGTTTAAACCGGCTGGTAGACCGGGTGGAATCAGCCTGGTTTCTTACTTGAATCTCTAAAAACTGATTGCATTATTATGATTTGAGTTGACCGCTTTCAGGAGGCACTCTCACTCTCTCAGTCTCAGTTAATTTCGCCAAACAAAATGGAGCAGTTCCCTAGTTGGACTTCTATATTGTAATTATCATGTGTTTATTGTTTTCCTAAGCTAACAATGTCCTTTTTCCTTGTAAGCACTATTTTTCTATTATTATATATATATTTGCCTCCACGGCACATTTATATGACTAGCAGTAACTTGATGTGTTAAAAAATGGGTACAAGTTAAGACTCAAAACTAAATAGAACTTCTTATAGCATGGACCATTGATTAAACATATGAATTTCAATCAGGCAACTATGCCATGATTTCGAAAGATTGTGTTAAACAAAGCTACACATCGTATGGTTTAGAGATGCATAGCATGTAGAACCATCTTGTAGAAACAACTAATATGGAACTTGAGTTGGTTGGCATTGGTGACTAGTGAGTGCGGCATTAGTAATTGATGAGTATGGACACTTAACTATCTTTATGTAGATGACTCAATTAATTGCAATATAAATGGCTTGGATCGCGATGGAGTTTTTTGGGCTTTTTACTATCGTTTGGTCCATTATAAACAACAATGTATTAGTCAACAATGTCGCGAGTTTAACAACACCGCGATATCAAGAAGCGACGTTTAATTTTAGAGACGTAGCATACGTAATTGTGGAGCTCTCCAAATGAATCTCTATATGAATAGAGGTAAAGTAACGTAGCTTCCTCGTAGTTCATCGAACACCCTCGTTCAAACATTATGTTGAGAGGTGTGAGGCAAGTATGAGACTATGAATCGTTTGGTTCTCTCATCTGTTTGTTGTGTTTCCTTGAAATCCAAGCATATTAAACACGTGAAGTTTGCATAACGAAACAAATAGTCACATCTAGTGAGACATGTGTTTCACAACGAAATTAATTGGCACATCCTGTGGGACCCGTTGTTCGATATGGCTTCTCGATGAAGGAAACATGAGAGTGATCTTTATCAAAGTTGTGTGAAGGATGAGCAAATAGTTAACATTGAGGTTGACCACGTTATAGGTGCTTCACACAACAACGCCATAATGGAGGTGCTACCAGTGGCGCCAACTGTATATATGAGCGATGTGTTGCTAGCACTCTGCTAGTGGCGGCAAACAATCATCAAAGGGATGAGGAGCCTGATGTTGGTCGAATTCAACAGGGAAAACTAATAGGTAAAACTCCATTTTCGCTTATTTGGATGAATGTTTTGATGGCTTTAGTTAGCGTACTGATATGCGACTAAGCTTACTCGTTGAAGTATTAGATAAAAAAAATATGGTTTTGATGAAGTTGTTGAGGAAAACAAATGTGATTCTAATGAGTTCAAAGAGGTTTTTAATAGACCAGCGATGAAAACTAGGGCTCCGCCGTCAAATGGTGAGAATCCTTTAAACAATGAAACTAGTACCAACAAATTTCCAATAAACGGCGGCAAGATTAGCCAAGTGAGACAAAGAGTTTCTCCGACCTCGATGGTGAACCCAATAGTTCCACCACAATGAGTCTTGGCGAAACCAGCACCATCGTGAACACTCGTGTTGAACAACCACCATTGCACGGCGCGAACAATCTCATTAGATACTTTCTTTGCACTATAAATTTTCTTAGCATGTAAAATCGTGTTCCCACCATTGCACGACGCGAACAATCTCATTAGGCTTTGGTTGAGTTCAATATCAGTGTGTCCAAAATCCAAATACAAGTTTTGTTCGTTGTAGGGATGAGCAGTGGCCAGTGAGTGGTTTTATGCGAACTTGGGTGGATTTGGAACGACCCACTACATGGTGGGTGAAGAAGAAAATGACACACACACACACCCAAGCTGGCCAAGCATTACATGTGGGTTCGTTGGGTTGGGTGATTGCGGATGATGAGTGGTTGGGTGGATTCAGTGGATTTACAACATATATTCCAATTTGACCACAAAATTTCAGTAGTTTTAAACTTAAAATGAAAGAAATTTTCAAACTAAATAACGTTTAATCCATAAATCAGGTGAATTATTTATTTTACAATATTGGTATTAGTACCTGTCCATAAATTACAAAATATTCAACCGATAAACATGGTCTAAGGCTGATAATAACCAATGTAAAATAAGGCACTAGGCATAAGGCAAACATTTTGATCTTGCCTAGCGCCTCACTCACCTAGGCGTTGTGAGCATACATAGCTTTTTAACCTATAGTCCTAAATTAAAATTCCAAATTGATGGAAGAAATGAAGGACGAATCGATGGTAGTTTGAGATCATAAACATGGTAGTTTGAGATGATGTCATTTTGGGGAAAACAACTGTCTTTTTCGGCCATTTTGTCTACTAGTTATGCTTAAGCATACCTCCATTTGCTTAAACACACCCCACAACACAATATTTTGATCAAATTTGGGAGGAATGTTTATGATTTTAAGTGTTACGTTTTGGTAGAACTATATGTTAGAGCTTCAATTGTTTGAGGTTAAAAAGTTGGGTGGGTCGTGGGTCAAACACAATCCACCTGCACTCATCCAATTTTTTGTGGGTCACTTAGGCTCGTTTGCTTGTTGAATTTCAAAATAAAGGTTTTGAGTTTTGAAAACCTTTGAATTTATGATGGATTTGTTGCATTTTGTATTTGAAAGATAACATTGTTTGTTTAGTTGAATTTTTTTTTTATCATTCATTTGGTATGTGGTTGTAAAAAATTTGCCTTCCATAACGTGGTATTTGCAAATACCACATTTTCTCAAACTTCCTTCTTGCATCCGTGCTCCTCCGATTTACAAATTCGTGAGGTCAACGGATTTGGAGCAAAAAAAATTGTCCTAATCCATGGGCCCCACGGGTTTGCCTACCTTAACAAAGAATGGGTTTGAACAAAAGACATGATGGTTTGTATTTAGATCCAAATCTCATTAGCAAACAACACCAATTTACAACCCATACCCACCCATAGGAAGTACCCACATGATAATAGGTGGGTCGATTGTGGATGAATTTTGCTGGATTTGTGAGTTCAACTACCCAATGCTCACTCCTAATTCGTTGGTCAAGATATCAAACATTTTAAAATTATCAAAATGCTAATTATTGTTTTGTAAAAAATGAAAATACGGGGACCTTTTTGTAATTTATCCTTGTCCTATCGAGTGCGTATCAACCTATCGGCAACGGAATGTGCGACTAGCCCGACTACCGCCCTTCCATAATTGAGGGTTAAAATTCTGAATAGCTCTACCGCCCTTCCAAAATCATCCCGTCGGCTAGTCTGAAGGCTCGCCGCGATCTGGTCTCCCGGCCGAACGGACAGGCCGACGCCTCCGTCCAAGTTCCCCCCCTGCTACGGTCAGTTATCTCTGCTGTAGCTTCTGTTCTTTTCCAGTTTCTCGAGATTGAGCCAAGTCTATTATAATCAAGTTCCTAGGGTTTACGTTGGTCCAGTCCCGTGGAGAAGCGAAGAATTTTGCTTTTGCCCTTACCACTATGGCAATCCCCAGAGAGCTCTATCCGTCTCAAGATGATCTTCCCTACGAGGAAGAGCTTTTGCGAAATCCATTTAGCTTGAAGCTGTGGTGGCGGTACTTAGTTGCCCGTCGAGATGCCCCCTTCGAGAAGCGTTTTATAACATACGAGAGGGCACTCAAGGCTTTGCCTGGAAGTTACAAGCTCTGGCATGCCTATCTAACTGAACGTTTGGATGTTGTGAGAAACCTACCCATTACTCACCCCAAGTACCAGACTCTCAACAATACTTTTGAGAGAGCTTTGGTTACTATGCACAAGATGCCTCGTATCTGGATAATGTACCTGCAGTCATTGACGAACCAGAAATTTATCGAGCGGACTCGCCGGACTGCTGACCGAGCACTTTGTGCTTTGCCTGTTACCCAGCATGATAGGATCTGGGAGCTCTACTTGAAGTTTGTGAGCCAGGAAGGGGTTCCGATTGAGACTTCGTTGAGAGTCTATCGCAGGTATTTGAAGTACGATCCCGGCCATATTGAGGATTTCATTGAGTTCTTGGTGACTTCACGGCTTTGGCAAGAGGCAGCCGAGAGGTTGGCGTCAGTTTTGAATGACGACCAGTTTTATTCATTGAAAGGGAAAACGAAGCACACACTGTGGCTTGAACTGTGCGATTTGCTCACCAGGCATGCCAAAGATGTTTCTGGAATCAATGTCGATGCAATTATCAGAGGTGGGATTAGGAAGTATACAAATGAAGTTGGCAGATTATGGACATCTTTAGCGGATTATTATATCAGAAGGGGATTGTTTGACAAGGCAAGAGACATTTTTGAGGAGGGTATGACCACTGTTATCACAGTGAGGGATTTCAGTGTGATTTTTGATGCGTATGCTGAGTTTGAGCAGGGCATGGCTGATCATAAGATTGAGAATTTGGAGTCTAGCGATGAGGAAGAAGATAGTGCAGAGGAGAGTGATTTGGAAGTGGACATTCGGCTGAAAGTCACTTTACCAAATTTCGAGAAGAAGTTACTCTCTGGTTTTTGGTTTAATGACGATAAGGATGTGGATCTCATGCTGGCTAGATTTGACTATCTAATGGAAAGAAGGCCTGAATTGGCTAATAGTGTTCTCTTGAGGCAAAATCCCCACAATGTGGAACAATGGCACCGGAGGGTGAAGCTGTTTGATGCTAACCCCGAGAAGCAGGTATTGACGTACACTGAGGCTGTAAGAACTGTTGATCCGATGAAAGCAGTTGGAAAGCCTCACACTCTTTGGATTGCTTTTGCCAAGCTGTATGAGAAACATAATGATCTTGTCAATGCCAGAGTGATTTTTGATAAGGCCGCTCAGGTAAATTATAAGACCGTTGATAATTTGGCTAGTGTGTGGTGTGAGTGGGCAGAGATGGAAATCAGACACAAGAATTTCCAAGCTGCTTTGGAGCTTCTAAGGCGGGCGACAGCAGAGCCATCGGTTGAGGTCAAAAGAAGAGTGGCTGCTGATGGGAATGAACCAGTCCAGATGAAGTTGCACAAGTCCTTGAGACTCTGGACGTTCTATGTTGACCTAGAGGAGGGTCTCGGTACACTGGAGTCGACTCGCGCTGTTTATGAGCGAATACTGGACCTAAGAATAGCTACTCCACAAATAATAATCAACTATGCGTTCCTTCTGGAGGGAAATAAGTATTTTGAAGATGCATTCAAGGTGTACGAAAGAGGCGTCAAAATATTCAAGTACCCACATGTGAAGGACATATGGGTAACATATCTATCAAAGTTTGTGAAGAGATATGGCAAGACAAAGCTAGAACGAGCTAGAGAGTTGTTTGAACATGCTATCGAGATGACTCCTGCAGACTCTGTCAAACCATTGTACCTACAGTATGCAAAGTTGGAAGAAGATTATGGCTTGGCGAAGCGGGCTATGAAGGTGTATGATCAAGCCACCAAGGCAGTTCCAAATAGTGAGAAATTGGGCATGTATGAAATTTACATTGCCCGTGCTGCTGAGATATTTGGTGTTCCAAAAACAAGAGAGATATATGAACAAGCAATAGAGTCTGGTCTTCCAGACAAAGATGTTAAGAAAATGTGTCTCAAGTATGCAGAGCTTGAGAAGAACTTGGGAGAAATAGATCGGGCACGAGGGATATATGGATTTGCATCTCAGTTTGCTGATCCAAGATCTGATCAAGATTTCTGGACTAAGTGGCATGCATTTGAGGTTCTCCATGGAAATGAGGATACCTTCCGCGAAATGCTGCGGATCAAACGAACTGTTTCTGCTAGTTATAGCCAGGTATGCTTGCTTATCCTCTCTATTTCCATGCATAGTTTACTGCAAATGTTCTGTACAGTACACAATGGGATCGAATTTATTTCTGCGAATGGTTACATGCCAGCTCCTTTATTTGTTTAGAAGCTTGTTTTTGCCCTGGGCAGCCAAACAAGTAAAGTAGTCACTTGCATTAGATATATGATTCCCTTCGGGACATGGCGTATGATAATAATTGAAATGGCAATCAAACCTTCATCTTCTGTTTCATATGCAATTGGAACCGTTGAATTTATGTGTTCCATGATTGATAGAGCCTTTAAAATAGCCTAAAATGATGGATGAGAGCTGAATACAGGGCTAGGAACATGGCAGTTGCAGTTAGTAGTTATATAGATCTTTACGCTGCAGGTTTTGTTCCGGTTCATGGCATTCTATGTGTTGTATGATCCTGGAATTTGTATACTTCGTAAACCTGTGGCATTAGGTGGCAATTTTCCATTGGTGCCTCGAGCTATATGCTGAGGGTTTTGGGTGTATAGTTGTTAAACAATCTACAACGTGTTAAATTTCTCATCATCATGTTTTTATTCTATTTTAGATTTGTTTTGTTGAATTTTTTTATTATGAACTTTGCTCTTACGGTTTTCTTTGTCCTCTGGTACTGCTGCAGACACACTTTATTCTACCAGAGTATATGATGCAGAAGGATCAAAAGATGAGCATCGATGATGCCAAAGACAAGTTGAAACAGGCTGGGCTACCGGAGGATGAAATGGCTGCTCTTGAAAAGCAACTAGCACCCGTTAGCACCACCGACAATGCTGCCAGCAAAGATGGCAACAACAGGACAACACTTGGGTTTGTAAGTGCAGGAGTGCAGACACAGACGGATGGCGGGCTGAAGGTTACCAGGAACCAAGAAGACATTGAGCTTCCTGACGAAAGCGACTCCGATGATGATACTGAGAAAGTTGAAATTGCACAAAAGGAAGTACCGTCCGAGGTGTTTGGAGGATTGGTTCGAAAGAGGGATGATGCAGAGAAAGACGGCGGTGATGAAGGCCATGATGCTCCAGCGGCACTTGGTGCTCTTGAGAGGATAAAACGGCTAAAAAGAGAGGGGCAAAATCACCAGTAAGCTAATTGTACTTGAGATTTCCGACCCGAGTTTTGATGCCTATCTTCTTGATTGTTTTTGTAGTGTTAAGCACTAGGCCTGTAATACTACACTGTTGAATCCAGGTTAGGTTGGGCATATTATTCTCCTGAGTGGTTGATTGTGTGTCTGGTGCTGCTGTTTTCCTTCCCATGTAACTTTCACAAACTGCAAGTTTGCAATGATCTCACTAGATCACATAGTTTATTTATGTGGTGCATGCCTAAACAATGCCGTCAAAATCGCATTTTAAAATTTAAATTTTTATGGTGTTACGCTGTTAGGTCACAAAAATGCTAATATTTCTATACAAATTTTTTAGTGTATAGAATCGAACTAAATAGTTTACGATTTTAGGCATTTAGTCCACCAAAACGCTTTACGCTTTTGTGCTTCTACTTCACTAAATAGGTATTTTTTTTTTCACGAAATTAATTATCAAAAGTATATTTTAAAGATAAATCACCAACAATATGATACATTTGACTCCTAAAGTGTTGTTATCTTACTAGTTTTGAGTGATGATAGAAGTTGTAATAAGGTTATTTGACTCCTAAAGTGTTGTTATCTTACTAGTTTTGAGTGATGATAGAAGTTGTAATAAGGTTGTCAGACCTTGGATTCAGTGAAGAAAACGGGCACTACACACCCGAAAGTTGACTTACTAAAAGGTTCTCGGATTGGAGATCATGCAACATCATTTATCGCTGCTATTTGTAAAAACTTGTCTATTTTCTGATTTTTCTCTTAGCCTAATCCACATGGCAGCATTGAGGCCAGCATATATATAGTTAATTGATTAGCAGCCCAGCCGCCGGTTGGGCTCAGGGAAAAGAAAACAACCACTTGTCTGTTCTCATGGTCAACCCTCCTCCCTCTTAGCCACGGCTTATTTGGTCTCCGATCATTTTCATCCTTTTTGCCGTTCGTATATTTAAGCTGCCCGGAAAATGACATTGCCTGTCTTCCTCTTCAAACAGTGGCATTTGGCACGGACAAAATGATGTTGTTATAACCAAATGAGACCTAATACCAAGAAGGATCGAAAACGATGTGTATATAATTGTTGTATTAGACGTATACGTTCGTAATATAATAATTGTTGTTATGATAGGGTACAGTAGCAGAGTCTCTTTGAACTTGTAAAGATGATGTTTTGTTGGTGGAGTCCAAATGTCTTTTCTTCTCTCTGGAGTTTTTGAACTAGTAGAAGGATATAAATGTGGCCGAACAGAAATAATTATTATGATAATAATATACTCAAGAAAATAGGAGATGGGAGCCGAGAAATCGGAAGGGAAAGGGAGCCGGCCGTCAGTCAAGCCATCTAGAAAAAGGGGCAACCCAAATATGATATCTTCTTTCTTTGTTTTTCTTAGTAACGGTTTTCTTTTTTCTAGAAGACATCCCCAACGCCAACAGCAACAGTGGTAAACGGTGCGATGTGATCCAATCGGGTACGTGGTTCAGAAGTTGGATATCAAATACTATACGGTTTTAGATCAGATTATATTTGTGCAGTTTAGTCGGGTACTTTTTTACTAAATAGACTATATTGAGCGAAAATGAATAGTTAATTTATTTAAACAAACGAAAAGATGAACTAATAGGCGAGGGGAAAAGTTTGAAAAATACTAATTTCATCATGCATGCATAATTTTTAACTCTAAGTCAAATAAATAACAAAGAAAAAATCGGAGCAATTCAACTTACATCATAACGTCACAATTAACATCAACATAATGTCACATATAGGCACGCGACTGTCTCTACTCGCTGGTGGACTGTGGTTTGCAAGCGAAGGAGAGAGGACACGATTCGCAAAGTTATGTTTGAGACTTGGGTCTTCTTGGGAGAGTGGTGGGAGTGGGCTGCTAACACGAAATGAAAATTGAGTTGGTTCCACTATCCAATCCGATAAACTACGATACGTATGATATCAAACAAACAGATGAAAACATCCTATATTACAGACCAGGAGCCAAATCAAAAAACATTCTTAATAGTTTTGCAATCCATATCAAACGAAATAATCATGTTTGATCAGCACTGTCCTAGAAGGGCCTCTAGAAGGCCGATCGATTGAATGATACTAATACTGATATTTTATAAACAAAAAGTCCAAACTCTTGTACCCTCGCTCTGCTTTCTCTTCAGGTTCAGCGTATTGTATAAATCAAAACCCAAAACAGGATCAAAGATACTCCCCATCACAACAAACCAAACCAAAGAAACACATCCAGCCAGCCACCATCCTTCCTCTGCGAATCCACAAAAAATATGGAAGCATCCTCGTTTCCGATAATCCCACTGTTACTTCCTTTTCCTTTTCCTTCTGTTGATGGTGATGAGGATCAATACCCAATCTCCCCCAAAATTACCACTTCTACAACTCATACCCCAACTGCCCACGATGGAGAAGAAGTGGAAAATGATGATGAAGAAGACACTCTTTCGCTGTGCGATCTTCCTCTCCACAACAGCAACAACGACATCAATCATATTGCTGCAGCGGCATCTCCTGATATGAATAATGACGATGAAGATGGGTTCGAGTTCTCGAGGGAGTACTCATTCACAGCTGATCATCTTCTCGGTCTTGATTCTACTAACAAAGACAACAACAACAACAATGGTAATAGTACAATCGTCTTCTGTGGGAAGCTCATTGCTCACAGACAATTAGCAGCAGTCCAACAACAACAGCAGCAGCGACAAGACGGGGTCGTATTGGTGAGCAACGAGAAGAAAAGGAAGCAGGAAGAACAGGGCAATAAGAAGAAGAAACAGAGTGGCAGGATTTTCCCCTGGAATATGAAATCATTCTCCACCTCCTCTTCCTCCTCGTCGTCAAATTCATCATCTAATTCGTCTTGTTCGTCGCCGGTGAAGAAGAAGGGCGGTCGGATAGCTGGGAGATCGAGTTCAAGAGGGTATCTCTGCTTGGCGTTTGGGATGGAGTGGAAGTTCCCGGTGAGGAGTATGGATCTCAAAGATATAAAGCGGCGGCAGAGCCGCCGGAGTTTCACCAGCCTTGATTTTGATGTCTCGACGTCATCGGCGTCGTCTTCGATGCTGCCGGATGATAATTCCACCGCCGTCGGTGCTAAATCTGGAAAGGGTTTGTGGTGTTTGATTAGGGTTTTGGCCGGCGCCCGTCCTTGATTAATTAAGTTTTACCTTTTACCGACCGCCTTACCGTTTCGTCGATTCCATTTTTTTTTTTTTTTTTTTTTTACCGAGGACCCGTTCTTCTACTGATGGCTTCACTGTTACTGTTCTGTTTAGGGGTGTAATTAGTTTGTAATTACTGATCACTAAGAGTTTTCTGTATATGACTAATCATCATAATATATTTAATTTAATGAGTACTTGTCGATATTCTCTTTAGTTATCTCGTAGTTGTCATGTGGGTTAGTTAATGACCATGCCTTAATAAGAACATTTTGTGCACTACCACCAAGCAAATTAATAAGAAGATTTTATAGTGAAATGTTCCACATGTTTGATTTATCTTAGATATTATTATGAAACCCCGAATGAAGATACCATGCCTCGGTTAAAAATTTCGATTAATTTTGAAAGAATATATGAGGTGATTGAGATAATGTTGAGACAAGGATAAGATGTATTTATTTCGGTAACAAGAATTTGACAATTATCGTTAAAATATTTAAGAAAAAATTTAATGGTTTTCATATTATAAATAAAAGTGAGATTTTATTGCTGGCGTTGCTATAATTTCATATAAGGTGGGGTTTGAACGACGAGGACTAGGTTCAAGGAGTAAGGAGTTGAGGAGGATGTCAATTGAGAATGAGATTTGAGCATGAGATGTAAAAATTAGAAGCATGAATACAAAGTGTATTTGCACCCCAAAATATGTTAGCTTGTAGGTTAATACTCAAATTGGGTGCAAAAATGTTAGTCTGTTGGTAAATACTCAAATTGATATGACGTAGTATTATATTCGAATTTCATCCTCTAACATGTTACTCCGAGTTTTGAGGTTCAAGACTTTCTTTCATTTGTTGTTGTATTCTCCTATACCCTCGTATTAATCTATCCATAAGTTCAGTATCGGGTCTTTAAAATTAAAAAAAAGGAATGACATATAAATTTGATAATGAAATATTTCCCAACAAATTGAGTAATTAGGATTAAATGATTTGTTCGTTAACACAGTATCAGAGCTTTCTGTCGAGAAGTCTTGTCATAGGGCATCCACCTATGTTTGTTAGTTGATTCAATCACATATATAAGTTGTACTTGGATGCATGATCCGTTGATTATGTACTATGCCAAATTTAACTCTATTAACAAATATTAGTGCTACTCATACTTTGTTAGGTTAGGTCAAGGAGAAGCAGTAGTCAAAGAAGGTGTCATTAGCTTATGTTTCTTCGTTCTAGATGCGGAGGAAGTCCAAAGTAAGAGCATTGTAGGCCACACTTTGGACCGAGGAAATGATCCATGGAGTCTGGTTTGGTCTGGACTGGATCCACCAAATCCACAAATGGGCTCAAAGCCTCTAGAAGTAGAAAGCACACGCTTTTGAATTCAGAGTGTGAAGAACATATACCAGACAAGACAATTGAGGTAAACGATATTTTGTCAAGGGAAAGAATGGTGTAAGTTAGTGTTATCTGGGTGAGGGTGGTAAGGAAATTAATCAACTCTACACATACCTAAAATTTCATCGAAAAATGCAAAGAACAAGTTCGCTTCGAATGAGTTTCGGTCGAAGCTTTTCTATACGCGACTAATTCAAGCCCAATTCAAACACATTTAACTATATAATATGATAAAGTTGAACTCTTTGAAGCCACCCAATTTTTTTGAAATGGGCACATGTTGTTATGCAAATCAATTTGGTCTGGTGGCTATGTATAAACTATGAACGACGCTTACTAAGGAACAAGACCAAAGGTTGCTCAATTGCATTCTCTTTAATTATGCAGCCATTGCCATTAGTCACCAACCCACTGAAACTAATTGCGTCTCTAATTCTGTCTTATTAGAAAATTTTGATATTTCAATTTCAACTACTCCCCCTATGCTCTAATTCCCCCAAATTAACTTTATTAGACAAGAGAGCTGCGCCTAAATATATAGTTATGGTATTATCATCCACTAATCATTTGTCTGAATCGAAAGTTCACAAAAATCCTTCTATCGTCACACTTTTGACAAATGTGAACTCAATTGTTGATCAACAACAGGAGGAAAGGAAAGGAAGGAACCGCCCATTCTCATCAACAACTGGTCATGAAAAGACAGCCATGAATTAAAATATTTTGCTGGATAATGGACTATGAATTAAAAATTTCACCCAATCTAATACTAGTCCTTTTTCATACAGAAAAAACATTTCTTCCAATATTTTGTCCCTGGTTAATTCTTCTAGAGGCAAATTGCGCTACATAGTACATGGTTGTGATACTGTAGCACGGTTGAATCATAAAAAAATGGTTTATTGTAAATTAGATTGGTACAGTACACATACACAGGAAGAAGTTATTGGTGGGTACAACATGGTTAGAACAATATACTGAACATTTTTCGATTTTGTTTAATATTATTTCAATGAATTACTGATTGAATATACTATTATATCCTAATATTAACTTTTAAGGAAGGTATCCAAGACGCTAGCTATTGGTTAATACATATATTTTTTTAACCAAAGATCGTTGGCCTTACGAAGAAAAATATAGAAACAACGTTTACAACTGCATTCAGAGTCAAATGCAACAACTTAAACCACTTAGATCAAGCCGACGCTTCATCTTTTCGTGGAAAAAATTAGAAATAGGAATAGAAAATTTATATATAAGAAAAGAAGAGGAAAGAAATGTGAATGAAAATTAAAACAAACGACACAAAAAGAAGGCTACATAAGGCAGAGACGTATGTTAATGCAGGCAGTGTTATGTTAAACAGAAGGAAAAAGTCCAAAGTGACTTACCTTGGAATACAAGTCACTCCGATTCCACTTGTCTTGTGTACAAACTACAAACCACAAACAGCTGTTGTTCTAGAACTCAAATTAATTAACAAGGTTTATAAGTGTGTTTTTGGAATGAATTAAGCTAGGCAATTATAAGGACGTCAGAGTCAAAAACCTTATTACCTGTTTGATGCCTGTCGTTATTCTGAAAGGCGACACTAGTCCATAAAATGGTGGATCGTGACGACGAAACAGTAGTTTATACAGCCTAACCCTAAGAATTATCAACTAATGAAAGAAATACACACTACTTAAAAACTTCTTGAACTTGCCAACCGTCAGGGTCAGGCCAGCAATGGCGCTGTTGAGTTTTCCATGTCGAATTATTAGGTGCCTAGGTGTGGATGAGCAATGTGCCGGTTAATAATCAAATTCATCTAATTATACTCATTTAATATGTGTTTGGGTGGATATGGTGGATGAGTGTGAGTTATTTTTTAGGTGGATAAAGTTTGAATGGATAATCGGTGGATCTTTGACTTGCAAAATTACCTGATATTATGTCACTAATCTACGTTTTATAATAATACATCGCTCTTTTTTTGTTCCAAATATAACTGGTGATTGATTCAATTGAATGATAATCATTTTCATAAATTTTGCTTGAGACACAAAAAAAAAAAGGCCAGACTGGTGTACTCCTATACTCCAGGTACTCATAGTGAGATATCTCTATCTAAACCATGAATTAAATCAAGTTTGGGGTATGATACTATACTCTAAGCTCTAATGGATAAATCACAGGCCCCCGATTCTCTAAACTCAAACCCGAAGTTCAATTTAATACAAAATATTAGTTGACCGTTGATATTAGTCGGAGCTTAGAAAAAGATATCTAACGGTCATATCACACGGAGTATGGTATACTTCTCAAGTACACTAGTCATTAAAAAAAAGTATATGTCAATGATTTAAAAATATGATAACTATTCATAAAATGTTCCCTTGTTCACAAATGACATGTTGATGGTTACATGCTGCAATAAACTACTCTTAATGGTTATCAATTTTCTTGCATTTTGTAGTTTTGATATTCAATTAACTTGATGTAAACTTTTATGAACCTTAATAATCTTATTAATTAGAACACCAAAACCGTCAAAATAACTCACTATCCATCATCCACCCAATCCACCCATTATTGTACAAATAGGTGTGGATGGTAAATTTGAATCTAAAAAACGTCCAAACTCACTCATTACTCATCCCTATATGTCATCCAACAACACAATAGCTCCCTTTTTTCCTTCCATATCTCCTTCGTATTATTTTTAATCACACCCTATTATGCTCATGGTTTAAATATCGCTAACCCTTAATATAAATTCATTTCTTCACCGAAAAAAAGTTTGCATATACTTGGTTCCCCTACCCACTCAAACCCAACACATAAAAGAGCACATTTCTGATACAGTCATCTAGAAGAAGGGATTGCTTTTCCAGTTTTCCACCTCAACAAACAAACCACCAAAGAGACAATGAAGGAAGGCATAGCAGTCAACTCCATCACCCTCCTTGTTTCCTCCCAAACTCTTTGAGCCCGTCCTCCCACCTCCCCTTTTTAACTGCGTTTCCAAGGGAGATTTTGTTTTTGTCACCTCCTCTCTCTGTTCTTCTGTTCCTATTTATCATACAAACACACCAACAACAAAACAAACTAGCTAGACACCATCAATTACAAAGCCCACATCACCTTCCTTCTCCCTTGTTCTCTTGATACCTCTGATATCCCCACCCAACAGTTCATGGCAGCTGTTTCAAAGATGGAGGAGACCATGAACCTTCTCCACCAACCTTCTTCATATGATTCAGAAGAAGAGGAGGAGGAAGAAACCCTTTCGCTCCGCGATCTCCCCTTAACCACAGCCAGCACCAGCAGCAGCAGAAGTATTGCCTGGAATGATGAACAAGGCGATCGTGATCGTGATCGTGATCATCATGACTATGATCAGGATGTGTTCGAGTTCTTCAGTGGAGACTTCAATCCTTCTTCCTCTACTACTTCACATGATGAAGCAAAAGAGGAGAAGGAAAGTATAATCTTCTGTGGGAAGATCATCCCACACAGGAAACCTGATCATCAGGGGAACAACAACAACAGCAGCAACAACCCAGAGGAAACGAGCTTCAAAGAAGGGGTTTTTGACAGTAAGAATAGCTTCAATAGGAGGAGATCATCGTCCCACAATGAACCAAGACCAGCAGAATATTATTCCAATCGCCAGCAAGTGAAAAGGTTATGGTCATTACCACTGTCATTCTCACCCCGTCCATCACCACAGCTACCATCAGCAGCAGCCAGAGTGCCTTCGACGATGAAATCGAGGTGGTATGTGCTTGCTTTTGGAGCAGGGAAGGTCCCCGTGAAGATGGAGCTCAATGATATGAAGTTCAGGCAGAGCAAGAAGATGAGCAGCAGTACCAAGTCCGACGATGATGGAAGGAATAATCAAGAAGTGGCGAAGAAGGTCGTCGACAGGAGTAGGAACAAGAAGGGTTCCTGGCCAGGGTTGCTTGGGGTTTTGGGTTGCAGTGGGGAACAAGGCAGTAGTATGGTTAAAGCCTCATTCGCCTGCGTGCCATTACCATCTGTGTGAGTTCTTGTTAACTTTTAGAACATAGTTCAGATGATTATGCTGAAAGACGGTAGAGCAATTTTCGACATAGAGAGTTCGTCTGCAATTCATGTTTGCTGATGATATTGAGAGAGCCCAGATGATGATCAAAGTTGCTAGAGGAAACGATGTAAATGGACAAATACTTCTAGTACAGTAGCAGTTAATTATTTGTTTATTAAAGCAGGTTGATGAAACCCTTTTGTTCTTCTCCCCATTCTTGTATTGGACATATATGAAAGCATAAACAGCCGCCCACTAGTAAAAGAGGCCGCCGGCAAATGCAATCAATCAACTTGAAGCAAGACCGCAATTTTCTTCTGCAGTGGTTTGAATGTTTCACCACTTGAGGAGTTGAGGTATGAACGTAATCTCCAGATGAACAGTTGCATCCTTTCCTTCTCTCGTAGTTTAAAAAGCTACAAATTTACAACTACTACTGAATACTGATACTACAAAACAACCAAATACACCTTTTTTTTTTTTTTTTTTTGCAGTAGAAGCTGAAAAGATGTACTCTATGTTCTTTGCTTATGATCAGTCATGTCTACGTCAGAGTGAGAGTGTATATGGCCAAAATAGGTCATTCAACCCAATTAACTGTTCATATCATATAAAACAAAATTCAAATCTGCAAAAACATAGGTCACTGAATTATCTAAGCCTAAGGACTTGCTATAGGATGCTTCTTGTATAAATAACAAAATTAGCTTCTCAAGCATCTTACAGTAAGGCTCACTGGAACCATCTATTCTTCACCCATTTCCATTTCTTCAGCTGCATTGATAGCACCATTCGAAGGTCGTTGCTTCTTTCCTTTCGTTTTCTTGGGCTCCTGAGAACTGTAGAGAAATTTGCAGCTTGATTAACGAAAACAATACACATGTTTTTCAGGATAACAAATCGAAGTCCTAACTACTCAAACATGCTTCAAATTTCCAGACCGAAAGTATATTGCAGCGTGATATATTTCAGACTTTTCACTTAAAGGTAGATGACACAAGAAAGCAGCAGTCTTTTCCATGACGAACCACAAACCAACCAGTTAAGCATAGATACTCAGATGGAGGAACGCGCACCTCAAGTTTTTACTGAGAAGCAGATCCCTAGAAGCTGCCTTTTCTATTAGACTCCTGTAGTACTGGATAAATGGAAGATTGCCACTCGAATTTTCTGTCTGCAACATTAACATGCACCAGAGCAGAGCTCGTTAGATTTCACCAACCAAGGAATGTGATTGTATATATGGATGCATGAAGGTAAAAGAACTAACTACCTGAAGAAATGACGCGACTAACTGCTCGTCTTTTGGCGAGAAAGCAACTTCATCTCTCTTCTTGTGCACAAACTCGACATTCTGTTCCACCTGAAATGTTGGACGAAACATGGTTCAGACAGGCGGATAACAACGTTGAAGCATCAGGCTAGAACCACCCTACAAAAAGGTAATAGGAACCCCTGGGCTAAAAATGGGTTTATTATTTCCTTAGGAGTGTCAACACTTCAACCAACCAAGAGAACAATTATAAACTTATCACCAGTGCCACATTACTATAAAATTGGCTCTTTTCCAAGAAAATCAATACGATTGGACCTTTTTTACATTCCTTATCATCTAGGTCAGATGAGGCCAAATTTTAGAAAATGCGTCCGTTTAATCCTAACACAAACCTCTTTCTAGTTCACTATCTTATTTTACATATAACATAGTATAGGGGGATTTTTCACCAGGACTATTTGAAAGATTATTTAACAAAGTAATAATGTAAATGCCATGAGAAGGTTCATACCTGATCGATAAAACGTTTCACCATTCGCCTGGAACTCTCAATGCTTGTTCTTTCATGGAATTTTTTCAAATGAATCAACGGAATAGTGGCCAGATCAGGAAAAGATATGTGGTAGCCCCACTGAGCAAAGTGCACGGCAAGCAGTTCAAGAGCAGAAAAAACACATGCTTCCAGGAAGTTTCGAGATTTCATCCAGTGTTTTGGCAACTGCATCATAATTTTCAAGACATCCGCGCATGAAGTTACAGAAACGAGCAAAAGCCAATACAGTAATAGCGGTCCATGAAAAGTATGAAGTTAAAAGAAGCAAATTCATGAAAGAGAACATGAAAGCTTATATCATGGCATAACGATATGAAAATTGCCACAAACTAATTACTAACCTTTACATCAGATGACAAGTTGAAATCCTTGCCAGGATTCTGGCCCTCTTTGTCAATTTTATATTCTAAAATATCCAGCGCCAAAGATGCAACAGGGATGAATGTACCACAGGAACTGGAGAGAAGATTCAACCATTGAACAGTTTTAACTCTCAGAGGCAAGTATCTTGGTCCAGGGAAAAGCACTGCTACTCCATTTATGATCTGAATCATGGTATGAAGCAACGGCAGGAGATTGTAATCGTGTATATTGACTGATATGAACTCGACCCATAGATCAATGCAGTTCACATACTGCCAGCTGCATATTCTCTTTACTGCTTCCTGCATACAAGCAACAAATGACAAGGGATAATTAAGAACATTTACCAGTAATAATACATTTGTTAATCATAATAAGCTCCACTGGCGAGGATTAAAAGGAGAAATAATGTTGTCAGAGAGGCCCTGCACCTTCTGCTTAGTTTGTAAACCAAGCTGCAAAATCTTAGCAAGTTGTCTGATTGAAATAATTGCCTTCCTTAATGATTTCTGCATATCTTGAGAACCCAACTCAATAAAGGACTTCTTAAGAAACTGAAGGTGCTCGAAGAAGGCTGGATCGACAAATTTGCAGTGCCCAATTATGGTCTTGTACGCCTTGTCAAAGCATGTGTCGAACCAATCCGAGTTAAACATGGCAGCCGCATTTTGTATGACGAGGAATGATTGCACTGACAGAGCTCCTTTACCTTTTGCCCAAAGATGAAATGATATCTAAAACCAAATCAAGCTCTTGATTAGGTAGAAGCTCCAAAAGCATGAAACCAGTGGAACAAACTAGCTACTTTAAACTTTCCCAACTATCAGATATCCAGGGAAGATAAGAGGGAATAATTATAACCAAAACTTTTCATGCTTAAGGTGGCCAAGTATGACAGCTACTACATACACAAAGAACACTGCCTACACTTGCACCATAGTTTGCACAAAAACGCTCTATGACCTTTTTTAGTTTTTTAACATGACCATACCTTGATCAGCCTCTGCAGTAAAGATGGGAAAGCAGCATAAAAGATCATAGAAGCCCTTAGTCGCTCGATCACAAAAGTCAATATCTCCGAGTCTGTAACCTCGTTCAAAAGAAACATGGTACTTCTCAAGTACAACTTAATGAGCGGCTTCACTTTTTTCCATGTCGCTGAATTTCTTAATTCCAAAATGATCTTCTTTTCAGTGGAATTTGAAACTCCCAAAAATTTTCGGAATACGTCATTGGCCTCATGAAGCACAAATATCATAATCTTTGCAAGACTTCCTGTGCCTCTGAGAACACCAAATGATTTAGCTCCATAATGACTTCCCGCTCTATAAGCATTTAAAAGCCTTACAAGGGAAGGCACATCATGCTGGTCCTTCACAAGTTGACACAAAGAATCAACAGTAGAACTACTTAGTAACTTGCCAATTCCTAATATTGCTCCATCTTCATCATTCAAATGCCCGCTATCATCATCGCTTTCATCTGCATCTGATGACTGCTGCAACAAACAAATGTATGAGATTCGTCGAACTAAAGAGACTTTACAAGAGATGATAACTAGCCAATGCACAGTAATAACAATACCAAATAAACAATTATAGGTTCAGAAAGATAATTATCAAGGATTCCTTCATCTCAGCTGAAGCACAGTAATTATCAAGGTTTAGCAAGATAATTTTACATCATTTACACAACTATTCCACTTCCCAACTCCAACTCCTAAAACTCTCACGCACATATGAAAAGAAATCTCATATCAAACCTACCCCCACGGCAACAAGATCCCACTTCATCTGAATATAGATATAGGTGTTTATGTCAGGTGTACACAAAAACACTACATATGAGACAGATTTCTTACATTGTATTCTTTTGTGGAGTGAATACCACTTTTCTTGCTCTCAAGATATTTGACAAATCCTGGATTCTGAAAACATCCAAATCAAGAAAGTAAGACAATTTATAATTGTCATTGTGGATAATGGACCACAAAAAGGAACTGAAGAACCTAGCAGTCTAGATTTCAGATGATAAATCAAGAAACCAATGGAAAAAGGCATCATATTATGAAGATAATATTACCTTTTCTTTCAATCTGTCCAATTTTTTCTTCTGTGTTGCTAGCTCCTTAAAAACAATTATATTCTTCACAGATACACCAGTATCCTCAGGACTGTCTGGAGAACAATTACTAAGAAACTATGAAAACGTAGTGTAAAGGCTTAACAGCATAAAGTTAATCAAGTTCTTAAAATGTCATCAAATCCACATGCAACAATGTCTTCACCTTCGAGGTTATTCTCCGTTTTGCCTTCATCCATGTCCACACAGCCTGCCTCCTGATCCATTCATCGAATGAAATATGTAAGAGTACTAGTGCAGAAGCAAATCAATTTGACGAATTTATTCTGGCAAGGTACAGTTTCAAACCTCTGATAAATAACCATCACTTCCAGAATCATCTCCAGCCATATCACTATCATGCTCATTGAACATTGCATCGAACGAAAGAGCTCCAACATCCTCAACTTGAACGCTTCAGATAACAACGATGAGTTTCAGAAGAGCGAGCCATAATTAATAAGCCCACCTCAGTTATCAAGACTAATGTGTTCAGCCTTCCAAAGGATGTAACTTAACACAAACTATGCACCACTACATGAAAGTAAGAATAATATGATACAGGAAGAACCTGATGATATTTACACATGACATCTGTCACCGACTACATGCATAAATATTCATACGACTTTTATCCTTTTACCTGTCAATAGTCTGTTGTGTACTTTCTTCTTCTACAGCTCTATCCCCACGGCCCTCTTCTACATAAACCAGATTGCTTCCAAAGTTCAGGCTCAAATGTAAAAGCAACATGGAAAAGTACAAGGATTAATGAAAAAACATACAGAACCTTGATATAGCATTAAGGCAAAGTTTCAAACTTCCCCTGAAAAGAGACTTGCACGAATCGTTTTAAAAGCAATCACTAAAAAAGCTTTCTTCGTTAGTTTATTTTCCCTCAATTTCACCTCATAACAAGAAGATGGATTGCTTTCCCACCATAAACTTGGTTCATTCTCTCTACTATTGAGCTTCTTCATGGCAGAGGAGGAAAAGATTCAAAGCCCTTATTTTGTTCTCCAATTTATACAATCTGCTTGGCAATTGGCATTTATTGGACAAATCAAGCAAAATTATCCTCAATCGATAGCACATTACCTAAGCTCAAAATGAGGGACTGCCTCTTAGATGTCTGGTCCTTACCAACACCTAGTCGTTCCTCACACCCAGGATAGAGTTCTGATTGCCAATGAGACTCCAACTTACTTCTAAATGCCAACAACGGGTACCCAACACTTTCTATACTTTGACAAGAAAACTAGCTGTCCCTCAACTTAAAGCTCACACAGAGTAGGACTGACATTTGATTATTCAGCTGGAAATAACAACTCGGCTTCTAGTAGCCATCTCTGGCATCATCCGCCTCCTACACGAGACTACAAATTCAAGGTCCAAAATGGAGCACAGTACATACACCACACAACTAACTAGCTTAAATTTTTCCTGTTCAATTACTCTAACAATGCAAGCACGAAGTTCAACCAAGGCTGTTACTTACTTTTGGTTGCTCTTTTCTTGAACACAGACTTCTGCTTCCTCTGCCTCTTCATCACCGACTGAAGATTCTTCTTGGCGAACTTCCTCGCCTTCTTTCCCAGCTTCCCCATTGCAGCGACTAGGTAGTTCCCCCCTGAAAGACCAAACCAAATACTTCAAAACCTGATTCCCGTTAAGCACAAACTGAAGCTCAACTGGACCTAGTAGAAAGGCTCGAACCACTTGATACCTAAATCGTTTGCTTCAATTCAATTTCTTCCAGCACCTGCTGCTGAGTTTCAGAAGGACTTCCCAGGGAGAGCGGCAGAACTGAGTGCGCGCAGAAACAATTGAATTTTTGCGGACTTATTCGAAAGGCTAGCCGAACGTAAGAGGTAAAGTAAAACCCTGTCCGCAAATCCAACTCTAGGGTTTTGAGAGGACCAAAATAGATATTCCAAAATTTTGAAGCATAACTTTGTAACTTATGATGCCCACGGCCCACCTAAAGTCTTAAACTTACTTGTTAAATTATATAGATATTATTCTATAAAACAATATGTAAGAAGTGATCAAAATCGGGCATTTGGTCTAGTGGTATGATTCTCGCTTAGGGTGCGAGAGGTCCCGAGTTCAATTCTCGGAATGCCCCCTTACTTTTTTGCCTATCTCTCATTGCATTCTTCTCCCAATCAGCGGGCCTTGGTCTCTTGGGCTTTACCCTTGGACTTCCTAGCTGGATATACGTTACTACTTCCGGCCCATTTAAATAAGAACAATGATGTTCGAATATCTTAAGCTTGACAGTAAGCCCACCTTTTTTAACAATGATTTTTAACTTGGGGTTGACCTGGCAGTTGAATTGGTTGGAGTAGCGTCCACAATACCACAACCAGGTGGGTCCTCGGTCAGCAGGGTTTGACAACATTGTCCTTTACTTAGCCCCGTTTAGCGTTGACCAGACGAAAGACTGGAAAATACCAACTCAACATGCAGAAGCAGAATTCAAGATGATCTTCAACATGACTGATTGACTGCTTTACTTGAAACTCATATCGGACTACGACTTGATTATTATCTTCTCTGATTCCCGGTGATTACCTTCCACCGCCACCACCTCGACCACCGTCCCTTCCAGCAGACTGGTTTTGTCCCGGACCAAATCCTCCTTTGCCGTCGCACTACACCACCAATCCGCTGTGGCCATTGTTTCCGAGACGAGTTAAGCTCAGTGCTTCCTGGTCTGCGGTTTAGGCGTAACGACTGATCACTGTCGACTCTTATAATTGATAATAATTTGTGGTGAATTTGGGTTTGGAACTCCTATTTGCAATTAGAATCCTAATTAAATAACCTGCTAATCGGAATCCATATTAAATTTTAATTAGATATAGCAGGGTTTCCAGATTTCTCGGCAAAGAAAGTAACAAACCGCCATGGAAATGCATGAACTGATGAACATACAATTTTACCTTCAGCATTCTCAAGATCGATACGAACAGAGTAGGTCTAACAAGGAATAACAGACTTTCTACCCCTTACGCCATGAAAAGAAAACAAGATGCGAGGAATCGATTGGGGGAGAGGAAAAGAGAAAACGGGAATTAGCTCTGTTACGGAATTCAGAGATCAGTTATCACTTGGCGTTGTAGAAGGAAGGAGTGTACGTTTTCGGACCGTAGATGTGGCGAGAGCGAGCAGTCGCCAACGCAACCTCAATCACCGTCCCTTCCGAGAGATAGCACTCGTACAGACTGAAGTCCTCATCGTCGCCGTACCAAGAAGGCAGCACGATTCCGGCACAGCGCAATTTGATAGGGTAAGAGCAATTGAATCTGTCAAGGACCTCCGATTCCAAGTCACACACTGTGTCGCACTCCCGGAAAGTGAAGGTAGCCTTCTCGTCGCCGCATTTCACCACGAACGAGATCTTCTCTCCTCTCCTCTTCTTCGGCAGCGGCTCCACCGTCAGATCCAGATTCGCGACCGACTTCCTCTCCTCTGCCTTCATTTTGTACGACTCGACGGTGCGGTGGTTGAGGAGCTCGCCGTCGCCCTTGTGGAAGAGCCTCTGCCTCGTGACGGCGACGCCGAGCAGGGACTGGATCTCCTGCTTCAGGTCGAGGACGGTGGCGGACGGCGACGGCAGAGGGATCTCCGGTGCCAGTGTGCGGCCGTTGATCTTGAATTTCGTCGCGGTGGCCATGATTGACAGAGGGAATTCTGGCTGTGCTCGATTTGGTAAATTTCTGCAATGGATTTTGATTGATCGAACTTTGCGGATTGTATTTGTTCTCTCTCTTTCTTGTTGTGTATATATAGTGTAAGCGTAGTATGCTCGCTCGTTGGCGGAGTGTGGAATAGGAATTCTTTCTAGAGTCTTCGGGGAAGGGCACATTTACTCGTATGCCGTTTGGGCAGGGCTGACTTGTCGAGCAAGTTTTCTCTTCTTTGAGGAGCTTCTTGCTGAGCAAATTATACTCTCTCTGGAATATTTACATGTTTGCTGAGGAAATTATATAGTTCTCTATCATAATGTTGACTGTTAGCACTATAAAATTGATCGTCCCTTAATCTGCGATTTATCTAGGAAGAATAATCAAAATGGCGAAGGTGAATCTTCAATCTCAAAAGCATGACTCATTTGTACTTATAAAATGGTTGAATCGCAAACTCCCCCACCACCCACATAGTGATCTATTAGAAATCGAGTTCATCAAAATTTTATGACAAAACTACAAAATATTAATTCTAAACATATCCATTCAGAATTTAGAAAGCTCCGGTTAGTATGCAGGTATCCCAGTTGTTTAGTAGGTCTCACTGTCGCTCAAGCGGCACGTGTGGTTGAGGTTTCCTGGGTTATCAAATAAAAATTATGACAAATGATACAATAAACATATAATCTTTGAGTCACTATTTTATTTTTATGAATAAGTATGGGTTTTGAAGGGAGAATTTGGTGAATCCATTACATTATTATATGGACAACCTCCTTTAAGGTGCGTTCAGATATGTGTATTTCAAATGTAAGATATTTGAAATACATGTTTTTAAAATGCATGCATTTGAAATACATATAATTCAAATTCGTTATTTGGATACTCGTTTGATTTTTTTTTTAATTTCATGATTTTTATTTTAATATTGAACTGTTTGGTCACATACTACAAATTTTGATAAATTACAGTTTGATACCCAAATTTATTTTCCTTGCAATTAAGTACCTAGATATTTAAAATATTACAAAAAGGTCCATAAATTTGATGGTAAGTTTATATATTGGTACCTTTATATGTTTTGTCTCACACTAAAGAACCTAAACTTTTAATATTTTACAAATATGTCCAGTTTTTTGTTTGGAGGTATTTCAAATCACTATTTGTTGAAATGTATTTAAAGTTGACAAGTAATACACTATACATGTATTTGGAAATTGCCAGTGGGCAGCCACTTAAAGAGGTGGGGGTGCTTGCAGCCCACTTGTAAAGGGAAACCAAAAGTCTTTCATAAAGAATCGTAGTAAAATACGACGATTTTTCCCGGGAAATCCCCAACGAAAAATCTGCACACCCCTAACCTCTTAAAACACAACCACTTGCTTCACCCTCTCGACCGCATATAACTTCCTTTTCTAACACACATCTCTTTAGATTTATAAAAGTAATATGTCCTAATATTAAACTTTCACTAAAGGGTTTATCATTCCCACCAACACACTCCCACCCTTTTATTTTTATTCTGCCGCCACTATGTGTTTGTTGTTCGTCGATTGAATTCATATATTTTTAAACTACAATTCGTTAAAATGTACAAAAAATAATAAGATGTTGATGAGTTATCTAGGAAATAGTGGAAAGTTTGTTTACTCTCAAGTTGACACCTAGGTTGCAATAACAAGTGTAGAAATAATTTTTATACATGAAATATATCAAGAACAATCTTTGGAATTGGATGAACGATGAATGGTTGAATAATGTGTTGGTAACATATAATAAACAAGATTTGTGTTATAGACTGCTAGTTTAGACCAACAAAATGTATTCTACTATGCCTCAATATGAAATCTTGTCAATATTCATTATAAGCAACGTTGTTGAACTGTTATCTGAAATAGTGTGAATATTGTTTTTATCGGCACTTGATATTGAGTATTGTGTTATTGACTTTTTGTTTCGTTATAGTTGACTTCTCTATTATGTAGTTGATTTTTATGATATGAAGCACTCCCTTATCAATTTTATGGCTACGCCACTGGAAATCACCCATGGATTTGACACAAATCAAAATACCAAATGAAATTAGTATCCAAATACATGATTTGACATTTAAAAATCCAAATCACAAATCACAAATACCAAATCCAAATAATCATTCTATCCAAGCACACCAAAATGTAATAATATTAGCATGTAAGTTTTTCCCCTAAAATCATTTAACTATTATTTGAGATAAGAATGGATTGCTTGCTAGCTCCGTAAATCAACCAGCTCCAGCCTTCAGGACCCCAACAGGCAACCGCTTTTTTTTTCTTTTTTTTCTTTTTTCTGAATGATATCAATGAGAAGAAATAGTTAAGCTTACAATTCTACCCAGGACTCCAAAAAGACTCTACTGAAGCTACCCCCAAGAAATCAAAAGATTCTAGCTCTACAGGAGACAAAAGCAGTGCTTTACGCGCCACTCTATGGGCAGCACTGTTGGCGGATTTAGGTACCGCCCTAAACTCTATACAAGTAGAAAAAGAGCTAAGAATTTGGAGACACTCTCGAAGCACCGAACCACCCACCGAGTCTTCTAAGATGCCTTGACGGACTTGGTTGACAACCACTTCAGAGTCGCCTTCGACTATCACGTGAGATAAGGATCTTGAGGCTACAAAGGAGATAGCATCCCTGAAAGCAAGAAGCTCAGCCAGATAAGGGTTGACTATTCCTTGATGCTGCAATCCGATCGCCAACCTCACATGCCCGTCTGAGCCCCGGAAAACAAGCCCAGACGAGCATCCGGAGGCACTAAGCACTGCGTCGACATTGACCTTCAAAAAGCCTTCCGGTGGAGGAACCCAAGAAGAGGCGGACAAGAATGGGAGGATGGAGCTGCGGGGAGGAGGGGGAGGAAGGAGGCTGGAAAATTCGAGGACCTGGTTGTAGAACTGTATGGCTAAAGAATGGATATGAGGTTGGGGGAGGAACAGGCAACAACTTTTGTTTTCACTTTTCAGTCACTAGCTAGCGCCTAGCTGGTAACGACGCTAACTTCAAAGTTAATAAGTGTCTGACCAAATTAATTATGGAACGAATTTATTAAAGGGAAAAAAAAACTATGGAAGTTCTCTCTGAATGGTTTTCTCAATGAGATATCTATGACAAAATAAAATAATAATTAGTGATCCATCCCCTGACCTTTATTTCGTACTCTATATACATTTGTTACAAATTATAAATGTAAATTTATCAAACATTTCAAAGTCTAGAATATTATAGCCTCTCCTATATCCAACATATACTCCGCCATAGTCACTTCTATGAAAAAAATTGATTCTATTATGAGTTTTCTTTTCAATACAATGAAATATTACATACTTGTGAATTTCACCACATAAATAATGCACATGTATTATTATTCATCCAAAAAAATGGATGCACATTTACAAAAATTAGTCAAATAATTATACGCTTAGACACTATCAACGCCAGCTATATAGTAAATTAGTGGTCCAAAAACCAGTCAAAGTGACTCTAATAATCTCATTATAATGAGCTGTTCCTCGTAAACACACAACAGCTGGCATCTTTTTATGCTATTCTCAAACGACCACAAAACCAGAAGGCATAACATAATGAATAATGATCCTCTGCATTGTCATTATTGTTCCTAATCAATCAATCATTAGTCTCCTAATTAAACAAATTATCGTTCAGATCATCCACCTTTTTCCCTTGCTAATCTTCTCTTCCTGTTGTTATAAGTACTCACATTTCCCCCCACTCATCAAACCACTTCAATCAACGGAAACTACACACACTACATTTTCGCTTAATCATGAGACTGAAACCCGCCACCGCCACCGTCAGTTTAGGCAGGAACCTGAATCCCGACCTTGACAACCAAGAGCAAGACCTCTCCTTCGTCACGCTGCTGCCGGTCGACCCGATCCCCGAACCCTTCACAAACCCGCCAACCAAGCGCCATTCACGAGACAACTCGTTCGAGTTCGAGTTCGACGGTTCAACCGCCAAACCGGACCAAGAGATCATCTTCTGCGGCAGGATCTTGACCCCCGGCAGGATATCATCATCAACAATACCATACACTTACGACAGCGACGGCGCCAACTACAATCATAACCGAAGCCGCAGGGTACAATTCGCCGCACCGGATCACGGCCTCTACGACAGCAGTCCGTCTGCTAATACGTCGCCGTCTAGGTCGCTGCTGATGGGCCAGGCCGCAGCGGGCCGGTCCAAGTCGTTCAGCTATAGGCACCAGCAGCAGGCCGCGGCGTCGAAGCCCAAGTTGGGGCCCAGCAAGAGCTTTGCCTACTCGTCCTCCAGGAGCAGCGGGTACGCGAAAGTCACGCCGGCGACGGAGGGGAAGAAGGTGGTTGGCGGGGAGGGGGAGGCGGTCGCCGGCGGCGACGGACGTGCGCTTGGGCGGTCCAGGAGCTTTCGGAAGTCGGTGTCTTTCAGTAGGTGCTTCCCTATCGTTTCATCTCGTCACGACTTTTATTAATTGAGTTGCTGTGTTTCATTAGGTTGTAAGTGAAAAATGGCTGGGGGGACGGAAATCCCTGTTAAAGCTTTGTTTGCCGTTGGGTTGTCCATAAACGTGTTCAATAAGAATTTCCAATAACTTCATGATATCACTGAAATGAAATGGTACGGTTATATATATTCATCTTGTATTGTGGAGTTTTGAGCAGCTCGTTTCTTGTTTTGAGAGTGCCATAATTATTTGACACTTTGACTCTCAAAATTTGAATTTGCTCCAACAATGAAGTGGTAGTGCTGAAGTGCCAAACAATGTATTATTTTAAATTCTTAAATTAGTGTAGATTTTATAGTTACAATTAGACAGATTGTAAATTATTTTTATATAGGTAGTATTAATTTATTTATTTTTATAAATAAAAAGTCTTAATTCATTTAGACGATAATTTTGAATAAATAAGACTGTCAAATATGACGTCAACAATAACAAAACACAATATTAACACAATATTTGATTAAGATAATGATAGATTCATCTCATCAAAACCACACAATTCACTTTGGACTTTGGAGGCAGGCCGACTCATCGAGAAGATAGCGGACGAGGCTCAAAGATGATCCATATGGAGTGGGCTTTTGCCAAAGAAAATGTAACAGGTGGCCCAATTACATGTTAAAAAAAAAAAAGATGAAATCCCTGGTTCGACCCGTCAGTGTGACCGAGTTGTTTGGCCAGGTCAACGGGACGAAGTATTAACAACCTAGTAGTCCTTTCTATTTACTGGTTACCGCCTCACCGGTTAAATTACCACGCAAATTTACACCCACCGACCAGCCTGACATTCGCCGGAGATTCGAGTAACGCGGGGGAAAAATAAAGAAACCCTATTCCTCGCCGTCAAAATTCAGCGATTCCGTCGACTCCTCCAATTTGAGAAACTACCGCGTGCTTCAATTTACCTCCACCGCTACGGTGGATTGCCGGGCGGCCGCACCCCGACTAAACTGGTAAATTCCCGTTCCCTTCTCCTCGTCCTCGACGCTAGGAAAATTCGTTGGAAGCTGATAAAGAAAAAGTTCGTCTGTAGTTTGGTTTTGTAACTTTGAAACGCTCGTCAATTAAGAGACCATGGCTGCAATTCTTCTACCAAGGAAGTTTCAAAGGAGAATGGTGAGGCTGAAATTTCTTCACTTTGATTTTGGTGGCTAGTCCCTTGTTTCGATTGTTTCATTTCGAGTTGCATTATTTTCCCAATTCGTTCAGGGTCGCTACCTACTGAGTATTTTTTGCTTGTATACTGTTTCTGCCTAGGTTTTGCCTTTCTGGATTGCTTTATTTCTTTTGTATTACTGTGATTGCTTATGGAACTTTGAAGCTCTTGTCTAAACGAGGGAGGGTCTTAATTACGTCTGCTTAAAGTTGTAGATGTCAAATTATTTGCCAATAGCTGAATTCGCGACATATATATGGCACTGACGAGGTTCATTGGATACTGTTGGGTTTGTTTCAGAATTATGATTTACACCGCTATAGACAACTTCTACCTGACGGACGAGCAGCTACAGAACTCTCCATCAAGGAAGGATGGAATCGATGAAGCTACTGAAACTTCCCTTAGAAGATATGGCTGCGATCTCGTACAAGAAAGTGGCATTTTGCTTAGGCTGTATCCTTTGTTTCTTTCTTCCGCTTATATTTGATATTATTATTACTAGCCTATCTCAATTTTCATGGTGCGGAAGGTAGTTGATTGTGTAAAATATGGGATCTCTTCTTTCCTTAGCGTTTTTATTTCAGGCCTCAAGCTGTGATGGCGACTGGACAGGTTCTATTCCATCGCTTCTATTGCAAGAAATCATTTGCTAAGTTCAGTGTCAAGGTTTGTTCCAATCTTTATCCGAGAACTAGATAGTCTTTTGAGGATTTGGTTTCTAGGAGCGACATTTATTTTGATTTAGATCACGACTTACTTTTTTCTAGCTCTACAGAGGTTAATTGAATGTGTTACATTGGAAAATGCTAAGATGATGAGTTTCAGGTTGAGTGGATCTGGAACCTTTCTTTATATTCTTCTGATATTATTAATTTTTTTTGTTTCGTCTTCTAGAAAGTTGCAGCTGGCTCAGTTTGGCTTGCATCTAAACTAGAGGAAAGTCCCAGAAGAGCAAGGCAGGTTATCATTGTTTTTCACCGGATGGAATGCCGCAGAGAGAATTTGCCCATAGAGTTTTTGGATATCAATTCTAAGGTTAGAATCAATACCGCATTGCATTATGTCCATCCATTGGCTTAAGAGAAAACAGTATATGTTAGCATGCGTTTAAAATCTGTGCTCTTTGTTTCAACAGAAATTTGCTGAACTAAAGGTGGAGTTAACTAGAACTGAAAGACACATATTGAAGGAGATGGGTTTTGTTTGTCATGTTGAGCATCCACACAAATTCATATCCAACTATCTTGTCACCCTTGACACACCCCCAGAACTGAGACAAGAGGCATGGAATCTTGCAAATGACAGGTACTACAACCAGTCTGATCCCATTTTTGCTTTTCTTGTTCCGCTTTTAAATTAACAGTGATATTAAATGCTGTATGAATAGAATGATTGTTTGGTCGAGGCTAGGAATGTCTTAGGCAACACTCCTGAACAGTGATATTAAATGCTGTATGAATAGATGGATGTTTCTGTCCCTGCATGACTGCTGTGAAATGAACATTCCAGTTTAGTAATGGATAAGTTCTGATTCTTTTACTCATCCCTGAATGTGAAGCTTCTCAGGTTGCCTAGGCTTATTAGCCCCTCTTCTTGTCTGTCTGAAAACATTAAATGCAACAAAACAACCAAGAAATTTCAGGTCTTGTTGAAAGTTTGAAAGGTAGTAGCAAAATCAGGGTGAATTGTGCTCTTTCACTATCTCACCATTAATGTTGAGCACAGTTTGGCAGCTTCTATGTCTCCTTCTATACCAAAGTACTCCAACAGCCAGAATCAAGAAAGTGACAATGCTGAAACTGACTCCAACAGCAATGGCAATGTTTTTGGACTTGTGCTTCCCTGAAAAATGAAGGACACATCATATCATTCGTACGCGAAATGACCGTTACATTAGTTAGATCGACCGTTTACGCAAGGATTGGGAGTTTTACCAGGAGATGAACCAAGAGAGAAAGGAAGAGGACCAGAACTGGTTGAACCAAAACATCCATCCCCACCACTAGAGCTGCTGCTGCTGCTGCTCTTTCCACATATCAATGGGTTACCAACCACACTGCATTGAATGTTTTACCAAAACAGTAAAAAACAAGGACAAAGAAACAAAAACATGTTTTAAGCCCAAGGAAACAATGTTTTGCTACAGTTTACTTGAATGTTCTTGTGGGGAACTTGGGAACTGGTCCAGTGAGATTGTTATAAGACAAGTCCCTGAAACAATGTCCACAGCAAGCAATAATTATCAAAAGCTGGAAGCAAAAAGAGAACCCCCACTGATCAGAAATTCTGAGATAAGTTCTGATTCTTTTACTCATTGCTAGGTGTGTGTGTGTGTGTGCGTGCATGTATTCCTCAATGATTCTTGATATTCTTGTCTATAGACAGCTTCTCATTCTTCATTATCTTACTACACCTGCCCCACTTTACGGACAGTTTGCGGACGACCCTGTGTGTTCGTTTTAGGAGTGAAGTTGTAGCTTGTGGTGTAGTGTATGCTGCTGCGCGGAGGTTCCAAGTTCCACTTCCTGAGAATCCACCTTGGTGGAAGGCTTTTGACGCTGATAAACCTGGCATCGATGAAGTTTGTAGAGTGTTGGCGCACCTATATAGCCTTCCAAAGGCACAATACATATCAGTATGTAAGGATGGCGATTTTTCGTTTTCTAAAAGGGCTTCAGATTTGCAGTCTCAAACAGTTCCAAGGGTAAATCGATCAATCACTCTCTACTCATTCACTTCTTGGTTCCATTCTCTTCCGTTTGTTTAGACCTTCCTTTTGTTGTAATTATCTATGCACTCTTCTTGGAACCATCATATAATGCCAGAGATCAGGACTATATAATCTCATGAGACCATTTTGGTGCTGTTATTTTGTGTAGGATGTTCAACAAAGCTCACCAGCAAACAATGGTACTTCTTCAATGGCGACCTCGAGCTTGGTTAGTATTGAAACTGGGGAATCCAGTGGAACGTTGGTGATAAAAGCAGCATTTGACAAGGTCAAGGACTCTAAGAAGGTTGGCGATGAATCCAAGAATGAGGATGATGCAACGAGGGAGGTAGCTATTGGGAGATCGAAGTCTGAGATTAGAACGGATGGAAGCAGCGACAGAAGCAAGGAGAAGGAGAGAGACAGGGAAAGAGAGAGGGACATCAGAATGAAGACTGGTGATCGCAACAAAAGGGGACGGGATTCTGACAAGGAAAGAGATCGAGCGGATAGTGAAAGGGACAGAGATAAGAGCAAAGATCGAGGAAGTCATCGTTCTAAAGATAGGGGGAAGGATTCAGGTCAGTTCCTGAAAAAAGCTTATCTATCTCTACTTGTGTCCTTTTTCCTCTTCTGCTTCTGACTCCAATAAAATTTTATTGTTTCATGACTAATGGATGCACAGGAGGGTATTCGGATAAATCAAGGCATCATTCATCCCGTGGTATGTAGCTTTTGGGGCATTTCTTTGGTACTTGTTCCTCTGCTATCTTATAGCATTGATTGGAAGAAAAAAAAAGAGACCATTATTCATGTTTGTGTTTGGCAGATCGTGACTATCACAGTTCCTCGTCGTATTCATCAAGGGATAAGGATAGGCACAGGCATCACTTGTACGGGTGATGCTTCCAGGCTGTTGCAATGCAAGTTACCCGCCCTCAATTGAAGCTAGCAGTATCATTTTGCGAGGTATGGCCTCAGCTATTTGCCACAGTATTCCCGTTCATAAGTGAAAGACGAAATGGGATATAAGTCAGACTCAGAACCCCGAAGAAAGGTCTTTCCCTTACATTGCCTTCACTTCTGCTAACAGCGGGCTGGAAAAACAGCACAACCTATCAGAATTTTTGTACATACAATTTTTGTTTTGATCAGGGATCGTGTCTATACTCCATGGGAACAATCATAAAGTGGTGCTTCTGTCTCTCGTCTGAGTAAGTAGTGGATTTCCCTTCTCAATGAATTTGAGTACAAGACTAGTCACAAATAGTTACAGAACGCTCTCCAGTTGCCTTCAACATGAAGCATTTCTTTTCTTTGTTGATGAATGATGATAAATACAGTACATATGCATGCTGCTGGTTGGCCAAATTGGATCATATGGCTGGTATTGAATTGTATACACAAACAGTATCATGTTTCATTGAATAACCAGCAGGAAGTTTGGGGCATAGGCACGAGAGAGCCACCTAGGTTTTAAATAAATGGAAGACACAGAAGAGGAAAACAATGGAGGAGGAGGAACACGTGAACAGCATAAATAACGGGGCCTCGAAAGCCTTGCTTTACTCTTAATGGCTCTGCTTTGGATAAGGTCTTTGGACAACATTTTGCCCAAAATGCTTTGATTGTGGCTTCTCTTTCAAAATTAACCTTGCTCGTTTTGTAAAATCGAAAATTTTCATCGAAAAACGAAGCATGCCTAGGATGATTTACGGTGCATGTTATCTGAAGGGAACATGCTTTTTCATATCCGCCAAATTGCAAGCACTCATCCAACATGCTCTAGTCGCTGCCGCTAACACTAAGTATTGTTGATATGATTGAATTATACATGTTGAAGTATAATTTACGACTTCTAACAAACGAGGTATGCTCAATTATTTCCCCGCTGAGATTAAACATCTACTGCTTCAATGGCGTTGGGAAAACCTAAAAAAGAAACAGAACAAGAGATCCATAGATAAGACAGCTAAAAAGTTGTCTGTTATTCCTGTTTTGCGGTTCGTTCATTATCTTAACTTGGACCAGCCCGCCACTCGTGGGTCCTATCGTTCTATTGCACTGCACTCCCCATAAACCCATTACCCACGAATCAGCCGTTCTCCTCTTCTCTTCTCTTCTCTTCTCCATCCTTCCCTATCTATCTCAAGTTCCTTCTCCCCTCACTAAATCTGATCTCATCCTTCCCAAGTCCAAACTAACCACTTGTCGTCTCCTTCCCCCAAGATCTGACCTTTCTTTCATCCTGCTCCATCTTTGGCGTTTCTGTTTAACTCATTTGTCTCTCTGTGGTTGGTTCCTTCCCTTCCTCCAACCGCCATTTCATTGCAGGTACGTTGATGTTTTTCTTTTTCTGGAACAATGTTGCCTTTCCCCTGTTATTTGTTTTTTTTTTTAATCTTATGTCCCCTTTTCCCCTTGTCGATTCCATGACGTCTATTTTGTTGCTGTTCGCTTTTAGTGTTCTTCTCCCTCATGGGTCTTGCTGGAAATTGCCAAATGTGGACTGGGTTTCTGTTTTCTTTCAAAAGATCTCATGAAATCTGGTACCTTGGTGTTCTGCCATTTTATGGTTCGCCATTGACTGTTCCGTCGAAAGTTACCATTTTTTTTGTTCCCGTCTGAAATTGGTGACTTCCCCATTTGCATTGACGTTGAGCTACGCATTGCTCAGTATGTATTGCGTTTTATTATATCTGGCTGCTTGCTGGAAATTGCTAGGTTTCTCACGTTTCGCCTCTGCAATTGGATAGTTAGCTCCAACATTGTTCTGTGGTATGAAAGGTGTCATGTTTCATCTGAAGTTTCTTCGTTTCCTGCAAATCTTCACTTGGGTTTTGCCAATTTCTTATGTAGCGTGGGAATGACGAGGAACTAAAGGAAAATGGGGAAGAAATCAAGTTGGTTTTGTTCTCTATCTCTCAGTTCTTCCAGGGTTTGTTCAATACTTCTGCCATTGTTACTCCTCCAAGCTATTTACATTCATCGATTAATTGTATGGAGGTAGCCAAAGAGTAAGATTTCATTTGTTTTTTTGGTTCAATGCAGAGATCAAAATCGAAGAAGGGATTTAGCACAGCAAAGAGTTTGGACTCGATTGTTACAACCTACGAAGATCTCCCTACATTTGCCGTTCCAACCACTCCTCCATCTCCTGCTGCCCCTCCACCACATCCAGCGCCATCTCCACCACCACCACCACCTCGACCTCCTGCTGTGAAATTAACTGAAGCTGAGAATGAACAGAGCAAGCACGCCTACTCCGTGGCACTTGCCACTGCAGCCGCCGCCGAGGCAGCTGTTGCAGCTGCCCAGGCTGCAGCAGAGGTGGTTCGACTCACAAGTGCAGTTCGTAGTGTCGGTAAACCAAAGGAGGAGATAGCAGCAATCAAGATACAGACCGCTTTTAGAGGTTACTTGGTATGCAATTCATCAGTCTGGCGAGTTTACTCTTAGTGGTAGATTTTTCTTGGTCTAACTGCTTGGAAAACCTGGGGCTTTTCAGGCTAGGAGGGCGCTGCGGGCTTTGAGAGGCTTGGTGAGATTGAAGACATTGATACAAGGTCAATCTGTGAAAAGACAAGCAGCTTCAACGTTAAGAGCCATGCAAACTCTTGCTCGATTGCAGTCTCAGATACGTGTAAGGAGGATCAGAATGGCAGAGGAAAATCAGGCCGTCCAGCGACAAATCCAACACAAACGTGAGAAGGAGCTTGAGAGACTGAGATCCTCTGTAAGTACTCTTTGATACTTTTTAGGATCCAGATCCCATATTCTACTGAAAGTGTTTTCTCCCTGCCATTGCTCTTCTTTTATTGAACATTTTTCATTTTCTGTGCTTGAACTTCAACCATCTTACTGTTGCTGACTGTAATTTGTGTGCTAAATAGCAGAAGTTTCATCCAGTCAACTACCCTGCTGTTTTCAGTGAAAAAATGAACCCATGTTGAAAACTTCTCCTCAATTACATTTCAAATCTGCCTTGTTTTGTATCTATCGAAGTTTTGGGTAGTTCAGGCTCCTTTTGGTACTCATAGTTTTGGCTTCTCCATTGATCTTCCCCTTTCATTTTGAAAACTGACAAAGCATCAGTTGTTTATCCTTGTAACTTGTAAGTATGTGTTTCATTATCTTTGTATTGCAACAGATTGGAGCTGAGTGGGATGATAGCTTGCAGTCGAAAGAACAAATTGAAGCCAACTTACTCCACAAGCAAGAAGCTGCAGTTAGAAGAGAAAGAGCACTGGCTTATGCCTACACCCACCAGGTACTAGTATAATCTTGTAGTAACTTTGATCTTAATATGCATCTGTCTCATTAGATAAAAATGCTTCCTTCTGAAACTCATATATGGCATGGTGATTTTCCTGCAACCAGCAAACATGGAAGAATTCGTCGAAGAATGGAACCGCAACATTCCTGGATCCAAACAATCCACAATGGGGCTGGAGCTGGTTAGAGAGATGGATGGCTGCTCGGCCATGGGAGAACAGAAGTGCGGTGGACAACAACAATGACCGACCAGCATCTCTTAAGAGTGCACCAAGCCGCACCATGTCTCTGGGCGACATCAGCAGAGGTTATTTGCTTCGCGATCTCAACAGGCCTTCCCGAAGTGGCCACAGATCGAGCAGTAAGCCTCCAAGTCGTCACTCACCTTCTACTTCAAAGGCTCCATCGATATCATCAGTAACTGGGAAATTAAGAGGACCGAGTCCCAAGGGCAGCAGCAGCATTTGGGGTGGGGATGATGACTCGACGAGCATGCACAGTGTCCAGTCTGAGATTCGGTACATGAGGAGGCACAGCATAGCAGTGTCATCCGTCAGAGATGATGAGAGCCTTGCAAGCTCACCTTCAGTTGTTCCGAGTTACATGGGGGCAACACAGTCTGCAAAGGCCAAGTCGCGGTTTTCAAGCCCGATGGGTGCAACAAAGGCTAAGAATAATTGGGCACCAGAGAAGGCATCTGTTGCATCAGCAAAGAAGAAGCTCACATTCTCTCCTTCCTCGGCTGGACTCAGGAGACATTCAGGTCCTCCGAAGGTCGATGTTACCCTGTTGAGGAACTTTGAGGCTGGTCACGTGGAGGGCCATATCAACAATGGGGGAATGTCAATGTAGCAGTTCAGATGTCTCATTTAGGTAGGAGTAAGAAGGATTAAAAAGGTAAGAGAAAGAGAAGGAACTGAGAATGTTGGTTAAGAAGAGTATTTCAGTCTTTGGTTTCTGATCTTTCTCATTTCATCAGTTAAGCATAAAGGGGATGAGTTGAGAATAGGGAGGAAGGGGTTGGAGGAGAAATAAAAGGCTGTCTACTTTGTTGTAGGAAAGTTGTGTCCTTGTACTTCTCTTTTTCCCATTACCATCAATCAACATACATTTGCCATTTCTTTGTTTAACAAGAATGCAGTGGGTTTACTATAAGCCAGGGAATGGTGGTGTTGAGGTTGTAGCCTTATAGGATTAGCTTTGGGAGGATTTGGGATCTAATCATTTGTTCAGTTTAATGGTCAATATTTTCTGGCATCTTCTTTCCTACAACCTCTGACAAGAAAAATAATTCCTCTATTGAACCTTCATGAATTCCTTCGCTGAAGAACAAGTAATTAAAGAAGTTATGGTTATAAAGGGTTTAGAGAACATTGTAAGCAATCAGTGGCTGTAGTTTAGTGGTAAGAATTCTACGTTGTGGCCGTAGAGACCTGGGCTCGAATCCCAGCAGCCACATTTTCCCCATTTTTTTTTTCTCAACGCTGTTTTGATTGTTTTCCAGCCCTGCTGTTTAGCGTCGCCCAAACTTTTTCAATCGCCATTCACACTGCACAGACAGAACCACAATCTTCTCGAACGAGTTACTATTGAATGAATGCTGAAGTAATCGTAATTCCCTATTCCGACTCTCCAACTTCACGGAAATGGTAAGATAAGCTTTTAGCTTCTTCGTTTATAGCCTCCGATTTGGTGGAGTTCAATTTCCTCCTTCATTTTCTGGTGATCTCCCTTCCCATTTATCTTCTGCTTGGCGCTGTGTCCGAAAGGAAATCTTTGATCCGAGCATCTGGGTTTCCTGTGGTCTGTGTTAAGCTATCAGCTTTTGCAATATCGGCATCTGGGATCGTTAAAACCGGTTCTGGGTTGTTCGGATTTTTGTGTTTTATGCTTCGTACTTGTGCCACTGCTATTTTTATTATTCCCATCACTACGATTTTGGATAATGCAATTAGAGTTTATTTCCTGCTGTCCGAATTAGACAGTTTATTTCTTGATGTAAACTCTTGAATATCTATTTCATTTCTTTCTACCAGATAACTTTAATTTGCTTAACTCTTCCAAAAGAATAAAAGCTTGAACTTTTTAATCTAATTCGACATGGAGCATTGGAAGTCTTGTGAAATTGGCCTAAGTATGATTTGGTTTGGGATGATTGTAGATATTCTTATAAGTAGCGGGGCATAAACTCTTCCTTCACACGTTCTGTTTGCTCAAAGGAAGCAGTCTCTTTGAAGTTTATAGGCTTTCTTTTGTTAATGATTTGAGCTGGCCCTTGCTCCAGTGGATTTCCATAGGACAGCCTCTTGATCTTGTGGTGATGCTAATTTTGGGGTTTCATAGCTCGAGGTTAAGAAAATTCTGTTAGGAATGTGAATAATGTTTTCAATTGATGGGCATATTCTTCATATTGTTAATAAATCTTTAGATGTACATCAGGCTACACCTTTCTTGGCTGGAGTTGCAGTTGCAGCTGCTGCTCTTGCTGGAAGATACGGGATCCAGGCATGGCAAGCATTCAAGGCTCGGCCACCAAGAATAAAAACGCGCAGATTCTATGATGGTGGTTTTCAGCCTAAAATGACTAGAAGAGAAGCAGCTCTTATTCTTGGCCTGAGGTATAACCTTTACTTTGGTTCTAATGTTCTTGGAAATTCACAAGAGACCTTTGATTAAGTGACTTAGTCTTGAATTTCATGATCTAGATCCAAGAAAGTATTGATTTTTTTTCAAATATGACGTGTTAGATGTTTATGCTGCGAACTGTAGCACATCTTCCCGGTGTTTGTTAACCTGAAAACTTAGATTGATATATCCCGGTCAGTTAATCATCTTTGGTCATGATCATAGTCCGCGATACATGTTCTTCCTTTATGTTTCAACAGTTCCTAAATTGTTCGCTAATGCACTTCTGTTTCCCATTGGAAAAGTGTAGTGATTATCGATAACTGGAGCGGAGTAGAAGTATGTGTTATTAGAACTCGATCAATGGAATCATACTCCGGAATGTACTCATCGTAACCACTTATGCCGATTTGTTTATCATTTGCTATCATTCAAATCTGTAATTTATAATCAGGATCTTCGTCAGAAGCATAAGCTATCTGCATTTACAGAGTTGAAACTAGGCAATCAGTTAGAAGCACCATGAGACACTTGCAGGATGATTATCAATACATAGTGTTTCTTTCTAAAAGTACATGTCAAAGCCAGTTTTCTCCTGATGCCATGTATTTTTATTTCCATAGGGAAAGTGCGACACCGGACAAGGTCAAGGAAGCACATAGAAAAGTAATGGTGGCAAACCACCCTGATGCAGGTGGTAGCGATTACCTCGCTTCCAAGGTCAATGAAGCCAAAGATGTGATGCTCGGGAAGACAAAGGGGAGTAATTCTGCTTTCTAGTGTCCGTCTCCGAGGTTGAAGTTGCTGAAAGAAGGGAAGTATTTGGTTGAGAAGCTGGATATGTGGCCAAAACCGTCGAGAGATATGGCCTTGGTTTCTAAACTTGTTGTGTTCTTTTGAATCACAGATGAGGGTTTCCTTCCAAAAACAAAAATTAGATGAAGGTTACATCACATGAGCTTGGAACAGAGGATGTTTACTGCGAGAGCAATAATCAACAAGAGTAGTTTGCTTGAGGATGTTTACTGCGAGAGCAATAATCAACAAGAGTAGTTTGCTTGAGATTATGAGATATTAACAGTGAAAACTGAAAACTATGTTTTTTAAGTATGGACATGAATCATTGAGTTATATATCGTATCACTTCAGCAGTCTCATAATCTCATTATACGAGTAAACCCCAGTTAATCATGGGTAGGTGGAGGGTGCTTTTCTTCTTAATTAGTGGAACCCTATGTAATAAATAAAAGCTTTGTTCGGTTGGTAGCTACACAGGGAAGCCATTGATGATAACCTGGTACATTGGGCATTAAGTATTTGATTGTGGATAAGATAATAAAATTCATTAATGGGGTATATCCATTAGTTTATTTTTAATAATTTTTCTTTAAATTACATATTCATATGAATCAATCTGCTCGATCCACACTGCAATGACTGAATGCATGATAAATCACCTTATTCGAATCCAATTTGCTATCTTGACAAATATAAATATGAAAATACCCTGATTCGATATGCTCCCTTATTATTCCTAGTTTGAAATCAGAATTTTTAAGTTCAAAATTCAATGTCACGATTACTTACCTTACTCATGGTTGTTTAGGTTATCAGGTTATCCATTTCCTTGAAAAAAGAATTAAAAGAGACTGGGAAAATCAAGCCAATAATTGAATTAGAGAAAAAGGAGTAAATGAGGATAGGAATTCATCGCTGCTTCGTTATCTGTTTACTACAAAATCCAAAATATAAACTGACAGACAGACAGACCCGCTGAGGCCCGAGACACAGAATTATCCACTCCAAAACCCAAAAACATAAAGGAAAAAAAAAAGTGGACAAAAAACAAACAACAGAATAAAAAGGAAATATATAAATGGAAATCATAATCCAAATCAGCTCAGCCAACAGTTAAAAAAAAAGAAAAAAAAGAAGGAAGAAAGAAAGAAAGAAGGAACGAAACTCAGAGCTCCGACCTCTCAGTTAGTCTCATCTTTTTCCGATTCCCAATGCCCTTCGTTTCATTACACCCAGCCGGCGAACCACCGTCCATCACCTTCCCTCCAGATAGGCTTCCAATCTCGCCGATGGATCTCACGACCTACTCTGGCGGTTGCTCTTCCTCATCACTCTGAACACTAATTATCATCACACCACAAGAAAGATAACCTTGGCGCTCTGTTTTCCCACTTCATTTTACCAGAGCGACGCCTGTTCTCTTGGTTAAAGTATTCAGTGGATTGATTGCCTTCAACTCCGTTGATTCTTCTGTTTTCGCCTGGTTTGCGTTGGAATTTCGAGCTCTTGGGGGGTATGAAGTTTTTGTAAGCAGATTGGGAGAAGCTAGCGAGTGGGGAAGAATTCTTGTTGTGTGTTGGGGACTTTCTTTTTTTGGTTTAGTAATGGTGTCTGGAAATGACCCGATGGAGCCTTTCTTCAATTCAATTCAATTGGTGAGGGACGCTTTTACGCCCTTCGAGCTGGGAATCCGAAAAGCTGCTAGAGATCTTGAAAACTGCTGGGGGAGCGGCGGTTGGAATAATGACAAGGGTTTTATGCACGAATTGAGTTGCGGGGAAGGTGGGAATGGTGTTCACAGCAACGCACATATCCTTGCCGTGGAGAAGAAGAGTGCCTGTAATGGTGGTTGTGGTGGTATGGCTGAAGAGAGGAAGAAAGGTTTATCCATCAGAGTTCCTGTTAGAGCTTTGCTGGGGTTGTTTTCCCCTAATTTGGAGCAAGAGCGTAAGCGTAATGGTGGCAACAAGGCCAAGGTGTCAAAGAAGGGGAGCAAAGAGAAGGGGGAGGGGAACTTAGATGACTCTTGTACAAACTGTTTGAAGTTTGCTGTCACTTGGTCCGTGTTGGTCAATGGATTTGTTCAAGCGCTCCCTGGTCCTTTCAAGAACAGCAAGAAAAGGGTGGTTGAAGTGGCTGATGATGACAAGGTTAATCTGCAGCTGTGCAACCAAGGGTCCAATCCCATCGAGGATGGACTGAAGCAAAGAGAGTCAAACGGTCAGTATGTAAAAGTTCTTCACAACCAGAACTGGAATGGGAATGGGAAAGAGGGGAAACATGTATCGGTTGAATGTCTTATAGGTTTTCTGTTTGATCATCTAGTTCATAATCTACAGAAACTGGATCAGAGTTTGCAGGAGAATGAGAATAAGTCTTGCGATTGCGAGTGTTCAAACCGACCTCCGGTAACCTCTCATTTTGACCACCTGAAAGCTTTCATGAGCATTTGGGAAGCTCGCAGGATAGAGGTGAATGGTTTTTTGGGCAACTTAAGCTTTGCAAGAGTTGGTAGTGTTCCACCGACTATCGTTGGGGTGTCTTCTTCAGTGAACGAAGAAGGCGATGATGGTGCCAATGCTGGCAGTACCAAAGAGACCGGGAGTGGTTTACCTCAGAAGCTGCTGGCAGGTGGTTTACTCAGTATTCCCTTGTCCAATGTGGAACGTTTGAGATCAACCTTATCTACCGTCTCATTGACAGAGTTAATGGAGCTTGTCCCACAACTGGGAAGGGCTTCCAAAGATCATCCTGACAAGAAAAAATTGTTCTCTGTACAGGATTTTTTCAGATACACAGAGTCTGAAGGTATACTTAACTATCAAGCTCATAGATATTTCATTTAGTTTTACCAGTGTTTCAGTGAACTGGGTGAATAATTGCCTTGCTTGCTAATGTCTGTCTGAGCTCTGATGCTTTTCTGGCCTAGCAAGTCTGGCTTCTGCTATGATCTTGTTTCTTCCCTGTGGTTTGAATATTCTCTTTCTGTCAGTGTCTTTCTCTTATTTTAGTGGATGAATGATTACAGGAAGGAGATTCTTTGAGGAATTGGATAGAGATAGTGATGGTCAAGTGACTCTGGAAGATCTTGAAATGGCTATGAGAAAGAGGAAGTTACCCAGAAATTATGCTAGAGACTTCATGCGCCGTGCTAGAAGTCATTTATTTTCAAAATCTTTTGGTTGGAAGCAGTTTCTGTCACTGATGGAACAGAGGGAACCAACTATTCTTCGTGCCTATACTTCTCTTTGTTTGAGCAAGTCTGGTACCCTAAAAAGGAGCGAAATTCTGGCTTCGCTTGAAAATGCTGGACTTCCAGCTAATGAGGAGAATGCTATGGCTATGATGCGATTCCTGAAGGAAGATGCAGAAGAATCAATCTCTTATGGGCATTTTAGGAATTTTATGCTTTTGTTGCCTTCTGATCGTCTTCAAGATGATCCCAGGTAGGCTATTTTCTCCTTAGCTCCTATTATTATTTTGTTTAAGAAATGCAGTCCGATTCCACATAATTTCCTTCAAACTGTCATTCATGTACATAAATATATTCAACCAATGAACTTTGTTTTGGTCCTCTATTTTGTGGAGAATGATACGTTTGGTAGCATGGTTGTGAGTAAAAGGCGGGAAAACAATACGAAAACCTTCATTTTATTGTATTCCTTGATATAGAGGGATAATCATTGCATATCTCATTTTGGCCATGTGCCCATTTACTTTTGTACGTATTTAACCTATTGCTTAAACTCCTGTAATTAGTGGATTCCTTTTCTCCTTTTAGAGAAGGAATAGTAGAATTATTGAAGATTATTTCCATACACTTTTCCTCTGTAGATTCTTCGGATGAGGGAGTCAAGTGAAGCAGTATGTAGGGTTGAAAACCAAATGAATTACTCTTGTCTTAGAATAAGTGCCGTCTTGTGTACTAGTAGTTAACTTCCCGTCTTTATACTCTAGATTTTCTTTGCCACCGAAACTAGATAGCTCCTTAACCCAGTAGGTGAAGTGGAAAACCACTGAGATTCATCAGTTTGCTTTTAGTAGAATGAGTGCTCTGAAGGTTCCTGGGTTGCATAACTTAGATGGCTTGTTTTACTATTGTAGGAGCATATGGTTTGAAGCTGCAACTGTTGTTGCTGTTGCTCCGCCTGTGGAAATACCGGCTGGAAGTGTTTTACGGTCTGCGTTGGCTGGGGGTCTCTCGTGTGCACTTTCCACATCTCTGATGCATCCTGTTGATACTGTAAAGGTGAGCACTTGTGGAGAATATTAATTTAGCTATGCCTTGTAGTTTTCAGAGTATGAAACTGCACACTTACTGAAAATGTGTGGCAGCAATATGATTCCGGCTCCTTTAGTAGGACATAGGATAGCCCAAGAAATCCCCTGCCTCTTTGCTCCCTTTTGCAAAGTTGTGGATATATAGGGTTCCTTGATAAAATAGTGCTTGTGCAAATATGTAAAGATAGAATGTCAGCTTTGTCTTCTTACTTCCACCAAATACACAACTCTGCATCTTTTCTTCCAGATTCCTATAGGGAGTTTATTGCTGGAGCCTAGCCCACATTAATCTGTTTCCTCAATATTGCACTCTTTTGCGATGATTGACAAACGTGTTTCTCAATTATTCAAAGGATATGCAGTGTACTCGTGTTTGTTCTGGCTCCCCTGGTTTTGTTTTGCTCATTCAAGTCAGCTCTTTTCTATGGTATATATTAGACTCGTGTGCAAGCTTCAACTTTGACATTTCCGGAAATCATTTCAAAGCTTCCACAAGTTGGAGTCCAAGGATTATACCGGGGTTCTATACCTGCAATTGTGGGACAGTTCTCCAGGTCTGTTTATTGATGTCTTCCTATTTCATTTTGTAGCCTTTTGCTGAGTCATAGCTGGTTGTATGAATCTTGCTGATGTTGCTTAATATCCTTCACAGCCATGGCCTGCGGACGGGGATATATGAAGTTAGTAAACTTGTGCTGATCAATGTTGCCCCCACTCTCCCAGACATCCAGGTAATGAATTTTTTTTTTGGTATTAAGTGATAGGAACTTGTACCGAACTGCCAGTTTTTTGTTTCTCGAAGGCCACTGTTGGGTTTTGATAACGGTGGAAATATCTGGAATGCAATATCATCAGCAAGTAGCAGTGCGTATTTGAAATGAGATAGGGTCATAACAATATAACCATTAAATAAATTGCTCTGACTAAGTGGATTGATTTCTGATTGGCATGATATTGTTGATCTTTATAACTATTTGTAGCAGTAGTCATTGGTGGTGGCTCCCTCTCTCCAGCCATGCTGCCCTTTGTTCACAGAAATAGCTTAAAATAATGGGTGCCTGGTTCATGCAGTCTCGTCATTGAGTATTCCAACTATAGGAGACTGCTCCCCCTTGACTGATTACTAGTTAGTAACTTGTGAGTGAGTGGATTAGAGGGCCATGCTCCTGACTGTTGATATCTGCATTTACATTAGACTTTAAAAGCTCTCGTTCTGTTGCAAGGTGCATGTTCCCTCAGATGAAATTCTAAGCTCATAGACTTCTACTGTGTATCTGCAGCAGGCCATTACCATTTTCTATGATGGAAACTTTTTTAAAACAATCATGTTATAGCATACGATGGTGGGATGCTGATATGATATGGAATGTGCTCTGCAGGTGCAATCGATATCATCATTTTGTAGCACATTTTTGGGGACGGCAGTGAGAATTCCCTGTGAGGTGTTGAAGCAGCGTTTGCAGGCTGGTCTTTTTGACAACGTGGGAGAAGCAATTGTGGGTACTTGGCAACAAGATGGTCTAAAGGGTTTCTTTCGTGGTACCGGGGCTACCCTTTGCCGTGAAATCCCATTCTATGTGGTTGGCATGGCCCTTTACGAAGAATCCAAAAAGGTAAGTCTATTGTTTTGTTGCGCCATAAGCTTCTAGGAATTATTTTGCTACCTTACTCGAGCATTACAGTTTCTTAAGTGCCATATAAAGACAAATATGGTGTGTTTGTTTTGGTCAGAAAATAGGCAACTTAAAAAAGAGTTGGCTCCTAAAACAAACTACCTTTTCCAATCTTAACTTTTTTTTTCCTGACCATTCCAATCTAATGTTTTTTAACACAACTGTTGACCTTAATTCCTTAAATTGTTTTGAACTTAAAGGCCGCTTCACTAATCAAAGGTCTTATCCAATTTCTCTCTTAGAATTATTCTCAGTTACTTGTTCCTTGTTAGTAAACAAACTATCTACCATTACATTAGTTACTTGGTTATATAGCTCACATGGGAGAGAGGACTGAGCCATGGCCCCGTTGGTAGACAGAAGAGGCATTGTAGCTGGGGAACCCTTTCAATAAACTTTCCTACCTTAGTAGCTTTGAATGTTCTTTCGTAGTCTTGAACTTGCAGTCTTTGTGCTCTCTTCATAACGAACATGTTTATATTCTCAAGGTTGCTCAACAAATGCTGAGGCGAGAGCTGGAACCTTGGGAGACAATCACCGTTGGAGCTTTATCTGGTGGACTGACTGCTGTGTTAACGACCCCTTTTGACGTGATGAAGACAAGAATGATGACGGCCCCTCGAGGAAGACAACTACCAATGTCAATGGTAGCCTACTCTATACTCCGCCGTGAGGGCCCCCTTGGGCTATTCAAGGGAGCAGTGCCAAGGTTTTTCTGGATCGCTCCCCTGGGTGCCATGAACTTTGCTGGCTATGAGCTGGCAAGGAAGGCCATGACCAAAAGCGAGGAACCAGCAGCAAGCGAGGATCTGTCTCAGAAGAAGTTGACCAGTGCCGGCTAGAAGAAAATGCCATGTAGTTGTATAAACCAGAGCCTCCAGGTTTTTTGTTCATCGAGTGGCTGGAAAATTTTTGTGCTTTTCAGCAGCGTAGTTCATCATCCGTCGACGATTCCCCTTTGCTCGACTCAGTTTACATCTTCCTCTTTGTTTCAAGCTCATTTGCTATACCGTTACAGTGGCAGGACTCTCCATGGGTTACACATTGATCTCTTTGTATCTTCCCAGACGCAAAAGTCTCATTTTTGTAAACAATCCTGTATCCATCAGGTTTTTAACATGTTTTGTTCTGAATTTTGTGAAATGAGCTGTATATATGTATGCCTGCTTACTTTGATTTTAGAATCATAAAAGATACTTACAGGTAGTACTCTTACCCGTACTGTTTTCTGTCTTTCAGTCTTGGATGGCATTGCTTAAAGTTAGTTCTGTAGTTATAGCATTTGTTCTTGTCCGACCGAAAAAGATCTTGTCCAAGCAAGCCATTGAGTTTAATATGCTGAATGGATTGGGGCCTACCAAATGAAAGAATTATCCATTGTTCTAGTCAGTACGAATAACAAGGAGGATAAGGGAAATGATGAATCGTAACCCACGATTCAAGGGTTTTGCTTGTAACTCATTAGCGAGAGAAAGACGTTGATGTCTATAAACCTTTAATTTATTTGATTGATAACCCCAACTACTTCCAAACTTACATATTTATATAAGAAATAAACCTAATACGTAAACCTAATACTACCCGAACTCCTATTCCTACTAACCTAGCCGACTTGTCCACACAAGAAGTCTCCTAACTGGTGTCTAATTATTCCATCGACCACTAACCCAATACAACCACTTGGCCCATGCAACTACATATTAGCTACGTAAACCTTCTAGCTTAAACCACCCACTAATTAACTCATAACATAATTATCAAAACACATAAACAAACTAATCTCAAAGCCCAAACTAAAAATATCCTCATGGAGCTATAGCTGCGATTTCTCCTTTCACGCAGCTTCCCGATCGTGTGGCGATAGCCTCGCAACGGGGAGGTTCACTAGTGCACACTGTTTCCTTCCCGTCGATGTTGTTGACGGAGATTTTGATCTCCTCCGCCTTTGTTTCGGAGACAAAATTATGAGTCGAACCACTATCAACAAGCAAAACTACCGGAACTCCCTTGATTTGTGCGTGGAATCTTAGGGTTTTGGGCCCCGTCACTCCGGCTGCCGCATCCAAAGAGATTTCCGCAATCTCAGCTGCCTTGTTCTCACTGGCGTCGACGTCGCCGCAAGAGCTGTTGTTGCTTTCGCCATCGACCACCGCGTCTCAGCATTGGAACGAACCTTGGGGACCAAGGTTCTTTGAGGGATGGATTGATGAGGTTATTTTGGGTTTAGGTTTTGGGATTAATTAGTCTATGTGTTGTTTAATTATTATTAGTTTAGTTGTTGGTTACGTAGCTTTTGGCAAGGGCCAATTATTCATGTGATAATGGTCGAGTTAGGTTAGTAGTCTAATTAGGAGTGTTGATATGACTTGAATCGGATTATCAGCCGCTACGACTGGTAATCGGGGGTCTCGCCCACGGTATATGTTCTCAATGTTATTTGGATTCGGGTTCTGGGCCTGGTCTGTAACCGTTTCCTTTGCCAGATAGGATTAGCTTTAGACCCACATGGAGAAGTACTATAAATACTTCTCATACTCCTCTGTAATCTGTAATCTCCTTGATATAGTGAAACTGGCTCTCTCTCTCCGTGGACGTAGCTAACACACATCGTGTTAGTGAACCACGTAAATCGTGTGTCGTGTTTTCGATTATCGCTTTCGTATTCTTGCTTTGTCGATTCCTGCGATTTCCCGATCCGTAGCAGTGCGTTTATAACAAGGAGTTTAGTTGTGTAAGTGACCCGATGGGCTAGGGTTACGGGTTAGTTAGGGTTTGCATATTAGGTTTATTTCTAATATAAATATGTAATTTGGGCATTTGTTTGGTATGAATCAAATAAATCAAAGGTTTATAGATACCAACGTCTTTCTCTCGCTTGTGAGTTACAAGCAACACCCTTGAATCGTGGGTTACGATTCATCAGGAAACACCAGAGGGAAAAAAACAACTATATTCTTGACACACCAAATAGCAAAAAAATAGTAAGTTCTGCATAGTTAGGCTCGAGCAATTCTGTTTCCTACACTTAATATACTTCCATCTCACAGATTTCAGAAAGGGGAGAGCAATTTGGAAACTAGCATCAGGAAGTTAATATTTGAGAAATGCTGTCCTAACGATGAAAGCATTGTGCTTCAAACCTGTCATGGAAAGAGCTTTGGAAACAGAATATAACAACCATAATTGTGGAAGATAAGTAATAAGAACTAGGAGAATATACACAATCAAAAATATTTCATTCTGAAATTATCTTCAAGCACAAAACTTCAATTCACACAAGAAGTTTGAAACATTGTTTTTTTTTTTTTTGACAAACTATCATAAGCCGCTTTATACATATAACATATCCACCAAGCGCGAGCCAATGCCTTTCCAATCCAAAAACCAGAGAAGGATCCATCGGCTGTTGGGTAGACTAATTAGAAACGCATGGATTTGGCGTCAATCAGAGAGGGTAATGTACACTTCATCCAAACAGCTACTAAGTTGGAGAACATTTCATGAGCATCAAGCATGAATCTTAATCGATCGCACATCGAAAATTGAGAATCTCGCTCTAGCTTTCAACTTTCAAGGATTCACTTTGACATATCATTGAGAATCCTAAACTAAAAGAGTAATCAATTTGAAGGAGATACAATCGGAAGTTCACTTCGATCGCACATCGTTAATGGACTTCCACTGCTGATACATATCATTCGCTTTAGATGTGTCAGCAGCAGTGGAAGTCCATTAAAGAAGAAAGAAGACGACTACGGGAGGCCCAATAAGAAGGTTTGGGCTCAGGTCCATCAACGAGTAGGATTCGATATGCATCCGTAGTCCTAAACCGCTTAACTCAACAAGTGTGTTGGTTTTTAACTTGTATCTTATGAATTTCAATTGTAACAGAATAAGTGATTAATACGAAAATGATAACAAGTGGGTCAAATTGGTAGAATCTCTTTAATAAGTCGTCCAATATATGATCATATTCATATATAATCGATCTTATAAAAAGAAAGTGGGCTGAATTCAATGCAAAATGTCAAGTAGAAAAAGGAATTAGCTGGGTGTTCAAACATCACACATTCCCACTGCGAATTTCCTTCCTCCTGTGGTTCGGTGTAGTGATGCGTTAATTAGTTAGAGAAAGAATCTAATTGCATGCCTTTGTGCACATATTATTATTATTCTGGCAAACACTTGAGAGATTGGATGATGATCGAAAGAAACTTGCCAAATTTTGTTAGGTGGACGTATAGGATAAATTAATTTTATTGAGGAAAAGAAAGAAAGCAATAAAAGACGATGAACAAGCGACGATCTTTGTCGGAGTTGACATTCGGTTGCCTGTTCGTCAACACGCTGCAGACTTTCCAATGAGTTTTTTAACGGCTTATGTGTATTATATTAGTTAGGTATAAAAAATGGTATAGTACTGCAATTTGGACGATGATCAATTGGGCAATTATATTGAACAAGTGAGCAATGGCGTCGACACTCTTTTGGGGCTTGTAACAGCTACGTATAAGTAGCGTCATCATAAGTTCATCATCTCTCCTAGTTAATTAATTGATCTCGCATTGAAATTATGACCTTTTATAGTTTTGGTAGAAATTGAAACTACGACTTTGTTGTCGATAAATATATATATATATGGTGGCGTCTTCAGTGCACTCACTTTTTTGGGTGCATTCAGTGCACTCGCTTCATAATCGTTATTTTAAACATGCGATTTATGTCAAAATGATGTCAATCATCACTTATGATGTGATGAACAATAACGCACATGAATTTGCACAAAAACCATTAAAGATTTACTTTAATTTGAAGGATTTATAGTTTAGAGATTTGGGGTTAGGGTTTATAATTTGGGATTTAGGGATATAACTCAAAATTGGAGGTCTATAGCTTAGGGTAATCCGCTAATTAGTTGTTATCATATGTTATATCATCATATTACACTAATTCTACAAATTAAAATTCAAAATCCGACACCTTAAGACTAGTTTTTGAGTTGGGTGCATTGAACACACTCATTTTTGTGGGTGCACCGAAGTAGTCACCATATATATATATATATATATATACATATATGGTGGCTTCTATGGTACCCCAGGTGAAATCCGGGGTACCGCATACCTCGAGTATGGAAACTCTATCTAGACCTTGAATTACCAGGATTTTTGTGTCTGATATTATACCCTAACCCTTAATGAGTGAACCGTATGTCATAATTATCTAAATCATAATCTATAAACCCTAAGATGGTGCATTCCTTTTTGTGCCTATATTTGGATGAATCATAACCGTCGATTATTGTTTCTAATTAAATTGATCTTGGAGTATAAGATTGGGAGAGTTAACACCTAGATTTTGATCTTTAAGTGTTAGAGTATAGTATAATGTCCGAAAGATCGGTCAATTCAAGGTCTAGATAGTGTTTTCATACTCAAGGTATGCGGTACCCCGGATTTCACCCAGGGTACCGTAGAACTCGCCATATATATATATATGGGGTTTATATTTGTTTGGCTGCAGATGAGAAATGTCCATAGATAATGATGGCAAACAACCCCTAATAAGACAAAATCACTCTTTACTATGGGCCAATGACTAATTTGGAACTCTTAGAGTCAGGTTGGTTCCGATAAATCGAGTTATCGGAATATGTTCATCTATGAATTAATCTTATCTTAACCAGTTTTTTATACGTCTCAAACGAAAGGCAACTGATCATATGAGTTTGGATTTTGCACATACCTCCCTATATATATACTGTGTGCTTTAAGACAACGGCTAATATCTGGGGATGTGAGAACTTGAACAGGTAGCTCTAGAAAAAACCGGCTCTGATACGATGTCAAAAATCAGTTTGTCTCAATAATTCGAATTGTTGGGAGAGATTACCTTAAACATTTCGTTACTGTACCAATATATTTCTACGAGACAAGTGAAAAGGTACAAAATCGCCAATATTGATCAGAGAATTAATAGAAGATAGTATGACCGCATAATTGCAATGCTATATAGATATATATGCACATAAATAATGAATATCTTAGAGAGAAACAATGAGAATCCTCCATACAAAAAGATATATATAATGAATGTATAGCAGAAAACTCGGGTTGGATAGGGAGAAAATAAAGTACCCGTATCACCCAAAAAAATATTCAGGTTGAAATTTTATCGCGGTCTTTAACAACAAGTGAACAGATTAAAACATATATGTCCATGCATGGATATGTGAACACAAGAAGCTAATAATCCCATGCATTTCTCAAGATTAATAAGGACGTGCTTTATAAACATACAACGTTATTGAATGCTAAATCTGCCTGTACATCGACCGATCGCCTCAATTAATCTGGCAGTTGATAAGTGGTTATTGATTAGTTTGTAACATAAATATGCAGCCATGGTCGGAGAAAGAAGACCATATACCAACTACCACATTAACTCAACGACCAGCCGTACACCAAAACACGAAGACACAACGATCCTTCCGCTACCCCATTTATTATTGTACTGTGTTCTTCTCTGGTAAACGTTTTTTTTTTTTTTTTTTTTTTACCTCAAATAAATGTAGAAGTGCGAACGAGAAACAAGACTCAATGAAGTGCCCACATGTTGTGATGAAGGTGGCCTAAATTAAATCAGGAGTTATTGTTCGTGCAGGAACTGCCATCCAACGTATAAATGCCCAAATCATAAGTCTCAATCGGTTAGATAGATATATAGATATCCCAATTAAAAACACTTGGGGAAAAAAATCAATCTATTCCAATAACTCCATTCGCTGAGTTTATGTATTGAAATTTTATGTGAAATTTACATATGTTGTGTTTAAATCAGCTGTTGATATTGGAGACCATGAATATTTTAACACGATAGATCACTTCTTGGATTAAATATCCGATACCATGTCAAAGAGGAATTCATCCCATTACCTCACATTATTATCATGACAAATGCCCATATATATACACTACCATTTCCTTCCAACAAACATCCAACTAGACTAAGGTTACTTTTCATTCTTTTTATCTCATAAGTCATTGCGATTATAAATGATCTTATATCACTCTCTTAATTACGCTTTGTACCTTCCAGTGTGTCGCTCGTTGTATATTAACTTATCATGATGTACTTAGATAGAGACCTAGAGTACTTAGTGTGGTCAAAACTCATAAATAAAAGACGCTATATATGACCGGCGGTACAGTTGCTGCCCTTCTAAGACTACCACTGCACATATAAATGGTACCGGTCGATCATGTTTATCTATCTATCTATATACATAAATACCCTACATGCACTAATTATCTTCTGGATTACTATTAAGAATTTTTTTCATACGCAAGCTAGCTAGCCAGCGGTCCATGCTCTCTTGACTTGCGATATGTCTCTTATTTCAAACCACAACAACTGATTCGATGATCTGATAATGATCAAACTGGAGAATTTTCAGTTGTCAAAGTTTTATTGGTAAACAATTTGTTTTCTTTGTATTTGTTCACTATAGTCCTACGCTCAATTGATTGTAAATTGGCACTTACTGCTGGAATGTTATTTATTTCCACGCACATGCACCACGAAGCTCACCTAGTCTATCTGGGCATTTTGTAGTCATAATTGCCTTGATTCTTCTTCAAATTAACCCCTACAGTCTACACAAAGAAAAACCCCACTAAATTATTTGAAACAAAAACAAAACAGGAAGAGGTGAAGGACAGTAGAATTGTGATGCCGACAGAATGTCTGGGAAAGCTATAATAATATCAAACCATGCAAGCTTGCACGTGGCACCAACTCAAATGAATCAAAATCGATAATAAATAAAAACATGGACGTACAATGCCGCGTTCTCACTCCTTCAGTTGTTGAGAAAATTGAAATTCACATATGTAATGTAACAAGCTATGATGTATGATATGATAATTATCTTCCATGCATGTTTTTTGGACGAGAAAGCACATATTTAAGTAACTCTACTTTTATTTTGCTTCTTTTTACGTCGGAAATTAATTTAGAATTTCATATCACTATCAATTTACTGAATCGGGTAGCTCTTTTTTCGAACAAAAACGAAGTTTTGATTTTTTTTAAAAACCCAAGTAGGCTCAAGTCAACAACAGCAACAATGAAGATAAATTTCAGCTTTATTATTCGCTAGCTAGATGACACTATGACAGTACTCCTAAAAAGCTTCCTTCGATCTTTTATCGCTTTTGCTCTGGTCATTTATTTTTGCAAAGGAAAAGGAAAGTTAATATCTAAAGCTATTATACATATAATTGTGAGTTGACTTTGAGAAGTGGGGGCAAAGCTAGAATCATAATTGGACTTTCGAGTCATGGTGGCGCCTCGCCTAGCTAGCTTGTCAAGTTAGCTAGAGAAATGGTTTCTGGTTTCTGGTTCGATTTCTATCTTATGAGTTGCGTGGTTTTGATTTAGTAGTTTTAATTACTCGATTCATATAAATTGAAACCTTACAATTTGTTTATAATTGAATTGAATCGAATTTGTTATATTTTGGTCCGCTAGATTTTGAGATGGATTTCTTTTGGTTTGAGGATTTGTGTTATGTTTTTAATTGACTGTAATAGTATATATACATATAGGTAAGCTTGATAAAGAAAATATTTGCAACAATTATTACTTACTTTTATATTGATGGATCGATATGAAAGCTACAAATAAGTTTTGTTTCGGATAAGAATGATAATTGGAGTTTAACATCTTACAAATTCAAAGTTTAGAAGATACAGATTATTTACTTAAAACACCTTCTTTTTTTTTTTTTTTTGTAAAATCTTCAACTACCGTGCTAATTTTCGATTCATGTAAATGAAGAATTTTTTTTAATTATGATCATCCTTAAAAAAATAAAATAAACCAGGAACAATGTCAGATGAAAGTAAGAATCAATGTCTTGCTTATCCTTCAACATATTTTGACTGTCCATCTGTAATATTTCATTTCATAAGAACTGATCAGACTACAATGTTTCCCAGGCGACCAGACCTGTAATTATAATCCCTCCTCTATAATAAAATTATATTATTGCCTCACAATGAAACATTATCATACAATTAATTGTCCCTTTCTCTAGAAAGGTCCCCCAGTCAACATTTGCAAACTGACACATTTCCAAAGTCCATAACTAACCCTTCTTGTTTGTAATGACAATAATAATAATAATTAAGTTACATTCAAATTAATTTCCCTTATTATTTATTTCTCCTCCCACTATAAACTGTATACGGTATGGATCCAGTCTTTTCTTCTCTTTTCCCCCCCACCCTCTTCCTTTAAATTTTTTCTTTCTCATGGGGCCCCACCACATCAAATTATCATTACATTAAAGCCTTGGAAACCATACTGATTAATAATTAGCGTAAAAATTAATCAGCAAACTTTCCGGCTAATTAGGCAGCTAATCGTGATGATCATGTCCAGAGCGGCTCCCAGGACGCGCCCAAGTTGGTCTCGTCGAGGAAACAAGCCGTGTCAATGCTGTTGTTGGATTGGAGGTGCTGGTGTGACAACGACGCCGTTTGGTCGGTGAAGATCATGGGTTGTTGTTGTTGTTGTTGTTGTTCTTGATTTGACAACGACGACGACGTCGTCTGAGCCATCTCCATGTAGATTAGCGCCACCAAGTTGGCCTGCTGGGTCTGCATGCTCACGACCTCGGCCTGGGCCTTAGCTAGTTGGGCCTGGAGGTCGCCGATCTGCTTCTGGAGCTGGCAGATCGCTCCGGCGCAGCCGTACACCGGGTCCCGGATCCGGGCGTTGGCCTCGTACACCATGCTGCTCACTGCGTCCGCCCTCTGCGCCTCCGGCAGCTCCTGAGAATATTAAGAAATCTCACCATTAATTAACACATGATTAATCATTTCATTACCCAACTAAGTCATCATTAATTATCCATCATCGTGTCTCCATGATCCTAATAATTAAATGCTTGCTTTAGCTGCTAACTAATTACTACTTGATTAAGACAGGAAGCAGAGAACGAACCCGATTGACCTCACTTCTTATTTGAACACACTCTAAAAATCTCGTCTTGCCGACTTTTGTTTCTCTTTAACATTATATATATGTTGGGTCCTGGTATTTATTTTTTCATGTCGTTTTTATAATTAAAAAGGTACGGTGGGTAGATTGATGGAGTCATAATCATGACCTGGTGGTTAAAAAGTTAGATATATAAAAGGACGACCACCATGCAGGTTGTGAAAGCTCTTTCTCTTTTTTGCGATCGAGTCCAATAAAGCAGTTGAGGGTAGCTTGCTTAAGTTGAAGAAAGCAGATTAGAATTAGAAGAAGAAGATGAAGAAGAAACCGTGACTATAGTTGACAATGATAAAGAAGGTAACATCAAATCAATCGGGAAACAGGAAGTTGGCAAGAGATCCAATCACAAGACACAGAAAAAGTCAGTCACGAAAAAAGAAATCTCTTTTAAAAAAACCCCCACAATTAACGGTTTAGATAGGTAACATTGGTCAACCATTTATGGAGGAGAATTCCAAGGCTTATCATCATTAGACCATCCTGTTTTTTTTTTTTCTAATTTCTTGACACGTCGTTAATAAAATTGCAGAATTTTAAATCGAGAACTCAATTGACGAAAATTAATTAACGTTTATGCGTGATTTTAGAAAGCGAAAACATGATCTACGAGTAACGAGTATTGTGCATGTTCGTAAGCTATGCATAATACGAGAGATTGTTTGATCGAAATTAGTTATTTTTCGTAATGTAGAATAAGCACATACGAGTACTAATAATACCTGCAAGAACTTGATAATGTTGCTAGCACCAAAGACGCGGTGGGCAATGGTGAACTTCAATGGATCAGTGGGAGGGAAGTAAGGAGCCAGAACGCACTTGTCGACGCATCGGCGGCGGAGGATCTTACAGGCAGCACAAGGGCTGAGAATCACATGGTGTTGATGGTGAGGAGGAGACGGAGGAAAACCACCATTTGCAGTTTCAGAGGAAGATTGATTATTACTGACAGCCGCTGCTCTGTTGGAAATAGGAGAAGCAAAAGTAGTGGTGGTGGGAGAAGTGGAAGCTGAAGAATGGTGGGAAGGTGGAGAAGGAGAGGGGGAATTGTAGCTGGAATAACAAGGCACCGAAATTGGAGACACCACGTTTTGCTGTTGTTGTTGTTGAACATGATTAGCATTATTAGCATTGCTAATGTTGATCATGCTGCCATTGTTGTTGTTGTTGCAGCTAATTCTCTCCATTTTTCGCAACTTAGTCGTCGTCTTTTCTTTGTTCTTGTGGTATTATCGGTGAGAACACTTGGTGGGATGGTTTAGAACAATATGGAAGAAATTAATGCCGATATTTATAGAAGCAGAATTTGGGGAGTTGGGTGTGGAAGGAAAGAAGGAGACTTTTAATTATGAAAGAGTGTGAGACGGGTGGGGAGAAGAAGCAGCTTGCTGTGTCATAAATGTCACTACATGATGTCACCTGGTTTGAAATCAAAACCAAAAAACACAGAGACTGAGAGGTTCGTTTTGCGGCTATTTTCTTTCTTTGGTTTTTTTTTCTCCACTTTTGCTTTTCCTTCTTTAGGGCTAGAAAAAAAGGTTCTTGGCTTTTTATTTTATTTCTATTTCTGTGATTTGGGAATGGGGAGGAAGACTTGAAGAGTAATGATTTCGATAGAAAATAGGAGCTGGTGGCAGTTTGTCGCTTTACTTGGGTATAGTTCAATATTGTTAATTAACATGGTTAGTATTTCCACGCGTTAATATGACAAATAATGGCAGGGTCTTGGTTTAAACTTCAAATTCTTCATGTTGATCATGTTTTGGCACTGGAATCTAACTGTCATGCCTAACTTAAGAAATTTTGTTAAGGGTTTTTTCTTCTTTAATCATGATGATGGAATTTTATCTGGAACTCAGAAAATTATTAGGAGGAAAAAAGTCACTAAAATATGGGCCAAAATGAAGGAGAATGTAGAAAACAAAACTGGAATAAAGGCAAATCAAAACGAATTAAGAAAATTTGGATACTTTACTTCAGAACTAATTCTTAAACAAGTATTGGTTCTTGAATATGGAAGAAGTTTTTAAAGTTGGTTCATCGCTTCAATATGGATCATCATCTTGATGTTGTAACTTGAAAGGTGGGAAGGCAAGCCGTAGTTCATATTTCTCTTTCCTAAGAAAAAAAAAATGGAAATCCAGTCTTACTATTAGAACTATGATAAGTTGTTACAAGGTGTTTTGGCGAAAGATATAGCATACATACCAATACACTCATTAATTCGGCCAAGTCCTTGCTCTTCTTTAATTTGTACTTTTCCAGACGCGTGACCTCACCTGAAACTATTTATTTTTCATTTCTCCTAATTTGAAATCACGAAAAAAATGGGTAGATTATATAATTTTTTTTATAACCCTTAAAATGTCTAATAAAATCGTTACAAGTTAGAATCACAAGAATTAACAATGCAGTCAAAAACGCAATTTTATCTAGAAGCGGAAAATGGGTAAAATCGTAAAGCGTAGAATCAAAGCGTAAAAGCGTAAGTTTTTGACGCATACTGAAAAATAACTAAAAATCTATTAAGTTGGACATATGCTATGCAAAATATGAATGCATGGAATTTAGATAAGTTAATAAATGCATGCTATTCATGCCTAAAGTAGAACAACTTATAGCATCTTAATAATAAGTACGTAAACTTGAATTTTAACAATAAGTCACTTATCCCTCTATGCTAATGAATTTGGAAAGTCTAGCTAGTGAATTAGATTACTCTATTGGAGTGGAGAATGCATCAAAGTACCTGATGTGTATCTTTTAATCTCAAATGTTTGATATGTTGGTGATTTACTTTTAAAATATACTTTTTATAATTAATTTCATGAAAAGAATACTCATTTAGTGAACTAAAAGCGTAAAAACGTAAAGCGTTGTGATGAACTAGAAGCGTAAAACCGTAAGCTTTTAAGCTTTAAAGCGCAATTTAGTTCGATTTCATACACTTAAGTTTTTATATGGAAACGAAAGCGTTTTGTTGACCTAAAAACGTAAAATCGTAAGTTTTTAAGTTTTAAAGCGCGATTTTGACTGCATTGATAATTAACACGGGCTATGGCTCAGGAAATGTGACCAAACCAGATGTACAAGTTTCCATGAAAAAATCTTGTTTTTTTTCCCCTAACATCACGAGAAAATCGTTGATCATCATCATTACATGTCAGAATCCTAAATTACGGCATAATTGAAATCCCAAGACTAGCTAGGAATGACACGTATCCTCTGGGTTTGCCAACCCGCTACCTATAACTGCAAGTCTGGAAGAGAAACAACAACGTAACAGTCCCAGTTTTCATGGAGTGCCGACTTTAAACTACTGACTTTGAAACTAACACTGTTGTTGTGTGGTTAATTGCTGCCACAAACGGAGACATCAAAAACGGAAGAAGAAGAAGAAGAAGAAGAAGAAGAAAAATGCGTAATATAATATTCTTTTCTTTATTGGCCAACTACTACCCCCGTTTCCAACAAGCTTGTTTACTCAGTCAGTCGATCTATAGAATTTATTACTTCACAGAACCGGCGATTACTTGGACGAAAGGCATTGAATGAAATAATTTAATTCATAGCTAAAATTCTTGAAAACGATTGCACATCACATAAGTGTTGATCAAATTTAGTTGATGGATGTATAATTAATGAGAATTGTAATACGAGTCTGCTGATAATTAATTAATATAATTTGGATTTATCACGTAATATGAACTTAAGTATTATGAAGATAATTCTATCTCATTTAGTCATTGTATTGGTTGGTCGGACTGCAGAAAGCACTTAGTTACCACCATTGATTTGGGCTCTCTAGTTAATTTGTTATTTGTACAGCTTGATTAAGCAACCAAAAACAAACTGTGATTCCACTTTACTAATCTAATCGTATTAGTATTAACATGATATATATTTTCATGTATTAACATCCTATTAACTATAACTGATAATTAGACTTGTGCCCATAGCATAAAAACTAGTTTACCAAAAACACCTATGAATTTCTAAACCCAAAGGTTCTTCATAGTCTCTATAGCTAGTGTCTTGTTTGATCTCTTGCATCTTTAAATATTCTATCTTGTTATGGGGATATTTCGCTTCCAAACATAAGAAAATTTTAGTTCATATATATGTCCACAATATTAATCGATCATCTGCATATCATATAGTAGTCCAGTGTGGTAGGTCGACATGATTACCATATAGATGAGTTGCGGTGTGCTTGACACGGCCTCATGCACGCCAAAACTGACTAACCTCGCTCAGGCAAAGATCGATTTTGTATCGGGCATATGACGATGATCTAGTTGATGTAATCCATGACATACCAAACGATTTGAGAAAACATAATGACTTGGAATATGAATTTTCTGCTTGCTTGCAATTTGCAAGGGAAAGCGAAAGTTGAATCTCAATGATTTTAAAAGGCAAGGCAGGTGATCTATTGAAATCAAAAGGAATGTCCAAATAATTAAATTCATGAAATTTTATTTTAAGTAGTGTGAGTGGATGCAACGCAGCTAGCTCTCAATGTGTAAAGGGAACACAAACTGGCAGGCACACACGCAGCACTCATTTGCTGCGAAGAGTTAACAAAAGGCTCTCTTCTTTTACGCGTGGACCTCTCTGCTCCTTGGTTGAAATAAAAGATCAGATTAGATTCTCTTTGCTGCAGAAACCCTATAATTATTATTCATATCATAACTTCATAATCCGCCATGATAATAAAATGCAGCATGACTCAAGTCCTTAAGGCTTTCGAAAATATATTAAGTTTGTCATCAAGATGCAAAATTTTCCACAATTTGGACACTAATGTCAACCTCCCTCCGGATCGATAACCCACTAATGGCAGCAACAGTCAACACAAGTACATTCCTAAAGAATATATAGTCGTCTTTTTAATTTACCAAAACTTCCCTTTCAGTCTGTTCAGAGCAAAGAAAAAAAATGAACAAGTAAGACGGTGCCAGATGGAAGCTTGGGAGCAGGAGCTCCTGCATGCAGCGAATTATCGTCCATATTCAAATCAAGGGTTCGTCGTCCACAGGGGGAAAAAAAAGGAGGATATATATTACTGGGTCGTCTGGGTGAATCTTGTCGAATATTTTAACTCTGTGGGGTTGATGTGTAATAAGCCTTATAAAAGTGGATGAACAGGGAAAGTAAAAGTGTATGTATAATTGGGCAAAAGGTTATATTGATAAAGATGGAAAGCAGGAGATGGTCTGCATTTCTCAAACATACAAGAAAGAAAGAAAGAAAGAAACACAAGGAAGAAGGGTGAGGTAACAGCTGCTTTTCTCTTGTCTGTCTCTCATCATGGAGGTAGTTAAAAGGTCAAATTTACAATTATGTTGAGGTGAGGGAATCGCCGAAATAATTCTTCCCACTGCTACAACATAGAGGAACGGGTAAAAGTAAACATAAAAAGAAAAACCCACACACCAAAAGGAATATTTATTGGTGATTGCATAACTCGTAGCATTAGGATCGATGATGAGGTCCTTCTAGGGCAATGACTGAGGTTGAATGGTAAGAAAATTGAAGAAAAATTAGTTGTCAATCATTGTTAGAAGAATCGAACGAGATCAGCGGATAGACCAGTAGAAATGACAAACCATAGTGCGATATATAGCGGTTCGTTTCATTTGTTTGGACTGTTAGGGATGATCGTGCGGTTTTAATGGTTTGATATGAAACCAAACCACCACAGTTTGATTGATCCTCTGGTTCACTGTTTTTAACCCAAAAATTAAGGAAAATAAACTTTAACGGACACTAAGATCATCCAATTTTAGTTATTAATTTTATTTCTGCTTCATTTTCTTCGTTTCTCAACCTAATTCTCGACTTTATCTCGTTCACTAAGCAATGCCACCTTAATTACTAAGTTGAATTTAACAAATAATTTTTTTTGGTGAGATAGTTTGAAAATTTAAATTTCCAATCCGATTATGAAAACATAGGTTATCAATCGTTAGGGGGGTGAATGCTAGTTTAATTAGTCATTTTTTTACCTTATACATGGTTGTTGTTTGTGTTGTGCTGGTTTTTTCCTAGGAAGGATGCTAGTTGACTCAATGGTGAATGCCATTACGTTTTTCGCCCATATCAAAGTTTACAACAACCAAGTGATAATGTTATTGAGTTGTGAGACATGTTGGCGACGGAGTTGTGGCCGAGCCGTCGTTATGTTAATTTTTAGCCTGGAGTTTCCAAATTTTTATCTCAAGTACGACGCCGTTTTCCTTTCCTTCACTCCTCTCGTAGCATTCTTCATAAACAGATATCTATAATAATAATAATAATAATAATAATAATAATAATAATAATAATAAAAGAGTTGTGAGACGTGCAAGCCAAATACATCCAGATTTTGAGTTGCATGACATATTTAAGTTGATGTCATATAAGATATTCAACATTTAAATCTATGATCTTTTACTAGACAACTAAGACGAAATAAAGTGAATTTCTTCATGTCATGTGTACAATTTAGAGTCAAATATGATGTTCCGGTAAACATGACCGAGATCTAGATTCATATTTATTGGAGCTTCTGCGTCCAATTTTGGTTGGAGCTAAGGATTTTACAGTCACCAATATAGGCCGCGGTTCAAATTTTCTTCCTTTTGTTGGGTTTTATCGGTTTGGATCAATTTGGAATTAAAATTCAATATCACACCACAAATTCATGATAAAAAAATCATTATCACACACCCAATTCATCCATTAAACGATGATCCTTGTCTAGAAGAAATTATAAAAGTCAAACATTTGAAAGATAATGCTAACTTATTTTCTTTTTTCTTGGAAGATAACTCGTTATAATCCTTAACAAAAAAAAAATATCTATTAATTATTCGTAGATAGTCGATTGGCAAGTGTTGTGAGTTGTGACCATACACATACTTGCACTACCGTAGACCTTTTCTCCGAAGAATGGAACATTCTATTGCGTGACAATTTAGTAGAATTAGTTGATAATCAGGGGACAAATTAAAAATACAAAAACAATTCCGCCTTTTTAAAAAATTTATTTTCTAGTTTGTGCAAGGAAGAATGTTTAGTGGGTAGTGGCTAGCCATCTTTGATTCATTAATTTCTTTCTTGCTTCCACTCTTGAGTTAGATAGTCAGAACTTAGTCTTCTGCATAACCAAAATTTCTAAAATGTTCAACTATACGTATACGTGGAAAAAGTATACATACATAGGAAAAAAATGACACAAATCTGAAGTCATAATTTTCAACCATATTATAATATCTATAGGCATTTCAACATCTCATGCACCATGCTTGCCACCTAAACAAGAATTTGGGCCACCTAAAATGTTCCAGCAGCCAACTGCTGGAACAGGGAAGAAGCAGAAACTGCTATACCTCGTCAAGTACATGTTCTCTGTCTATGCTCGGCTTGATTAAGTGGTACTCAAGATACTTAGAAGTGGGCATGCATCTCCCTGGAGCCTGCAAGTTGCCATATCTGAGTTTTCTCCTGAATCAAATATAACCAATCAGCTTGGAATTTGGCAGACCAGATGAAAACGACGGAGAAAGTGTGAAGCCAGAACATTCTTCTGGTATTTTTTTTTAATGATAACGAACTTACATCGGTGAAATAAGAGATGAACAAGATCAAATTTGACAGTGGGAACTACTTCATCCAGTAAAAGAGTTAGCATCCCTTATCTCCCCATGGATAAGAACCTGCAACCTGCACAATACTTATTAGCTGACTATCCAAAATGACAATATGAAAGTAGGAAACTTCTTCAAATGTGAGGCATGCATACATTAGAATGGCCCTTGCAATTGCCATACAATCAGCGCTAGGACAGCACTGCAAAATCAGAACCAACAAAGCAGTAGAAACAGTGAATAAAAATTCATCATCCAAAACAAAAGAAAGGCAACTGTTAAAGAATAGATGGAATCGAACATTTTCTTTGCTCAGATGGGATTATGAACTCTTTGATTTGGATCGACGAACCTTGACCATAAAGCTGATAAAATATAGATGCAAATTTCTTCCTGTCTTGTTATCCCCATGTCCTTGAAAACAAGCAATGTACTTGCACCTTTGTCTCTACTTGAAAATGTCGAACGGCATCTTTGTACTTTCCTTGAGCACATAACTCACTTATCTTCTCAGAATACGAAATGGAACTTTGATCAGTTTCTGCACAAGTTGTGCAGGTACCCTCATCTTGTCTACAGTCCATTTGTATGGACTGAGATTCTGAATTGCCTTTCTCAACCTCCTTTAGACCGAAATCCTCAATATCACCAATCCTACCTGCATCAGTTAGAGCTTTTTGGATGGCATTATATGTATAACTATCAGGATTCATTCCTTTCTCTTTCATCTCTGCATAAAGACCAGATGCTTCCTCCAATCTCCTTTCTCTACAAAGGCTTGATATAATGGTGTTATAAGTCACCACATCAACTTCCTTTTCCTTTGAAATCCACGTATGGACTATGGAAAAGTTTAAGAGCCTTGTCAAGCATACCTCCAGTGCAAAGACCATAGAGAAGAATGTTACAGGTGAACAAATCAGGTTTGAAAGAATTCTCCACCATTTGGTTATGAAACCGAAATGCCTTCTTAATTTGCTTTTCCAAGCAGTATCCATGAATAATGGTACTGTAAGTGGTTTCATCTGGCGACAAACCATTTCCTAGTAACTCGTTCAGTAAACCTATTGCTTGGTCAGTTTTTCCAGAGCGGCACAACCCAGCTATCATGGAGTTATAGGTGATGATGCTTGGGATTATCTTTTTCTCCTTCATCTCGTCGCAAAGATCTAAAGCTTTAACAAGTTGCTCTTGCTTAGAATATCCAATTATCAGAGTGCCATAACTAACTTCGTCGACAAAGTAACCTCGCCTACTGGCAATTGAAAGCAGATCATATGCCTCATCAAGCTTCTTCTCCTCACAAAGAGCGTGGAGAATTGTGTTAAGGGTGATGCTATCCATCTTCGGATGTTTCTTTTCCATATCATACATCACCCTGAATTGCTTCATCCATCTTGCCTGCTTTGCAGTACCCATCTATTAGAGTATTGTAAGTAATGCAATCTGGAGAAAACCCACATTCTTCCATCTTCCTAACAGCATTTGCTGCTTCATCCATCTTCCCTTCCTCCACAAACCATTTAACCATTATGTTATGCGTCACAGCATTTGGCTTCAGTCCCTTCCCTTCCATTTCTTCAATTAAAGGAACCGCATCGTCACCACTCCCAAACTTGAAACACCCATTAATCAAGGTGTTATATGTAACCACATCAGGTGACAACTTAAGCTTCTCGATCTCATCCCTTAACCGAAACGCCTCGCTAATCCTACCAACTTTACAAAGTCCATCAATCAACATATTCTATGACCACATATCGAAACGCCTAGCTAATCCTACTCATCGTCATTAAGTCAATCATTTCCGATGCCTCCTTCAACCGCCCCAATTTGCAATACCCAGATATCAGAATGTTAAATGTATTTCTGTCAGGAAGCAAACCTCTGTTTTTCATGTCCAGCAGCAAGTCCCTAGCCTCAATCAATTTCCCTTTCTTGCACATTCCGTCCAGATCGTGTTATGCGTAACATTGTCCGGTGAACAACCATGCAGCGTCATTTTATCCACAAGCTCCAATGCCTCTTCAAACTTGCTCCCTAAGCAGCACCCCTTTATCACAATGTTGAAAGTGTTGGAGTTAACCTTGACGCCGAGACTGATCACATCTTCCAAAACATCCTTGGACAAAGAAAAAGTATGATGAGAAGGATATTTCACCAAAACATTCAACAAAGTGTTACAAGTGAGCACATTCGGCTTGAGACGGAGCCTCTTCGTCTTCTTAAAGATATGGGCGGCATGTTGAGGCCTACCTGCTGCAACATAAGCTCCAATGGACAAATCATAAACAGGCCGCGAAACCCGAGTTCCGCTATCAGGGTGGAGGATGTGGTAGTGAAGCGCGTTCTGCTTATCAGACGCGATGAAGGATGTCATTAGGGTTTTGGCGTCGGCGAACTTGTGGTGCGAAGATGAGTGAAGGTATCACATTCACAGCGAGGAGAGGGAGCGGAGACCGGCCTAATGACGCCTGTAAATGCGCATGTGACCAGTTAAGCAAAGAGATGAGAGTTGTGCGCATTCGTGCCAAGGTCTTGGACGAGAGCAGCGGTATGAGAAGATTGGAGTTGGCGGAGAAATGAGGAATGTAGGAGTTTAGTTTCTGGAGTGGCTCTTTCTCTGTTGTCAGTATCTTCGTCAAGACTTCGACGAGCTGCGGCGTAGCTGAGTGGTTCCACACTTTCCATATTACGGTCGCCGGGAAATTTTTGGGATTTAAACAGAGTTCCGGCCGCTGAATTCAATCGGCGAAGAACAAAGCAGACAGTGAGAATGTTTGGAGCGAAACAGAATCCCCAGGGGACTAACGGAGAAGGGAGAGGGGCACCGGTATTGGGCCAGCCCAGACAGATGACACGATTGGGCTCCCTCCAATAGTTGGGCCTTGGATATGGAACGACGTCGCTTCAAAGCTTGGATCAGAACCCCTAATCTCAGTCTCATCCTCATCCGGAAGGCATCTGCATTCAGCAATCCGCCTCTCTCGATCGCAATGGAGATCTCCGCCGGCGAAGCGAAGAAGATAAAGTTGAAACCAATCGAAGCAACACCGGAGAGCTTCATGGACTATGGCCAGGTGATCGGCCCGTCACCGGACGGCGAAGAGTTCGGGCCGCAAGACGCGCAGCTGAACTTGAGCGAGGGAACTCCGAGGTTCTACATCATGAGCCTGACGAACCGGCCCCTCGGATTCTCCACCATCACGCACCACGCCAAGGTCACGCAGTGCCTGGGTTCCATCGGCGGCGGCGCTTGGTACCTGGGCGTCGCGAAGCCGTCGATCGTGGCGGAGGCGGCGGCGGCGCCTGAGGAGGAGGGTGTGAAGAGATCGAGGTGCGGCCATTTGTACGCGGCTCCCGAGATCGAGGAAGTTCGGGTGTTCAGGTTCAGCGGGCCCAAGTTCGTGAAGCTGGGAAAGGGGACGTGGCACGCTGGGCCGTTGTTCGAAGGAGAATCCATGGATTTCTACAATCTGGAATTGAGCGACACTAACGTGAGTTTCTTTCTTTGCCTTCCTGCCCTGATTACAGACTGCTTCATTGAATCCGATTTCACAGTTTCATGGATTGATAGGACTGTATGTTTGGTGCAGGTGGTAGACCACACAACCCATAACTTCAGCAAGGAAGATGGAGTGGTTTTTGCAATCGAGAAAAGCGAGTAGCCTGCGTAGCAAGCAACCCTCCTCTCCATTTGGTTCCTTCACTTCTTGTAATATGACACTGTAGCATAATCTCATAAATGGCATCCCTTTGTTGTCCGTCATCTAAATGTCAAGAAAGAGGTCTTCAATCCTCTTATCATGTCATTGCTAAATCCTCAAGGCAACAATTTTACAGCAACACTGTACAAGAGGGTAACAGAAGGGATATAATTGGTAATAAGCCTTATCGTCGTTGAATCGTTTATGGCGAACAGAATACAAGCTATGCATCAGAATCCAAATGCACAGTGACCCTCCGCCCAAAATGTAAAAAAGAAAAGCAAAGCAAAAGTAAGGATGCTACAAACTTACAACTTGGAGGGAACCTTTGATAATACAAAACAGGCTTCGAAGAAGGCTAAATCAAGAAAGAAGAAAAGCCAGTGGCTTCTCCTCTCCTCTGAATAAACAACAATCGCAGAGGTACTCTCCAATATTCAAGGGACGGAACGGAATCCATCCTTACATAATCTGTAAAACAAGTCACAGCGAATAACCATGACTAAGAGAGTTCATTCCTTTAAACTGTAGGAGGCTGAAAATGAAGCAGAGAAACAAACATTTACCTTGAACATCTCTCCAAACATTCCTTGCAAGGGATTTCTCCGCTGTACACCGTAGAAAACCTCCCCAATATCGTCTAGCCACTGGAAAACCATGCAAGAAGAGAGCACATCTTTATCAGCAAAGAATACGAGATCTTTCTTCAACTGGTGGAAGGCCAAAAGCTACAGACCTCGTTAAATGCAGGTTCTCTGTCTATACTCGGCTTGTAACCAGATCTCAACATACTAAAAAGTGGGTATGCATCTCTCTGCAACCTGGAATGGAATGGTGCCATATTGAGTTTTCATTTTTCAAGAAACCAAACTGTGCCGAACTAGATGAGATAGATGTAGGATGTGAGAAATGATTCCCGTGGTACCAAAATAAATACTCACGTTTGTAAAAGATAAGAGATGAAATGGATCAAATCTGATTGTGGGAACTCAAGTTTCTTAACTTCCACCTGCTGCTTTACTTCACTCAGCAAAAAGTTAGCATCCCTCATGTTTCCCATGGATAAGTACCTGCATGAAAGGGAGTCAAACATGGATCAGCTGACTGTATGTAAGGCATTTGAAGACAATATGGAAGAATGTAAACTATCCAACAAGATGTGAGGCATGCATACATTAGGACGGCCCTTGCAATTGCTAGATCATCTTCACAAGGGTAACACTGCATAATCAGAATCAAAACAATTCCACCCATGAATAACATCATCCAACAGAGAACTCAGAACAGAAAACGCTTTTGCAGTTGGCTCAAATCAAGCTTATTAAGTCTTTGATACGAAGCTATTAAGTCTTCAATTTGAATAGACCAACCTTGCCCATAAAACTGACTAAAGTCGATGCAAACTTCTTGGGATCGTCACCTCTCACAAAATGAAGTGTTATTTTTGCCATGTCCTGGAAAAATAAAGGTAATGAGCATGAGGCCGACCATAGCAAGTGAGCAGAAACCAAGAGAAGCAAAGCATAAATGAGTCAATACTAGACAGACCAAATCTAAAATATGAAAATTTTCTACACTGGGTATAAATGAGCATCAGACCGACTAACCTACAAAACCAAATTTCTAACCAAGGACAAAAAGCATGAATCTACATGGGTAACAGTACTTTTCAAAGAAGGCAATCCAAGCATGCATTCATGCTTTAACAAAAAACGTTACAAGGGATTTAAGACCAACATGATTCATTTCACTCATATTGACTAATAAGTAGTTCATAAAAAAAGACCTATTGTAACTGATTCAATCGGTATGAGGCTTAATGGAGATGTCGTCAACAGGAGCAAGGCAAAGTGGAAGTTTCTGAGGAACATTTACAAAAGAAAGTGAACGATCGTGAAAGTATTAAGTCCACCAACAATTTGTTGACTTTTATAGGGCATATGAAATTGTTCAAATATATGAGTCTTGTGGAAAAAGGAAAAGAATCCAATAAGCTTTTCGAGTCTTATAGAAGAGAAAGGGATATATTTAAAAATGCAGAATATAAAGTAAAGTGCTGTCGACATCAAGTTAAATAGGAGGCACAAACCAATTGAATCAAACAGACGTATAAGATAAAGCACAATCCAAGTGCTATTGTCATAAATACCAGTTCAGGAGACTCGGTATACAAGTATTCAGCTAGCATGACATGTAGTTGTGGGCTTCCACTCCTATGGGGTCCAAACTCCGCAGACCACCTGAAAGAAGCAATACATAACAGCTTCAACAAACCATCGTTTCCGGCAAGAAACCACAACAAAAAGATACAGCACTTTGAACATCGAATATAGTCACAAAAGTATAAGTGCAAACACCAGGTATGTACATCAAAGCGTATGGATCAGCCTTCCCCCTATCAATTCAATGTTCTCATCCTCAAGCACCTACAAGCCTACTTCATTGATCTACATAAAACAGAGATGACTTCGGCCCTGATTTAGTTTAGATTTCATTCTGTCTCCCTCTTCTTAATCTCAAGATAGGTGTATCCTTCCCACCTAAACAGTTACTCCACAGCCGTGCGCCCACTCAATACTCTATGACGACAACTACCCCATCAGGATGTTTCTTAAAGATCTAAAAAAATGGAACGGTGGAGAAGTGATACGTTCATGAACTACCCAAGTTAAACAAACAGAGATAAGGGGAAAATCATCTATAAAAGAAGCAAAGACTAGAGTGAGATGCCACTACCATATGGTCCATTGAAAAGCATGAATGTACTTGAAAGTTCGTTCTCCCTATATTTTGGGGTAATATGAATGCATAAATAGTAAGGATAGGAGATCTCACCTTATTGCAGCTCTCAAGAATGACGAGCAGCACTCTACTCGTGTTTTTGCAGCAGCAAGCGCTTCAGCGAGTTGGTGAACATCGTCCTCCTCTCCTAGGTGTTGCGGCACAGGAATCTGAGGAAATAGTTTGTAGATTGTCCTGACACGATCTAAGATAGTGTTACATAAGAGTATTAATATGACACCTACCATGGAAACTTAACTAAACTCAAATTTATTTTGAGTGTCCAGATGGGTTGCTCTAATTTCAACAGTCGCAGATGCCTAAAAAATTATGTCTAAACATTTACTAGCTGATCAAGCAAAATTTCATAAGCTCTCCACTTACCAAGGGTACCATCATCATAGGGAACTTTTGCTTTAACAAGAGCTTCCACAAACATTACAGCAAGCTCCGAGCCACAAGTAACCTGAAATTATTTTCTTTCACACAAGGATTAGAGCAAGCTAATAATGCTTCATGCAGAAACTTCGGATCTATAGTATTTTGACCCATTACAGGATGTCACTAGTTCAACTAGTCTGCTCTCCGAAGCAATGTGACACATCGAATCCACACAAAAGAAAATTAAAAATAGAAGCTAAAAGATGGCATCATGTAGAAGGACAAATTCTACAGAGTCAACTCTAGTAACCAAGATCATCCTTCTAATTCCCAATTTTTTATGCTATTATACGTAGCTACTATGATGAAACATAAAATGTGAAACTCTCCAGTCAAACTAATCCCACACAAAGCTTATATTTCTATGTGATGGATTCCACGTCCATTCCAATATGGCAATTAAACATCAAACCCAACATTTAAGAGCTTGCACCACCATAGAAAGCCCAGCAGGTCAGAAATCGTCGCCTTAAAAAATTCCGCATTTTCTAGCTACTCATATATAAAGCTCCCAGAAGAGAAAAAAAGAATTTGCACTTGAAAGAAGACAACCTGGTTATTTTTCAACTGAAGGCATGCTCCTGAGTGAAGAAGATCCATAGCCTCAGAAAATCTCTGAGCAGATATATATCTGCAGCAAAGGGACTCTCTTTATCAGCAAAACCTTGACCGTAAGTTACTAACTAAAATCATAGTCTTCCAGCATTGAGAAACCACAGCTCAAACCTACTGGTTAAGCTCAAACTTTAATTATGGAGAAATTGTTCACAAGCGAGCAAACCAAAGTTAATCTCCAAGAGAACATGGCTGACCATACCTTGCACTGATAGACTTGTACATCTGTTGAGCTCCATAACAGTTACCATCCTTTATTACCTTCTCCAGTTTATCTATATTCTGAAAATTAGTGACAAATAAGGTTAAACATATTCCCTGTTTGCATTAGAGCTGCAACCAAATTGCAAGCCTAATCAGAAGCCAGATTCTCCAGACATTATTTACCAAGTCAAGTAACCTGTCTCCCCTGATTCAGATTCAATTTCCTCCTCTATTGTCTTAATGCAATACACCAGCAAACCCTTCAACCCCATGAATAAAAACAATAAAAAGCAAGGGCTAATTTCTCATCAAGAGATATAGAGAGTGCCCAGGCAAAGGCAACAACGAAACCTCCAATACAACAGAATCAAAGAATCATGTCCTCAACGCTCAATTCAGGAGATAACCGAATTTCCAAGAGTACCATTGGAGTTCTCTTTGGACGATAGAAACAATCGAAACCTCGGAATTAGAATGCGGGAGATTATTAAGCGAATTTCTCGTATTCTCAATTCTATTTTCCCATGGTTTCTCAGCGAACAAACAGAGTAGATGATAGATACGAAGGCTTTTTCTAACCTCTTGAACAGGAGGGAGAGTGACTCTTCTCGCTCTTTCCCGCAACATCATTCCTCTCTTCGCTTATCTTCCTTCTTCCTTCAAATTTTTCAATGCCGAGGGAAAACACAGGAAGACAGAAAGAAAGAAAGATCTGTTTCTCAAAGACGAAGCTGGAAAAACAAACGAGAAAAACAGATATTGGGATGTTTTTTCAACATCCGAAGTCGTTTTGGTTTGCAGAGGACTCAGGTTGAATCATATTCGTATATGGTATATGGGCTTCAACTATTTGGACAATTGGAGCCCCAAATCAGACTGGGCCTGGCCCATCACGGCACCTTTCCGTCGTCGGTAATCACGAGTAACGAGCCTCCATTCCGCTCTGTTGCTCAGCCGGTCGCAGACTCGAATACACGGCCACCGCTTTCTCCTCCTCCGCCGCCGGCCGCCGTTCACACAGACGTGCTTCGCAACTTTCCGATTTTGGCCGGTTGATTGATTGAATTTCAGGTTACTCTTGTTCGTATCTCTTTACATTAATCTTTTTCTTTTCCAAATTCCTGTGAAGCTTTTCGTGGAGTCTCTTTCTGCCAAAAGATGTGTCCTTTTTTCCAGATCCCCATTCTTTCTTGAAATTTTCTACTCCTCTGGGCACTGGGTTTTCCAGAATCCATCGGGTTGTTTGGATTAATTTCAAGCACATTGACTTGTGGAGGATACAAATTATAGTAGCTCTAGGTTATTTGCGCCGATAACTTGAATCCTGAATCAGAAAAAGCTAACTAATCTACAGGTTGATGAGCCCCTGAATTCTGAATCTCTGTTGTGTCTGGTAATGTTTGCAGTGCTTGGTCCAGGGAAATGAGTTCAAGAACACTACAAGCTGCAAAGGTGTATCGGGACCTTCTGAAATCCATCAGAAAGAACATTGGGAAGGAAGGGTACAAGAGCCACTTCGGAGAATTCGTGACGCACGAGTTCAGGAACAGCTCTAATCTCTCAACAGATCAATCATGTATACAGCAGAAAATCAAGCTCGCCCGTGATTACACTTTCCAACTCAATAGTGTCCAGCATCACAAGGTAAGAACTTGGGTCTCCATCTCACATTTGATTCCTCGCTCTTGGTGTTCGATTGAAGCGAAGCTAAGTTGTGGCTCTTTGGCTATCTCTTTAAATGTTAACGAGCAGTTAATTGATTTGATTGATTGATTGCAGGATCTGCTGATTTCTTACAACATTGCGGTGGATAGGTCTGATGAGATGAAGAAAGTTCTAGGGAAGTCTGCAGCTAGTGTTGGTCTTCAGCTTCCTGATGTGTACCAGGCTTAGATACCCTGCCTTTGCCGTCTTCTTCTCCTCCTCCTTTTTTGGTTTCTCAAGCATCTGACTTCTCCCAGCGATGGTAGTATACACAGTTTTACAATGTGAACCAATGACTATAATGTCCTGTCTTGGTTTGTTTGTTCGTCAAGATTCAATAATAATATTGTGCAATATGAATTGTGACCATGTATTCTGATTAGATCCTGATGTTACTTACTGCAAATCTGCCAGCTTTCTTCTCTATCTTCACTGGATTCTAATCTCTCAAGTTTCATCCTTTTTTGGAAGTTCCTGTTGTGGCTGTTGAATGTTGATTCATGCCTTGGGAAGAAATTTTGGTCGGTAAACCAATCCAAAAAACAAAAAAGGAAGGTAAAGATGAGACAAAGCACGCTGAGATTCATCCATCCGTCAAACCAACTAGTGAAGCTGAGACTGTTGGGTTGTTCACTTGTTCTTCTGAAGAAACAAAATCCGAACGCCTTCCGGATTACAGAACAGAAATAAAACTGAAACAGGACAATCTAACCCGCAGCTGGGTTCATGTGTTTGTTGTCTGATTCATGTACTAGATACAAGGCCAAATCTCAAAGCAAAAAACTTCGCGCTGAGAACGTCACACGTGTCCCACCAATCTCACAGACGTGGCAGCTGCAGAAAACTGCCACTGCAATACCTTTCACCCCGTCCTTTCTTCTTTCCTTTGAAATCCTGCCGTCCATCTCTTTTATACTTCTTCCTAGCCTGCGCTGGATCAGTCTGTGCCTCTCCTCCATCTTACTCGCCAAGAAGTGTAAATTTAGCTGTGTCCTGAAGGAAGAGAAAAGGCTGGGGTGAAAATGGGTTCAGAGACATTCCTAGAGGTGATATTGGCCATTCTCCTACCACCGGTTGGTGTCTTTCTTCGATATGGCTGTGGGGTAAGTCACTGATCATTCAGATCCAGTCCAATCCCCTCCCATCTGTTCCTTTTCCTTTTCTGTCTCGCACTCTTTTAGAAATGTAACTAATGGATTGACGGAAATTTACATTGATGGCAGGTGGAATTCTGGATAGACTTGTTGTTAACGCTGCTTGGGTACATTCCTGGTATAGTATACGCCATTTATGTTCTGGTGGGATAGCAGCAGCAGCAGCAGAAAAAGGCTTAAAGAGAGAGAGAGAGAGAGAGAGAGAGAGAGAGAGAGAGAGAGAGAGAGAGAGAGATCTGGGGAGTTCTTGCCCTTTCTCCTGTCTTAGATTCCATTCTATGTTGTTTTGGTGTAATTCAGGATGTTGTTGCAGGGTTTTGGTGTTTCATACTATTGTTTTTTTGTAGTTCTGTACGTTTAATTAAATGGTACAGCTTTTCTCCTTCTAGGATGCAATTCTCCATTTGTTCAACCATCGGTCAGTTCCTTTATGATCAACTCCTTCATCTTATTTGAGAGGGAATAGAATTCAGTGAAACAGAAACAGATATCTATTCATCCTTTAATGGAGGAATGGTTATTGTCCGACAAGCTATCGGTCAACTGCAGCAAACAAACTAAAAAACCAAGAGGGGCAACAAGGAATTTTGAACCTCGTCATCAATCATGCCTACTACTTCCAAACTGGGGAAAATCCCCTGTTAAAATGAATGGCTTTAAGTTGTCTGCTAAGGCCATCAACCTGACTGTCCAAACTAGCTGCTATACTGTTCTCCTTGTTACTTCCAGGCCTCTTGTTGCGGCTGCAACTACTTCCTTTCCCTTGTCTAGCTCCAGGATCCACCTTAGAATCTTCCCCATCTTCCTTCAGGCACCTCTTCTTCTTCATATTATCGTTGTTGATGAAGGATTCCTGCCACCGTTCATTGCTACTGCCGATTTTGCTATTTAGAGACAAGGCAACAATCTCACTTAAATGGTGCTTCCCCAGGCTTGTTCTACTACCACTTCTGCTGCTGCTAGTTGCCATTGCAGATTTGTTTTGTCCATGAGAGTTGGACTTCAGGTTCCCTGCCCTTATTGCTGAACCACTAGGATTTTCCTGTGCCAAGAAAGGGCAAAAAATGTTTCAATGAGATAAAAGGAAAGGATTAAGCAAAATGGGGAGAAAAGGGATCGTCTATGTTTGTTACTAACTGAATCAAAGTATCCAAGCTTTGGTGATGGCATTCGGAGGCCAGAAGCTTGCATGTTCTTTGGAGTTGCGCCTACTCCTGTAAACCTTTTCATAGTCCGGGGAGCTGTGGAGCTCCGCCTTGGACTCGAACTTGCGAAGCAAGGTTTAACCGGAGAAACGTGATGTCTCTGGTTGGTTGACCTCAAGGACTGTTCCGTTGAGGAGGACAATCCACTAATGGAACTGGCAGGGGATGCCTTGAGTGTCGATAAGAAACTCGAAGAAGAACTCAGAGATCCGTTTTTGCTTCCAGCCAGGAATTTCAATGGAGTTCTCAAAGTAGGAACTGAGGCTGCCATGCGAGGCTCCACAGTTTTCCTGGAACTCTTTCCCGGAGGAGTTCTCATGACTTGTTCAGATGATCCATTTCTCGTAGTAGCTGGAAGAACTGAAGATGGAGATCTCAATGGTGTGGTTGATTTCACTGCATTCATCTTCCCTGTAAGAAACAGGTCAGTCCATGGAGCGATCAATCCCAATAACAGTGAAGTTCCTGCAAACGTTTGTTTAGGCAGGTGATGTACCTTTACATACACCATGGCTGCCCATCGAGGAAGCTCTTTTACTTGATAGTGTGGAATTCACTCCACGGCTAGACATCCTCCTAGGTGGCTTCCCTGATGAGGAACCACCGTTTCCTTCTTGCATTCCCTTTCGCTTAGCAGACAAGGAACCTCCATTGTGAAATTGACCAACAGCACCTTTGATGTCACTGAAAAGGTCAAGCTCAAGGCTGGCAAGAGAGCTCCCCTCACTGTTCGCTGTGGAGCTGGATTCAATGGACCTCCAGGTCTCAGGTTCAGATTTCGCAACCGAGTTCCTGAACCCTTTGTTCACCATAGACAGTTCCTCCGCATCCAGAACTCCTGAACAGAAGAATCGCTGGACATTATCAGCACAATAATTACAAGAACCTCTCAAGGGTTTCGAAAATGATTTCCGAGTTGAGGAGACAATGGTAACCTGCGCTTGTAAAGAAGGCGCTATCCCAGGCAAGACTTTGGCGAGAATCGTAGTGTGAAGCAGCAGCAGCAGTGGCAACAGATGATGGTTTCTTGTCCTTACTGCGATCCATGGCGGCTCTAAGGTTGAAAGTCTCAAACAACTCGTCGATATCCATTATCCCTGAGAACGTATAGTATTGCATGATGAAGCAGCATCAAGGGTTAATGATTCCATGGAAAATTGAAAAGGGAAAGAAGCATTGCCTGGACTGGTGAAGAAGGCGGTGTCCCAAGCCAAACTGTTGCGCAAATCGCAGGGAATGTGCTCATCACTAAAGTTGAAGTCTATTTTCTTCCTGCCCTCTGACCCTTCTGCCAAAACAAACATGTATGTACATCAAACACCAAACCAGCGCCAAGAACTCTTCCAAAAGGGAATCGGAAGAGGATCCTGAAACCCAAATTCCGTTCGGGTGCCTGATTCCTCTACATCCGATGTCAGATCACAAGAAAGTGTAGTGCGTTTAAAGTCGCAAAGAAAGAAAGAAAGAAAGAACGGGGAGCCTAGAATCCAAATGGAAAGGCAAAAAGAAAGAAAGAAACCATAATTCATCCATTCCATCCAAATTCTTGAAAGAAAGGGTGGGTTGAGAGAGAGAACTCGCCTGCAGAGAACTGGAATTCTGGGAATTCCATGGCGGACTGGGAAAACCAGAAGCAGCGAGGGCAGGGAGAGTGAGAGTGGGTTGAGGGCTAGTTTGGAAGGAGAGTGGAGAGCAGAGCAGAGCAGAGTAAGGAAGGAGAAGTGGGGATTCTGGTATGTTGATTGTGGGTAATCGTCAACATTCATTCACTCGCTCAATATAAGGGAAGAGAATCCAAATTTTTGAAATCTTGAAAATTGACAGTTACGGTTATGCGATGAGCAGCGAATTACTTCCATCCTAATTGGGGAGCGGGGGCGGAGGAGCGGCCCCGTCGATCTTTATCTTTCCGCCCACCACTTTTTTCTCTTTTCTTCTCTCTCTCTCTCTCTCTTCTGGTTGGGGAGAATTTTCTTTTTTAAATAGGCCTCTGTAAATGTTAACCCCTCCCGCCATTCCCAACGGTCACGCGCGCCTCTATCGCTGCCGTTTTCTTAAACATAATTTTTGGTTTTTTTCTGCTAATAAGTTGCTCTAATGCTCTTCATCATGAATCATAATCCTAAATTCCTTCATAATATTTTGTGGTTCATGACAAGGGGAGAGCATCAAGGGATTTTGAGATCCAAACTCAAATTCTCAACCACGTTTTGATTTTTGACCATGCACACTCTTAGTTCTGGATAACATCATTTTACACTTCACTGGGCACCATATCATAGTGGACAACAAGAGACCTATTGGCATGAATCAGCCACTGAACCATATTGATATATGATAAAATGAGCAGGCCAAACCATCTACAATTACAGCTATGGCAGCCTAGTGATATTTCTGCACAAAATTAGGTCATTCGTCGAAGCATCGGCGACGTATATTGGGATCAGCAAGGGAGGAAGCACATTAACACTCCCTTGAAGCAAGCTCTTCTGACAGCTCTCTCTCTCTCTCTCTCTCTCTCTCTCCTTGGTTGCAAGTGCATGTGCCGATAGCATCTGCAGCACAAATCAACATGTCAATTGACAACCATGAGCAAGAGAACCATGCAACAAGATGATTTACTGTTTCAAGATCAAGTTTAACTGCACTCCTAAAACTTCGAGGCATCAATCATTAGCTTACACGAAGGGCCCTTCCTAAGGAAATTCTGACGCCTACAACATTTAATGGCTAGGAGTACGATCCATAGCAGCTCTATATAGCACGTACTAAAGAAGATTTCATTCATAATATTACCTGGATATTTGTTGCCTCGTCCAGTCTCTTCAATACGGGAGGAAAACAGTTTCATCTTCCTCGCCATGTGTCATAGGAAGTGGCTCGGATTTAAATGGCACAGATATGGTATAGTTGAGCTGGTAATTTACAAGTAACGACCCAAAAATGTTGAACTTTGAAGCACTACCATATGCAGTCTGTGCATCAGAACAGTGCCTGAAAACCACCCTGGCACGGTTGGTGTTTCTATCAACTTCCGTCTCGGATTCTTTGAGAGGTCCAAAACATTTGAACATCTTATTCAGTTTCATCTCGGAAGGTACAGAATCCACAACCGGGAAATGCATCACAAGCTCCGCTGGTGTCTTCTCATCCACATAGCCTATTGGTTTTGTATCTGGGGGCACATTGTTGTAGTCATTACCATCAGATATGTGTCGTTTGTTCCTGGCAGTTGGCCTCTGAGTCTGCTTATTATCAAGACTGACCGGTACAAAAAGATTCTCTCTTTTCCTACTCTTTCGAGTAGTAGGCGGTGGCTGCTCTTCTGACCCATTTTGAATAACCCTGTCGGTCCAATAAGTGTCATTCATGTCCACGAATTCAAATGTTTCAGTATCGCCCGCTGAATGAAACACCTTCCTCCTCTTACCAAGTTTATCATGCTGATCAACAACAACCACAGAGTTCCTGAATTCTGAGAAGAAGCTAAAAAAGACATCCAAGCAACCATGCCTTTGCAGGGGATCCCGTGCTGCTGATTGAAGTTGTGATAGCAACTCATCTACAGATGAATGAGTCTCCATTGGAGCCACCAATTTGTTGCTCTCGGTATCATCAGACTGCTCCAGTAGGGGGCTGTCATATACATCACTGCTTCCATCGAACTTCTGGCTGTTTGATTTCAGCATAGAGGGAGATCCAGTCATATGACTAGCAGCTCGACGGATGCATTCACCAATCTTAAAGGAGGGCTTAGGAACAGAAGCTGATGTAGTATTTGAGATTTTTGCAAGAGATATAGTTTTCACCCCTTCCGACGGAACTGATTCATCACTAAAATGATTAGGACCCTTTCGTCTCTTTGCAGAAGATGGTGAAACCATTTTCCCATCTGCAGCTCCTACTTCATCCTCTACAGAATCCCACTTTTCCTTTTTGCTTGAATAGACACCATCCTTCAAGTTATGTTTGCGTTTATAATAATATGGCCTCTGGGCCTGTGAAATTTCCAAACTTTTCGAGTCGTCTTTACAGACAGAGCCTATATGATCATCAGATCCCTCACCACTGACGTGGACAGAAGAATCTGCATCCTCCAACAAGTCTCCGCAAAACTGAAATTCAGGCAGCGGGGAATAACCTTTCAACCGATAGAAGGAGAGCAACTGAGACTTCAAAATCACAAGATCCAATTGATCAGCCCCACCAGTCGGATATTGTGCAAGAGATTTCACATAATTAACTAACTTGACAGGTTCAAACAAATCAGCACTTCCAGACTTGCCCAAAAAATCACCTCTTTTGCAGGCTTCTTGCTGGATGCCAGAATTATCAAAGAGCTGAAACTTGATTCTGTCTGCATCTTCTTCTGGCACACAGGAGCAAGTCAAGCCCAATTCGACACGCCTGGAAAATTCTTCTAAAGCGCAACCGACAGCATTCTGGAATGATTCTGAATTACTCTGCTTCTCTACCTGCCTGAAATGTGATCTGAAATGCTTCAAAAGAGGTGCTTCATTCCATGCAAATGTCCGGTCTCCAAAATATGCTACCAAAAGCCTGTCCTTCTTCTGATACTTCAATGCTTGTTCAGAGGCATCTGAGGGGTCAAATATCTGCCCAGGCCACCAAGGATGGCTCCGAACTTTTCCCCAAACCAGATCAGATACATGAAATTCACCTTCATGGTCAGACGGTAGCTGATAACTAGCTTGGTGTGCACTTCCCAAGCTTCCACGGTGTAGACTAGCCCATTTCAATGATTTCTCATTCGTAATATCAACGTGAGAGGCCAACACATCGCTCTGGATGGAAGCTGCTTCACAATTTCTTTCCAACCCCACCCCTGCTGTCTCAGGATTTAGATTCTGATTGTCACCAGCAGGACATAGGGTTGCATCTAAATGGACAAAGGTATCCATTTCAGCAACATCATCTCCAGCGACTGCCCGAGTGGACCGGAAAGAAGATGCTGAATCTGGAGACTGATGACTGTTGCCATTTACCACACTATCTTTACCTGATTCAGCCTTCACTACTAGCTGGTCCGGAACTGTTATTCCCTGCTGTTTCTGCAGACGAGTTTGTTCAGCATCAGTAATTTGCTGGCCATTTGTCAGGACTGGCTCCACATGTGAGTGAGCCCAGAAATGATCAAAAGAGATAGAGTGGTATATTAACTGTTCTTTTCCAGAACTCAGGAGTACCTTATTCTCCAAAGGATATGCAGCTTCGCCTCCAATAAATACATCAGTTGGCTGGGAGAAAGATGGTGGATCTGCAATTGCGTGATAGTGATGTTCAGTGCTCCCGTTTACCATCTCACCTGATGCTTGGAGTTCTTCCACTGAAAAGCAAACATTTTCATTATAAGCATCAGCATCCATACCTTCAATATTAGCACAGGTAATTTCTTCATCAACTGATGCCATTTTCCCTTCAACAGGATCTTGTCCCTCTTCATCCATAGTTTCAGAGGTGACATTATCAATCTCATTTTCCACCATTTGAACCGTATCATTGGCAGCACTTGATAGCATCCCCTCCAAAGCAACACTTGTAGGGGCTTTTTCAAGAGAATCACTACCAGTTGCTTCTAATGGGGGAGTTGAACCTCCCGCACTTACCATAAACACCGGTGCCTCCTCCAGAACCTGGCTCTGCTGTCCTAAATCTTCCAAGACAGTAGATTCACGTCGAGAGGCAGCTTCATTTTCAGTATTAAATACTTCATCGCCCAGAAGAGCACTTTCATGTGGCTCTGAATCTTGAGCAGCATCTTCCTCGACCTCAACAGTTTTCATTGGCTGCCCCTCAGACTCTTCAGCCAATTCGACTTTACCAGTAGCAGCAAAAAATATATTCTCAACCCCGGAAGTGCCCCCAAAGCCACTTCTCATATCTAGATCTTTGGGGTCATTCTCTAATGGTCCGACTTCCTGAGAGATCGGATCCTCCATGGGAACTGCAGTGTCTTTCTTGGTTAAACCCCCCTCCATATCCTCGTCCTTCGAAACCTGAGTTTTCCCATCTACGAATTGGGTATCCTCATCCACTGAACCTGGCACAACCTGAGTTTCCCCGCCACTGGAATCATTAGGAACCTCGGTTTCCACATCCCTGTAAATATCCTCATCCATAGAACCTTGTATAACCCTAGATTCCCCGTCCCTGGAACCATCCAGGTCTTGGGTATCAGTATCATCTACAGCTACCATATCTGTATCCTCTACAATTCGGGTATCCTCGTTCAGTGAACACTGTGTTACCCGAGTTTCTCCATCACTGATGACAACGTTGACTTGGCCATCAAAAACTCTGGAACCATTCCTGTCTTCCTTACCAGGATCCTCTACAACTTGCATAACCTGATCCGCTGAACTTTGTATAGCCTGAGTTCCCCCATCCTCCGAAAAATCATTGAATTGAGAATCTCCATCCCTCGAAATTTCCAAAGGTGGGTTATCGCCATTGACTGAAACTTGTGCAACCCGAGGTTCCCTCACCTTGGTGCCATCAGTAACTTGTGTTTCCGCATCCCTGAAACCATCCATGTTCTCATTATCAGAATCCCTTATGACATGGGAATCCTGATCCCGTGATCCTTGTACGGCCTGAGTTTCACCACAACTGGACAAATCATTTACTTGCGCATCCCCATCCACAGAATTATCCAAGAGTTGGGTATCCCCATCCAATGAAACCCGTGAAAGTTGAACTTCCCCACCTTCGGAAGCATCCGCTGAACCCTGTACAACACAAGTTTCAGCATCATTGGAATCACCAGTAACTTTGGTTTCACCCTCTTCAGCTACATCTCCATCTGTGGACCTCTTATCTACAGAAGAAAAAATCTCACCACTAAACCTGACCTCGGTACTAGGGTTCTTATCAACTCCACCATCAGGTGAAGCCCTATCATCATCATCTTTGCCATCACTACAACTCACACCTCCATCCTTACCTCCAAGATCCTCAAATTTCAACTCTTCTCTTTGTTCTTCCTTGGAAGAGCCCTCAGCAACACCGGAGGACTGAACAGTCGAGTCCTGAATTTCCCCCACTGGAATATCATCAACTGCATCTTCCGCAGCTCTCTCCAAATCTACTTCCCGCCCATCAAACACAAGCACCACTTTCTTCTGTAAAGTCTCCCCACCCCCACCATCAGAATGACGTACACCTAACCCTGAACCCCCAACTTCTTTATCTACTTCACTACAAGAACCACCACCTTCCTCCACTGCCACCTTCTCAGCGGAAGTCTTCACGCTCTCACTCTCTCCCTCTCTGTTTCCCTCAACTTCCCCAGTAGCAAGCTCGGCAACCGGGGTAATCTCACTACCACTAGCAACAGGCTCAGTAATTGTGACTGTAGATGAAGAACCCAAATCATTACTCAAGGAAACAGCCTTGTCCTCGCTCCCATCCATGGACACTGGGTCAATTTTCAAAACCTAAAAAATGGAACCAACTTTCAGCCAGGAAAAGCAAGAAGCGGAAAGTAAAGAAAAATTCACTGATAAAACCCTAAACAGCAGATGCTAACTAATGTAGGTTGAGAGATCAAAACTTACCAAAATAGTCGTGGAACAGAATCAAGAACACTGCTTTACAACGCCGTCGAGGAAGGGTAGAGTCATGGGTCCAAATTGAGTGACTGTATACCTTATTGCTGCTAGATCTTGCTTGCGGGAACCAGACGAACCAAACAAGGCTATGGAAGGAAGGCCTTTTTTCTTTCTTTTTTGTTCCGGTTCCACCCCTGCCCGTTTGTGCTAGACTTGGGCAGCCCAAAGAAAAAAAACGGGGGGAATTTTGGTGATCTTTTTAATTTTTTAGGAGCGATCTGAAAGAAAAAATTAGTAGTGGAATGAAATTCTCGTAAATAGGGAGGATTTTTTTGGGTATTCTTGTATATTTAGAGCATGTCCAACAATGCAATATTTCTTCAACAATGCAATATTTCTTCATTTTCAAGTGTGGTTTCTTCTACCATCTAAGAAACTCTAGCAATTATTTCACTTATCAATTTCATACTAGCTACATCAATGTCATTTCAATGCAATTGCACTTCTGGGTCACACTTAAATTTTAATATCACATAAATGGTTGGGAAAAGAAGAAAGAAAAACAAAAACAAACAAGGGACCCAATTGAAATTGCATGTCAGATTTACATGATGTGCAAATTTTCACTACTTGAAATTGGTCTTGCATCAATGTCATCCACTTTTTCAATTGCACATGGCTGCCACCTCAGCTTGCAACTCCCTCCATTTGCACCATTGTCCATTGGAGATGCTCTTACCAGAAATTTGTTATTTATAATTGTGCTTTGCCTGTTCTTATGTTTTCACTTTTCCCAGTGCAATCTTGATTACTTCCAACCCCTTGGCTGCAAGATATGAAGATGCAGAAGATCCGATCAAGGACTGAATTCTCACATTTTGATACATAATTGAGTGTCTACTAAGATCGTAAGAAATAAAAAATAACGATACCAACTAGTGTCCCAGTTAGTCTTTGAAGATTTAGTTTCAATAACCCCTGTTTTTTTTTACTTTTCATAACACCATACTTTTTAAGAAACATAAATTTTGAGAGAACATCCACATCAAATGTTCTTGTTCTATTGTTAGTATTTTCACTTTCATTATCAATACTATTCGACCTTAAAGGCACGATTCAAGTTACAAACATGATATGATCAACCTCAAATTTGGACATTCTATAATCGTTCAACCCATGTTTGGATAAGTAGATTGGTCGCTCAAACGACCAACCCAATCCGTCAATTTGTGGCCCAACTTTTCCTTTTATGTAAAAAGACCACATTGCTCGAATTGAAACACGTCTCTCATGCGAGAGAGAGCATTATGACCTATATTGCTCCATTGGAGTTGATAACTTGATATATTTTCTTGAATTAAAACGTATAAAGATGTTTAGTTCATGGTGCCATAATTTTTATATTTTATTATCTGTCGGGATTCGATAGCTAATTTAATATGATTTCTATTCTATAGCAAGAGAATAGTCATCAATTTGGAGCTCTAAAAAAATATAGTTGCTGTATGTTTATCTGAGAACGAGAGTGCATTTAGTTGTATTTAAACTGATATGGCAAGGGGACAACAATGGAGTTATAGTCAATTGACATGGAGGCATTGTGAGCCCTAGAAATTGGAGATAGAAAAAATTGATAGGGAATAAGCACACAGTAGCTATGATGCTATGAAGATTATTCACCATGCTCTGTGATTTACCATACAAGTTGAATTTGTACAAGAAATGCAAATTTACAAGGTTTAGTTCGTACCACAAAAGAATGTCTTCGAGTTTTGTTTTTTATAATGATGCGTCTTCGAAAATTTATAAGTACAAATTGAATCGGTACCATAATGTCAATAGTACAAAAGGGGCATTGCTATAATGTCAATATATACGAGTTGTTCATAATGTGGTGGATGTTCTCATCCCCACATTATATCACCAGGCCAACCTCTTGTGATGAAAACATATAATTTTTTTTGTAGGATGTTGGCCCCCAGATTCGGAATTAGAGTGCGACAAATGTTCTCATCTCCATATTACCACCAGGCCAACCCCTTAGAATTGACTAAAATTGTACCATAACATTAAAATACAAGTTTGTACTTTTAATAGCGTTGTAAAATTCATGCACACTATTGAATCGGATGACAAAAAATCTGGTAGAAAATATGTCATGTCCCCCTTACTACTATACTATCCTTATCAAATGTTGTCAGAAGGCTTTAGACCCCTTATGGATCATGTTAGACTATGAGTGATGCATGATGCATTTTCAGTAGTGGAAATAAATATGCAGAGTACTGTAGGGCTTTCAGCTTAGTGTGGAAATAGCCATTGATACATCCACATCGTTGAATTGATGTCTATCGATCCCCATTCAAAGGAGGAGGAGCTGCTGCTAGCAGTCAAGAATACCAGCTTCTGAAATAAACTGCACAAGGCCAGGGAAAAGCCCATATCCTGAAGAAAGAATTTAACAACAACAACAATTGAGGCCATGTTCCTATACCTATACCTATCGCCCCCCCCCCCCCCCCCCCCCCCCCCTGTTTTGCTCATGATGAGCAGAGCAGAGCACTTCTCTCCACCAACCATGTGTAGAAAAATATGTCAAAGGCCTTTGTTTTCTGTCTGGCAAGACATGGCATGGCATAAAACCATAGCACGATGCGCCATGTGATGTGGACTGACATCTTCTACCACCTCTTCACTTCACAACACTAACTAATAATAATACCGCCCACTACCACCATCTCGCCTAGCTAGCTTATTATAATATTAACAACCATTAATAATGTGATAAATTCAGAGCTCAAGCTGATCACCAGATGTTGCAAGTGGAGGAGGAAATCAAAGAATCATCTTGGTTATGATTTCATTCATCCATTGAACCTGCCGCTGGTTAAAATTAAAATTAATTAAATAATAGGGTCTTACACTTAACTTAATGACAGTAGTAATGATAATAGCAACGAAAAGAAAGCAACATCTTGGTTTTGTTTTCTTTGATTAATTAAAGAGTTAATAAAAATGACTAACAGAAAAGATGGAATGGGCCGCGACAGATCCAGATAAATAATGTTGACTCTGCAGCAGCAGCAAACCCATGAGCCCAACAACCAGCCCAGCAGCAAGCAGCTTGACGAGATCCACCTTTTCCTTCCTCCGGAAATAATTTGGTTATTTTTGCTTCTTTCTTTTTTCTTTTTTCCCTCTGATTGGATTGCCTTTTGCGTTGTTAAAAGAGTGTTGAGGACCGGCCTGGACTGGCGTCAACAACCAACCTTCTTAAAGCTGGCAACTGCTCCAACCGTCCCACCACCTATTCCACAGCCAAGCAAACTGTCCTTGTAATATCAGTTTAATTAATCCCTCGATCGGCCCACATTATTATTATTAATTAATAATACTTTACCAACCCACCTTAAATCTTTTACCCTTTCCAAACAGTAACAAGTAAACAATTAGTGAATCACCAACAAATCCGTAAACCGTGTTTAATCAATTGATTAGTGACCTAACTGGGTGGGAGGGCAGTTTGAAGGGAAAAAGTGGGGCGAGTAAGAAAGAACTGGGTCAAAGCATCTGACCAATTGGGGAGGCCCATGTGGGCCGGGGCATCTCTCCACTAATTGGCCAGCTGGGGTGAAAGAGAGTGGAGCCCACGATTACAACCCAGCCTCAATAACAGCCAGGGAGGGCACGTGACACGATGATTCTTTCTTGACCGAGGTTGGACCAAATTAAAAATATATATATATTTTTTGTAACGGATAAAGAAAAAAAACCCTAAAACCAGACAAACAAAACCAAAGGAAAAGAGCTCTGTTGTTGGTTGGTTGGAAACTTGGAATTGCATGTTCCCATGTGATTGATCAACCAAGTAAGTACCATACGGATGAGAACGGAGAATTCTTAATCATAGAGATCAGAGAGCCAGGAGCGGGATCATGCATGTGATTAACTGCTTAACTGCAGGTTTAATTAACATATACTCTAATCTAATTATAGTTGTATACATAAACAATATAATAATCAATTACCGGAGGTAGGAGGCGCGGCCACCATGGACGGCGGTTTCGAGATGATGGTCGGAATGGGCCCCGCAGCCGATGTCGCCGCCGCCGCCGAGTACATGGGCAGCCCCATCGCCGCCGATTGGTGGTGCCCTCCGTAGTACTGGTACACCGGGTAGTATGGCATCACCGCCGCTGCCTGCCCGGTTCCCGGGTACACCTGATGGTGACCGTACTGCCCACCGCCGCCGCTCATGTACGCGCCGCCGCCGTAGCTCAATTTCTGCACATATTAACCCTAATCACAACTCCTCTCCATAATCCGAGTATCAATATTCTGGATTACGTTGGTAGCCCATAAATACCTGATTGTAGCCCATGTCGGTTGCAATGTAGGTCGGAGCGTACCTGATTATTAAAACACAAAAAAAAAAAAAAACATGTATTACTAGTTTGATCAAACAAAAAAGATAAGGATCGGATCCGGGTCGGGATCAAAGGCTTTACCCGTACCCGTAGAAAGGGACGGCGTGATGGTGGTGGTGAGAGAAAGTTGTCGCGGATGCCGCAGCTGGATAGTACCACTGAACTTGCTGATGATTGGCTGACGTGGACCTCACCCCAACGTTGGATCCTTCATTGATCATCACCAAAGGAAGGGGGGAAAAGTCAGTAAAAAAAAGAGTTGGGAAAGAAAAGTGTGAGACCGTTTTAATTTCTTAACGGCTGGATGAGCTAGTATGTAATAATCGCTCTGCCAGCTAGAAAGATAATTAAATTAATCCAGCGTAATTAGTAACGGCTATTACGTACCTTGTTGATTATGATGGTGGTGGGGATGATGTGGCAGCGGCTGATGATGATGCGGAATCGGCGGCGGAAGGGGCGGAGTGGTGGAGGCGGGCGGCGGACCAGCGGACCTCGGCTGGCGGCGAGCACCGAGGGAGGCGAGGTTGCAGTTGGCGCGGCGGCCGTTGATGATGGGAGTCGCGTCCTCGCAGGCCTTCTTCGCAGCTTCAGCTTCCTTGAAAGTCACCTGTTGTAGTGATTTAATTGAATTAGATGAAGAATTAATTGGGGGGAAATTGGAATTGAAATTGGGGGAAAAGGGGGGAGGGAGGGGGGATTACGAAGCCGTAGCCCTTGGATCTGCCGGTGAGCTTGTCGGAGATGATGACGGCCTCGAGGATCTCGCCGTACTTGTCGAAGTGGTCGCGCATCGCGTCCTTCGGAGTCTCCCATGCCAGTCCTCCAACGAAGACTTTGGTCAGCGTGGTGTCGCCGAACTGCTGACCGGCGCCCCCGCCGTTATTACTGGTGACACTGCTGTTGCTGCTCATCGTCATGTGATCTTGAAATTGCTCCGGCGAGGGGCGGTGGATTGGAGATGTTTGGACGGAGGAGAACGGAAGAGGGAAGCGGAAGGGAGATTGTAATTTATAAAGTCAGGAAGAAAGTGAATATTTAGTAAAGGGGGGCTGGGCTGGCTGAGAACAACGCAGACAACACAAAGCCAGTGAGGCGGACAGATCAGATCATTCTTTTATACAATTTATTTATTTATTAAATACAAATAAATTATAATATATAATAAATTTATAACAATTTTTTTTTTTTCTTAAGGAGATTTACCCCCGGTTTCCGAAGTAGGGGAGGAAAAGGAGGGGAGGGGAGGGAGAATTTGGAGGGGAAGGAAAATTGGAGGAGAAGAGAATTGGAGAGAAAATGTTGTTTTATGGGGAAAGTGAAAGAGATAGTGGGAGGGAAATAGTATATAGGAAAGTGTGATAGATATGTTATTTTATTGATTATGTAATAGTAAGTATGTGTAAAAAATGCGAAAATGAATATTATGAATAACCAATTTCTACATAACCATGATCATTTTTATTAATTGTTAACGGAACATAAATTGTTCATTTAACTTAATTTTATTTTTTCATACAAATTTTGATAACCTTTGTAGTACAAGATGACGTTCATTCTATAAAAAATGTATCACTCTGATGCCGTTTTACTTGAAACTTACCACACATTTACGTTCCACGTAATTGTGTAAAATAATATTTTGTGTGACTCATGTGAGCCCGTCAATTTAAAAAAATTCTCATATAAATTGGATTAGCTCTACTGTACAAAATGACATCCATTTTGTAAAAATTCCCCTCTTATATCGTTTTTACTATGAATGTAACAAACTCTTATATCTAACGTAACTATTTTATGTATCGTGTAAGACAACACTATATATGACGTAAATCACACATTTGGTTCGGTTCGATCCGGTCTAAATATCCAATAAGTAGATAAACATCTTGCATTCTTGCTATAAATTTCAAGTTTATCAAATTTGTCGTATGAAACATGTCTACATAAAATACCATTGAACTATCATGTCATAACGAAAATAATTTGATCATTGGTTATGAATTGTAGATTAAATTTTTACTTTCTTACTAATTTTGGTCACTATTAAAAATCAAAAGTAGAATAGTACGGAAATATGTCGACGGTTAGATCTAATGGTTGACCGTTACTTCTATAAAAAATCATCAATTTGAATTCAAACTAAAATTCCGTTATATCGTTATATTGATTCGTGATTTTCGTACTAATTCACTATGATATATAAGTTAGCAAACCATTATTTTAATAATGAGGAGTAATCCCAATTATTCAGCTAAAATGGATAACAAATTGTAATGACTTCTATCATTATCTAAAACCCTCCGCCGTCTTCTTTTCATTTTGTATGATTCCTTTTCCTATTTTAATAAAACAATAAATATCTTAGAATCACTTCTTAATCACAAATCTCTTTTCCTCTGCCTTTCCTTGCCAATTTATTATTATTATTATTATTATTAAAATTGAGCTCTCCAATTCCTACGGGCTACAGAGATAAAAGAGAGAAAAAAGAAAGAAAAGAGAGATTGGTACAAACAAACAAAAAAGACAAGGGAACTCATTATTTTCCCTCCGATTTGGGGGTGAGACTAGTACAGTACGCGGCCCCTCCACTTTCCCTCACCTCTGTACTGTAGAACATTTCGGAAACGGGAGAAATTTTATTGGAACCCACAATTCCCTCATTTCCCTTTCCTTTCTCTCATTTTCCCTGGCAAAGAAACAAGGGGTTAAGAGAAGTGGGTCGGGTTTTCATTAGGGGGAGTGTTACTGTTAACAAATAGCAATTAAGAATGTGTGATTGTATTGATCATCTCTCTCTCCGGCCTTTTGCCCTGCCCAACCTTTTCTTTTTCCAATTGATACACTTCCAGTCGTGTATTAAGAACAAAATCGGCTTCGGCACTCTAACAAACAAGGCTGCTTTTCTTTTTCTTATCTTTTCTCAAGGATTATGCACAATCATTTATTATCATATCATACTTCAGTTTCTACAATACTATGCAATACCAAAAAAACCAAGAAATAAAATAAAATGTTGTTTGCGATGAAAGTTTTCATCATGTTTAATTTACTTCGACTTTAGTACATAACTGATGTCACTAATTAAATTCACACCTACTTAGGATACTTTTATGGACGAGGACATATGATGATTGCAGTGAATTTAAACTAAACTAGTTTTATTTATATAGATATTAATTGATAGCTCCGTAACTACTCTTACGCTTATGGATGGCATTTCATGGAAGTAGATCTTCGCAACTATGATTATAAGAGAAGGAAAGATAAATTGGGACAACGAGTTTGTTTAATTAATTTATTGAATTTGGTTCATATATCTAAATTCAGAACAAGAGTTTACATGCAGAGATCTATTATTTGTTTGTCCAACGAGAAATGGTGCCAAATTGTAGGGGTCACAGAATTATACAAGACTTGAAAAAGGTGACTTAATGTTTTGTTATTAAGGACCAATTCCCCCCTATTTTTTAGCCACTTAATTAGAAGGCGATGAAATCAAGTATTTTAATGGAAGAAGGAATCAGAACTGGACGACCTGTAAATACTGTATCCATGGAGTTTTGTTGGAGCTATGGGAGTTGTAGACAGGTCGATCTACTGTGACTTTTTTTCGTCGAAAAGGATTAAGCCAAACAAACCAGTAAATTGACACATAAAATAATAATAATTATTATTATTCTTATAATTAATAATCATAATAACGGTGGCATGTGGCCATATATAGGTAATCAAGCTATAGTTTGGAAAATATAAATTAAAGCATTTACTAAAGCACAAAAGGAAAAACTAGGGCAAAAAATACAGAACGATAAACACAAACAAACATGCAGAAATAATGTACGTGATGCTTTTGTAACCGGTTGGTCGTCCTCTTGTGTGTGTTAGAATCGATGCGTACGTGCTGCCGGCGGCCGCAGTTATCGCTGTCTTTTTGCCGGCGGGAACTCTTTCTCCTTATTTTGTTATGTGTTCACTTTTATATACTCAACTTCGTCTTCACTCTGTCTCCCTACTTAATTGGTCATTTGCTAAAGGTCAATGATCCTTTAGTCAATCGCTTGCTATGCCTTCGGTGCACTCACTTTTTTTGGTGCATTCAATGCACCCGCCTCATAATCGTCATTCTAAGCAGACGATTCATGTGAAAACGATGTCAATCATCACCTGTGGTATGATGAACAAGAACCACATGAATTTGTACAAAAAGCATTCAAGATTCACTTTAATTTGGATGATTCAGGGTTTAGGAATTTAGGGTTATGGTTAGGGTTTGCAATTTGGGATTTTGGGTTGAGATTCAAAATTGAAGGTTAATAGGTTAGGGTAATGGGTTGATTTGTTGGGATTCTATGTTATATCATCATATTAGACTAATACAACCCATTAAATTTCAAAATTTAATGTATTATGACCACTTTTAGAGGTGGGTGCACTGAATGCACCAAAAAAAGTGAGTGCACTGAAGTAGCCAAAGTTAGAGCTAGCTAGCAACTGATCAAGACAATTTATCTACGGTGACGAGAGATTTAAATATAAAAATTCAGCACCTTGTTTCAATATTATTGGAGAGAAATATGAATCTCTTGTCGTCACGAAAGAATTCGTCGCAGAAGGTACAGTTTCTTGTAGTGCATTCTCTTCCTCAAAATCAGAGTCGGAAAACACCAAGTTACCACAAAGACTTATAAGTAAATGTATTTGAGTACGTGTAGTTCGAACAGTAATACTACGTACGCTTACTCTGCACCTACATACTCTAATAAAATGTCCTCAAAATGAGATGGAAGGCCATACACATAAATCATAAATGTGTGTAATTGAGGAGGCCAGGCCAACAGATAGATGTGGGGTGGTGAGATATTCATGTGACGATCGATATGGATCCTTTCCTTTGAGACTGCATTATATATATTGCAGCATGCAAATAAAGTAGCGGTGCAAATTGCAGATAGCCAATTATCTAGTGTCTGCAAATGCATATGGGATTGGATATGTATTTCCACTGTACGTACACTCTTCATACTTACTGTCTGTCTGGAATTATTAACTATTAACGTGGCCAGCTATATATATGGCAAAAGCGAGCTGCATAATGCATATGGAGGAGGGTGGAAGAGAGAGAGGGAGAGGGAAAAGTAGGAGTGTTCTTACAACCAAATAAGGCTAAATTTTATTAACCATGGAATACAATATCATAACCAAACCGTCCAAACTAATACAACAACCAAATTAACAAAACTAAAGTTTAATCGGTTTGGTTAATTGGTTAACCAGATTAACCAATATAAAATCACATTATCATTTGACGATGAAAATTTTCCAGTTAATGCAACAATTCGCAATTTATATAATGAATAAAACATAACAATCAACACATAGTTATAGTTGATCCTTAACATAAATACATGCAACTAAGACAATTATCTCACGGTTAGTATAAAAGTATTCACCTAACAAAAATTTATCACAATGGTATGGGTTAATGAATTGTTGTGTTTGTTTGAATTGACTTAGGCTTTTAGCAATTTTCATAGGCTGAAAAGGACCTTACTTTCAAGTTTTCATCCAACATAATGTATGAGATTTATCTAAATCAGGCGTTCATATGTTGTGGTCTATACTCTATATATACAAATATACATTACAGGAACAATATCAAGCTTTATATTTTATGAGTCCAAAAGGGATGAACGTTTAACTCTTGAGTGGTTATTCAAATATTAAGTATGTGTATATATTAGATATATGGCTAATTATTTATCTGGTTAATTTGGTTATGGCTGGTTAGGAGTGTCTGAAACCAAACCAAACCACCTAAACCAAACAAGCTAAGAACTTCAACCAAACCAAATTATTCCAATAGTACTGGTTAAAACAGTTACCATGGTAACCACACCGTTTTGAACACCACTAGGGAAAAGAGGTTAGATTAGAAATTCTCTGCAAAAGCAAGGGGCCAATGACCTATCCTCCCATATGATATATATGCACCCACTCTTCTACCTCTGACCAACAGATTCTTATATGGGAAAATCCACGCGGAGGGAAAGATATATATATTGATGAAACTAATAATTAATCAAACATTTTTTTTTTAAACATTCAAGCACTTAGTATCGATGAAGCTTATATTTCATGTATTCGGGAACTGGCTTCCAACCAATACGATGAGATTGTGGTGATGAGGTGGCTACAAGAACAAGAAGCAAACTATAGGAATGAGTAGTGTGTTGAAATTTTTCTTGGTCACTAACCATGAGATCAATTTTTATGATACATGGTTATGTACTATATATGTTGGCATCATATTATTTCATATCATATCATGTTATTTCATATCAATTAGTAAAAAAAAAATAAAAAAATAGAATACATAAATTCTCATGAATATTATCAAAATGAGACAAGTCCACGTAATCAAAGTCTTAAACCATGCGCGATGCATATGTGTTGATGAGATCTATAATCTAGCAAACCTATCAATTACCAACAAACTAAGTCAACTCACTGGCTACAAATGGATGGATTCATTCGTAAGCCACTACTCGAACTATCTCGCGTTAACACACTGTCGAGCCAACTCAAACAAACGTTCGAGCGTGGAACGAGATAGAATGTGGAACGAGCTTTCCCCGAGTTAAACATCAAACTGCTCATACTTAGCCACAAGCTCTCACCATTTTGAGCTCTTGGTACTCTCTCTCTTGCTTGCTGCTTCAAACTCCAACTCGAACTCCATGTTAGCTGATAACCAATTCGATAAGAAACCAAAATTTTAATACCCAATATTTTCCCTTTTCTAAAGAACAGAATAATTCATAGGAAATTGAGTAGTGGGGATAGTGGGGGAGTGGCCAGGTGGGAATGAGAGGACTGGGGAACAAGGGGTCCTCCTCCTCTCTTCTTTCTTCAGTTCATGGACATGGTCTCGTGGAGCAATGAGCTGGATTTTGCAGAACACACACTCTCCAAAAACAAACTACAACTCGTCACCTCACTCAGACTCGCTCAGTTACTCACCCCAACTCGGACATTCCATCCCTGTTTTTTCACATGGCCATTAGTTATCATGACTCCCTAGTATAGTATAGGACTAAAACAAATTACCTACATCTTCATTCTTATATCTTAATTATGTACCGATTCAGTACTAAGTACATTTTTTTTTTGTAGATTGTACTAAACTAGTACATTGATTTTGGATGTCTGATTTGAAAATATTTATGAAAAACCATACATGTATATTATTTAAAATCTAAACACTAAATTTCAGGGGCGTTCAGTTCGGTCTGGTAAGGATCGAATCAAACCATGAAAACCTCGGTCTGGTAAGGACCATACCATCATTGTATTCTGTCTAGTGTGTGGAAATAGATTAAAGCTTAACTTAAATAACAATCAATCGGATGTCAAATTAAAACAAAAATCATGTTTCATTGGGGTTACGTAAATGGTTCCATTCTTACCTCTCTTCCGATTACTAGCGAGCCACGAGACTTTTAACCTGCTTTTTCTTAATCCGAGAACCGGAAAATGTTGATATTCCATTCCATGCAGGGGCGGAGGTAGCTAGTAGTTAGGGTGTTCCATGGCACATCCTTGGATTTGGGATTATCACGTAAAAAACGGAGGTATTAGTTTATGCTACAACTAGGATTTAACATGGCCCTTTGTTATTAGCTTTGGCATCTTCCATCAAATCACAATTACTTACGTGACACACTAATACATTTATTGTATATATATAACTAATTTATCGTTTACAAATAATAATTAAATTAAATTTAAAAACTCATAATTGTACCTTATCCAAGCAGTAATCGAAAAAGTTATATCTATGAAATGAAGAGAGATCGATAAGAGGTTCACTTGAGTAGAGGGGATTGCTGAACTTTCTAGTAAGATGGTTTCTACAAAGCAGCAGTGGTAGTGGTGGTGGGGATGGAATTTTACAGCTAGCTAATAGAATACGCGGTGTTGAGCTAGCTGGCAAGCTGCGTGGGTCGTGCAGGCAGCAAATGATGGCCACGTCGTGCAAAGGTTAGGACTATGTCCAACTGTCTACTGACTGCTTAACCACAAAATTCATGCCTAGATATTATATATATTACTGCTTAACCATTAATTGCACAACCAGTCCACCACTGCTGAATATTGCTGATGTTGCTTAACCCAGCAGAAACCGCAATGCAATGGTGTCCACATTTTACATCTTACAAAATCACAACAGTTTTATTATCCAGTTGCATATATACTTCGGTTACGTACAACAAACCTATAATATAATAAACGGAGTTTTAGCTTCGTTACGATCCATATATAGCGAACAATAACAACACTTGGCTGGCTCGCCCATACTGCTTGCTGCTTGCTGGTCTCCTAACCAGATTGGGTAACTAATAAGCCCTTCTCACTCAACTAACTAACTAACTAACTAGGCTTTTATTAATTACTACTTAACTAACTAACCATGATTGTTTGACCCTTTTCCTCTCCTCACATTAACATCACCGCGACCCACGTGGCATGAGACAGGTGGCATCATCAGGGTCACGTGGCATCACTATTATCTCCTCTTCATGCTTCTCCTGGGGTTGTGGGTGGCGGACAGCTAGGATAGAGTACACAGACCAGACCAGACCAGACCACCATTGTTGGAATTGAAAGGACGCCAACCCAAATTCCTAATCAATCATGTCATGCTCATGCATGCTTATATATATATATATATATATATAATAAATACATTACAGCTGAGCTCGTCATTCGTCAATGAATTTCATTGTGTTCAGCCGATAATGATGTTAGTTAGATTAGATCCCTTCTCGCACATAGACATAACATTAATACCATGAGTCGCTTCGCTTCGCTTCTTGTCTAAGTTTGCTTCAGACAAAAGTCAACAGACGGACTCCCTCTTGTGTTGTGTGTTCTACTACTCTACTGTATGTTTTCAATACCATCATCATCATTCATCAGTATCTCGAGCAACCAGTCCAACAACTAACGGGTTAAGATCTAATTGGTAAAGCTTGGTTTGGTGAGGGTGGATGCGTTTAAGTCCAGACTTTGGATCGACCAACTTCTCTGATTTGGTCATGATCGCAACCAAACCGAAATGGACCACCGATTCAACCACGTCAACCTTTCCATTACGCTACAGTTTTCATTTTTCACTGCAACGCTTCATATCATTCCACACCCGCCGCATTCCAACTGAATTTCCCGACAACATTAAAAACCGGTGGCTCCTCAACATTCATTCTACACCCCTACTGTTGTATCCTACAGCTGCTACCAGTTACTAAAGACATACTAACAGTCAAGTCAACAATCTACCTACCTATTCGCCACAAACAAACAAACAAACAAACAAGCTTCACCAGTCCAGCCCACGGACATAATTATCCATACCACTTACCAGGCAACTCGTTACCATTACCAAGGCTCTACCTCGACAAGAAATGCTAAGGCCTAATTAATCCAGACAAGATGTGCCCCCCAAGTTATAAGAGATTCCAGACTGCAGACATTGATTCTACTAACTAAACATCTTTCCAGACACATGATACTACTGATCAATGCATTCGGATTAATCAACTCAAACTTCGTTCGCAACCGTCTACAGATGTCTTCAAATGTTTAGATCCATATGTGGGAACAACAACGAAATTTACAGACACTAATCTCTCACTATCATCAAACCTTGTTCTCTTCTCAACAATAATACTCCCCAACACTAACATTCAAAACCATTCGTATCCACACATTGGTTCCAATCACACCAAAAGGAAACTATAAAGACATCAGATATAAGGTGTCCCACAACCAAACCGTTTTACCAGCCTAGGATACTTTGCATTGGTAAATATGATACACTGCTCAACTCCCTACTCATTGCCTTGCATCGAAGGTACTATCATATGCTGTCCTTGTCCCTGCACACCATCAACAGCAGAGCAACACAAGGTTACAATGACAAACAACCATGCTCAAGCGAAATCAGATAAAAGCGCCACCATATGAGGAATACATAAGATGAACAAGAAAACATGTACAGGAGATGCAATGAAATGAAATCCTAAACATGGACTATTATACCATTAACGAGCACCAATATGACACATGATTTCTAACTAGGTCTACAGTGAAAGCAATGCCTGTTAACAGGTTGGAGAAAATGAGCAGACGTTGAGCAAATCCGACCAAATAAAAAAACAGCCCAAGAGTACTAGACAATACAACATACAGTGAGCGGAGATAAGAGGGAGTCATGGGTGCGTGAATATTACACAGCTTAATATCCCTAAATGTCATTTTTCAAAGGAGGCAGTCCCAAGAGTGAAGGAGAGTTTGAGCCTACAATTGGGGAAAAGAGGGGAGAGTGGAAAGGGGAATGGAGAGAGAAAGAGAGATAGACATACCTGCGAACTTATGTAGTTCATTGCACCCTGTATAGCATACTGTCATATTCAGGCACCACGACCGCAACACAGGAAAGAAACAAGTCATATAGAGTTGCACTCACTGAGCTAGAAGACTAAAACTTCCAAAACATAACCATTGGAAGCAAAACCCAGAAAATTCAAAGTTACCTGTGCATTTTGAGCAGACATGCCACCAATTGGTTCCCTTTTGGCAGATCCTTCACCCCTAGATGAAGACCCTTTGGCATCTCCCTGCCATACATTGTTTAAGATTTAAAACCAATATAAAAGGATATAGATTTGAATAGATGATTGTGTAATTTTAATACAGAGAGGGTGTCAAATTACCTCCAACTATGTCGCCACAATCACAGCAGAACAAATTAAACCAAGAAAAAACATAGGAAAAAAAGATTGTCAGGCCCCATATCACCAAAACTGTGAAACCTTGACGATAAATAAAAAGGAAGCGGAAAGGAGTTAAATGAATGATCAGTTACCTCTCTGTACCTATTAAGGTACGCCTTGAGTGGCTCAATATAATCCTCAAAGCCTAAAGTTGCCATTGCCCATAACAAATCATCCCCATTGATTGTCTTTCGCTTCTCCTTTTGACATTTATCACTCGCCCTTCAAAGAAAAGAACAAATCATTCAAGCCAGTTTCTCAATCACTGAAATCCCCCACAAACATAAGTACATGGGCAGTCCAGATTAACATCCACAAAAGTAAAGTAAAATCTATATACTTAGAAAACTAATATATGTCCCTGCATTTCGCAATTGGAAACCTTATGTGGATAACTCTAGCAACGAAAAATAGAGAATGCAATAATTTCCAAAGAGAAAAAGTAACCAACGATACCACAAAACATAAGAAATGAACCCTGAGAAAATACAGCCGCCACAGTTACAGACAGGGCAGTGCCCAGAATAGAACCTTGAAATTCAAGAATGTAGCTGTTTCAAACAGTTTAGCCACCATCAGGAAACCAAAACCAAACTCAGTCTACACCACACATCACAAAGTTCACCTAACCAGAAGCAACCATCTATTAGAAAAAAGAAAAGGAAAGTCCAACTTCTACACAACAGTCAATCACACAAAACCAGATAAGAACATCAAACTTACTCGCTAGTAATGAAGCTGATAAACTCGGAGACACATTCCTGGACAGTATCCTTGGCGTCCTTAGCGATTTTGCCGTTGGCCGGCAATGCCTTCTTCATGATCCTGCTAATGTTGGCGATAGGGAGGTACCTGTCCTGCTCCCTAACTCCAGAGTGAGGGCTCTGCTCACCCCCACTCTCATGACTCCCTCCTGCCGGGCTACCTGGATTATCTGCCATCCCGTAGCACGCCGCCTAAAATCACACACACACACACACCAGAAAGATTTCAGTGCTGCCGCAAACCAAAAATAATGACATACCGCCATAAGAGGAGCAGCTCCAGCAAAATCCCCTACAGAACTCTCATCCCTAGGAACCTCAGCCGGAATCGTGAAATTTCGCCCCCACTTTCGTGTACATCAAAACCCTACCGTTTAGCTGAAGAACGGGAAAAATTAGGAAATCCCCAAAACAATATATCTGCCGACTGCCGCAAAACTTGACCTCTCCAACTCACAACCTCTTGAATACACACTAAACCGAAAGTCCGAAACCAGCATACACGTACCACATACTTGAACTGTTGAACAAATAATAAAAGGGGGGAAAAGAGCAGACCTAAATGCCTAGCAAACGCCAGTTCAAGGCATGATCCAAGCAAAATCGGACGCACAGGCAGAGAGGAGAACAAAAAAGGAAAAGAGAGAAAATGAAGGAACTAGAAAGAGAGGCGAAATCGGAACCCTAGGGTTTAACAAAAAGAGGGAGAGAAGGAGAGCTGGTGGGGAAGAAGAAGAAGCATACCTGAAGAGCGAGAGAGGGAAGGAAATTTTGTATTTGGGCGCGCAGGGAGAGAGGGAAGGAGGATGATTGGTTGGAATGATTGTTATTTTTGGTGGTTTAATCTCAGACGGAGAAACGCCGCAGATCTGACGATGGAGAACACAAGGCGGCGATCCAACCCCCCAGAGAGAGTTTTTTTGCTTTTTTCCTCCTCGCTCTGATGAAGCGACACAGAGAGAGAGAGAAGCGGAGCTAACGATTATTGGATTTCGATTGCGGTTTGGTTTCTCTCTCTATCAATCAACTAACCGTTGGTTCCTTCCTCTTTTCCGCTCCCCCCCTCCTCGTTTTATATATGCTGTCCAGTGGGCCCCGTTCTTCTGGGCCTTGTTTCTTGGATCCCAATATTTCCCTTTCCGTCATTGGGCCTTCGCGACTACATTATCCAACAATTTTCTCCTCCGTGATCAGTGGGCTGGCTGTGTTTGTGTAGTCCAAATGGATCTTGGAAAATGGTGGCAGGATCAAGCTTGTTACCAAATCAAAATTTATACTTAGGTCTAGTGGTAATATTTGTGGCTTAAAATCTGGAAGTCACATATTTGAATACTTAAAAAGATTCTCTTGGAATTGTGGATAGGGTAAATCTTGGATGAAATTATATGACAACTGTCACGATCCGTAATGTCGTGACTGTATTGGGCGGCCGAAGAATTCTAAGAAACACCTAAAACTAATTAGGTATGCAAGGATTTTGTTTCATAAGTTAATACAAGGAATTTGAATGGTTTATACGGTTGACCCAACTACAATGTTAAGTTTGAGCTACACTTATTTAGTCCGACACCTAGTGGTGAAGATCACCAAGCAGGTGGCCATTTTCATCAACAGCCATCGTGGGAAGCCAGCTCATTACAAAAAGCTGCCGGCGGCTCCTCCGTATATGCTACACAAAGAACAAACATAACTACCCAAGCAAGAGCCGAACAAAGCCATTAAAGAATCCTCAATTTCCTTCTGCACCATGCGCAGCCACATGAGAAGGTTGGTTTCTTTCATTATCATCCGGACAGGTATTCGTTGCAAGCGTACGAACGATTCAGATTCAGATGGGATATCCCTCCAGGTCGGCCTTGTTCATCACCTCATTCTGGCCAAGCAAGGAAAACCAACCAACATATGAGCATTCCTAAACCCCCATTTCAGCCTCCATACAATGGCCTAAAACTCTTCCCCTACATTGATGCTGGTGCCGTAAACATGGAAAGAAATGTTAACCAAGCTCCAAGGATCAGATATAGGTTTTCTACCTGGATTATCGATGTGATCCTCCCAGGATTTATCTGATACCCACAGAAACAAACTAATTTTGTCAATTGCCGAAACGACAGAAGATTTATCAACCACTAATCTCCCCACTGCTGAGATAGAGATTAAGCATTTCAAGATGTTTCACATACCCCAAACTGCTTTTCCTCCCATGAGATATCCTCGAGAGCTTTATGTTCCAACGACTCCCATGAATGTGGGAACTGTATTTTTTCCACATGCTGCAAAATTCTCAGGCTGTCTGCAATTAAAGATAGAAGGCATTGACCGAATCAATATTGGGAATCAGTAATACCAGGGAACTGAGTTCAACCTCAATCATCAAACGGAGTGCTAGCCAGTAATTAGATGAGACATGTCCAGTAGAAGGCGGAAGCACTCAAACTTAGAAAACTAACATAGACCGAGTACAAAGCTGCATCAGCAGGACAATGACTGACAATGTCTGCAAATGAACTACAACATAACTATAGTTCACATATTCTGCTTTCCAACTTCAGCAAAGAGAAGCTGTAAACATCGGTCACATTCATTATGTCAAGACCCAAATTTGACCATGTCAGTCCAACTGTAGCAACAAAAAGATAAAACTACGTCATCCATGAAGATAACCAGCCAAAAACTTTACTTGTAATAAATGCTTCCTGCCACAATTCACGCTCTGACCATGAAGGAGCAACTTCTTGAACTGGTATCCCTTTGCTTAAGCATGCACTTCACAGTAAAGAACAACTTTGTCAGGAATCCTCTTCAAGTAAAGAGGAAGCATAGAGATTTTGTCAATAAAAAAAGGAACAGGAGAGAATATCAGTAAAAGAAGTACAAGTCACGATAAGACTTGTTTAGGTTAAAATTGCTCCCATTCAACGAAAATCCGATGAATTCATCACAGCTTATAAATACAAGAAAATATGTCAAGGATTCTGGTTTAGGAGAGCATGCTCTTCGACCAAAGTTGGATGGCTCCAGTGAGTTAAAAACAAATGGAAGTGAAAAGGGGAAAACTTACTCAAGGACCAGTTGACGGATTATTCCTGGAAGAACACCATCAGCGATGGGGGCTGTCTGTACTTCATAATGATACGCATTTTCGCCATCTCCTTTTTCTTCCTGGAAACACATAGATCAATTAGAAATAAGCTGTAGACACATTCTGCAGAATATGTTCAGAGCAGAGTACACTAATTGACCTAGTCACGAAACAATCTAATTAACTTAGTCACTCATTATCACCCTGTCACCTCAAGTTGTTTTGAGATTATAAAGCCAGCTAATCACCATGATTTCAGCTTTCAGAAAGCCTCATGCTTGAACTGTTCAACCATAATAATAGTTGCAAGTGATAGACAAACGTAAACAATGAATGTCTTAATCTAATTGGAGCAGGAGCATACAGTTATTATTGATCTGTTTATCACTGAAGCAACTTGATGAACTATGGAGCACTGATAACAGAGGACATCCTTTTTCCAACATGACTCACCTTGAGACAGACGACGAAGAAATTTGTCAGGCATCCTTCAAGCAAACGGTCTCCATCGTTAGACAACAGGAGCTCCGTCACCAAAGATGGCCTCAATCTCTCCAGTGGCTTCCTTAACCTGGAAACAATTCCCCCCTTGAAACATCCCATTGAGACAAAACGTCGAACACCATAAAGACAGCAAACTACGACACACATTCTCGCCCCACCTCACCCAGTCGGAATACTTAGCTTCAGCCACGCTTCTGCCTCGCCCCACAACCGCCAATCTCGCCGCACTCTCTGGCCGACCAAACGCCGGAGGAACGTAGCCGGCCAAGTGAACATAAATATCGAGCACCTCAGCCACACTCTCTGCTCCGATCACACTCTCGATTCCCCTGACCTTCTCCGCGTTCCCGCTGACCAGAGTCGTGATTGCCAGCTCCTCACCTTCCTTTTTCCTCGCTTCTCTCAACGCAATCGGCAGCACCTGGTCAACGGAGTCCTTAACCAGAGACTTAACCGCTGAATCCCACGCCGATGACTCAACGAACGACGGCGGAAAGGAAATTTCTGATTTCTCGGGCTTAAAGAGCAGTCGCGGGCTTCTAGAGAGGAGAATTCGGGCAGAGTTTGACAGCCGTCGTAAGTGCCTCTCCCAGAATAAGATACACGCGCCGTCGCTGTGAGTCCGAGCCGTCGTGTACGCGCCTGGGTGAGATTGAAGTAACGTGGCCACCGCAGGGACGTCGGGCGATGAGGAAATGACACCGTTGCTGAAAAGAAACTTGCAGTCTGTCATCTCTACTGCTTCTCCGTCCGACGATTAGCTCCGATTTCAATTTTCTTCCAACAACTCTTCGATCTCCAGCTCCGGCCAGTTTTGCTGAAACCAAGCTTCTTCCAAGTCCCGGCCCATTCATTCAAGCCCAAAATAGACAATGAAGCCCGAAGGCCCATACACTTTCACGTCAGAAAAATTCATGCCCGCCCCTTTCCGCCGCCGTGTGGTTTTATCGGAAGCAGTCCAAATTCAATTTTCCCGCGGGACGAACACGCTGCCTCTGATCAGACGGGTTTGGAATCAGAGATCTCTTCATAACGACGGCAAGACTGAACTGGAACGTCGCCTCTTTGGCAGGAAAGCCGGCAAGTGTCCCGCCTCTTCTTGATGAAGAAACTCAGAACCCCCAAGAGATGCATCTCTTCATCCCGTAAAGTCACGAACTTTGATCGGAGAAAAGGGGGAGAAAACGAACAACAATGTCACCAACTGGAACGTATAAGAAACCTGCAACTCCAGTTCCTTCCTCCCCATTCCACCATTCTCAAACGTCGACTCATCAGCAAAGCAATCGGCCTCCACTCACCCATAACAGCAATGGACTTCCCACCTCCTCCGTTGTATCCCGCTCCTAGTCCTACTTTTGAGCCCGTCCCTGTAGCCCAACATGAACTGAAGACCTTCCACCAAGTCGACCGCCGGCTCTACTCCCGACTGGTGTTCGACCTCAACCGTGACCCGGAACAATCTATGAGAGTAATGGCACTATGGCTGTTCTTCGAGCGATCGAAGTACGTCCTATCTATGGTGCAATTTGTACTTCATTTTAACGACTTCCTGATCCTGGCTCTGGCCGATGAAACCATGCTCTGTTGAAGTGTCTGGACTACGAGCATTACAGCCCCTTCGTAGTCCAGTCAATTTACGAGATCCCTCTCCTTTATAACCTCTCCGAGAACCGAATTACCCATGCCTACTTCCGCGAGAATCGGGTTGCAGTCCTCAGGGGAGTTGCCCAACTCATTGCCGATGTCTGCATCAGAGAATTGAATGATCAGTTGGCGTGTGCTGTTGAGAGCAGAGCTTTTGCATTCGCCATGCAACAACAACAACTACAACAGCAGATGCAGCATGGTTGGGATTACTATAGTCCGGAAGTGAGTGAACAATTGTGGACTCTGAATGCCCACCATGTGTATGATGCGGCCGGCGGGAGCTCGCGTCTTCAAGAGGCTGGCACTAGTGTTATGGAAGAATTGAAGGGTGAACTGAGCGGGGGCTACTTGGCTTTGTTGTTGAGTCCTTACGACAATGCTGCTTCATCTTCTTCATCGCCTCAGGTAGACGAAATCAATGCAGGCATGAATAATTTGGAGATCTGCCGAGGAAATGTGACTGAGGGCAACAGTAATGGAGTGCCAGCGGATGAGAGGACTGTTTTCCTGACGTTTTCCAAAGGGTACCCTGTCTCCGAACGCGAAGTCAGAGACTTCTTCTACATGTAAGCATGCGTTTAGCCCTTGTTCAGTCAACTAGCTATCGTTCTCTTCTTCAAAGAGAGAGATCCTAGGATGCAAATTTAACTTGGTGTTTTTTGGAGCAGGAGATACGGAGACATCTATGAAGACGTTCATATGCAAGAAGTGATGACTGCAGCGGAGCAGCCATTGTATGCAAAGCTGGTACTGAAGGTGCAGGTGATGATAGAAGTGGTACTCAATGGGAAGAGAAAAGCCAAGTTTTCGATCAATGGGAAGCATGTTTGCGCTCGCAAGTACGTCAAGAAATCTGCCACGCCACGGTAGTCATCAGTCCCTGTCACCATCACCCCATTGGAGTCAATCTGCGATGAATAATATGCTAGGCTATGTTGTATTCAGCATATATACCACTTGATACACACAAAATTTTGTCAAATCCCCCTTCACAGACATTTTTGTTGCAAGAGATTCAGACTACAGGCCAGGCGAAATCATCTGGCACATATAGATAAATATTAAAGAATATGCAGTTGGAATACATATCACAGAATTCACCAGTCAATTAACAAGTCAGTAAATGAAATTATTGATTTTCAGTGGATCGTTTGGAAAGCCAGAAGCATGCCAGAGCAACTCATAATTGTCAATTAATTACAACCAAGTACAAAATAGATATACAACCAGTGAGGCACCTATTTCAATCTGCTAGGGCTTTAGTTTCTTCTCTTCTAGACCAAGAAACTCAAAGCTACAATATCCTATCTAGACTAGAGCAACTGGAATCCTGACCTGTGCGAGATGTCAAAAACAGATATAATGATTTCAACACTAATTAATACGATGATGAGCCATTCCAGGAAATCAGATTTCCTGTTCTGCAGAATCTCCTGAAGGAAACGGATATTGTGCTGCAGTAGACAGAAGAAAATAGAGTGTCAAACTAATAGTAACAAACCTACTCAGGGTTGGTTAAACTGCATGGCAGACAACGATGAAACTAAGAGGTTTACCTCCACAAACTTCAACTTGAAATCAAGACTTGCAAACCTCTGAGTTAATTCAAACTCATCTCTGAGATATTCCCATATCTGACCAAATTTTGCATCTTTCCATGCTATGTCAGATCTATTAGGAAAAAGAGAATGAAAAGTAGTTAATGCATAATCAACTCTGGCTCTTCAACCATACAGAATCAATATTCCCTAGACCAATTTAGACTGCCTATCTAGAAAAACTAAAAACAAACTAACAGTTTCAGCTACTGCGGTTTTTCATGCTAACTATGAAAATGCTAATAATTCCAGAGGCTAAAACTAAATTACCGTAGCAGAGGTATTTACCTCTCGAAAAGCCCCAGCTTAAGAATAATGTCAGCAAGATTAGAATTTGCTTTGCCTACTAATTGGAAAAGCTTTTTGCTGTCCATGGAAAATGTTCCGGTTTTCTCCATCCCGCGGTTGATGTCAGTGAATTCAGCAACAATTCCATCGACCTGAAGAAAGAAACAGACACATAAGGATAGAGATCCAACAATAAGAAACCTACAAGCTTCAGATATAACAAGAGCGCATACCTGCCGTCCATAGTAGTCAAGAGCAATACTTTGCCCAAGAACACTACCAATCGTACGAATCCCATCAATGTTCAGAAACCGCAACATTATATGATCCAGTCCAGCTTGCATCCAAGTATCTAGATTTGGCTTCTCTATCACCTCATACTCTTTTGGGCACAAAATACAAAGTCAAGTTCAGTCAAAACCTAGACGACTTTCGAGAAATGCAATGGCCAACTTAACATATGGGCAGTCTGGCAGCTGCCAAGAGCTCATCAACACTGACAACTGAATCAAGAGATAGAAACAAAACTCAGCTTACCATCCTTTCTCATCTCATGGAGCACTCCCGTTGCATGATTTCTGACAATTTTCAAGTAAGCATCGACTTCATGTTCACGGGCATTAAACAAGACAATTGATCCATATTGAAACACCACCATGTAACTGCAATTGCTCCCACCTATGCAAGTCCCCAAACCCTGGAAATAGTTTACAGTCAAATTAGAGCAATTGCTTCAATGAAACCCCGATTGGAAACGCCCTCCATTAATACTGACAAGAGCAAGAAAGTAACTTACACTTGTCACGCAAAGATCCCCAAACTTGAGAACAACATAATTAGTCATACGCGATGTGGGTGGGATGAAGTTCTGCTTGTTTTGTTCCACTAAGCTCTTCAAATCCACACTACATACAGCAGCAGCAGCAGCACCAACAACAACAATAGAAGAGTTTCAAGATCTCAAACCAGCATTAAGCTAAATTGAAGAGTTATTCGGCGCATTTCATTGGGAACAACGAAACAGTATGCCTTGTCTCGCTTCGTTACAGTTCAAATGCAGGTAGGGAAAGAAAAAGAAGTCAAGAATTCCAACCTAGTAGAGAAGAAGAAAGCACGAACTGGAATCGCGGGCCTGTCATCCTCCTCCACGGTACCATTTCGCTCATCAGCTTCCACAGTACCATCTCCAACCTCAGAGCACAACACTGCCTCACTCCAGTCCATACCACCATTTGGCTGCTGCTGCTGCTGGGGCAGCGAAGAAGACAGTGAGGATACGCACCTCGCAATCACCAAGGCTCCCCCTTCGCGGCACATCCCAGTGCCAGTAACCGCAACCTGGCGGCCTCCATTACCGTAACCGAGGGCGGGAAATGGAGCGGAACAAACGACGAATTTCGTCAGGGAGCTATAGGACCTGGAATCGGAGCGAGGGCTGAGAGGAGGAGGAAGGTGGAGTAGGGAATTAGGGTTAGGCTGAGCGTGAAGGAAATTACGGAGAGGCAAGCGGACGGTTCTGAGGTGAGCATCAATGGAGCGCCACATTGCTCTTCTGGGTTCTGACTTCTCTTCGCCCGACGAGCAGAGATGGGAAAGAGGGGTTTTGGTAATCAGCGATCGGTCATCGCTCTTCCTATTTGCGGAGGAGTGGTGAGACCAATTTGGGCCTTTCTGAATTCTGAATGGGCTTCTGAAGGCAACTTTGGGCTTTTGCTTTGAGAAACATATGTCGGCAACTTGCTGTGTAGTAACTTTATAGTGAACTCATGGATTATGAGTAGAATATGGTTGAAGTATGTATGGGCTTGGATTTTTTGGATGGATTAGGGAAGATGATGAATATTGTTTTCATAATTGAATTGGGTGTAAATTTAGTTATTTTTCCATCGTCTTGAGAAAACTTTGATGACTACACATAAAATGTTGGACATATTTCTAACATTTGTTAAGTTTAAGCATTAAGTTTTACGATAGAAAACTTTAGGTAGTGACTTCTCTCACTACCTAAAAATTGATATCTACTGAATGCTCTGAAATGCTCTGTACCTCTTCGGCAAACTCTTCTCCTCCGGCGACGGTTCCGCCAAAAGTTGGTCGTCCGCCGGATCCAGGCACCTCCTCGCACCCTCCACAGCAACCCCCGATCTCCGATCCGGCGAGTTTCCCTCCTCTCAATTTTAAAATGGCTCTCGCCGGTCCGACTCAGGCTTCACCTTCCAAGCTAAATCAGTGGACCTTCGTCAGAGAACATGACCTGGAACCCGGGTTGTTCGGCGGTGAGCCGGAACTAAAGGTCTCAGACAAGTTCAAAGATCGTCTTTGCTCCCCATGGAAGAAAACCCTTGTGGTCAGGCTGCTCGGGCGTTCGATTTCATATACTTATCTATGCTCACAACTCCGGTGGAAATGGCGCCCAACTGGAAGACTGGATATCTTGGACCTGGACGACAGGACCTTCCTGGTCACGTTCCACAATGACCAAGATTTCCTTCACGCTCTCACCGGGGGACCGTGGACGATCCTCGATCATTATCTCGTTGTTCATCAATGGTCGCCGTCTTTCAGAACGACAGATAAACCCCACAAATCGGTCGTAGCGTGGATCCAGCTGCCAGAACTTCCTGTTCACTTCTATCATCGCGAGGTTCTATTTGCTTTGGGGAACCTTATTGGCAGAACAGTGAAACTTGATTATCACACGGAGAACATGGAGCGGGGAAAGTTTGCTCGAATAGCAGTGGAACTTGATATGACGAAGCCGCTGGCGACCCGAATCCGGCTGGACGGATTTTGGCAACCGGTCCTCTATGAGAACCTACCTGAAATATGCTTTGAGTGTGGTAGGATTGGCCATACTGAGGAGTCATGCTCCAGAAGAATGTGTAATTCGGCCAATACTACCCCGCCAGATGCGAACCCGCTCTGCTCCGTTGAAGAGTCGTCACCGTCGTCGGAATCTCCTGCCGGCTATGGGCCATGGATGCAAGTAACCAGAAAGAGTAAGAAACAGAATAGGAAGGTTACGCAAAATACGGCTGGAAACCAGGGCGGAGACTCTGGTCGCGGGGGAAATTCGGGGAAGGCCAATCAGAAATCGAACCACCAAGGAAAGGGTGATCCGGTCGGAGCTAACTCAGGAAAGGAAGGAAAAGGAAAGGCGACGTCAAAGGCTAATGAAAAGAAAGGCAATAACTCGAGTCTGAAGGGGAAAGCGGTGGGGAACGGTAACGGGCAGCTGCCAAAGATTAATGGCACGATGATCCAGGAATGGCGGCCTGTTGGCTTGAAGGAGATCGAGGAAAGGCCTAAAGCCCAGGAGATGGATCTATCCTCCGGGAAACAAACCGGGCCAAGCCCAACTACCACTCTAACAGACAAAACTTTTGCGGAGGGGCCTTTAAGCCCAGTCTCTGGCAATTCCGCTCCATCGACTTCCCATCCGTCCCAGCCTCAAACGAAGGAAAACACTGACCCCAATCGGCAGTCAGTCTCGATTCGCCACCGTTCCCAGAAATCAAAACCCCAGCCACCTCCGGTGAGGGAAATCAAGCCGAAAATCATGAAAGAGACGTCTAAGAAGCCGTCGTCCCATGCCTCCCCGTCGGCGAGAAAAATGCTGCAAGAGTTATCTAGGACTCCCAATATCCCCATCAACCCCCAGTCCATTTCAGAATTCTTGAATAGCTCGAAGAGACCGGCCGATGGAGCTCCACATTCGGACAGCGGCAAAGTCAACGACTTGACTATGGCAGACAACAGCGACCCCGCCATCGGCTGTCCTCCAGCCATTGAAGCTCCTGCGGGCCAGTCGGCCACCGAATCTTAGCGCTGAAGCGCTCTTTCCTCCTTCCCTATCTTTTTCTATGATTAAGTTATTTACTTGGAACTGTCGAGGGGCGAAAAACCCCAAATTTCTTGCGATTTTTAAGGAGTATGTCTTTACCCACCGCCCGAACTTAATTTTCATTGTTGAGCCTCGTATTAGTGGCAAAGATGCTTTGGATGTTATCAGTAAAATGGGTTTTGACAAGCATGAATTGGTTGAGGCGGTGGGTTTTTCATGGGGCATCTGGGTTTTGTGGAATTCTTCCGTCTTCTCCATTTCTGTTCTTGATCGTAGCCCTCAGATGTTGCATTTTCGTTGTGTGAATGTGCAGGATAATCGTGCAGCGTTACTCACGGCTATCTACGCCAAACCCAACGACCGTGATCGTCTGCCGTTATGGGACACTCTTCGAAGTTTGGAGCAGAATATCTCCGAGCCTTGGCTTTTGGCTGGTGACTTTAACTCTGTTCGAGGCCCTTCGGAGAGATCAGGAGGGGCAGCCTATAATCCGGCGAACTCGGTTAACTTCAACAGATGCATTGACGACTGCGGGCTATTAGATGTGGATTTCAGGGGGCCACGGTTCACTTGGGTCAGGGGAAACCTCCTCTCTAGACTGGATCGAGCTCTTTGCAATTCGGAATGGATGAGCTGTTTCCCAGATATGATCACCAATCATCTACCCCGGCTCCGATCAGATCACCGCCCTCTTTTAATCTGGTCTTCCAATGACCAATCTCACAAGAAGCAGAAGAGGCCTTTCAGATTTCTAGCCCCGTGGCTCACCCACAAAGACTTTCAACCCACGCTAGAGAAGTCTTGGAATCCTGGAGCTGACTTTCTTGATTCCCTTCAAGGTCTCCAGCATACTCTTTCAATCTGGAATAGGGAGGTCTTTGGCAACATATTCAAGAGAAAGGCAGCTCTCACTAAACGTCTTGCTATGGCTGAACTCAGGAACGACTCCACGCCTGATCCTTACGGTCTCCAGCAAGAAGCTCGCCTTCGTGATGAATTGGAGCAAACCTTGTGGCAGGAGGAATTGCTCTGGATTCAGAAAGCTAGAGCGGTTTGGATTAACTTTGGGGATAAAAACACCTCTTTCTTCCATACTGCTGCCCTGACTAGACGTCGTCGGAATAAAGTCTCAAAACTGAAAGCTGCAGATGGTTCTTGGGTGGAAGATCCCCAGTTACTAGAAGACATGGCTAGGGACTTCTGTATTGCTCTTTTCACCGAGGATGCAGGCTCTATACCTTTTTTGATTGCCATGTTTCCAGTAATTGAGGATAGTGCTCTGCGTGGTCTGGCTGCTATCCCCACGGAAGAAGAAACTCGCAGGATCATTAAGGCGATGGGTGGTCTCAAAGCTCCGGGCAAGGATGGTTTCCATGCGGTGTTTTATCAGAAGTGCTGGGATTCTATCGGCAAGGATTTCCACCGTCACTTAGTCCAGTGCTTCAAGGAACCGGAATGTATTGCCAGCTGTAATATGACCCTGCTTTCCTTGCTGCCCAAGGTGGACTCTCCTTCGTCCATGGGTCAGTTCCGGCCTATTGGTCTCTGTAATGTGAGCTATAAAGTACTTGCTAAGTGTCTGGCTGATCGACTTAGGAATATCTTGCCAAGACTGATCGATGAGAACCAGACTAGTTTCGTCCCCAATAGACACATCACAAATAATATCATCATCCTTCAGGAGGTGGTCCACTCACTTAGACATCTAAAGGGAGCTCATGCGAGTATGGTTCTGAAGATCGATCTTGTCAAGGCTTATGACAGAGTCAATTGGGAGTTTCTGCGTTCCACTCTTGTGGCGGCAGGTCTTCCTGCGGACTTCATCAATCTGATTATGGCTTGTGTCACAACCCCTAGTTTCCAGGTCCTCTGGAATGGTAGCTGCACGGACTCCTTCAAACCGTCACGAGGATTAAGACAGGGATGTCCCCTCTCTCCCTATCTTTTCACTTTATGCATTGAACGCTTGAATCACTGTATTAAAGACTCTGTGGGCAAATGAGAGTGGGTTCCTCTGCACTTATCTAGGAATGGCCCTGCACTGACGCATCTCTTTTTTGAAGACGATCTAGTGCTTTTCGCGGAAGCTGATGTGAAGCAGGGGAGAGCAGTCCTCAATTGTCTTGATAGGTTCTGCGCAGCCTCCGGAGAAGAAGTTAGTAAAGACAAGTCGTGCATCTTTTTCTCCAAAAACACAAAGGAGCAGAAGAAGAGAAGAATCAGTAGATTGCTGGGCATGAAGCAGACTGAGAACCTGGGCAGATACCTAGGAGTACCGGTCATCCATGGTCGAGTCACGAAGGACACTTACAAGTATGTTCTGGAGAAACTGGACAAGCGCCTGGCGGGATGGAAGTCTCGCAGCCTTTCCTTAGCAGGTCGTGTCACTCTTGCTCTTTCGGTGCTAAATGCCCTGCCGAACTACGTGATGCAAACTGCAGTCCTTCCCTGTCACATTTGCGAGGCGATTGACAGAAAGATCAGGCGGTTTGTTTGGGGAGCTGAAGATGGACACTCCAAAACTCACCTCGTCTCATGGGAGAATATCTGCAAGCCAAAGGAGGAAGGGGGTCTGGGTCTTCGCTCGGCTCGTGCTCTGAACTTGGCTTATTTGATGAAATTAGGATGGATCTTTCTTAATGATGAAAAACCTCTGTGGGTCCGGATCTTGCAAGACAAGTATGTCAAGGCTAATGATAATGGCAGTGTCTCGATGCGTCAACAACGGGTCTCTAGACTTTGGAAGGGGATCCTGGAAGCCCTTCCCCTCGTGAAACAAGGAACTGTGTGGGATGTTAGGGACGGGAAGAGCGTCAACTTCTGGCACGATTCTTGGGTAGCTGAAGGAGTCTACCTCAAGGACTATACAGATGATCAAGCTGGGACGATGGACTGGAATGCCTCTGTTGCCGACATGGCCATTAGCCCAGGTGAGTGGAACTGGCCGCGCTTCGAAAAATATCTTGCTAATTCCATTAATCTTCTCATTGCAGGGCTAGACGCGCCGAATCAGGAGTCGGGGGAAGATCGGACGACGTGGGGAATGGAGCAGGATGGGAAGTTCCGGCTAGGATCAGCATACACCGTCGCGGCTGATTGGCTCAGCAAGGGTGATGGGAGCGGGACTCAGGCTACTGCCGCGCCTACCTGGAAAGCTATCTGGAAATGGGACGGCCCTAACAGAATTCGGCATTTTCTCTGGCTAGCCTTTCATGACCGATTGATGACAAACTGTGAGAGGAAAAGGCGAAGGATCTGCGTCCATGACACCTGCGAGTTGTGCAAAGCAGCGCCCGAATCATCCGAACACGTCTTGCGCCACTGTGTAATGGCAACTCAGGTATGGCAAGCTCAGGGGATTTCGGATTCTACTCTAACTATTGGTCTCAATTTGACAGATTGGATGGCTAGGAATCTCAAAGACTCAAAGTCTGGGCTGCTGTTCGGGGTTGCAGCGTGGTACCTCTGGAAGAGAAGGAACGAATGGATTTTCAACAACAAACATCAAGAAACGCAGACTCTTATCCAAAGAATTCAAAGCTGGACCAGCACTATTCGAGAGGCACAAAGTAACGAGAAGGACATCCACACTCTGCAACAAAGGAAGACCTCGACTGAGGTTGTTTGGATCCCCCCCAATCCTGAATGGGTGGTGGTCAACTCTGATGGCTCTGTTAAACATCCAGATTCGTTGGCAGCTGCAGGAGGTCTGGTGCGCGACAGCTCTGGCAGGTGTCTAGGTGCGTTCGCCTCTAATCTCGGAGTTTGTACCATTACCAGGGCGGAGCTGATGGGTGCTATCCAGGGGCTTCGGCTTGCCTGGAACTTGGGATACCGCAAAGTGGATTTGAAAGTCGACTCGATGGTTACTCTTGGCATTATGAACTCGCCTGGGCCTTATGAAGGTCGTTATCACAATCTGTGGAGGCAATTCCAGAGCCTCCTTCATCAAGACTGGGAGATCCGCATCTCTCACATTTTCAGAGAAGGAAACAAAGCTGCTGATTTCTTGGCCAATAAAGGCCATTCTCTTGGTTTAGGATTTCATGTTGTTGATCTGAGTGACTCAGGGCTTAATTTTTGGCTCTTGTATGACTCTATGGGCATTGCCCAATCTCGTTTAATTTAAAGTATCAGGCAGGGGCGCCCTTTTAGCGTCCCATCTTTCTACCAAAAAAAAAGTATATATAGTGTAATTATCGATGTTTTGTAGGCTTATTAGCAAAAGAAAAAGTAGTTAAGTGTTAAAAGGAAAAAACTACTAAGTTTACGTGTAACAAACTCAAATTTTCAGTTAGGTATAGTAAACTGAATCGCTATTTGTCGCCCTAAAATTTAAATATTTTTCGCCCTAAATCGTATGAAAATGACGTTGATACCCTACCCCAAATTCAAACCCTAATCCCTAAAACAAACACATGTTCACTCGTCCACCAGCCGGATCTCGGCTAGCCCGCTGTCGTTGCGTTTTCGCTAGCTTGTCGACCCGCTGCCGTTCTGAGAAACGAAAAAGAAACTACCAGCCGGCCGGATTCTGGCTGTCATGGCCATTCCCCCCACACGCAGTCGCTGCATTCCCCCCACTCCGTTGACCCGCTGATGTTGCTAGTGAAGGAGAAAGAAGAAGGTCAAAAGGAGGAGGAAGAAGTTCGAGTGCTAGTCTGCAGAGAAGGAAGAGGCACAATGAGGAGGAAGAAGAGCACTGCCGCTTGGTTCGTCGAGAAGGAAGAAAGAAGAAGAAGCTGACGTCGCTGGAGTTTAGTTTTTTTTGTTTTCGATAATCAAAGCTCAGCCAATTTACAAAATTTTTAATGTATTTTTTCTAGTTGAATTTTTTTAATTGTATTTGTAACTTGCTATTGAAATTTTATTTTGTTATTTGGTATAGTTGTACGTGTTTGTTTAGTGTTTATATGTTTTGAAAGACAACCTAAATTAAGGACATTAGAGTCATTTTAGTAAAAAATTAGGGCTGCGAATAAGTATTTTAGGGCGACGAATAACAATGCCCGTAGTAAAACCACAAATATATAGGTTTATACCCAATTCTAGTGAAGGTGTGTATGGATAAGCAAAACTTGGTCCCAGCTCGGTAAATTCCAAGTTCCAACTCAACAGCCTTATGAGCATATTAGTCAAATAAAGTTAAGAGTTGTACTTGGAGTTTGTCTTTTCAAAATCTTATTGTTGGTAGATCTATGGTGATGAGAAAACGTCCGAGTAATATATCAATTTAAGGAAAACTATTGTTTCAGTTTCGCGTGATTAATGCACCCTGACTTCAAGAATACATAAAATGATGTTATTCGGTTCATACCTCTTCAAACACTGTTCGAACGAGGGTGTTCAATGCATGCATCCAAGGATCTACTTACTGTTATCTCTACTCCTACGGAGATTCCTTGAGAGCTCCGCAACCACTGACTACAACTAACAGAGAAGCCTCGTTGGAGGGTCCCTGGCGCTACTGCTACGGCTACTGTTCTGGAGAGAAAAGGATAAATTTTTACGAGACTTGTTGTGATTTGATTTGTCAGTCCTTCCTCCAGAACCTTGTTGCCAGTTTTGTTGTGCCTCCTCCTCTAACCGCCTTCTCTCTCTCCCTTCCCGAAAATCAGCTCCACGTAGCATCCAGCAACTCCCCCGAGCGTTCTTTGCAAGTCATGTGCTGCTTCTGGTAACCACCTCGTCATCATGTCATAGGATGGTCACCGTACACAAAACAAATTGGACGGTATCCATGTTTACTAAGACAACAATCCATGGATGGTACGGTACACATATTAAATGGTCACCATACCCTAGCATCATCCATTAGGGTTTGGACGGTATCCATGTATTTGGACACTACCATCCATTATGGATTTTGGATGGTATCCATGTATTTGGACACTACCATCCATTATGGGATTTTGATGGTATCCATATTGGACACTACCATCCATTATTCCTATGGCCTGACTTGATAAATTAGACCATCCATATACACATGTACCAACTACTTAAATTGGCCAAACTATTCACACAAACAATAATTAATGAAAATTATTTTGGTGTAAACGATTATCATTTGTATTGGTGACTTAATGAGTGGGCATCTAAAAAAATAAAACGGACATCACATATTGAAGGCTCCAAATAAGTGAAGAATTGTAAGTTTGTAACCAACAAAAATCTGATATAAACACTTAAAATAATGCCTCTCCGTTTCCAATACAAATCACAGAGAAGCAACTGCAAGAGAGTAGTGTGACTTTATACAAAATAACAATTCCATTTAATTAACAGTACAGAGAAAGGAAGAAGAAGAAGAAAAAATACCCAGAGCTAACTACAATGACTATTCTACAAAGTAGCCCGGAAATTAAACACACGATAAGAGAGACGGGAAGCCTCGGCAATTACCACTATTGCCCCGGCCTATTGTGAGAGTAGCAATACTGGTTGCCGTTTTGGAAGGGATTGACATTCGGAGAGGGCGAAGAAGAAGAGCCAACACGCGCGTTTGGTCTGTTCATGTTAATACTAGACGAAGCTAGGAATCCTGATGATGCTGCAATAATCTGCTGCTGCGGCGACGACGGCCACATGGGAACGCCGTCGGTATTAACAACGCCGGTGAATTGCTGACGATGCGCCCAACTACTGCTACTGCCGAACTGGCCTCCTGCTGCTGTCGTTGGAATATTGCCGCTGCCCCTAATTTGCTGGCCACACGACGTCGTACAAACAAATCAAACCGTCAGGAAAAAAGAAAGCTATTCAAAGAGCGTTGACTAATTCAACTAAACTGGAGTGGTGAAGGCGCGTACCGGGTCAAACGTGGAGGCGATATTAATGGGCAGGCCGTGAAGAGGTCGGAAACCGAACGGCGGTCCTGCTGCTCTACTGCCAGGACCATCGACGCTAGTGGTTTTGTCAACCTTCATTAAAACGACGCCATGTTAGATAGAGAATTGTCAGTTCAAGACCATGAGGATTCAGGACTTTGTTTGAAACACATAAAAGCGAAGTCAGACTGCAAGGCTGGCTGCAGCTACTGTACCAGCGGTACTACTCTTGCTTCCATGATTGCGGGATTCTTCTTTCTTCCATCGCTGGTTGATTTTGGTGACATTCCCAATCTTAGGTCAAGATCATCCTCCCTTCCTGCAGATTAATTAATTCCCATTAAGGAAAATTTACATTAAAATGACAGAGATTGGTTGTACTTGTATGAGAAACGATAATAAAAAAAAAATAACATTAAAAAACTGAACACACCATGAAAAGTATTAGTGTTGAGTTCTCTTGGCTGGAAATTTGTCAATGCTACCGTGCCATTATTGTGCTCAATGGCTGCCTTGTCATAAGCTCTGAAATGGTAGATGCCAAAGAACGGGGTGATAATTAGAAACCTTGCACGCCATTGGATTGAGCATTTTTCTATTAATTGTAGAGTTCCGAAAAGAAAATCAGATTAAAATTGGAGGACCTTGCAGCTTCTACTTCGCTCTCGAATAATCCCATTAATCAAATATATATCTGGTTAATAATTACGGGGGAAGAAAGTGAAATACGATCGGTTTTTTTTTCTCTATGCGAAAGCGATTATTTAAGTTGTAATCAATTTCTGGACTTTACCTTATCCACTTTACAAAATACCGTAGACTAGGTTTGGATTTTAGCACAATTTTAACATGAAATTGCGAAGGTGAAAGTTGACTGCAATTTCTTTCCTTTTTTTGAACAATAGAAACGTACGAAACATGATGGGCCTAGGCTTACTTATTGGCGAGGAGCTGGCCCATGCGGGCTTCCCATTGGCCGCATTTGTGAAGGTTTACTCCTCTGTACTTGGAGCTCCCCCGTGAGAACCCCGTGCTCTGCCGCCGCAGCACGTGCACGAATTCTTCCTTGTTCAAATCCTTGGTCTGCATCCATGATTTTCATCTTTCTTTCATGGTCATTTTCGTAAATTTCATTACAAGCTAAGTCAACGAGGAAGGAATGGTAAATATTAGTTCGTTGACCAAGCATGAATTCTCACCGCCTTCATGTCTTCGTCGTAATCACCCAAAGTAAAGTTGATATCCGCATCCACCCCCCGGAACTTGATCGCAGCCCGATCGTAAGCCCTGATGATTATCATAATAAATCATTAAGCAAGACCACATAATTAGTAGTCTTTAATCACCATTAAAATACTAATCAGAATAGTTACTGCAGCGTGTAAAGTATTACCTGGCTGCAGCATGGGCAGTGTCGAAACCACCTAGATAGACTTGCTTCCCACAGTCCCTGAAATTCAATCCCAGCGAATAATAATTAATAAGATTAGCTAATAATAATTTTTTTCCCCCTAAATGACAGGTTTCCATTTGCAGAAAGTGGGTGGGACGGGAGAGGTACAGATTATCGAATTAAGCAAGTTGATTGAATGATCCAAATTCATTTCCTAATTCGGTAAGCACAGATTAGTTAATGAATTTAATTAATCAAGTGGGTTGGTTCGGTTCAATCAATTGAATCCGAGTCTCTCACCAAATATGAGACTCCCACCGGCCGGTTCGCCGGTAAAAGGTAACCCCTCGGTACTGCGAGCTCCTCGACCGGGGCCCACGCCTGCTCTTCCTCGGCTTCGGCGGCGCCGCCTCTCCCCCGCCGCCGACGGCAGAAGCTCCAGCTATCGGTTCAGCCTCCGACAGCTTCAGCCACTGATTCGGCGCGGCAAGGAGGTTGAGTTCGGATCCCGCGCCGCCGACGGCGGCGCTGCTCTCCGGGAAAAGCTGATGGGTGGTCGGAACACTATACGGCGGCGCATCGGAGCCCTCCTTCCTCCAAATGTCGAATACGAATGAAGGAGCGGCGGGGGCGGCGGCGGTGTTGTTAAAAGAGCGGGGAAACGGTTCTTCCTCGGTGTTGATGACGTCGGAGGAGGAGTCGGAAGTGGCGGGGGAATCGTCGTCAGGGCGGTCCCGATCTGGGACCTGAGCGTCCATTGATGACGGTTTGAGCTTCTTCGCCGCCGTCGATGGTGGAGGAGCGGCGGAGAGGAGGAGGATGTCTAGATTGAGATCCGCCGCCGGGTAATAGTTGGTGGTCGGAGTCTTCCTCTTGCTCATCGATCTATGTGACGATTTTATCTAGCTATGGAAGTTCATCGACCGGATTAGCCGGAGGAGAAGGAAGAAATCTGGAGAGAGAGAGAGTGTGTGTGAGAATTGCCACTTTCTGTACTTGCAGATAATTTCATCTAACTTTATATGCAAGAAATTGCAGAATTCTGAGCACAAAAAAAAAAAAGGGAGGAGAAGAAGACAGAGAGCATCATTATTCATTAATTGATTCCTCTACCACAGGTTTTTGTTTTACATTCTTGTCCCTCCTCTGTACCTAATATCTGATCCTTTCGTTTTGTTTCTTTCTCCCTTTAACATTAGCCCTTACTATTCGTCTAAACAAATGTGGCTTTGGTTTCACTCCTTGAGAGAAACCAATTCATCGTGCTAATAATTGCGGATCTATTTATGGGAAAAGTACTTTTTAGCCATTTACAGCAAAAAAAAAGTTGGCATGATGATACTTCCACTCTATGCCAATTACTAATTACTAATTAGTGAACAAAATGTGACTTCCTTGCCTAGATATTATTTTGTCTAGCTTGAGTTAAGACATAAACTTCGTAAAAAATTTGATTTTTAAATTAGAAAGACTACATAATGCATCTCTGTGAATGTTGACTGTTTTGATCTCGTGACAAGAATCATTCAACGACAATTCAGAAGCTTGAAATCCATTAGCAGCAAAACTAGGGGTTTTGATAAATCACGTCCACAAGACCTGTACAAATTCTATAAACATTCATATGAACATTAATTGACTAAGAAGAAGGTGAGCACAAATTCAGTAAGAGCGATCGATGGTTGTAGGAGTTAAATATATATGACATTTTGAAAATTGAAATTACACTCCAATGTATGTATTGTTTTGCCCAAAAAACATGTGCTAATTAAACAGTCACCGCCTTATCAAGATGCTAAGCCACGTGCCTTTTCACCCAAGGATCATATAAAAACTTCCGCATGGCTAGTGTTACAAACTCATTGTCCTAATGTTTTCCATCTTATCATTACACTTATTACGCTTGCTTTTAAAACGAATGTGTTGAGACAATCACTATGTGACATAGCATATAACTTCCACCTATACGTATGCCACATAAGTCAACCACATTCAACTACTTCCAGCTAGTGTAACTAACCTCTAATTAGTGTCACTAGCTTAGAATTATCATGGCCTAAGTCTTTGTGACTGGGACTAAAGGGAGCGTTGTTGAGATAGATTGAGCTCAACTAAGCTCTTATCAATGTGATCTAAATGAGTTATCACAAAATTGGATCAAGATGGAGTGAGCTGGAGTTTAATCTCCTTGAGCTAAAGTTTGCTAGAGTTCATGATCAGTCGAGTGCTCTTCCATATCTCTTTAGCTACCAATATTTCACCTATTTTAATCTTGTTTGAGTTACATTTACTATATCTAATGAACTGGCATGAGCTCTTATGTGGTTATATGAATTGCAAAGGGTTTCCTTATGGGATTATTTAGCTTTTATAAGCTACTTGAGCTTACCTTGAGCTATATAGAGAGAGCTCATTTATACTATCTAAGTCCAAATCTTTTCAAATCTCACACTACGAAACGATATTCTTATCAAGTTCACCTAGTATCCTAAATTGAGTTCACAAGCCTCATGATTTATAGAATTCCGATACAAAAACGAGATATTCAAAGAGAACTCAACTTGTTAAACGTTGTTTTTAGTTATAGTTATTATTTATCTAAATATATAGTCGTTTTACATGTGTAATATCAATTAGCAGGATATATATATATCTTTATTTTGATAATCCGATTTGCCTCGATTTCAATGAATATGCTTACCAGTTTAAGTATTTATGGAACTTGTTCAATACAACTTCAGACAATCATGTGAGATTAATGTTATTAGGATAAACTTATGAGTCCAATTGCATTAACTGTCTAGCTGTAACTATATTTTCAAATTATCATGTTAAACAAATATGGACAATGGAAGTTTAAGATTAATAATTAAAATATAATTTTAAGTTAGAACACATCATATACACATAAATCGACGGTGCACCACAAACACGAATGGGTATTTTTATGTTTAAAGCAAATAGTTAATGATAGTCACTTTCTTGTTGAGATGGTACTTGCCCCCTGCCATGAAACATAAGATCTTGCTTTATACGGAAATTTAGACTTTAAGTATACTCATTTGGCGGCTCAAGATAGGGTGCATAACCATGGGTTATGCATCCATCAATAACCAAATATGGACCCTTCATTTAGAAAATTCAGATCTAATGATGGAAAATTAAGGATCATTTTTATGTTTCCTAGCTTTCTTAATTGACTCATATCTTTTTCGTTTTAACTCTTTTTTTTTTTTGCACAGATGGAACGAGTTCATCGTGCTCTACCAAATGAGAACAATTTTCAATATTTTTTTAGAAAAAAAAAATTCTGGCCTCTCGGTACCAACTGCATACCATATGGTATCTTCTTCGTTTTTAATTCGTTTTTGAAAAAGTTTGCACAGAAGGGATGAGTTCATCATGATCTATTGGATCTACAAATTTCTGGGTGAACAAATTACAGGACCAAAAAATACCACACAATATCATACAATACCACCCTGGTACGGGGTGGTATTGTATGGTATCTTCTTCGTTTTTAATTCGTTTTTGTAAACGTTTGCACAGAAGGGACGAGTTCATCATGATCTATTGGATCTACAAATTTCCGGGTGAACAAATTACAGGACCCAAAAATACCACACAATACCATACAATACCACCCTGGTACGGGGTGGTATTGTGTGGTATACAATGTTAAAAGTCGAAAATGACAATTAATATACTTCTACTATCATGTATTCAACCATCCTACAGTCTTGGTTTGTTCATACCACCATGGTACATTTTTCAAACCATAGGTATGCTTTTATTTCAATACCAGTCAATACCATATGGGATAGACTGGTAAAAAATGACTCAATTTTTTTTGTTTGAAAAATATATTAAAGTGGATATCATTTTGAAGAGCACAATTAATCTGATCTAATTGTGCAAAAAAAATTAAATTTCGACTTAAAATGAGTGAGAACTCGTCCGTCAAAAATTAAAGAGGCGAAAATTAAAGACTTTCCAGGAGAGAGAGGATGCTGATGTCATTTGATGTGGGCTGGTTACTCATGGTTACTCACCATAAGTTACTGACATGATCCGTTCCCTGATTTGGCAGCCAAACAAAGAAAAGAAAATGTGTGTGTGACTCGTGAGCATTGCCATATTAGGAATTCCACTGTCGGACCACTAACATATACATACAAAGGCCATCTTGTAAAATGGTATTGCGTCCAATTATTCACCCTATATACATGATGGATAAAGCGCCACGTAGAGACATATATCCCCATATAGTCCCTTAGCTAGGTCAAATCAGCATAGCTACTAAACATAATTTAACTCCCCAAATGAAAAAAAATAATAATCAATAAGTGCATCAAGACCAAATGTGACCACTCATCGAGCTATGCAACAATTTGACATTCGGACTGATACGTATATAATTTGATAAATACATAGTACACTAACGAAAAAACCTGAATTGATATTCAGAACGGACTAAATTGGGTAAAAAAACCGTCGTATTTTTAAGTAATTAATTTTGCTATCCCAGTAGTTTCCATAAGTAGAAATTTGGGATCCTCTACTAGGGCCCACCCCGGGGCCCACGTGATTATGGTGTGTTATTATGCGACACCCTCACAAACGAAAAGAGAAAGAGAAAAGTTAGAAATGCTTATATTTAGTGAATCGGACGGCTGGGAGGCTCTTCGAAGTTCTGCCGACTGAACCACACAGTTATATATTATATTACTTATTAGCCCCGTCCACCAAAAACATACAACCTGAACACAGTGCAAAAACAGTACTTACAACTTGAAGGTTTGTGTAGTGGCAAAGTTGACATTACACCTCGTTGAGTCAAACCAAAGGAAAACGGGTTCACCCCTTACTCCAACTATATATCATGCTTATTACAGAGGCTGGGAACCGCTCGAGCAGACACAAAAGCGTTTCTTGTTTAATGGATACGATGATAATTTTATTCATAATATGTGTCATCATCGTGTTTATCTAATGATTGTAGAGTGTTCAAGATGAATTACGTAACTCTCCGTGTTCTTTATCTTTTTATTGGCCGTAATTATACTTATTATTGTCGATTGTACCAATTCGTACATGCAACATTTACGAATTCACGATATGAGTATGGCTGCAAATGAGCCGAGCTGCTCGGTGTTCGACTCGAGAAAAACTCGTTCGAAACTCGACTCGTTAATAAACGAGCCGAACATGAGCTAAGTTTTGCTTAGCTCGTGAAGCTCGCGAGCTAGCTTGACTTGGTCGGTGGCTTGTTGAGCTAAACTCGTGAGCTGGCTCGTTTAGAGCTCATGATATGTCTCAACATGTGGATGGAGAGCTAACTCGATTTCCAACTTATGGACGAATCAATCTATATCTTATGATTTTAATTCATATGATTGTTAAATTATATATCTCGTCATATATAAAGTTTAACACATTGAGTATGTGAGCAAATATATCTTATTTTCTATTTAAAAAAAATTATGTATCATAAACTGCTTCGATACTATGGAATAATATGATTTGGAGTAGTTAAAATTTATTAACTAAATGATATATGATACCAAAAAAATATAATATGAGATTAGCTAACAAAATAAAAGCTAGAATTTTAGTAAACAAGCTAACTCGACTCGACTCGTTAATAAACAAGCTGAACTCGCCGAGATCAAACTGCAGTATAACTCAACTCGACTCAACTCGGCGTATTTGCAGTTTAGATCATATTACCATACAATCGTGGATCACGAGATATGGTGAAATGGAGAACAGCTATGGAATAAACAAATAATTTCGAGAGAGGATATTTTAGGCAAACCAAAGGCCATAGAGCTGGAGAAAAAAAAAAAAAGTCGAGCTACCAATCGTGTGGAGGGAGTCGAAGATAGAAACCTTAATGGAGACAGAGCGATCGAGCAAAGGTGTCAGCGTCACTTGTCACTTATCAGTCATCTTTTTTTTTTTTTTTTGCTATAAATAAAAGTAAATTACCACAAATTGCAACCAGTCGACTCGAGAGTCTTTCTTCCGTCACCTTCAAATTAAAAAGAGACATTTTCACACACAAACTTGCAATCGATCGGGGCCGTCCATTTGTTATAGCTGATTCACTATCACTGATGGTGAAGCCAGCCTTCCTTCACGACAAGAAAAGGAACAAACCATCTTTTTTATCGTATCCCACATAGTATCTTTCCCCTTATGGCAACATAAAATCAAGGAATCATAAACAACATCACAGCTGACAACACCACCTAAATCAAGAAAGAAAGGACAAAAAAAAAAAAAAAAAGAGGCTACTTGTTATTAATATTATTTTCTTTTTGGGAAGAAAATGATCCCCAACCGAAGCAAGCAATAATTCATTATTGTATTCCTCTCTGTGGGCTCTCATTGCCATTGTTGGGTCTTACCTATAATAATTAGAGGACACCCCTCTATTTAGTCTTCTTTTTCATGTATTACTGTTATTCCCAAGCAATTTTGTTCAATCATGTGATTTTCTCCCCTGTCTTTTGCAAGGATGACAGAGACAACTTTCTTGTTTTAGTGTGAATAATAATGTATTTGAACTCTCAAATGAAACATGACATTGGTAAGGTAAGTCTTTTTAAAATGTGTAGTAATAAATAATTTTTTAAACTGTGTTTTCGTTGGGTGATTCACGTTTATGGAAGATGGAGGATCTTCTAAGAGGCATACATACCTAGCGTGAGTGTCATCCGGCCGGTCGCAGTGGCGTAGCCAGGATTTTATGTAAGGTGTGTCCGAATTTATTTTATATTACAAGAAAAATTTGAGTCATTGCAGTGCCCCATAATGTGTTCTCATATATTGACGAACTTCTATTCATATGATATCGATGTCAATATATCCTATACAAGAATCATTCATGATTTTGTCACCCATTAGATACCGAAGAGTGTTTTCACGTGGCTCATTGAAAATGTCATTTCACTAGGATCCTTAGTTAGCAACAACAATAAGTTACTTCTTTCAGTTACCATGATTTGAAAAAAAAAAACTCATAATTCTATATAGTTTTAGACAATAGCTAGCCTATATTCACGTCAAAGTATACATATAATAATCTAGTTGAGGTTTAAAACCTTATGTATTGAATTTATTATTAGGATAAAAATAATCTAACGAGTTTCCAACAAAAGAAAGTTTTGGCGATGTATATTGAATAAACCTGAAATGGTTGTACCACGATTAAACCACGTTTTCAACATAAAATATCCTACTATTGACTTTTGGTATGATTTTAATCCTTATTATTTAGGCGTACATATTTTCTCCCGAGCCAAGGTGGGTCCCGGGACCCACCTTAGTATGCACTGGCTCCGTCACTGCCGGTCGGTCGGTTGGATTGGGTTGGTAGAGTACTATAATTTTTTTTAAATGAATTATCTTATTGTTTTTTTCTTAACGAAAACAAGAACGTTCTAATTTGCGATACAACCAAATTCAATAACTATGAACCGTTTCAGTTTTATCCGAGAGATTGTGTGTGAATTCCTTAACGTAAAGAACAAATATCATCATGCCACCCCAAAGAACCTCCGGTGAAGCTATAGCTCGTTGCTCCACCGTACGCTTCACCGTCGCCGAATCGCTAGCAGCAAGACATGCGGTGACTAGCTATTAGATACTCTTTCAGATCAAAGAAGTCGGCCGGCCGATAGAGCCAAGAAGACTATGCAATATTTGGAGAAAAAAAATCTCACGAACCAATGATTGGTCTCCACGTGGACGAGATCCAATCCTAGTCGGATAATGTGCTGACAGTCGGTTAAAAAAAAAACACGGTACCTTCCCTAATTCCCCTCACGCTCCTTTCCGGCGAGGCAATGAAGCTCCAAAACTTTAAGCTTACCTCACACTTTGAATCCCGGGTGCATACAAAACGCATAGGGTTTATCGAATTTTCTCGGCAATATACATTTGTATAGTCAAAATTTTCGCATTTGTGACAGTAATAGTCAAAATTTGAATAAACACCACTAATAGTCACATTTGTTTAATTCTTTAATGGTGTCAGATTACAAGCTGACTATATTAACGGAAAAGCTGACGTGACAATATTTTGTTAGCAACAATTCCACGTAAATAAATGAAAAAGATTCAAAATAGAATATTAAAATTTCAAAAGGTTATTTTGATTTGTGAAAACTAAAAAGAAAGCAAATAAATCAATAAAACAAAAATAAATGATGTGTTCTCCCTTCTTTCTCTTCGTCCCACTGTCCTCCCAACCTTCACCGCAGCCGCCGACAACACCACTCACCATCACTCCCCTTGCCAGGTTGCATTATATTTGTCGGCCTCTTTGTATCTCTCGATTCCATATTGGCGACCTGCCTTTGTCAAATAGAGATTTGCATCCAAATCGTTGTTGGATTCGGACGGGGAAAAGGAAAGCTCGACGCATCGTTGCCCCAGGACTCTACAGAAAAGAAAGGGAGGAATCAGGGGGCCGAGGCTGAAGCGAATCCGGTCGACAAAGTTCCACGGCAAGTCGATCTGCCGGATCCCCTTGCGTTTACTCAGAATCGGCCCGAATCCGTGTCTCAAGATTTTGCATCTTGCCTTAGAATTCGAGCTTCGCATATTGAGATATGTTGGTCATAAATCCCTTTTCCAATCGATTATCAGGCAACTGGGATTTAGATCCCTCCATTTTCGGTATTGGCTCTAGGTTTCTTCCCGGTTGAGAGAGGCGTCTAGGTGGAGCTTTTCGCCCGAAAAGAGGGATTGTTGGCTCGAAGACACATAAAGAGGATTCTCTTCCGAACAGCTTTGGTCGACGGGGGTGGGTTCGCAGCGGGAGGAGCAACTATAGTGAGAGCCGGAATGGATGCTCGCTTGTGATGCTAGTCGAAGTTGAGGAATCGCCGCTTGAAGTTCTGGGCAGGAGTAATCGCCGAATCCGAGGGCCGCGAATCGGCAGAGAATGGGGAGGAGTAATCGCCGAATGGGAAGGATGATTTGGGGAAGAACCTTAATTTCGGAATCAATCAAAAATTGAGAAGAAGGGTAGTGACTCGTGCGAAGTAGATGGGGGTTATATAAGGGTAAAAAAAGAATAATTTTGTTTTATGATATGTAAATAATAAATAATTTAAATATCTTGCGTGTCACTATTTGCTTATTTGGCGCTGATGTGTCCGATGAGTTGGTGCCTAGTCAGCGAACCGTCAAATAAGTTGACGCTGTTATCAACGTTAAAATTTCTAACGGAAATGGCTATATTTGTCCTACAACAACTTTAAAAGGTGGCTATTAGTGGTATTTCACCAAATTTTGCTATTATTGGCACAAACACGAAAGTTTTAGCTACACAAGTGTATATCGCCAATTTTCTTTTTGGTGGGGATAACTTATTTAAGTTTTATGAATAACACTTATAAACGACATAAAAATTTATATTTATTCAAGAGTTCGAGCTATTATAATTTATAGAGTTATGTTACATACATACAATGACAAAAAACACATTAACAAAAATAACCACCCTTACATGAACAACAAGGATTGTAAGGCACATAAATCGTACATAAAAGTTAATGATATAATATTTTTTAGTTTACATCGTGGTTACCGTTTCATACAACTAATATTGTCTACCAACTTAAACTCTAGTAGACAATTTTTTTGGTAAAATCGTTGTGACGGTATGGTTTTGCAACCACTTTTTGAAGGTGATAATAATAGAAAATATCGAATAATTTTTTTTTTGGTAAACAATATAGAATAATTGATACTACCAATTGCCAAATATGCGTATACATCTAATTTTCAATGTTGACATTTGACATCACATTAGAAATATGTATGCATCCTAAAAATTTGTATTTTTAATGAATTAAGTTCATACGTTTTTCGGCAGTTCTTTTGAGTCTTTTCAAAAAATTGTTGGCACGTTTACTTCCAGAAGAAATTACCTTTAATCAGTTCATAATGATTAACTTATTTTGACAACGTCTTTCACACTCAATAATCAAGTAATCACAACTGTTTTTTTCACAAATCACAAACATTAATAAACTTCTCCCATCAAGATGTAAACTTTCTTGATTTGTGGCCTCATGTGTTATCTTTTTAGGTCCACATAGGACCCCATAATTTAGCTTCAACAACCTCTTTCTAGCATATGCATAATTCAATTTTTTGATAATTTTATTTCAAATTTTTGTTGCAATTGAATTATTTTCATTTCTTTTGTTTGCCGTCTCATAAATTTAACAATCTATGCACTTTTTTCATTTGATTTTCATTTGCTTTTAGATGGTGAATGTTGCAAAATAATAAACTGCGTTTCTTCATATTTTGTCGTATTTTATAACCTTACAATCATAATAGTTAAGGAAGGGTTATAGCCTTATAGGTATAATATACCCTTCTATTATGACGTTTTGTCAAACATGCCCCTCTACTATTTTTTACATCAAATATGCCCATGTCATTTGTAAAAATGATCAAACATGCCTTTTTGTTAAAATTTTCATCCAAAAACCGTTAACCAACGCCGAACTTTAGTTTGGGCGACACAAATTACTAAAATATCCCTAATAAATTCACTTTAGAATTTTTTTGGTTCTTTTGTATAATCAAATCATTCAAATAATTTCACTTTGAAAAGACCCAATGAAATAAAACAGGGGACAAAATTGACATTTTCCCTCCCATTTGTCAATGTTGGGTTGTCTAAATCTCAATTCAACCATGATTGACGATTTTTTCAATGGAAATTTTAACAGAAGGGTATATTTGATAATTTTTCAAAATACAAGGCAATATCTGATGTAAAAAATAGTAGAGAGACATATTTGATGTAACAAATAATCAAGGACTTTGAACTATCTAGGCACTCCCTTCGCGTCAAATGCCCACCTTTCGGCCTCTTTTTTTTATCATTCCGCAATATGGTATTCTCTTTTCACAGAGTACCCTCCTGACCTAATCCACCTCCAAATCAGCTTGTCCTCAGGAAACCTCCAACTAAAATATCCGTTGCAGATTAATCGCCTTTGGGTTTTAATTCTAATAATAATCATTCTCGATTTATTTTGATTTTGCTATAAAACTTCTAACAAAATGTTCAAATGTCTCAATTAAATAAATTCTATAAAAAATCATTCATTTTCCACAAGACTTTACTTATTTCCAATCACCAGGACCTCAGAAAACAAAAATGATTGATGAACATATATACTTGATCAAGAGTGCATACACATGTGTTTTGTGTTTGGTTTACATGTATAATTTTTGAAACACATAAATCTTATCTTCTTATTTCCATTGTTAGGCAGAAAACTGTGGATAAAATCACCAAATAGTTGCCCCCATTTGTTTAAAGTTTCGCCTTAAATCAATCATGTAGAAAAGGATAATATAACAAGCGAGAGAAAATAATAGTCCTAATTGTCAAGCTAAAATGTCATTATCAATCAAGATTTTCTGTCAATGAGATAACATGGGACAAGTACCATATTGTATAGTATTAGTATGTGATCGTAATTGGAAAATGGAAGAAAAAGGTTGATTAAAAAAAGATAGGAAAACGAAAGGCTCTCATAAATAAATAAAAAAAACGAAAGGAGCAATTTGGACAGGAATAACTTGAGCCAATTACGATCAACATCGACCAAGGTAACTCGATAACTAGGCGACAACATCGGCCAAGGTAAGTTCAGCTTACAAATTTTTTTATAATTAAAAATTTGAAATAAAGTGAAATTTTCTTAAAAATATAAAGTGCATTATTGAATCATTTTTAGGAATGGAATGCCTAGGGTTGTCAAAATTAAACCCTTGAAATCGTGAACTTTTCGCTGTTTGAATATATAATTGTAAATGAGCAATTGTGTTTTTTTTTCAACAATGAAATCAGAGTGACGAAGTCAGTCATTTGTAAAAAATTGAAATACGTATAATATTTACACATAAAATATTTAAAAAAGTTATAAATTATAAACAGTACATGAATTATATCCATCACACCACTCAATCATGCAAGCTAAACAAAAACATAAGTTAGTTGCAAATTTGCAATTTTCACACTTGAGTTATTTACCAAAACATGAAACGGGTAACAACAAGAAAGAGATATAGAGAGAATCAAGGGTTACACAAAAGAGCAAAAGGCCAAAGAAAGATTGTATTTGGTGGGAGGGGTAAGGAAGGGAACAACAATTTTGAATTTTTTTTTACGATTGTTTTCGTGAAATCTTTAATTTACTTGTATTATTTAGAATATATTGTTATTTTATATTTTAGCAGACACAATATATATACTTCTGTGATGTGACAAAAAATACCACTCAAAACAAATGATTGTTATATCTCATATTTTAGTTGAAATAGTTGAGTTGAGTATGTTTTATATCGATTGTTAGTTGACGTTACATACACTCAATAATACATATCTAATATTTTATTTTACAATGCATTAAATAACTCAATGCATGCATAATACTATATAAGTATTCACAACAATTGAACCATGGCAACTTTCACACAACTCCTTTGCATTGTTAGTTGGAGAGGATATAATATTAGATTGATATTTAATAGTTTATTTTTTGGTGATATTTTATTCGGGGATTTCCATTATTAGATGTTTCTGTTTTGTTGTTGTTGTTGATAAATTCATCGATTATAATAATATGTCCTCAGATGTATGTGGTGTTTGGGAGATTGTCGGCAAGGGTACGAGGTTTTAAAAGCCAAAAGGCGACGTGGCCGCTTCTTCTCCCCTCGTACCTCAAATCCACTGCGTTAATTTACCAAAAAGCCCCTTATCTCATCATCGACACACTTGCACACGTGTTTTTTTTAAATTGCTGCAGGTGGGTCCTAGATTTTATATCTACCGTCCACCTGTTCTTATGTTAATGGTGCTTAATAATCTAATTATAAAGTAATTTAACTAATCCCTTTTTGTTAACAAGTTATATTTTGGCTTTTGCTATCATCCATCCCCTAGTTCGAATCCTACCCACCATTTGGGTTTAGTATGAATTTAGCTGGTGGCTCGTCGTATCATAGTTGTTGAAATTAAACGAGGTAGTTTTTTTTGTATTACATTGATAATTAATTGGTCTTAATAACTCAAACTATTCATAAAAACTATTGGATGAATTTTAGAGGAATCTTCTACCAACACACTATATATAGAGATATCGTGAAACAACACGAAGGAAAGCCCACAATTTTCCTCTCTTTTCTAATCACCATTATAAAAAAAAACCTCTCTTTCCAACTAATTTGGAAGTTGCCTGAAGCTAGGAAGTTCCAACTCTAAACAATGTCAATGTAATATGTAGAGTTGTAGACCTCAAATCAAATTCCCCGCGTGGAAAATGAACAAAAATCGTGTTAGTTAAGGTTTTCATTTTGTCGTTGAAACCGGTAAAAATACAGAGACTAGATGTAGAAAGTAAGTAATATGTATGTCTCATTCAATGGAGATATGGAAAATCAAACCAAATACACACAAACAAACCTCAGGCTGAGTAGGGTACTAGGGTTCCTTTCTCTTCTCCATTTTTAATGTTGGTTAGGGATAAGAATGGAAACAAGTAGGAGAAGAAAAGACAAGCCAACAACTCCCATATTTAGGACCTTTTTTTTTTTTTTGCTGCGCGAAAGAAGCCTCGTAACTACCTTATTACCTCACATTATTGGGACTTTTTACCCGCTTCCCTGTTCTTTTCCTCCTCTCTTTCTTTCTTAGGTAAAGATTTTACTTTCCTGAATTGGCCTGATACTAGAGTTTCCAATTGTCGACCTCAGAGAGTGGCCCAATAATGGCATTTTCTAGTGACCGATTTGGCGCGTATGATTTGCAATGTAGTAAATGATCGATGTGACAAATGCTCTTATTTGGTTGCTAGTATTTAATAACGTAGACATGCATGAAGTCCTTATGTATTGTGGTAAGATATATAGACAACCTATTTCTTTTACGACGAAAGTGTTTCCGTCTAATTTGACAAGCAAACCACATAGATATGAGTTTCATTTAACATTATCTTGATACAAATTTCGTTTCGTGTTGGAAAATTCCCTCATTTAAAACGTTTTTATGGCATACTTTTTGTTGCCAGCTGGCAGCTGCCTCTTTGAGCAGAATCAACAAGTTTATGTATTCAATGTTATAGACCCCCAAATTCGAGATTTTTAACGGATCGCTTCGATTAAAAAGAATTGTTGCAAAGTGCTAACCAATGTGTTTTTTTTTTCTTTTTTCCTTTGCTTGATAAAAAGTGCCAACAACTTGATGCCCAAGGGCAGTGGGAAAAGATATAGTCGTGAGTGGCTCCCATGTCTGATGCCATATAAAACCTAAACAAATGAAGGCCAACTGAAATTGCTGGCCACTCACATCCGCCATTTATGGCAAAAAAGGATAGAAGGAGGAAGGTTGATGATGATAGAGTAAATTAAAAAACTCCAAGAATAATTCGCCACCAATCATTCTCAGACACATCTACGTATCCTATCATCATGTAATATGTATTTTTGCCTTTTTATTTCCGCGTATATTGGAGCGTACATATGTTGCCACGCCAATCCCAAACCAAACACGGTATGGGCAGTCGGATCCCAAAAAGAAAGCAGCCATAAGCAACGAACGATCTTCTTCAGTTTGGTTTTTTCTTTGTCCAGACAAGCAAAAGTTAACTGTACAAGAAAACCCATGTTACCTGGAATGGGATGGAACAACATGACATCCTCCACGACCACATGCCTGCTTTGAAAAGATTAGATAAATATACTCTTAGATCAATGGCACGGTAAAGCTTTAACCCTATTGTCCGAGGATTATCATGAAATCGTGGTTCAACTGTTTCCTATTGTTAAAACAATTTAACGGCTTGGATTTTTGGAAGATTATTTTTCGGTGAATCTGCTGATAAGGTACGGTTTCGCAAACACGGCGGCCTACTACTTATTTTTCAAAGTATTTTATACGCTTCTGTATAGGATCCATAGAATACCCTCATAGCTGACGGGACTAGAAAAAGTGTCTCATTGACAACAGGAATCACATTTATGCATATAGATTGCCATTTATTGGAGCAAACAAGTGGCCACCACCAACAACGGATGGTGTATTAAATTATAACCACCGAGACTAAAGACTATGCACAAAAGACCCCAAAATCTCAGGAAACAGAAACCAAAAACACAAATAATTTATGAGAGAGGCAAAAAAAGGTTAAGGAGGAGAGATAGAGTTAGTTCATAGTTGTGACTTGTGAGAAAGACATAAAAAGAAGACCCTACATTGAATGTAGACGACGAATGTATTTTAAAAATTTAATTTTTAATCGACATAAACAAGTCGTGCAAGACGTATGATTCAATGATATAAAAGAGATTTCGTAAGGACCGTTGCAAAATCGCCCAAAAGAAGAGGCTTTTTTCATGAGGATTTCCTTGTTCAACAAATGTTATATTCTCCAGGAACAATGTTCATGTTGTGGGTCAGGGAAGAAGAGCTGTTTTTTTTCTTCTTCCAGAAATGGGTGTTGTACAAGCGAACAGCAAATGTTCATATTGGGCCCATCCACCCTGAATGGGAATTCCCCTTTTAATGGAGAATTCACTTTCTGTGAATTCTCAGTCACAAACAAGCCAAATATGGAAACAACAAATCAATGGAAAGAGGGGATTGAGAATATTGGATACCTGGTTATTATAAATAAACATTGCTTTTCCTGCCTGCAGCTGTTGCTTTAGGTGGCTACTGTAAATTGACTGAAGAAAGGAATTTTAGCTGGGGGCCTCCACACACCACAAACATCATTTCCCTTGAAAGAAAGATTCATTCAACACAGTAACTAATGGAATATTTACTTTACCTAGATTTGCTCCCCCAGTCCTCGTCTTCACTCCCATAATTTCCTGCAAAAACATATGATAATGATAGTCCAACAAACTACTAGGCAAAATAGGGAGCATAGAAACAACATTTTCAGCCTCACGAGAATGGTGAACTATGAACGCTGCAGAACTAACAATATCAGTTTAGAATCGACTCCCGGCTAGTAGGTGATTTTGGTTTGGTTCTATACATACATATAATTGCTAGGTGAACCAATTCCAAACTCGGCAACATAACGTCTCCAAGTTATAATTCTGCCCTCTAATCTAACTATACAGCCGAAATTAGTCCTGTAGCACAGCCACGTACCCTCCTCTTGCTGCTGCTGCAAAAGCTATATTTCAGTATTAATTCTTCCAAACTTCACTTCCTTCTCTTCAGAAGCCAAATAGCTCGACCTTGCCGAGTTTCTACCCTCATGCAATGTGTTCAACAACAATGTTCCCATAACTCAGTGCATTTACGTGCCAATGACATGCTTGACGGTAATGTCGAACTGAAAAAGATCGCCCAATACCACTAGTGTTAAAGGTTTAGTAGGTGCCACAGATCATCCATCAATTACCTTCGCTTTCCATGATAGTATCCGCCGCCAGAATGATGAATATGCCTATGGCGTTGTGATCCAACACCTCTTCCTCCGCCACTTCCTTCCCATGGCCCACTACGGCCACCAGATCTGCCGCCATGCCCACCACTGCTAGGACTCCAGTTTAATGTCTGCTGCGGCCCCAGGCCGTTGTTCTCCTCTTCTTCCCTGTCATTATACTCCAACACAAACCTCTTGATATCTTGTTTCTCTTCCAGCTCAGCTGCTTCCTTTTGTTTTGTGCTCTGCACGAGCGAGCAATCACTGGGAATATACATCTGCTTCGTCTGCTGTTTGTTGCCACGCTTAACTAGTACTTTCACTTTAATCTCCTTGC